GGCAGATCGTGTTGCGCCGCATTGGCACCGCGACTGCACGCAGTACGGTAGATAGGATTCATGCAGCTCCTCAAAGTGCGGGAATCACAACACTGACCCCTCGAGGCCATTCGAACACACTGACACGAGGTTCCTAACGAAGGGGTGCGTCCGGGAACTCGGTGCATGGCCCTTGGGATGACGTCGTCATGCATAGCCAAAGACGACCATCGCATCTACTTCCCTCAATGCTAACTTGAAGACGGCCTTGGGCATCGTGTCCACAGTCACTTGGAGCCTTCAATGACTCAAAAATATTGGCCTTCAGCTCGTTTCGTTTTTATCTTTGGCGGGGGATGGGCCCAGAATCAACCTGATAACCGACCACCTCCTGTAAATCCAACCAGTTGCTCGCAGCTGGCCGGTTAGCAACAAGAAACCTGAATGCTCCTTACAGGCAATCCAATAAAAAACGGGACACCCGGGTTTTTGACCATTCATCGAATATTTTGTTACCCAATATCATCGCGCGCTGGCCATGACCATTCGCCACACATCCGACTTTCGCACCGCCGCATTGCGATGCTACGCCCTCATCCATAGCCTGCGTAAGGTCGCCTCCATATTCAGTGTGTCCAAGAGCACCATCCATCGATGGCACCGAGGATGCAAGCTGGATGACCCATCCCGGGTCCCAGCTCGCAGATCCACTTTCTTCGAGCAGGCATGTCCAGTCATTCGCACCCTGATTGAACAGGACCCGTTCCAGACTGGTCCTGTGTTGCGGTGCAAGCTCGAGTCCATCCTCCAGAGGAAAGTATCACTCTCACTCTGCCACACTGCCATCCACCGAGCAGGTCTCTCACACAAGAGGGCAACACACCTCTACAAGTCCAAGCGACTGGATGAGCGAGTGGCACAGTTCAGGGACCAGGCCCGCTCCATTGACCCGCGGCGATTCGTTTTTGTCGACGAGACAGGGATCAGGAAATCCATTTTCCCTCTCTACGGATACTCACCGAAGGGTGCTCCGCTTCGCCAGCGCAATCACATGAAGCACAAGTCTGTCTCGGCTGCATTTGCCATCAACCACTCTGGTGTGCTGCATCGCATGTACATCCCCACATCATTCAAGACACACTCGATGGTCGAGTTCTTTGAGCGAGCGAGCTTCCCAGACGACTCTGTGATTGTGATGGACAATGTCAGCATGCACAAGACAATGGCTGTCCTGGACTGCATCGAGCGCCGAGGATGGTCAGTGATCTTCACCCCACCTGCTTCACCCGACTTCAATCCCATCGAGAACTTCTTTGGGATTGTGAAGCATCAGTACAGGAAGGCAGCAGCGCTGAATGCCTCCGAGGGGTTCAGAGTCGGGATGGTGACCCTGTTTGAGTCTGCCGTTCGGAGGGTGCTTCCAGATGTCTTCCCACGGCTGATTGAGCGAGCGATGCGCTTCTGGGGTTGAATCACGTCAACTCCGCCATTCTCACGATCACATCCCTGGCTTGAACCTCTCGGCGATTTTTGAACAGGGTCGCTTCCAACCAGCCCGCAAAGACGGGTTCCTGCTCTCGGGTATAAATGCCACACCTTCGTCCTGCTGCTTTCTTCCCTCATCTCGCCTTGATCTGATCATCGCGCCATTGTACGATAAAAAGAAGTCTCTGCTCTGACCAGTACCACTGGCAGGCATCCAGCATCCTCTGTCCCCATGCCTCCGAAGCGTAAGGGTACCGGTGATGGCCAGCCTCAGCCACCCAGGCCCAAGAAAGCCAAGTCACAGTCGGAGCCTGTCTCTGGTTCGTATTCTGACCCCACGCATGCTTGTTCGTCTGTTGCTCCGTCGCTCACCACCACTGCTTCTGCAGATCCAATGGATGTCGATCCCACCGACCCCGGTCCATCTACTTCCTCGAGTACCGGCAAGCGATGTCGCCAGTGCGATGGCACCGACCACGAGCGAAGCAACACCAACAAGTGTCCCAAATACCGGCCCCTCAAGAGTTCTGTCGTCCCACTCGTGGATGGAAGGTCATCCGCCCCTCAGTTCAGCTGCTTCAAGCAGACGATGGATGGCTGCTGTCTCAATCCCGCTCTCCGCGACAAGATCCAGGCCACCGTCGAGGCCATGACCCAGATCCAGTTCGAGGCATCCAGGCTGCTCAACCTGCACATCCTCCGGTGCATCGAGCAGGATCTTCCCGTCCCCGTCATCTCCAAGTCCACCCCTGCTTTCATCCGCCAATGCTTCACGATCGTCCAGGACGGTGCCCTCTCGACGGCCAGGGACAATGAGAAATACAACGAGCATCTGGTCGCTTCCTTTCGCGACTACCAGACCACTCGGCACGCAGACCTGCCTCCGGCCCCTCGTCTGCCTGATGGTGCTCACAGTCAGCTTCTCACCCTGGCTGTCAATGCCTATGCCACCAACTGCACCACCCACCTCGACCTGGCCTACTGGCGACTCCTTCGCCGCTTCTGCGCTGCCGTCTTCCCTGCCAACAAGCACAAGCACGAAGCCATCGAGGCCTGTCTCGAGCTCTTCGAGAAACCAGGGCAGACTCCACCCAAGGCCGATCTCGAGTTCCTCTATCCAGACTTTGGCCACGTCCTGGACGAGTTTCGGTACAGCAACGACCAGGACCGCTTCCGGGCCCTCCATCGCCTCTCACATCATGTGAGAATCCTCGCCCGGGACAAGATGGTCGACAATGTCCACAAGTGGATCGACTGTGACATGCCCGCCCTCCGAGTCACCGAGCTGCAGCACCAGGCCAAGCTGGACGAGCTCACTACCCAAGGCATTCCCTCCGACGACAAGAGGTTCACCAAGGCCAAGTCTGAGCTCGGCACCACCAAGTCCAAGATCAACAAGCTGGCATCCAGGATCAAGTGGGCACTGAAGCAGCTCGCTCTCGACACTCCTCCGTCCGTGTGCACGATGGTCCCTCTGTGCACTGCAAGGGCCAAGTATGTCAAGATTGACACCGTCACTCTCTGGGAGCTCCTTGGTCCAAAGAAACGCCTTGGACTCACCAGGGACAAGCTCAAGGAAGAAGGTGATGGCGGCATTAACAACCAGGATCGTCTCTGGCGCAGTTGCTTCAAGCTGCGTAGTTCCCTCTTCCAAGAGCGGGACGTGAACAAGAAGCTGTTCAACTACGAGATCAGTACCAATGGCATTGGATGCACCATCGGCCTCGTCAAGTTTGTGCGTCGAACCGATCGCACCGAGACCATCGAGCCTCCTCCGACTGCCGAACAGCGTATCCAGGCCCACATCGGCGACCCAGACCCCAACCGCACCACTTGGATTGGCATCGATCCTGGAGTCGGCTCCATCTTCACGGCGGTCATCCAAGCACCGGGCCACCAAGACGAGGTGGTCTCATTCTCGAATGGTCACTATCAGCACATGTGTGGCCATACGTCCAACACCAAGTGGCACAACACCATGAAGTATCGACTCAGCATCGAGACCTGGATGGCGACCACTCCCTCGCCCAAGGTGTCGTCCTCGGAGGCCTTCAAGGTCCATCTCACCCATGTCCTGCGACCGGAGCTGCGAGTGCAGCTCGACTTCCACCTTGGCAAGAAGGCCCGTCACCATCGATTCACGGGCCACAGGAGGCGCCAAGTGGCCGTCGACAGGATGTGCAAGGCCGTCCTGAAGCACGCCCCGATACGGACCGATGTGGTGATCGCCTTTGGCAATGCATCATGGCGACAGGGCAAGGGCTATGCATCCAGCCCTCGGAGGCAGCGGTTTGCTCAGTACTTTGAGCAATTCGAGCACCACCGACGCCGTCCCAATCACCATCATGGAAGCGTCAAGGTAGTCTCGACGAACGAGTTCAACACCTCGCAAGTGTGCTCCAAGTGCCTGGAGCCAGTTCGGTTGGAAGGACTCGATGCGCCCAGTGTTGCGAATTCCCACTTTGTCAGGAGCTGCAAGAATCCCAGCTGCCGGACAGTGTGGAATCGCGACGTCAATGCGGCGCGCAACATGATCACAGTATGCAGGTCGATTGTGGAGATCGGAGAGTGACCGGCGGTCTTCACTCGGAGGCTGCCAAAGTGATCTGTTTTATTTCTTGTGGCTTTGCTTGACGCAAGCACAGCACATACTACATGTTCATGGAAACGGCTATATTGTCCCGTTTTTTTTCTGAATAAAGTGTAGCCTCGGTGAGTGTACAATTTGGGCCAACTGCCTTGAATTATCACAATATCCTTCTCCCTGTTGGGGTGGTCCATTTTTTATTGGATTGGCTGTAATATTGCTAAGAAAGGAGGTGTGCTGGGACATTGTCGGCTTCGACCGCGAGCGCTGTGGGCTTACCTGACCCCGAAAACCTCCCACAGCGCATGTCTCGTTCACTCTGCTCTTCCGCAAGAAACAACGGACAAGGGTCGCGTGCTGGCCAACCCCGGATCCCGCGCGGCCGCCGGCTTTGTTGGTCCAGGGGCCAACTCCCATGCCGAATTGGCCCGGGCGCGCATGCTTCCAGTCGATGCAGTCGATGCAGTCGATGCAGCTGATGCAGTCGATGCAGTCGATGAGGCCTGTGCATCCCGGAGGCATCCACAAGGACAGCCAGCAGCCGGTTCTGCCACCACCACCGCCGTCGCCGCTGCGATCTTCTGTCCCCGGCTCAGACCAGCAAGACAGACTCGTTTTGGCATCCCCCGTCTCGTCTGGGACTGCAACTTGTCCCCATCAGGCCCGACCGGCAGAGTGCCGCTGTTTGCATTCGCTATCCCACAGCTCATTGCCCTGGCCAACCTCTGGCAAGCAGCCCCAGCGACAAAGCCTGCAACATCCTCCCGATCGTGCGGCGAGCTTCACTCTATCCCTGGGTCGCCCAGACACCTGAGACCCAAGCGATCGCACGAGCCTGACTCGACTCGGTGAATATCACAGCCGATCGGGCTGGCCGCTGTCGTCCAGGCCCGAGCCTGGCCCTCGATTCTGGTTCTGATTCCAAGTCATGATCCCCTCCCCCACCACAGCTTCCCGATTCCGTCCACAGCACCCGGGATCCTGTTGGCCAGGGCAGCGTGCGAACCTTGTATTTGCAGCGACGATGCTGCCGAAAGAGTCACAGCCGTCGCTTCCCGGGCCGTGTCAATGCCAGCAGCGTCTTGGAACTGCGAAGATATCAACAACGTCCTGGACCCGTGGATGCAGCTGTCGGCAGAGCGGCACATCCGTCGGTCGGGCATTGTCGGTCGATGCCGCGAGGAACCAACCCGTGCGCACGCCAAATCCTGCTGTCGCCGAATACCGAGTTCATCTAGACCATCGCTGTGGTAGGTGGCTATCAGCTCGAGTCGAGCGATTCGGTGGACTGTTTTCGCCCTTTGCCGCCGCGCATCGGCTGTGCTTTGCGGACGATCTTGACAACTCCCTGATCCAGCAAGTGCTTCGTTAGCGGCGAGATCTCTGCCAGATACCGTCAGATGGAGTTGCAGTCCGAATATTGAAGCACGGCATTGGCAGCCAAGGTATGAACGAGGCCCGTGGACGGGAAGGGAGGGTCGCTGTCAGCGACATTCGAGTTTGGCGGCACTCGAGTTTGGCAACATGGAACAGCCCTCACTCCCGCCTTGGGCCATCTGCCGAGCCCATCCCTCGACTCTCCAGCTGGTGGACTTGTTCGACTTACTCGCCATCCCCGGAAAGTTCCTCCAGCTAAAGGACTCAAACACATCCGACATTACCGACGTCAGTACGACGGGATTCGGGTTTGCATCCGCACTGCGGAACAACAGAAGGCGTCAGTACATCCGTCAGCGCTCCATGAGCCGACCATTGCGGGCCGTCACCGGCATGCGACGCTGCTGCCTGATGGACAGCTCACTTGCGCAAACGAGCACCTGCAGCCGCTCGGCATGTCGACCCGGACCGCCTTGGCTTGTGGCAGGACGGCAAGTCGACTCCGAACGGATCTGCGAGCTGGCAGCCCCGCTGCTTCGAGCTTGCCTCGCTCGCTTGAATCCGCCTCTCATGCTTGCACACTTGTTACTCTCCCTCTGCCTCTCATCGCCCTGTGCAGCCCATGTCGGTGCGAGCCACGTACACTTTTAGGTCAACCAAGGTGAACTTGAGCCGAAACGATCCTTCGATGCGGACACAGAGATTCCCAAAGATGAAGAACACGCCCATGATCTTGTCCAGCCCACGGGCAAGGTAGCTCGGCGAGACCAGGGTGCCGAAGAGTGGGCTCGCTTGGCCCTTGCTGGAGCCTGAGTCCGGTTCCTCCAGCTCGTCGATCAGAATTGAGCCTTGGCCAGGCGAAGCAATGAGGCCGTGGCCCGACGCTATCGGCTGCTCCCGTCGGTCATTCGAGCGCTCGGCAGACGGATCCGAGGACGATCGAGCTCTTGAAGATGCTATCGGCGTCTCTGTGGAGAGGCCGCCATGGACGATAGACCGGGATATTGCTATCCCGTCGACAAGTTGTCTGGCCCGGTTTTGGTCCAAGACGATCGAGGGCGACGATCGAGACGACGAAACAGGCTCCTCTGCACGGCGACGGTAAGGCACCGTCGATGGGGTAGATGCAGATGCAGATGCAGATGCAGATGCAGATGCAGATGCGGATGCAGATGCAGATGCAGATGCGGATGTGGGTGTGGATGTGGATGTAGGTGTGGGTGTGGATGTGGATGTGGCCGAGGATATGAATGTCAGTGCGGATGGATGGGCCGATTCTCGGACGCTGTGGACCGTTTCCAGGGCCCGGGTACCATCTGCAGAGAAGAGCTTGGCGTAGACGACAAAGTTGGTGGAGGCAACCAGTCTTGGATGTTGACCGCTAGGACAGACAGCAGGCCGCAGATTGACACCTTGGTAAGTGTTGCTGTCACCGAACCCCCCCAGTTCCCTGACGCCTCATGTCCTTGAGCAATCGTATCACTGCAGAGTGGCTCTGCCCTTGACACCGGCGTCAATCGACCGGGCATTGACACCCAGCCCCGATTGACAAGGATATGGCCCCTGGCTGGCCTTGATCGGTCCATGGCTGGCCACCTCGAAGGACATTGTCATCACCGGCAACCGACAACCAGCAACCGGCAACCGACCGCCACAGCACCAAGAGTGCAGCGTCACAACACACTAGCGCAACAGCATGCCTTGCTCCGTTGCTCCGCTGCTCCGTTGCTCCGGCAGCAGATGCATCCTTACTCCGTGATCAAATCCCCGTTGGCATCTTGGTATGAAAGCTGGAGCACCGGAACTGGATCGACAGATCGCCCCGAAATCGAGAGGGTGTATCCGGACGCCCTGACCTGCCGCGGCTGCTCCTTGATCGCAAGAGAATACTGGAGACGGCGAAGGGTTAGCTTGGAGCCTGGACAGTTCGTCAAGAGGGATGGAGCCGTTGAAGCCCGCAGAGATGCCAAGGTATGTCTCGACGCCAGCGGGACGGGCGTAAGAGCAAGACAGTTGCAAACCGATGGCCGATACAATGGGACCGAAGAGCAAAGCACAAACAGGGTGCAACGAGACAAAGGACAAGACGACGACAGCGCAAGCCGACAGCGAGGCAACAGCAGCAGCAGCAGCAGCAGCAGCAGTGATTACCATGGCAGTGCTGGTCGAAGCTGAAGGGACATACGGATGGAGGAACAACGACCAAGTCTAGGCTTTGGAGACGGCTGCGGATGGTCGTGGAAAGTCAATGGCGAGCCGGACCTGCCCTTATTTTCTGCTGTGTAGCCCGGCTGCAAAGGGGGAGAGGAAAGGGGAAGGAGAAGGAGGAGCAGAGGGGATTCTTTCACCCGAACCAACAGCGACAGGCAGCAGCGGCTCTAGGAGACAAGCGAGGCAGGAAAGGAGTGCTCCGCGCAGCCCTGGGTGTCGGACAAACCAACGACGCTGCCCGAGCTGGTCCCGGCTTTCGGAGTGGTTCGTGTTGGTGGATGGACATGAGGAGTCGAGCGGGTGTGCAACCGCAGAGGATGCAGCCAGGCGGACAGGAGAGGGGCAAGCACCACAACCCACAGCAACGCCGACGACAAGTGGACCCGCTTGCATTTGGTCAGAGATGCTGGGGTCCGCAGCACGGACTGCAGCCTGGACTGCAGCGACGATGCGGGGTGAGATGGACTCGCTGCTGGCGATGGATGCGCCAAAAGGGCAGCTGGCGCTGGATGTGCCGAAAGGGCAGCGAGCAGGCCGGCATGTCGGCAACATTGCGCCCAGGCCAGGGAACGGGAATGGGCGATTCCTTTGGCGGATGGACTGCAGCGCCACCGGTCAGCAAGGATGGTTGGGATTCTGGGACCTGAATACACACACACACATATTGCAACTGTGGCCGAACAGTATGTTCAGGGAGACCATGGTTGTCAATGACCCCAGCAACGTGTCGAACAGCCAAGCCAAAGGCCATACATCCAGTCACAGGAGGCGGCGGTTTGTTCGGTACTTTGAGCAGTTCAGGCACCACCATCGCCACCCACATCGACGACATGGAAACGTCAAGGCGGCCTCGACGAACGAGTTCAACACCTCGCAGGTGTGCCCCAAGTGCCTGGAGCCATCTCGGCTGCGAGATCTGGGTGCACCGGAGAGCAACCGGAGGTCTCTACTTGGAGGCTGCGGAGGTGATCTGTGTTATTTCTTGTGGCCTGGCTGGACGCAAGCCATCTCATACTACGCTAACATATTGGTGTCCCGATTTCCCCTGAAAATATGGATTGATGTGTCATTCAGATAGCGGGGATGTGCTTGGACCCCTTCTTGCAGCAGTCGCAACGAGATCTGCCAAAGCGTCTCGGCATGTCCCCAGGGAGACGCTGCATCGCAAAGAGATGCACTCGCAGCCTCTAGCCACAGTACTTGGCAAGCTTCTGCATGGACAAGATCTTATAGTCTGCACCATTCTCAAACTTCACGATGCCATCGCCTCCATCGAGGCCAATGAGTGTTCCTATTGCGTCCTTGAATTCGCCATTGCAGACCTTGGTCATTTGTTTTTTCTCCGGTCGAACAGGCTCCAAGTATTCAACAGGGATCAGCTCGGACGTGCCCTGGTCCAGCAGCACCACCTTAGCTGTTCGCGAGCTTTCGAGGCGACGAATGGCGCCGGTTCTACCGTCCAAGGCTCCACCCTTGAATTCACGGGCCGAAGCGACAACGACCTCGATATCGACGACGGCCCAATCGTTGTCGTGACTACCGACACCTCCTGAGCGATATAGCGGCCACAACAATATCAGTCCAGACGAAAGTCACAACGAATGATGAGCGGTCAAGCGAGGTATCAGAGAACAAGGCCGCAAGAGGAGATCTCGATCACGGCAAAATCATTGGCTCCAGGCTGGAAACTGTGTACTTGCTGAGTTCTCATGGGGGCACAGTAAGCCACACTCTTGTCAACACCTGATACGTACCATCTGGGTCATGTGCATAGTCAGCGGAGCCCGAAAACGGGGTGCTTGGAGCAAATGGAGTGGAGGGATTGTAGGGTGTCGTCGGATTGAAGGATGAGTGGCCAGTGGCCGGAACACTCCCTGGATTGGGGTAAGAGGCTGGTGTCCGCGCAGCCCCAGGCGTCGAGGTAGCGTATGTGTGTGGAGTGCTAGGGTTGTATGGGGTCGACACATCCTGGGGTGTGGCTACACTCTCGCGCAGGCCAGGTTCGTTCCAAGATCGAGCAGGGGTCCGAGCTCCAGCATTCCAGCTTGGAGTTTGTGAATCGGTATCCCAGGCTGAATTGCGGCTCCCGGTATAGGCCGGTGTGCGGTTTCCAGCATCCCAAGCCGGCGTTCGGCTCCCAGCATTCCAAGCGGGGGTCCTCGCCCCGATATCGCCTGCGGGGGTGCGTCCGCCTCCGCCTTCATATGCTGGCGTTCGCGATCCCCACATGGGTGTTCGGCCGCTATCGTCGCGCGGTGTCATGCCGCCTTCTTCGAAGCGGTTGTACCGGCTCTGGCCCCATCCACCAGAGCCCGACTCGCCCGAAACTTGGAACTCGTCCCGCTTTACTGTAACGACCCGACTGTTGGTGTGTAGCTCGATTCGGAGGGTGTCGTTATCCGAGTCCTTAACGATGCCAAGATAGCCTTTGTAAGGACCGCGAGTGATGGTTCCAGATTTGGCCACAAGGGCATCTCTGCGTCCCCGCATCGGCGCACCGCGACCGCGGCCAAATCCACCCCGGGTGGTGGGTGGACCCATAGGATTGGTCTTGGCTGAACCCGGGCCTTCGCCCCCGAGCTTAGTTACGTTGTGGGATCGCGTGACAATCACGCCGCCATTCTCCAGAATCTCGCGGGAAGTCAAGAAAACAAAGCCGTTGTAGACGTGCAAGATTGTTGCTCGCTTCTGGATCTCGCGATTTTGGGGATCGGTGTAGGTGACCATGTCCTTGGAAGTCACCGAGTTTCCGTTCGCATCGTCTGTGTATGCTCTTGATGAGTTGCGGCGGATTCGAATTTGCTGCCCGGTGGCTTTGACGATGCTTCCAAGCTGATTCAAGATGGTGTAGTTTTCCTTGTCTACGGATATAACAACCCCGGCTTCCGTGGGCCTGTGGGTGTCGGTAGGCCAAGTTAGCATACCATCGGCCACGAGGTGGCACCTGGCTGTTCCAACAGGACGCGAGGCACGACCACTGCATTTCCACAGAGCGGCCTATACCAAGCTGGGCCTCTACACTCATCATGGGATACTCACGACAGGATAACAAACTCGTGAACGTCGTAAAGGGACGTCTGACCGGTGCTAGTTGACGACTCTTTGGCGGAGCGTACGTCTTTGGAAAATACTTGGATCTGGATCGGTGGAGGTTCAAGAAAGCTTTGAGAGATACGCTCAGATGCCAAGCAGAGAGATGATATACTGAGGCAGAGCGACGATGTAATGAAGCCGACAACAGAGCCAGGATCGCTGCAGAGCAGGCGATGGTCAGAGGCTCGACAGCAGACATCACAGCCAACATACTGTTTTCTTTGTCGCCGGGTTGTAAATATGCACGGCGTTCTCTTGCATCTGAATGATCATTCCAGTTTCATCTTTGTGGATGCCCTTGATGACGCACACATGTTCACCGTTTGAAAATTTCTTTCGCAGGTAGCTCGCTGAAAGCTTGAAGTTGGACTGGTAACGCGAACGAAGTGGCGATCGCAAGACGGCGACATATTAGTGCATCATTGCGCCAGCGTATTTGCTCATCGGCTCATCCTGACGATCAGCTCACGAGATGGGTATTCATCGTCGCCAAAACTGGGTGATCAGTGATGCTGTAACTATCAACGCAGACAAAGACCAAGGTCGAACGTGATTGAGGCAACCAACTCACCGGAAGACCAAATCCTGAGGCCGGTTGGACTGTGACAATGTCATGCTCGACCGACTCGACTGTTCCCGGGATTCCAACCAGTTCTCCACGGATAACTTCCACGTTCTCACCAACTTCAAAATCATCACCTCGGGCTGTATTGGCGATGCTCATGCCAGCGAGTCCATCTTTCGTCCCGGTCACCAACCCGCGAGAAAATCGGGTAATCTCGTCCAAGCTAGCATTGACTTCTTCAATTTCCAGACTGGAGACCTTGACTTCCTTCACTAAATAGCCGTCCCTATCATAGAGTTCGCCACGATAACTGATATATTCTTGCCCTGAGATGGGTTCAGTGCCCCTGATGTTGAATGCCATTTGTTAGTATCTGGATGGATCAGGGACTCGGTATGCTCTATGTGCTTAGCACAAACGGCGATTGCGAGCCAATCGTGCACGGGATAGGGGGGGGGAGACTGCGATCGAGCAGGGACGCACCGATGCTCTGCGGGATTGAAAAATCTCTGGGGAGGAACGATGGTGTTTTGTTTGTTGGGCTTTTTATGCTTCGTGTCAAGATCATCGAGATGGTTTTGATCGTACTTGGCTGATCCGGACAGCTCAGGCCGCGGAATCAACTTAACCTCCACGACCGTCTCTCGCGAATCCAGAATCTTCATGACCTGATCGTGTTCCGTTTTGGTGAGTTTGGTAACGAAGGTCAACTTGTCTCGGCTCTGCGTATTGAACCCACCTCCTGCTTACTCGACCAGCATCGACCAAAGTAGCGCAGCCACCTACCTGTGCAAGATCCCCGCCATACTTTCCTCGCTTGATGCGGACCCAAGCACCCTCTTTCAGATTGATGTCCTTTACTTTGGTGCTCAAGCAGTCCGCCATTTCGTTCACCGGGACGAGCTTGAGTCGCGAGATATACACGTTGTTCATTTTGTCGAGAGCTTCAGACACGTACGCCTGTTTTTCGGATTCGATATAAACGTAGCCACTAAGCGAATCGCGGCAGAATGCCGACTTGATCTTGAGAGCCGCCGATGTTTCTTGGAGGCTAATGTATTTGCGCATCAGGTTTTGGACAATATCCCGTTCTTTGCCGGGCTATAATTGAGATACCCGGGGAGGGAAAGAGAATGGTTATTTTGATCCGAGGGCGAGATGTCGAATAGTAATCTTCAGCTGAAGAGCCGGTGATGTACCAATATCTATCCACGCTTCACAGGGTTGCATGACAGGATGAAAAAGAAAAAAAGTACAGAACAGGAAAGAAACGGTACGAGCAGGACAAATACAGTGCTGCTGCGTGGCAGATGGCAGGGGCGCTTGTTTCTAAAATCCAAGGCACCAAAAATTCCCCTCCTCGTTTTATCAATCGATATCCCGCACCATCGTCAGGCCGGCAACTGGCCAACGCTTTACCTTACAGCGGACAAGCCAGAGCTTCGGATCATTGACAGAGGGAATCAGAAGTGACTGGGGTACATATTCAAAGTCGGCTCGGGAGGGTCTGTACGAGACTCTGTGACGCTCGTCCATGGCAGCGGCAATGTCTTCGGCTGGCTTTGAACTGTCGCGCTCGCGATCAAGATCAAGCCTCTGGTGTTGAGCGCTGTTATAGTACTCGGATGCATTGTAGTGCTCATCAAAGCCTTCCTCTAAAGGAGATGCGGCACGCTGTCGTCAGCGAGCGAATCCTTCAACTCATCGAGGTATTCTTGGCACAGGTGATACACTCACCGGCCTCATCTTCATCCTCAGCTTCGTCGTCCGGTTCATCAGATTCATCGTCAACGTCGACTTCAAAGTCGATGAATCGAGATCCAGCTGGCTTTCGACGCTTATTTTTCCTCTGTATTATGGGCACGAGGGATGAGATGATGAGTTTGACTGATGGGAGAGACACCGTCGGATTCCAGGCTCGACAGATGGCGGCTATGAAGCGATCGAGAGGCCCGGCGGGGAGCGGTTGGGATAGATCTGATCCTTGCCAAAGAGCTCAGGGACCATGGAGGAGAGGCGGCAAGTGGATTGGTGGCTGCAAGTGGCGAATCAAAGAGGCACAGCATAGGAAAGTGGATGCGGAGAACGAGCACGTGTGTTGCCTCACCGAAGAGCTACGTTCTTCTTCCTCGTCCTCGTCCTCGTCTTCCTCGTCCTCGTCGGCTCGATCTCTGTCGGCGCCATCGTCATCGTCATCATCGTTGTCCTCAAAGAGCCGATCATCGTCCTCTACCACATCGTCATGCGATCTCTTTTTCCCAACGGTAGCTGCGGTGAATTCTTCCTCAGACTCTAGGTCTCGGTCGCTGCTCATGTTCACTGCACTCGAAATAAAGGTACGGCGGGCTTAGATCGAGCCCAAAGGAGGTAGCAGTCGAGCATATGTAACTGCTGCGTTGCGCCAACCGCAAGCTCTCGAGATGGAATCGAGCGACAGCGGATCGATTCAAGCCACAGTCGCAACACTATCTCACAAAAAACTTACGGCGGCGTGGTCGTCCGGGTGTGAGCGTTCGCCGAGGCAGGTTCGCGGGGCGATGCTGGCCAGAAGGCAGAGCGGCTGGCGGACCGGTTTTGTTTTGTGGACTGAGGGGGAAGGGGGAGGGCAGGGGCACGGGGAAGGGTTCGAGGCGAGCGCCGCCCCGTGACATGGGGGCCTGTGGCACGTGTCCGCCACAACAGTGCGAGCCCCGGACCGATCTTGTTCAGCCAGCCGATCCATCAGCACCGCTCGACCCGGAGACCAGTAGGCACCCGACAATATGTATTGATTGCGTCACTCTCGACGCGAAAACAAGCGAGATATAAAAAAAAAAAAAGAAAAAGAAAATCCAGGCCAAAAAAGCACAAAAGAAAGATAAAAGAGAAATACAGGCTGAGAACCCACAGATACGAATGCCTCTGGTGGAAGTAGTTTGTGTTTGTATCTATGTAGAGTATCATGGGCAGTGCACTCCCCAGTGCCCCGACAAGCGTTTCCCATACTCACTAAGGCCTGCGATGAGGTGGAATCCACCTCATCCCAACACGAGCGAAGGAGGTCGAATTGTCCTTGGTGAGGGGTATTACAGAATACCGCTATCCATAAGAGCCTTGGTAATCGTATCATTGGCATTGCTATGAGTGCAGTGATGAGAGCCGCGATCCGATCAGTGACCGAGAAACACATAAAAGGCGCCGGGGCGAAGCGCACGAGCAATGCTTCTTCACGATGACCGAAACGGCCAGCATGGCAGCGACCGCCACAGCACAAGCCATCCCGTCCGGCACAAGTACACACATACCTATCCTTTGGCTCCAGGGCCAGCGATTGCTCGTACAAAACCGAATCGGGGGGGATTTCGGTGAACGAGCCACGGATCCAACGCTGCACCTCCAACACAGGGACCAGGTTGTACGACTGGTTTTGATATTGCTTGATCTCAAGAATGATCTCGGCCGTCTTCGTGCGCTTGCTGTAGTTGATCAGCTGGTTGCCAGTGGCAGTTGACTGGACGTAATCGGGATTTCCATCCGCAATAAACGTCAGATCCGTGAGATACTGACCCAGGAAAGGAATACATGGAGGCTGGGCCGTGCGGAGCGCCTCGCGGTACGCGCCTCGGTTCTTGGTTTGGTTCATGATGCCCTGCAGTGATTCGAACGTTTGCTGGGACTTTCCGATGAGCTCCCAGGTACGCTTGAGACGGAACACTTGTGATGAGTTCAGTCCAGCAAGGATCGCCATGAGCGTGTTGAAGTTGTTGAGTCGTCTTGTGTACTACGATGTACGTGCAGGCGAATCCGTCGGCGTTAGTGTGTTGGAGGAGGGAGAGGAACATATTTATGTGGCCATACCAAAACCCGCCTCATGTTTCATGCCAACTGTTTAATCAAAGACTCACATCAGCAATGGCAATGAAATACTTGATCACATAGGATCGTCGCTTGATTTCGGTTTCCATCAGAATCGACTGGACGACCCAACCACTGATCTAGAAGCGCAGACAGAATATGAGGGGGATAATGATGGTTGTCAATATCTATGACTGCTAAAAAAGAAGGTAATTCCACCACAAAATGCCAACACAGGCGCTGAGAGGCAGCTCATCAACTGCTCAAACAGTCCGGCACACGCGACCGCCTGCTCGCAACAAACAAGCTGAGCTGGGAGGGCAAGGGCGGGACTTGGCGCGAACAGCACAGGGTTTTAGTGTATGAGCCTACCATGTTGGACATGTTGATCATGGATTTGACATTTTTGGCCTTGGTTGTGTTGTCACTCCAGGCCTTGCTCAAGAACTCCCAGGGTTTCAGTCGGCAAAAGTCCTCCGAGGTTATGAGCGTAAGCTGCCGAGCTACCTCGAGCGGATCGAGGTTCAAGAGCCTCAGCACCGTGAAAGTCTTTGGCAAGATTGGCGGGGGCGAGTTCTGCATCGTAAGCTGGAGAGTCGGAGACCGTACGTCCTCGCGACCGCTGTTGAGAATGGCCTCACGGACGTATAGGGCCTTGCCGATCACTCGCATTGATGCGGACAAATGATCGGGACCGCGGGTGCTGACAAACATTCGGATCATGTCCAAAGCGCGACGGTCCTCGTCGTTGTCCTCGCAGTGAACCTCGAGCCACGACTTGATGATGGAAAACACCCTGTGCAACATTCACGGTTAAGGATCGACGGTGCGTTGCGTCGGTCCTGCGTGGCATAGCTCATGCGTATCCATCTCAGGGAGTCGTCGCGACGACGTAGAACCGCACATTAGACCGTGTTGACCTACCTGAGGCGAATCGGGGTCAGTCTCCGCTCAGCCCACGAATCCAGGTCATTAGCGCTGAATTTGTTATCGGGATTATAATTGAACCGGAAATCGATCAGATAGTCAAAGAGAACCGTGGTTGTTGTAAAGGACCGGTACGTCAACATGAAGGTCTGGTTGAATCCGCTCTCTTTGACAGCGTTCAAGGGGGGGGAGATGAGATGAATCATGGGTGAGTACGGGTGATGTGTCAGTTGGAAGGTAGTTGCACACAAAGCCATTCCACACTGTCACGTTGGATTCTAGGTCTGAGTTTCAATGCACTGCATCGAAATAGCACCGGACCCAAAGCGAGATCTGTTGCACATATAACAGTGTTTTGAGGGCAACGATACCTATGGTGTCATGGCAGGTTAGCCGCTCCAAAAGGGCATTCAAAGTGCCGGCTTTGATCTTGCGATCGTGGGTAAAAAGGATTTCTTTTCCTTCTTCGTAGGGCAGTGACCCAGAAGGATCCCTGGGTCGGCTCGGGATCTGTGTGATTGGGTTGGGGTGAAAGATACCATGAAACAATCCAGCCACGTAGGCGTCAGAGTTGGTATACATGGACGACTGCCTAGTAAGGTGGCAAACCTCGGGACTGTACTCGCGGCCTGGGAGAAGAAGGCCCGGATCGTGACTGGCGAAAGGAATCAAACAAACCAGGCATGCCAGGCAAGACACAGACGCCAAGCACGCCAGACAACCAAACGAGTCCGAGTAACAAACTTACGATGTCGCATACAACAGGGTTGAAGCCAAAGGTCGGGCTTCGAATAATCTCATAGATATCCTCTTCGAGAATAAGGATTCGCTCAGTCGGCACTTGAGCCAGGGGAGCATCGGAAACAACCACTTCCGGCGTGTCCGACTGCTGAATGGCCACCGATCCGCGACGGTAGCTTTCGACAGCTCCCTTGATCAAATGGCTACCATGCTGGGCATCCGAGTCGGTCATGACCGAGTTACTGCGGTTGGAGCGGCGATTCATACCATAGACACTCGATGATGAGCGAGTCGGAGCTACGGGCGTGTTCATCATGGTCGTCGTGGGAGACGTGCCGGCCTCAGCATTTTGTGGCGTCGACAGGGCACCAGGACGAGGGGGATCAATCTGGGGGCTGATGATACTGCCTTGTAGGGTGGTAGAGCCATCGGTGGCACGGCGAGGGATGCCGCGCGACTCGATGAACGAGCTGAGAAGTCCCTGTTCATTTTGGATACGATCTTCGAGCATGTACTTGATCGTAATCAGCAGATCGCGGATGGACTTTTCGACGAGGCTCGCGCAGTTGAGAACCTGCTCGAGAGCATTCGATGGAGCGAGCGGGCTGCTGGCAGTCTGGGTCGTCATGACCAGGTCCGAGATGGAGGTGACAAGCGACACTCGGTTGACCTTGAAGTCGATCGTGGACTCCTCCTTCAAGTTGTCGAGCGGGAGTTCTTCGACCACAGAAAGGAAGTTTCCGATCTCCGTCACGATCAGACGAACTTCGCCAACCATGTCACTCCCTGGATCATCGGGGTCGTTCAGATGTCCGATCAAGGACGTGAGGAGCACCTTGGCTTGCGTATAAAGGCGCTCAAGATGGGTAACAACCTCGACATTAGACTGCGAGTCCGGCTGGGTGACCAGTGCTGGGCCCTTCTCGTCGGTAGATGACTTCCCAGCGGTCCGTATCTCATCTTCCCAGGATTTGATGTTATTGACAAGGGCATCGCGAGCCTTCAAGGCAACCTCGTTGAGAGTTATCGGGATATTGATGATGTTTGCGTTGGCGACAAACTCGGCCACTGCCGTGAATGTTTCGCAGAGGGAGGCACCGGTTTTTACGACGGAATCGGGAGCAGGCCAAATGTTGGAGGCCTGCTTGGCATCGACCACAAGGTTCGACAAGGCGCGCATGATCTGGCGGTGCTGAGCGATCATATGCGGATGGGGCGCGATCTGTTGCCCATCGGTACGGGTCATGCCTGTGGAATAGAGCATAACGCGGATGGCTTCGACAATCGCCACGGCCTGAGGAATGTACCGCTCCTTCTTTCGTACTCCCAAGGACTGAGAGAGGCGGGACATGGCCGCGTAAATCTCGTCGGATAGCCAGGTCAAGGTCCACCTGTCGCGAAGGTCCGATTGATCGAAAAACGGCAGTCGTGTAGCATAGAGCTGCTCAAACAGTTCGGTGCGAAAGGCTTCAGGTGCGCGAAGCTAGAAAGTGAAACGCAAAGAGGGCTGTGAGATCCAGGGGCCAGTGATGGCGAATCGATACAATGCAGATAGCAGACAGCAGATCGAGCAAAAGTAATGGATGAAATCGAATAAACTTACCAGATCGCCGGTGATGGGATCGATATCTTCAAGGCTCCATGTGGTATCGTCGGTGATTTTGTTGAAGTAATAGACCCGGCCGTCCAGCGTCTCCTTCTTTCCCCAATTGAACGGGAGCTGTACCAAACCAGCAAGCGAGGAACAGTCGATCGGGACGATTGGAAGATATACCGATGGATGATCAATCAATCAGCGAGCCTAGTCTATCAAGCCACGATGGCAACGGTGGTGCGCTGATACCCGCGTGGATGCATATACTGCCCGCGAGACAACAGTCTAGCATACTCGTAATCACTTTGATCCTGACACGTGCATAGAGTGTTCGCAGTCTGGCTCGAGAGCACAATCCCTCTGGCGAGAACGCGCAAAACTGCGACAAACCCTGGCTGAAACCCCCCCCCATGGAACACTACCAAACTGGGACCGACAATAGATCCACACAACATACCATCGAAGCTGAATCTGGCGCTCCAGGAGAGGTCAAAGGCGACTCGGCAGTGGAATAAACCGCAGATACCGGAGTCAAGAGCTCATCGTCGTTGCCGGTCCATTCGTCGTTCACAAATTCAAGGTTTTCTTGGCTGTCCGAAGGCCCCGGGCCTTCAAAGTTATCATAAAACTTGCGGCTTCCGCGGTCAGTGTACTGCTCGCGGCTTTCATGGCGCTCGGGCGCCTCGGGTACGCCAAAAGTAACGGGCGAGTCCGAGACCTCGGAGGTTTGGTAGCCCTCTGGTATAGGGCCACCGATCTTGTTGGCATGTTGGTAGTAGAGATGGTTGCCGTCTTCGGATTCAAAGTAAAGACACGGTTGGTTGCTGACGGAGGCTCGCTGTCCGCTCTGGAGTTGGCCGAGGTTCATCCTCTCAAGGTCGGCCTGTATGATCTGGGAAAAGGACGATGACTGACCAAAGGGCGTGGTCGGCGTGGTCGAGTGCGACGAGTGCCCACGGTCCATCGAGATTCGGTCACTCTGGATGGAGGGGTTTCGCAACTCCAAGGATTGCAGGGTTTCATCTGCCCAGCTTCCGATACTCGGATCGGCAGAGAGCGGGCCCGAGTTTGGCGGAAACTTGAAGGTGGTTTCCACTTGACGATAGTTGTATTCGATAGGCGTCTGTGCAACGGAGGAGGGCTCGGGTACGGATGCGGATGGCCATTCCGAAGACGAGCCGGTCCGATTGGTGCTGGTTCGATCAGGGCCGCTGTCGCTTGGAGTCGAGATCGATCCCGTTCGAAACGACAGGAGCGAGTGGACGCCGACTACCGCCAAGGAGGGGAAGTACTCTTTTTTTTCAGCTTGCGTGCTCAGGGTTCCGGGGGCAGCCTGTGCCGCGGAGATGCCAGCCATGTCGCTACCAAAAACAACGCTATCGGCAATCGAGCCAAACTTGTCTCTATGTATATCGTACAAGCTCTGGAGACGAGAGCCAGGTGGACATCAGCATCAGCCGGAAATGTCAGCGGCAACACGGACCCGTCGAGAACGACTCAGAGCCGCTCAGCATTTTTCGAGAGACAGGGACCAGCAGTACCAGACGCAGGATACTGAGCTGGCCGCCTGCACGAATACACGGCCTCATCCATAGACGGCGCTCAAAGACAGCGACATACATGCATGTTGAACAGCGAGTGTTCGCTGGAGCCAGTCTGGACCGAAACTTGGTCGAAGGCCGGATTGCCAACGGCCACAATTTCGGAGTCAATCCGAACAACGTAGTTGGACGGGAACCTGGGGGTAGGGCAGACCGCAATGGGAGATTGCACATATCGGGATGCACAAAGATGTTGGCCAGCAGATGCCATTATGCATTAGTCATGATGCTACCGGATGGAACCGCCGGAACGTAGGTTGTTGGTGGGGGAAAGCGAATCGGACTCGGGCTCCAGGGGAGAAGACGGCAAGAGGAAAGCAGCCTACAGCGCAAGCGCAAGCGGAAGCTCGAGTGGAAGCAGAGCTGGCAAGCTGGCTGGATGGATGGCTTGCAGGCTGGAAACTGAGTTGTTGCGGCAGCGAAACTTACCAGCCTCGTTCGCCCGAGGGAAGGCGGACACCGTCCCACCATCCCGACTCGAGTTGATTCAGAACATGGACGAGTTCGCCTTTGTTGAAGGTCAGGGTCGACTCCTCGGTGCCTTTGTAGGCGTGCAGAGTCTGGACAATCACCCGCTTGTAGACGATAGGGAGAGTCATCGGGAAGGGGTTGATAGTATGGTGATCACGACGGACACGGATGCTGGATCAGCGGAAGGACAGTCTCTACGAAGAACGAATAAACGGCTGAGTTTCGAAGGTCAAAGACGAACGTGTGATGCCGAAGGAAGGGTCGCCCCGAAAGGAGGAGGACCAGGGACACAGGGCGAATCGGCGGTCGTCTCCTCTGCAAGACACGAGCCAAGGGGCCGGTAGAGCGAGGAAAGGGACAAGTGGGAGACGGATTGCAGAGAGGGCAGGGAGGCAGAGGGAGTAGATGAAGCAGGAGAGACAGCAAGGGCAGGAGGAGCAGGAGGAGCCAATGCCCAGAGTGCGACGGGAGAGGAAAGGGGCCGGGAGCCGAGCAGACCAGAGAGAAGCAAACAAGCAGGCAAAGACGGGTCCAGCAGGACGCCGAAAGCGTCGGGTGCAAATGTGCTGCTGCCCGCCCATGCGTGGGTTGCTGCGAGCGAGGGCGGGTCGCACCAGAGGTTGCGCGGTGGCGCGGGGAGGCGATGTGCTGCGGGCCGAGTGTGTACTGTCGATTGACTCTGTGGCTCCGATACGCGGTATGCCGCAGTGTGCAGCGAGCGTGTAGCCAGTGTGTAGCCAGTGTGTAGCCAGCGTGCAGCCAGTGTGCTGCTGACCAGCTCCATCGAGAACACTCTCTGTGCTGCTTGGCCAGCGTGACTGCACGCGTGCATTGTCGCCAGCTGTCGCACGAGCTCCGGGTCTGTCGCGTCCGCTCCCCGTGCACAGACGCGTCTGTGTAGACAGAGTGTCTCGGCAGCCCGCACAGAGCTGTGCCCTGTGTCGCTCTGCAATCGCGCGAACGGGCACAGACAACCCGCGTCGGTGGCACGAGAGGCCTGTCCGCCCGCAGCTGTGTCCGATGCACTCGGCTCTGTGTGCGCAGTCGCCGAGCTGTGCGTGCTCGCACACTGCACCACAGTTTGTCCCTCTGTGTGACCCTCTTCTGTGTCGCACATCGCACAGACACAGCAAACCCCGCCACAGCATGCGCAGTATCCCGTGTCTCCACGCACATCCACGTGTGTCTCAATCACGTGACTGCTACGCCACACTCGGCGCGGCACGTGCATTCTCCTGTCGCAGGTGGCGTGTCGCTCCGTGTCCAATCAACAAGTCCCCTCTGTCGGTCGCACATTCCTCTGTACCATTCTGCCGGGCGCGCCTCTCGCCCGTCACGGATTCCGTGCTGCACCAGGGCGATGGCAAGTCTTCGCCCAGGTGCGAACGTCGCCTGCTCCTCTGTCAGCCCCAGCTTCATCTTGCTGCGTCTCGACCCGGTCTTGCCGCCCTCATCGTTTACCTCATGTCTTTGATTGCTGCAGAGTCTCTCCATGACTGGCTCCGCGCGCTCGCCCTGCTTGCGGCCTGGCCGGAACAGCTCCTCCAGCACTACATCCGCACCGACGCCATCTTGACCGCCTGGGCGCTGGTTGCTGTCTTCACCCTGGTCACATGGACCATCAGCACCATCACCCGCAACTACTCCCAGGTCGATCGCATCTGGTCCATCACCCCCTTTATCTACGCCATCCACTTTGCGGTGCATGCTGCCGTCCACAACGGAGTGGTCATTGAACTTCGCACATTCGTGATGGCCCTTCTCACCACCCTGTGGGGTCTCCGACTCACCTTCAACTTTTACAGAAAGTAAGTGCGGTACATGGTGCTTGCGCGAATGCCGGCTTGAGTCCCTCGATCAGATTGTGAACGACGCCAGGGGCGCCCAGCTGCCCGAGTTGCTATCCGAGCTACTATCCGAGTTGCTGTCCGAGTTGCCGGCCAGAGTCACCACCCAGTCGCTGCAATCCGCTGTCTCTGCCGTCACCAACTATGCCCGTCCGTCGCTGGACAAACCCTCGCTCGTGTGCAATCTTTGACCTCTTCTTTTGATGAACGTCATTCTACAGGGGCGGCTACGACTGGTACAACGAGGACTACAGATGGGTTTGTATTCGTCGAGTTGCGAGGCGCCGTCTCCAGACTTCACCCAGTGCATGTGCCTCTCTGTACCAGCGCCACTTGCCCGCCTGATTCGCGTCCTTGAGATCAGTCGATACCGCAATACGTCCGCTTGGCATTCCAGGCGTCCTTCAACACTGACATTTATTCTCTCTCACTCGCTGGCCCCGCGTTCTGCTTCGATCGGCGGGTGCCCTGCCCGTGCCCACCTCTTCGGCAATCGCCTCCTCTAGAGCTATTGTCGCCGGATCGTTGACAACCCGCTGCTGTGGGAGCTGTTTTCATTCTTCTTCATATCGGTCTATCAGCACCTTCTCCTCTTTGGCATTTCTTTGCCGTCGCTTGTGGCTTACAAGGCCTCGCTCCTCCACGGTCCTGCATTTACGGCGCTCGATGGGGCTGCCGCCATCGGCTTCGCCGCCCTCCTGGTCTTCGAGACTGTCGCCGACCAGCAGCAATGGAACTTCCAGTCGGAAAAGTATCGACTGTTGGCGGTGGCCGCCCAACGGGAGGCAGCCCCTGCTCGCAGTGCAAGCGAAACACTAGAACAAAAACAAGCACGCCTCCTGGCGACGCTTCCTCACCCATTCAACATCGGCTTCATAACTAGCGGCCTGTTCCGATACTCGCGCCATCCCAACTTTTTCGCCGAACAGGCCATGTGGTGGACCTTCAATCTCTTTGCCGTCTCAGCCGCACAGTCGTTCTGGATCTGGACCTGGACTGCGCCGCTGTTGCTCTCGCTCCTCTTCTTGGGCTCGACGGCTCTGACCGAATGGATCACCGAGCAAAAGTACCCTCTGTACAAGGTATGCTGGGAACGTTCGTGATCGGCTCACCTCGTGTCCGCCGTGGGGTGCCATGAGTCGATCCGGTTGTCAAACGTGCCCAATATCACCATGGGCAAAATCGAACTGGCTTTGAGCGCGTCTCCACCGAGTCGCTTGTGGCCCAAACTCGACTGACGCCAACACCCACGTTCATCGCACTTACTTTTCCTGCCGCTGTTCCGTTCATGCTATTCGTGGCGCTGGTGCACAATACTCTGCAACCCACCCAAATCTGTCGCTTTGCAATTCCCACTCGAACACCTCCGAAACAGGAGTACAAAAAGACGACCTCGACCGTGATTCCATGGATACCAGGAAAGCCGATCCTGGCAGCCCAAAAGGACGACTAGGATCGGATCAGCCCTGGCTCCCGCTGAACACAAGCTTTGATCTTGGCCTCGACTCCCCAACCTCGCCATTGCGGGCACCAACCTCGCCTTTGTGGGCACGAGAACCTATCGGCGCTCGCAAAAACTTTGTCAACTTCTTGGAATGTATGCCTTCTCACTGCCCGCTACCACCACTTTTGCTCGCCGGCATGTTTGCTTTGATAAATACTACAGTATATCGAGGTGAACCGTCTTGGGGCTCGCGCTGGATTATCACGGGCAGGAGTGGATTGTGTGCTGCCACAACCGTCAGAAACTACATGTCGGCTCTGTGGCTGCACAACTCTGTGCGCGGGGTGCAGAAACGAAATGTATGTGTCCGCTAGATGCACATCAGGTACTCGGGCTGTCGCAGGCATTAGACACAAGGCACACGACGAAGGGCATTGCATTACTGCTCCTGCTCCTCGCCCATCTCTTGGTCCTCCTCGTCGTCGGGCCACCACGACAGCAGACCCAGGCCAAAGTCTCGGATCGAACACTGGCCGGATTGATGAAGCATAAGCATAATATCAGACCAAGTCAGATCCAGCCAAACAAAGTATGGCCAATGTGCAATATCGAGCCGTCCAGAGGAGCGCCCAATGGTGCTTTCGAGATGCGGTCCGGCTCAGAAACGCTCGTGGGTGCAGACAATGGCCATTGTCCGTGCCATCAACCTTGGCTGCTGACCATGTCTCCGTCTGCCTATGCTCGCCGGCGGCTTGGCTATGGCCACATCGATGCAGTATGACTTACTGCGAGGGTGTACGGTGCAGTTCGGTTGGCCTCATCGTCGTCGGGGCGGGAGGCTTCATCTCGCTTGGCTTCCTTGACCGGCCCGGCATCCACAAATATCTCCCGCTCAACGCGGATACGGATTGGCTCGTCCTTCTCGATCGGCATTTCGTTGCCCTCATAGTTCCAGACCCAGTGTCCTTCAGCCTTGTCGCTGCGGGGACCAGTGCAGCATCCCAAGGTGAGCATCCCAAGATAAGCAACCCAAGGTAAGCAAAGGGCGCTTTGCAATTCATCTCACAGCCATCGTGGCGCAATGCACCCATTAGTGTTGTATCGCTGTGGCTTGTCCTGCAGACGACCTCTGCTGCCTATCTTGTGGATGATGATCCAGCCCGTCCATGTGCGACGATTGCGACGCCCCTCCCAGGACATGCCAGGACATGCCAGGACATGCCAGGACATGCCAGCGTGCCGGAAAGCTTACAAATGACTGGTCTCTGGCAGCAGGAACGGCGGGACGATGATATCGTCAAAAAACTCAAGAGACACTATTGTGAGTCCATATAGTCGAGTTCACGAGCGCCAGGATCGGTCGGGAGTCGACGCGATACCAGGAGGAGTTGAGGCAAGTAGGAGCATGCCCATTGGTGATCGATGATCAATGGTCGATGGTCGGCCAGATTGGAGAGCAGAGGTAGTTGTGACAGAGGTGATCGTTAGGGTGTTAGCCCTCAATGGAGACAGAGAACCAGAGGTACCATGGTTCAAGGCATCCAAGGAAGCCAAGATCGGAGACCCCAGCACAGGCGTTCGGTAATACAGCTGCTTGAACTGACCTTTGATTCCTTCCGGGGACGAGTTGGCGACCTTGCCGTCGATGATCTCGCCGATGAAGGGACGAAAGACTATCATTCGGAACTTGACTGAGGGAGCCGCCAGCGCCAATCCACCAGACAGATACGGCAACAAGCCAAGATCCGAGAGCCGAGATCGAATATCCAAAATAGAGCCCGCGCTTAGCCTTCCGATTCCCCGAGATGCAAGCCAAGCGCCTTGGGAGTGGTGTTGATGGATGTGTGGGTGTGCCGCTCACCTGCGCTGGTATAGGCGCCGTCCTGGCAGGCGAAAACAACACCGTCGCCAACCTCGAGCAGATCAAACAGCCGTATGCACAGGCCGACGTTGTGAAGGACCTTGTTGGAGTACTTTTTGTTGATTTCGTCGGTGATGGCCTCGGCCCGGGGCTTCCGCAGGTCCTTGGGATGGATCCGGATATTGTCTTTGAGGATCGACAGGACAAACATCGTTGTAGATGGCCGTAAAAATGGGTATGTGCCTATTGAGAAGGGCCCTTGGGACAGCCGCGCAGAGCAACAGACAGATCTAATGCGTGAGCCGCAGGAGGCTATGGGGGCTCGGGGATGCTGGCTGGGATGGCTGGCTGGTTGGCTGGCCAGATCGGGGGAAACGAGGACGGCGACAGATCTTGGATCAGGCCGGCGATCATGTCGCGCCGCGAACACAGAGCAGCATCGTTCTCGGCTCCCGTCTCCCGTCGTTTTTGTTGCGCCGGTCCAGCCGACGACTTGATGGGTGCCCAGATCCTCTGGCCAAGTGGCCTGGGCCAGCAACAAACAAGACGCAAATCGGGGCCAAACCCGAGCAGAAGCGCACTGGATCTGGCAAAAGGCACAGGCACCATGCTGCCCCGGAGGAGGCGTGCAAGACTTGACACCAAGCGGCACCTCTCCTCCAGATTTACTTTCGGAACGATTAGCGATGGACAGGAACGTGGAGGGGAGGAGGGAGGAGAAAAGAGTGGCATTTATTCACTTGCAAACGACGGTTACCGCCAGATCGGTAGCATTAATTTAGTGGTGATCACCGTGGGCGTCGTTGCTGCAGGACCAGAGCCGAATCGAGTGCATGTAGATGTGTGCAGGGTTAGGGGACGAGCAGAGCAGGGAGCGGGATTAGGAACGGCATTGCAGGAACAAGGGCCACTGGCTGGACACCCCGGAAGATCGCAGCACGAGAGCCCACACGCAGTACATGTCGTCAAGGTCGGAAGGGACAAATCTCGCACACTCCTTACCCGGGGATGTCGTAGCCGATGACCGAGCGTCGGCCAACCATCTCGCCAACGGCGAAGAAGCCAACAATCTGGATGCCGTGGGAAACAAAGGCCTTGAGGTCCTTGACAGTGATCTTCTTCCAGGTGCCGCTGGAGAAGCTCTGGACAAAGTTGGTGATGCCCTGCGAGGCCTCGCCAAAGGCGGCGGGGTTGGGGATGGTGACCTTGGCGTGGGTGAAGACCTGGCTGACGAACTCGACGCCAACGCGGCCGTAGTAGACAAGAGGGTCGACGATACCTGTAGCAAAAGCCACGACAAAAGTGTTAGGCCAACTTGTGACTGCACATGCATGAAGCGAATCGAAAAAACGCCAAGCCTGACACCAGAATTGAAAGCTGCTGAGAAAACCCAAAGCGCTCATCGAGGGATTTGGCGAGGGCAAGAGATGGGCGACGCGAAAACAATGTGGATGATATAAGGAAGGCCAGACTGTGGTCAAGGCTGTCGTGCAACCGATCTGGCTCGAGGCCGTTCGTTGACTGCCGGACTGAGCTGCAGACACCACACACCGATGCGCTCTGTGTGTGAGCCTACAGCGGCGGGCGAGTTGGCGACTGAGGATGGCGCCCAATCGCTCCGGCTGACCCGCTGTCTTGCGATACATGTCGGTATCGCAAATGCCGAGTCCAGGTCGAATGGTGGTGTCCTGCCGAATATTTTGGAGTTTCATATTGCTGGGATCCAAGGAGGCTGTGCGAAGACTCGTTTCCGCCAGCGATTGTGGAGATTTGTCGATAATAGCCTTGGCTCTCGCTGCCCAAGAACGGGCGTCACTTGCATGCAAATGCCCTGGTCATATCGATATTTGGCTGAGATACTCCGTGGGAACAATCGTCCGGTCGACTTTTGGCGCGGCGTGGCGTTGGATGACACAGCATAGAGATCGCGGCAGCCCAGCAGCAATTCGACGGCGCGGGCTGGGAGGCGGGGCGGGAGTGGCAGATGGGAGCGACACATGGTATTCCCGAGTCACAGAGAGCATGGCGCAAATTATGCAAAAGGGGAGGCAATATTGAAGAAGCAGAGAAAAATGAAAGCAGAAAGTGATGGGGCTGCTGACGGTGTCGGTCGCAAGGTTGCAAGCTACTATCCAGGCCCAGATGGCAGCCGCAGTCAAGGTCACAGAGACGAAACGAGATCGCTGAGGACCAGGAGGAACGATGCAGTACCGTTGACCTTCTTGGCGACGCCAGCAGCCTGGTTCTTGATGGCCTCGGCCGAGGGGGTGGTGGAAGCGAAGCGCTTGGAGACGGCGGTAGCCTTGTTCAAGAAGCGAGCAGGAGACATCTCGGATGCGGTGATTCGGCGATGCGGGAGGGCGGCTCGAGAACGGGAGAAACGGAGGCAAAGGACGAAATTTTCGTTTTTTGCATTTTGCACAAGCGAGGACGGGCGAGGGCCGAGGGCACGGCGAGAGCGCGGCGAGAACGGCGCGGCGAGAAGCACGCGTGTGTGTGTGCATGGTGTTCTGTGCAGCGACTTCTGTGCGAGTGCTGCGCAGCATGTGTGGCGGCGCATTTGGCACACAGGACATACACGTGAGAGGCGGCTGGATCCGGATCGAGTCCTGATCGCTGCGCATGGTCTGGATCGAGCCGGCGCGTGGGGTGGGGCGGCGCGCCAGGATGGCCGGATGCGGAAGGTGCTTGTCGCACAGCGACGTGTGCGACCGGCGCGGACTGTGCGCGTCTGCTGGGCGCGCCTGGCAGCGCAACAGTTGCTGTGCTGCTGGGACAGCTTCGTGGAGAGAGTGTGTGGGGGGGGGTCACACAGAACAACATGGGTCTGTGGCTGCCCACGGGATTGCGGGTGGCCGAGACCAGGCGAGACCAGGCCGAGACCAAGACAGAGTGGGTGCGAAACCGTGGGAAACAGCCGGAAGCACCACAGCAGCGACAGCAACGACAGCAACGACAGCAACGACAGCAACGACAGCAACGACAGCAACGACAGCAACGACAGCAACGACAGCAACGACAGCAACGACAGCAACGACAGCAACGACAGCAACGACAGCAACGACAGCAACGACAGCAACGACAGCAACGACAGCAACGACAGCAACGACAGCAACGACAGCAACGACAGCAACGACGGAACCAAAGGTGATCGATGAGCCGAGAGAGCAAGGCGCTTGATCGGTCATAGTCGGATAGTCGGGCTGGTCCGCCACAGAGTCATCGTATTTGGACTCCTTTTTGGCAGACTGAAAGCATTCGATCGAGACACATCCCCGGATGTGATCCAACGTCGTTGATCTGCGTTGCAGCAGCGCTGCATCCCTGGTGACAATAAAAGTGCAGACTCGGTGTTGACGGGAATAACCACCGTTGTGGCGATGATCGTCGCGGGCAAATCTGCGACCGCCATGGTAGCCGCGGCAATCATGCCCCCCGTCATGGTGATGATCAACACTGTTACGTTCGCGATCGATTACCACGAGAGTGACCCCGTCGATAGCCTCGTCAATGACCTCGTCGATGACCTTGTCGATAGCCTCGTCGCCGGCCCGTTCGTGCTTTGGGTTGCATCCGCCCGCACGCTATTTTTGGGGCTCTCGACAAGGCTGTTTCACGTCCCCGCTCTCGGCGTCCTCTCGCTCGCCCGCGTCTCGCCCGTCGCCTGGCTGCCCGTCCTGCTGATCGCCCTCTCGGCCCCTCAGCCCCCGTCTCCTCTGCGGTCCTGCTGCTGCGACGGCCTTGTCTTGCCTGTTGCTCCCTCACCCGAGGTAAGCTGCTGCCGAATTCATGGGGCCCGCCTCGTCCCTGCGTCGTCCTTCGTCTCCCTCTCGACCGTCCTGTCGTCAAGGACCTGCGTCCGAGTGCTCTGTCTTGGGCTTCTCTGCCCCAGTCGTCCCCGCTGTGGTGTCCCCCCCTCCTCCCAGCTCCTCGTCCCAGCGCCGAGCCCTCTTCCCTTTGAACCGTCTGCAGCGATCTCCTCGCCAGGCGACCGTTTTGTTGTGGCCCCTCCCGGCCTGCCGATCGCCCACCACCCCATCTGTCTTGTGGCCTCGCCTGCTCCTGGCCACTTCACCTGTCTGGCTTTGGACTCGATCTCGCTTTCCGCACTTGTTCCCCCATCCCTCCACCAGGCAGCCACCGAGCCTTTCGTCCGCCACTCCTGCCCGCTCGGTCCAGTCGCTTTGCCAGACCCGCTCCGGTCGCCATTGAATCGCACTTGTATCATATTTCACCAGTTTCTGTCGCTTATATTTAACCACCTGTTGCCGCGTGCACACCTGCCATGAACATATTCAGTGGATTCTCAGCCTCAAGCTCATCCCCCAAAAAGAAAGCAATGGCGTCGATCCACGTAATAAGTCGCTCCTCTTGGCCACTCGCATAACTGCCTTGGCTGTCCTGCATCCTTGCACCGAATGCGTTCGAACCTGTCGCTCATCCACCCCCCCCCAATGCTCCTGCCTTGCCACCCACGGACGCTCTCTGCCAGCTCTCCGATGCCGCCGACCTCGATGCAGAAATTCGCAAGTTCTCCAAGATCTTCGAGCAGAAGGAGTCGGAGCAGAACTGGGAGAAGATGGACGAGGCCATCCTTCGCCTGGCCTCGATAGCCCGTGGCTCTGCCGACATTCCCGGATTTGCCCTGACGATCAAGAAGCTCAGGATTCCCATCTGCTCGGCTGTCAGTACCGCATCCCCCATGCCCACCGCTTTCTCCCCTCCACCGACGCAGCTCCCTCTGCATGTTTCGATTGGCTCTTGAACCCACCGATGCCGTCGCTGGCCGGTCGGGCTGGTAGGGCTATTTTGGCTGCATCTACCTGGTCTTATCGTTGATATGGCTCGGTCTTGGACAGCGCCGACCTTGCTCAATCCCAAACCCCTCCGCATCTGTGCCGAATGGCTGACCCTGCGTTCTCGCTACACGCCGCATCTACCGGTAACAGCTCGCCAGCGACCGCACCAAGCTCTGCAGAGACGCCCTTGCCCTGATCGAGGCCTTGGGATATTCGCTCGGCCCCCAGTTCGAGCCCCTCTCCGACGCCCTGCTGCCCGGCGTCCTCAAGGTCTGTCTGCGGTCCAACCGTGTTATGTGGGGCGCTGCCCGCACGACTCTCTTGCAGGTGATCGAAAAGGGCGGTCTCGCCACCTGCATCCCCCTGCTGCTCGAGTCCTACGCCAGCAAGAACCAGAATCTGCGCGGCTCCGTCACCGAAGCCCTCATCAAGGTTCTTGAGTTCAACAGCATCGATCGTCTGGAGAACTTTGTCGAGATCATTGAGAACTTTATGAAAGAGTCCATCGTCGATTCGAACAAGGAAGTCCGCGACAACACCCGCAAGGCTTTTGAATTCTACGTCACACTATTCCCCTATCGCGTGGATAGGTAAGATCGGCTCAGCCATGACCGCGATGAGATGCCCTTGGGTGTGCTGCCGTGGTCCCCCCCCCCAGATGCTCGCCTGGTGGCTTGCCCTGTTGCGCATGGCAGCCCTTATCGCCGGGTACAACGAACGCACTTGTTTTGGTGCGTGTGGAGCCAGCCTTCTGACTTTGGCGGCTTCCCATTTTTTTCCATGCTAGGTTCACCGGCAATCTCAGCGACATTGCCAAAAAGTACCTCGGGGTCACCTCCATGGCCAGCATTCCCCGTCGTGGCCCATCCAACAACAGCGTGGCCCAGACTCCCTCGAACCGCTCGACATCCTCCAGCTATCCCAACATCACCCCGCGTGTCTCGTCGACACTCTACACCCCCTCGGCCTCATCGCGAGCCCAAGCCGCTGGATACGAATACGGCCCTACACACGCAAGCTCTCTGCCGCTGGCATCCAAAGCCCGACTTGATGGCGGCGCCCAGCGCGGTACCTTCGACTCGTCCAAGGTCGAGGCAGGCGGTTTCATGACCCAGGCTCCTCAGCGAGTCGACAGCAACGACGCCTTCTTCCGCGACAGCCTCTCCCAGCAAATGCAGCAGCAAATGCAGCAGCAGATGCAGAAGGAGCTGGAAATGAGAATCGCGCAGGAGCAGGGCCTGACTTTCTCGCAGCCATCCGGCCTGACCTATTCGCAGCCGGTGCGTCTTCCCGCGCCATCGTCCTCGGCCCCGCTTCCCGCCAGCCAGGAACCCCTGCGAAGTTCGCCCACGCAGAAGCAGACCCGCAATCGCCCTGCCAGCATATACAAGCTCCAGAAGACCGCCCGCATCTTTGAAGCCACCGTCCTGCTGGCCCAGCACACCCAGGGCCAGACCGAGGGCCCACTCAACTTGCGCCACCTCACTCTGTCACCCACACCCAGCTCCATTGCCGAGGAAGACGAGCGTGTCTCGATGGACTTTGCCGGCACCCTTACCAAGCTCAAGTCGAACGACTGGGCGATCCGCTCCAAGGCTTGGGAACAGGTTATCACGCCGTACATTGCCGCGGCGCCGACCCACGAGCTGCGCTCCAAGCTGCCCAAGCTCTTGGAGTTCCTCATGATGGGACTGCACGACGCCCATTTCAAGGGCTTGGTCGGTGCGCTCTCGGCTTTGACCGAGCTGGCATGTAAAGTCGAGAGCAACGAGCTACTGGAGCAGATGGTACCGCGGCTCGTGGCTCTCGTCTACATCCCGCGCGAGAAGACCAAGGTGCAGATCTTTGACGCCGCCATGAGCATCCTCAAGTGCTTCCGCGAGCGATACCGCGGCATCGCCATCTGCTCTGCGCTTTCCCAGGCCATGAACAGCCCCGAGTTTGGCCAGAATACCAAGGTCCGCACAGGCTGTGTCGGTCTACTGGCAGATCTCACCGAGAGTGAGTGGATTCCCTACGTGGCCAAAGCTAGCAGTAAGTATCCGGGAACACTGATGCTGTCGGATGGATTGGTCGCCTGATTCAGTCGCCTGATTCGATCGCATGGATCTATTTCCCCATGTTGTCGTTCGCTGCGAATCAAATTTGACCCCCACTCCTTGTCCGGCGACGTGCTGTTCGTCCTCGCAGATGTCCGCTCGATGCTGGTCCGCCTCACGCCTATGACCTATGAAAACGATCCCGTCGTACAAAAGAACATGAAGTTTATCGTGGGCACCATGCACAACCTCAACCCTGACACCTTCTGGTCTGCCTGGAACCAGCTCAAGGGCGACGACCGCAAAACCTACAACACCTTCTTTGGTACCAAGGATATTTCGAACGACCTCGGTGTGCTCAGTTCCGGACTGACCAGGGTGAGTTTGTCGGGGTGGAGACGTGCCGAGTGTGGCAAGTGGCGTCTCCAATGCCATGCCAGCGCAACAGCATCTGCATGCAAGGCACGGCGGATACCGCTCTCTGGGCCATCCGTCTCGCTGACCATCGCGATCCCTTTCTGTGATGCAGCCTCCCGCATCTCCAAGCCGATCATCCGCCTCACCCAGCCGCAAGGGCCGCAGCTCCGAGTCGCCCTCTCGTCTCCCCCGCCAGTCGCCAAGTCTTGGATCGCGCTCACCCCTGTCCAGCTCTCCGTCGCCCTCAAAGTCGGATGGCGCTCGCGGCCGCAGCGCTCTGCGCAACGAAGACATGGACATCAAGCCCAATCAGCCCCTCTTTGTGGATGTCCTGCGAGCCGTCACGCCCCCGTCTCCCCAAGACGAGTTTGATCGTAAGCACCCCGTCATCGACGAGCGCGCCAACACCTTTGACGATTACGAATCGCCCCTCTCGGCCATTCCTCAGCCGCAGCCGTATCCCATGAGCGACTTGATGAAGGCCATTACCGAGATCCACGGCGCCGAGGAGGAGGTCGAGGAGGAGGAGCACGAGGTATTTGAAGACTCCATCTCCAACATCGACATGGAGCTCGTGGATGCCCACACCCCCGTCAGCGGCACCTTCCCGTCGCTGCCCCGTGTCCCCGTGATGGAGCGTGTCCGTCTCTCGGACTCGCCCGAAGCGCTGCCGGATGCCCAGAAGGCCGCCTCTGCGGACGAACCGCCTGCCGCCAGCACCGATCCCTCGGAGGACGAGCGCAAATCGCGCCTGCGCATCCGATCCAAGCTTGACAAGCGCAAGCGTGGCGTCAGCTGGGACACCAAGATCCTCAGCCCGGACATCCTCAAGGAGCTGATCTTCAATCCTGAGGAAGTCGAGGACTCGGACGACGAGAGCGGTGAGGTCTCCGTGACCGATGTTGTGGACGTCGCCCGTCGGCGCCGCGAGTCGGTCTGGAAGACCCGCTTGGGCAATGTTATCGACACCATCATGGCCTGCCTTCACGATGAGAACCGAACCCCGGACACGGTCAAGAACGGCCTCTTGCTGCTGAAGGAACTGGTGGTGAATCAGCGCGAGCTGGTTGTGCTCCGGGCCAGCGATATTCTCCTGAACGTCCTGGGATGCGAGACCGTCGGTGGCGTAAGTAGCGTTGCATCGTCGCATCGTTGCTTTGTTGCAGTCGCGGACAGAATTGGGCGGTGGAATGGATGAGATGGATTGTGTCCTGGCAATGGGTATTGCACCAATGCGCCCGGGTTGGCAAACTTGCTCCTCTGACCAACCTCTGTCGCTTCTTCCCACCTGCCACACATGCAGTGTGCTGCTGAGGACCTGCTCGAGATTGCGTACGAAATCGACGCTGTGCTGGAGGCCTACGAACGCAACGTTCCCCGCGACATTGTTCGCATGGCCCTGATGGACGCCCTTAATGCCGGCGCCGGCCTCAGAGTATGCTGCGAGATGCTTGCTCGCATCGTCGAGAAGGAGTGGCGCCTTGGCGAAGAGGTTCACTGGGACTGGGCACCCGTAACCAAGTACCTGGTTAAGGTGAGGACCGCACTCGCTTGGATCGCCTGTTTGCTTGTACCGTTTGCTTTGCTGGTGCTGGATCTGGTGGCCGTGTCTTGTAGCGGCTTCGTTGTAGCATATGTGTGTCTGCAGTCATTCGTTTGCAAATCCTTTGAGGGCACGCGACACCGCCGACTGGCTACTGACCTGGTGTGGGGGGTGCTTTGCACAGGCCTTGGATTCCAAAAAGGCAGCCACCCGCAAGTCTGCCTTTGACTGTGCATTTGCCATGTATCGGCTGCACGGCGAGCCCTTCCTGGACAAGCTATACAACCTCGTTGCCGACCGCAACGGCCCGACGCGACTGGGTCATCTCAAGTCTATGATTAACAAGAAACTGGGCATCTAAGCTCCGCAGAAACCCCCCGGCTTTATCGGTCCTGTTCCGAATGTCTGGGCCGGGGACGTCCTGGCCTGGCTGATGGGGGTGGTATATTTTGCCACCTCCGCCGCAGAGGTTGCGGCGTCGCAAGCTGCATCTGTCATGAACCACATATCTTTGACTCGCTCCTTATCCACTTTACTCGCTCCCTATCCACTTTACTTTCTTCTTCTCCACCTCCCTTTGGTCTCCTCACACACCGCTCTCCACTGCACTCTCTTTGCTTCTCCTTCTCGTTCTGTGCCGAGTCGCTCTCCAGGGAAGGGCCGTGTATATTGTGTCTGATAACAACAACAAAAAAAAAATCGTGGTTCCCTGTCCAGCTGCTTCCGCCCCTGCACCCTCGTACTTTGTTTCTCTCTCTGGATCTGGTGGAACTGGACCACACCTTGAATACAACTCTGTAGACTGTGTTATCCTCAAGACATCCCAAGAATCGCCTGTTGTCCGTCCATAGTGTGCGGTGCGTGTCGGCGGGACTGGTTGTCATCGCTGCCGCTGTTGCCAGCCGTCGATGGTGATCACATCAACCCCTTGCCCACAGACAATCGAGCCTCATTGTCAGTCCACCCCAACTGGCATGGGTTTCTTGCGGCAAGACCCCTCCGCATCACCGTCTCAAACTCGCGATAGCTGATCTTCCCGTCGCCGTTCTCGTCCATCCTGTCAAAGTAATGCTGTATCTTGCCGTCCGGAAGGTGGGGCAGGAACCTGCGAAAGACTGCTGCCACGCCTGCGCGATCTAGAAATCCGCTCCCTGATTTTTTCCATTCCGATTTTTTGGTCCCGATTGTTTTGCGATTTTCGAGAAGCGTAATTCATCAGTAAAACCAACCAGAGCTACCAGTGTGGGACCGAGTTGGCGAGAGCCAACGAGTCTAGCAGCCGCGGCAACACTATCTTCCAGACACATACGTTTGATATCAAACTCCAGGAACATACGCCGTATGTATCCATCTGCATCGCCGAGAGACAGCTTGGGTGCCATGAACCGAACCAGGTTTGCCCTCGTCATCTCTGTGATGTCGTTGTTGAGAGCAGGATCAAGGAGAGAAAGAAGGTGTGCATAGCCTCACCATGATGGGGAGGAGGATGTGTTCTAATAAGTCCCAAGATGTCGGGGGGAGGAGGTGGAATATTGATCTGCACGGGGTAGATCCGACTCGGAGGAATGTGATCATGGCATTAACTGGAGGGTCGAACCTTGCTTGTCGATATCGATGGTCTGCTCCACCAAGGAGAGCTCAAACTGGATGGGTGGGAGAGTCAGCATGCCCGACTTTAGTCGAAGCATTCTGTGCGGCCCTTCGATCTGTCCCCGTGCATCTTTCATCGATTGTCCCCTTGTATCATTCGCCGGCTGTCCCTCGTTTGCCATGGCATGTTTGTGCTGGAGCGGGAGTGCATACCTCCGACGGGGTGTATCCCAGCAGTCCCAGGAAAGCCAGCTTGGTCTCGTCTCGGCTGAGGAAGCCCTTGCCTTGCGAGTCCAGCATTCGGTAGATCTGCCGTCCGGCGAGCGGATATGGGCTAGGTGAGTCGAGGAAGGGGGCGACGACAACTCTCGTGCGATCCATAGGGACATCGAGGATCCCTACAGCATTGATATCGGCGACCTGGAGCTCATTCAGAGCCTCTTTGGGCTCGCCCCGGGCGAGCGACTGCCTCGGAGCTCGGGAATGGAGTGGATGCTGCATTGTCCAGCAGCAACGAGATGAAAGTTGACCTGCCGATCTGGCTGGCTGGGGAAATGGCCTGGATTTGCGGCATTATTCCAAGGCCAGGGGCAGTTCCGTCCAATCAGTGCGGCGCAAAACCCGGCCATGATCGCTGCAACGCTACAGTCAATCCGGTGAGATAACTTTCTGGCACCAGCGACACAGGACTGCTGATCCATAGGCTCCAGCGTGCAAGCCATGCGATTGTTTCCCGTCCTGGTTGGCAATCTCTTTGTGTGGTGCATCCACTCGACCCTCTGGACAGTTCCATGGTGTATCAATATCAAGATACTCGGCCTTCTCGAGTCGCTTGGCTTCCCGGCACTGTGAGCACACCTGATGATCGAGTCGCTTGAATCGCCGTCGTCTGGATGGTATCGTTCGCTTGTGGTGAGCCATCCGTGCGAGACAGTGTCCCTGATTCAGATCCAGAAACACAACACTGAATGGCCATGGCCAGCGCGCGATGTGCTGAGGCAACAGAGTATTTGTTCAACGACCAAAACCTGCTTTTTATTGGATTGGCTGCAGTCAAACGAACCCCGCTCCCACCGTTTCACGCCCAGGAAGGCTTCACTCTCCGCCGACTCCACTCCTCCATTCGTTTCCGCATTTGGCGAAGTAAGTGTATTGAGCAGTAGTGTCCACACGCGATGGGTGGCCGACGATGGCTATCTCAAGCTGGAGGCCAAAGCACTTCTACTGGCTGCAACGATCATGGCAAATATGCCCGTGCCGGAAAAGAAGAAGAAAAAGGACCGGAAAGCGGAGAGACGGGAGCGGAAGAGCAGCACGGACACGAGAGAAAAAGTGGAGGCGGGAAATGAGCGGAAGGAAGAAGAAAGAAAAAACAAACACAAATAAAAAGAACAAACGCTCAAAGAAAGAACACACAAAGAATTAGAGGATGGGCGACGGGCACTCTAGGTCCTCTGGAGGGATTTTCTAGCCAGCAAGATTAGTAGGGCTCAGACGCAGCCGTCTCGGGATGGACATGCTTGCTAGGATTGATATGAACAAGGTGTTGGAGTTGCTTGAGCGGCACAGAGACCGTGCGACGGCAACGATGGGGCGCGGAGCTGAGCACAACTCGTCTGCACAAATTACTCTGTGGCAACTGCGATAGTGTGAGGAAGGTAATCCATGTTAGCGCTGTCACCAGAAGAAAGGAGGAATGACCGCGGGGTGTGATGGGACGGGGGGTAGGTGGCAGCCAAAGAGCGCCGCAGACCATCGAGTGTGACAGGAGGGTCCTGCATCGCCCAAGGCAAGAGCATCCGCACCAATTCAACGCCCTACGCCCTACGCCCAACCAGAAGCACACCGGGCACAGATTGTTTACCTTCGATTGCTTCCGGAGCGGGCTGCTGCTCGTCCTCAACATGGATCTGGATCTGGGGAGGCTCGGCCGGCTCGCCCTCGCGATCAATCTGGGAGCTCGTTCGCGACTCGAGCTCGTCAATGGCGGGCAGCTGGGGCAGGGCAGCCATCGAGACGTAGTCGTTGGGAAGCTGAGACTCCTCACTGGCGACGTACTGGGCCGCGCCAATGCGGGCGTAGAACATCTTGCGCTTGAGGGCAATCATCTCGACGTAGAGATGCTCTGGCCGTCTGGAGGTGTACACACCTTGCCGGACGTGCGACACAAACTGGTAAAACTCGCACACGGCCACCAGGCGGTCGCGGCAGTTGAGGCAGATCGGGTACCACGGGTCCTCAGGCAACTCCGAGGTGCGGAAATGGTAGCGGCAGGGTGTTTGTCGGGCCGACCGGCCGCATGTCGAGCAGCCGCGCACAAGATGGCCCGAGTGTGAGGACGAGTTGAGGGTGCTCATACCAAAGGTGGTGAAGCGCTCGATCACGGTCTTGTTGAAGAGCAGTGCCGTCGGAGCCTTGGCCGAGTCGGAGGCCTCAAGAGGCACGGTCAGGGGGCTGGTCTGGGCCTTGTTGCTGGGCTTGAGGAGCTCGGCCTCGTGGGCCTCCTTTTCGATGTGGTCGTACTGGTGCTGGAGAGCGGTCTGGTAGCGCGGCGTCATTTCCTCGATGAAGCACGAGTTGCTCATGATCGAGTCGACCAGCTTGCGGGTCGACGTTCGCGGGTTGCCTCCAAAGCGCAGACAGGGGCTGACATCGTCCTCAAGGGCGTTGCGCATGAATAGCAGGGCAGCCAGTTTGTTCAGCTTGAGGGTCGGCGCGCTCACCAGGAATTCTTTGAACTCGGCCAGCAGATTGGGGTCGACGATGTCGGCGAGTGACTGCTCGCTGTCGAGTGAGTTGGAGATCATGGTCATGCTGTTGCGGTCCCGGGTGGCACTAACCGCCGCAGGCGACAGCGGCGTCAGGGACGACCGGCGCTGCAGCATGGCGTGCGAGTTGAGCGTGTTGCTGTACTCATACAGGGCCTGTGACTTTTCGTACTTTTCTTTGAGCTCCTGGAGCTGCATCTGCTCGAGCTGCAGCTGGGATTTGGTCTCCTCGAGCTGGCGCTCCAGCGCCTTCTCACGGGTTTCGTGATAGTGCCGCTTGCGGGCCTCGGTGGCGACGAGGTCGTTTGCTTCCTCGAACAGGGTCTTTGTCAGCTCCTCCAGCTCGTCTTGGACTGCGTCTTTGGAGTGCTGCAGCTCTGCACGCTTCTCGATTTCCTCGACAAGCTTCTCGCTCATGCGGGCCAGGTCGTTCTTGGTGGACTCGAGCTCCTCATCCTTCTCCTCGAGCTTGGCGGTGGCCTGCTCGAGCTGGGTGCGCAACAGCGTCATTTCTTCGATAGTAAAGTCTTCGCGTTTGAGCAGGGCGTTCAGCTTGGTTTTTGTGTACGTCAGGTCTTCGACTAACCGGGTCTTGACGGTGAGCAGATCAGAGATGACCCGAATGTCATTGTGGCATGTTTTGCACTTTGGTAGCGTTTGACGGTCGGGGCTGTTTTCGCAGGTGCACCAGGCCTGGGGAGAAATTGGGTCGGGAAGGCGCGGAGACGAGGAGGGAGATGTGACTGAGGCACGGAAGAGCACAAACGATGGTTAGAGGATGACTGTGGCGTGTCGCAGCCATGCAGTGAATGATGGAGCGACGCAGTGAACCGCGCAGGCTCGTGGCAGGCCATTCTGCAACGGGAAGCGGCCGGCGAGCGAGCAAAGGGGCAAGTCGCCGTGGCCAGTGCACAGCCTGAGGCACGAGCATCGGCAGGAGTGGAGCAACCACGAGGGGGATGCAGTAGTCCAGGAATCCAAGCCGCCGATGCTCATAACACCGCACACAGGCCAGAGTATGTCGTTTGGGACAGCGGCATTACCTATCGAGAGCTGCTGAGGATCGTACGGATGGGGTTTTGCTACATGCTTTGCGGTCAGGGCCTGCAGACGGTTCTTGAGCGAAGCCAGACGTTCGGCCGTCTCATGGGGTGTCTCCGAGGGCGGCGTTGAGTTGGTGGCAGTGGCGCTGGAGAACTCGGATTCAGGCGGGGTCTGGATTTCGCTCATCTCCAGGGCGGTGGTCACCATACTTTTTAGCGAGTCCTCGACAGCGATGGGGTTGACGATGGTATTGTGGTTGATGGTGGCGACGATGTCGTTCGGGGCGCCGGTGTCGACGTCGGCGTCGGTGGAGGCGTGTGGCTCCAAGTCCACAGCGGCTTCGGGCGGGAAGGCAGGCAAGGGAAGCTCGCTGGCGGGAGAGCCGAGGCAGTTGACAGCGGAGGGGGGGGGGCGAAGTGCGGGAGAGAGGAAAAGGGCCGTCCGGGTTGATCAGCAGGACAGTCGAGTCGTGTGAGCGACGTCGGTGGGATGATCAGCAGGACGTTCGGATGTCGTCGATGGCGGAATGGCCCGGGATGCCCAAGGACCGAGAAACAGTATCCAAGACGCAGGAGGGATGGATGGGTGGATCAGCCCGGGAATTGTGGCGAGTCGGTGGCGGTTCAAGACGAGAGTCGAGGCGGTTCAGGCCGAGACGACGTCCGGTGGGAAGACGCAGGCGAGAGATAGAAACAAAGGTCGATGTTAGGTTTGCTCGGTCGGTTGTCAGGACCAAGTGGGCTTGCCCTGGCCAGGAGCTAAATGCAGACTGGCGCATGGAATCAAAGTAAGAGTGGCGACCTGCGAGCCCGCCGCCTCCCAAGGCGCAACCATGAATCGTAAACACCGGTCGATCTAAAATTAGCGCCCCAGGAACACATCCCAGTCGCAGCCCAGCCCGGCAGCAGCCCTTGCAGCGGCGATCCTTTGGCACAGACCCAGCTCAACTCAAGAGCCGAGGCGCTGATGCCGACGCTGGGCGCATGGGAGGCTGCGACGGCCAGCCTTGGGCAAGACAAGGACAAACAGGAGACGACGACGGAAAAGCAGAGACAAGATCGGCTGGGCAGACAGAGCAGAACAGAGTCTCTCAGCACCGGATGAAAGGAGAGGGCCGATGAACGACTGTTACCGGGGAGCGTGCGAGATGCTTGGTGACAATGGCGAAAAAAACGCAGACATGGCAGTGTCTAATGTGCAAGCGAGGACAGGTTGCGGGAGGCGAAACAGGATCGGGACAGACGATGCGATGGCAGGATTAATGAAGACAAGTTGGTGCAAAGACACTGGCGGATTTCGCTCGGGTTGAGATGAAGGACAAGCACGCCCGAGCAGCCCAGGAACGGAAACGAGAGCAAACGAGCGGCCGTGCCGCACCGTCCAGGCGTGCTCTGGCGCTGGGACCGATCGAGACCCGAGGAAGCCACGGGAGCCGAAACCCGGCGCCAGGAGGAACAATGCGAGGAGGAGCGGGGCCAGCCGAAATCCCTCCAAGCCAACGGTGCCGGAAAGGGGGCAGGACACAGAGGCATTACCGCAGATGGGAGATCCCAACGGAGACGATGCGTGGATCGGGGACGGCAGCACACGCAGAGCCGAGCGCGGAGAGCGTAAGAGCCGAGCGGGTCACAGGAAGGAGCCGCAGGAGGGAGGGGACCGCAGGACAGAGGGCCGCAGGACTGAGGGCGCAAAGGCGGTGGGCGACGGATGCGGGCAGCAGCAAGCCTGGGGGGACCCGCTGGAGCAGGAGCGGGGCAGAAGGGTCGCACCGAGGCCGATCGCACGACGGCGCTGCCTTGTGCGGATGGTGCGAGTGCTGGCATGGAAAGCGCACGCCGGTGTGTCTGGCTCGGGGTGGATGTATCGACTTGATGTGCATTGACTCGGAGAGTATCGACTCGATGTGTATCAACTCGGAGCGATAAGCAATGTGCATGCCGACTGGCCGGCTCGGTATTGGCAGAAACGGAGCATGTCGGGGGATCGGTTTCTGATATTGCCGGGCCGCTGACTGTCCTGCTGAGTATCATGTTGAGTATCATGTTGAGTATCATGTTGAGTATCATGCTGAATGTCCCGTTGAATGTCCCGTTGAATGTCCCGTTGAATGTCCCGTTGAGTGCGCTGTATATCATGAAAACGTGTCTCCCACATCAACTTGAACTTGAACTTGACATTGGACTTGACATGGACACATCGCGAAAGGAGCAAGCAAAGGGGAAAGCAAAGGAGCAAGCAAAGGAGCAAGCAAAGGAGCAAGCATCGCGCCTGGCTTCTGGCCCTGGCCATGACCGATCCGATCCGATCTGGCTGCCCGATCCCAGGTTTGCCCATCCATCTCGTCCAGCATGGAGCTCGCCCGCTCCTCTCTGCCGTCGCTCCCGTCGCATGCGGTCGCACTGTCTTCCGGCTGTGGAATTCGCCTTCCGGCCTGGGTCCGTCTCCACGATCCGCCAGCCTTCTTCTTTGCCCAGTCCTTCGCCACAACCGCCGACTCGCCGTCCTGCCAGCTCCCCGCATGGGTTTCTCAGCACTTTGGCACCCATGCCGCCAAGATATCTCCCCTGAATGCCGCAGATGCGCTGGATTCCGTCACCGCCGACACTGAAAGCACTGCGGCAGCCACCTCTCGCCTTTCGATCACCCTTCGCCCATTGCTACCCCGTCCTTGGGTTCCTACCTCCAGGGGCCTCGAGCAAGCTCGATCCGCCGACGACAATCCAAAGCACACCGTCTTCTCCTCGGCCCTCTCCAACCCGCTCCACTCGCCACTAGACTGCTGCGATTGGTCCAGGCTCTTTGGCAGATCACTTCACGGGAAGCCGGTCGGTCGGGGTGAACTTGTGTTTCTGTGGGCTGCAGTGTAGTGTTCCAAGACGTTCCGTCGGATTAATCCCACCCTCTGCATCCCATTGCGGCCCTGTTGACTACAGATTTCAATAGGCATCGTCGTTCCTATCTGGATCCGCGGCCAACATATTCCCTTCCTGGTCGAGCAGGCCTCTGTGCAATCGAGCGAGGCTTGCTCTGTGGCTGTCGAGTATCCTCGATATTGCATCGCCAACTCCCGCCAGATCCAAGTCGCTGTCGTCGCCCCATCCCGAATGGTGTCAGAGCGAGCCGGTGTCGTGGGCACCTCTGATTTCTGGAGACTCGGCTTGGATCCGCTGCACTACAGTCCAAAGATATACCCTCGACAGATCAGCGAGCTGCACAAGGTCCTTGGTGAGTTTCACAGTCGGATATACCTCTGGGCGATATTGTCCTTTTCGCTGCTGCCCCCTATCTCAGCACGGCCTGTCGAGACAGTCAGCTCACTGGATCGGAAAGAAGTCGTCGTTCACTACCATCACCGTGGAGTGTCACTCTGGATGTGTCTGGCTAGAGCTTGGCTTATGGCTGGCCCAAAGTATATCGTCAACCTTTGGAAACTCGGACGGACCCAATTCCGATATGGATTGCCATATCTTCACGATATCGACCTGGATTACCATATCATCACGACATCGAGCCGGACTCTCACACTCCTCCGTCTCCCGGCACCACCAGAGTCCACATTCAGCCTTGCGTCCTCGTTCAAGACGATGGACATGGTTCCTCCTCAGTGGATATTGGTTCGAGGCCCTCCCGGGACTGGAAAATCACAAGCCATCTCGTAAGGATGCTGCAAATGTGCTCCTGCTTCGGTAGTCCACTGCGTCTCCGGCACAAGCCATGCCTCCCACACTTTGGTAACCCCGACATCCTGCAATGGCACTGCATAATGGCGGCTGCTCCTACCCAGCTATGTGTTGAATCGCCTCAGCAGCGTTCCAGCTTTCTCGACCGATATACTGGATACCATCGTGTCGCTCAAGGACGCTGAGCAGAGCGGCGTCGATCCTCAGTCGCTTGTAACTCCACTCTTGCGTTCGGTTGAGATGGCTCGATTGTCCTCGCCAGCCGTTGTGGTCGTGCACTCGATTGATTTGCTTTCCCAAGGTGAACCGACAGACGACATGAAACCCCGTCGACTGATTTCTGCCGCCGATGCTCAGCCGCTGCTTTCATCCCCGCTCTTTCTTGTGATCGGACTGCAGCCATACATCTCTATGGTTATGTATTGGATGATTCCGGCGACTGGTAATGACTTACTGACGCGAGTCTCGTTTTGATCCACAGACTCGAATGTCGACTTTGATCTTGGGCTGCTGAGCGCCCATGTCGACGCTGTCTACAAAATCGTTCAGCGCGACCATCGCATTTGTTTTGTGAGCGAGTGCGACAAGTCCTTCAAGCTACCCAAGAAGCTTGCCCATGCCGCTGGATTCCACACCATCGATATCCCTATCCCAACATTGTGCGTAATCAGGTCATTGGCACTGAGCCCCAGTCGCACCCTCGTCTTCCAGCTCGACTGGTCAATCGAATCTCGGCTTGCCTCTGACGTACCACGCTCCTGGACGTTTCCCTGTATGCAGAGACCAGAGAAAGGAGCTACTGGCGATCTTCATTGCCACCCAAGCTGCGTCTATGGGCTTGTCAGTTGACGAAGCTGCCGTCCAAGGATTTTCAGCTTCGCTGGCTCAGGTATGGGAATGGTGGCCACCGCAGCGACTGTACGAGCGAGTAGCCAGGAAGCACCTCTCACTGGTTTACCCATTGCACCGCGCGACGTTGCCTGAATCAACCGGCTTTAGCGAACCACAAGCTACACAGCTTCAGATCTGAAGAATTTTGTGGATCGGTCGCTCCAAAGCGCCTTCCTGCGGAAGCACAAGTCCAAAGAAGCCGAACCGCAGCGGTCTCACACAACCACGCCGACCGAAGTCGACGAGGTCCTGGCAAGTGACTTTGACCAGACCCACGAGATTCTCGGTCCGCGCGAAGATGATAGCGAGCTGAGCTTGGCCAAGCCCAAACTGTCCTGGGATGCAGTCGGAGGGTACGTCCTGAAGACACAGTCGGCGGGACTCGGTCGGCGGGACACAGAGGGAGCTCATGCTGGCTCTTTGGATCGTGGTGCTGACCCGCGCGGATACGGATACGGATACGGATACGATGCGGATATCTCATCGTCTGTTTCTGGCGCACAGATACAAGTCCATCAAGGAACAACTGATTCGGCTGACGACCTGGCCCATCGAACGACCCGATGCGTATCAGCGACTTGGTGTCAAACCTCCCGGTGGCATTCTCTTGTATGGCCCTACAGGTCAGTCTAACTGGATCCACCCGGTGGCAACACATCTCAATTGCGTGGACTTTGACTGGCCAAGTTGGTAACATGTCAATCACCGTGCCTCATTAGGCTGTGGCAAAACAACCTTGGTCAAGGCGCTGGCCTCAAACTGCTCACTCAACTTCATCGCCGTCAAAAAGTAAGCTGATTTTTGTCCGAGAGTGACGGTCTGTCGGAGACGGAGAACGCATTGCGTCAAGCCTATCTCGCTCAGCCAGCAAGTGCCACACGCGATCGATTGACAAGCATGTGCGGCCGAGCAACATGTCGCCGAATACATGTGACTGAATGTTCTCCGTTGGCGCCGGCCTGCAGCAATCAGATCTTCAACAAGTATCTCGGCGAATCTGAGGCATCCATCCGACGCATCTTTGCGAGCGCCCGTCGGTTCGCACCATGTATCATCTTTTTTGACGAATTCGACACAATCGGCACAAAGCGCGGTGAGTAGTATGCGAGGACACGATGAGCTACACCCATCTGTTTGCTGAACCAAAAGAGTCACTGCGGTGTTGGTCGTGACAATGCATTTGTGACAATGCCGTTGTATTGGTGGCAGTGTCGTTGCCATTTGATGCTCGCTTGATTCGCCGGGACTCTCGTCTTGGCTAATGTTGGCACATTGTGACGGCGTTGGGCGGTGCAGACTGGCAGGACGACGGCACAACAGGCGTGAACGAGCGCATTCTCTCGACTCTGCTGAACGAAATGGACGGCGTCTCAGAGCGCACCGGTGTTCTCGTTGTGGCATGCACCAACCGCCCAGAGCAGCTGGACGATGCTCTTTTGCGACCTGGCCGGCTCGACCACCTGATCTACGTGGGGCTGCCCAGGCTCAAGGATCGACGGGAGATCCTGGCGGCGATTGGACGGAGCGGTGCCCAGATCGACGGCAAGGTCGACTTGAATCAGGTGGCCGCGCAGACGAAGGGATTCAGCTCGGCAGATCTGAGTGTGCTCCTCCGGTAGGTTCTACTTTGCAGCACGTCGCTTGAGCCGCACCGACTTGATGCAGACTGAGATCGAAAGGAGATGGATCGACTGGCTGAATCTCGAACCTGTTTTCATCACGATTATGGACCATCATCCAGGGAGGCGGGCATGTTGTCGATGCGCGAGTCGGCTGGAGGCGGCATGATTTGCTCAAGACACATCGCTGCAGCCTTGGAAGGTGCCCATGTCGGCCGCCTCGATCGTTCATCGTCGAACCTGCCGAAGACCCAAGCAGCATCCGTTCAATCAGTTACGCGACAACTAGCGAACCTGGGTCGCTCGGATAGCGACGAGTGGGTTTCAACCGACGACGATGGCGACAACGACAGCGGCAACGAGGCCGACAGCTCCGAGGCGACAGCGAGTGCCACAGCTCCTGTCGGAGCCAGACCTCTCTCTCAAGCCCGATGGTGGAAGCCCCGGATGGTCAGCCGGATGGACCTGGAGCGATTCCAAAAGTTCCGCCGTGGGCACGAGGAGTAGACGCTGTCCGAAATGAGCGAGTAAAGCAAACAGCATGTTCAAGCAAAATGCACATTCAGCAAACTCCGGGACACATTTATTTCCAATTTTAATAGCGTGGGTTTTAAAAATTTGCACTGCACAGAAACTAATGATAAGCGAGGACGAGGTCAAGCGGTCTCGGGAGACACACCATTTCCTGAGGGACCATCAAGGATATCTTGATGCCCTCCCTCTGTGGTGACGGGCACGAGGTGCGAGGTTGGAGTGGCAAGACAATGTCATCCTCGGTGTTGATGATAAACAAAATGGGTCGGATTCCTGTGGTTCCCGATGCACAGGAGCAGTCTTTCTGACTCTGTTCCGATTTCCTGAGCAGACTTGGGCGACCACGGTCATCTCAGCGATGAGTTCAGTCCCGGATTGAGACCTTGCCGGTCAAAGTAGGCTTGGGAAGCTCAGTTGAACCGGCGTGGTCCATTTCCAGACTGAGGGCGAGACTGCGGGCGGGCCGGACAATGGGCTCGATAGTGGTCTGGGCTGCCGCAGTTCAGACAGAGGTTGTTTGCGATCCGTTCCTGCCGCACCCCGTCGGCGATCTGACTTCCATGCGAGGAGCGAGGCAGGTTCGTGGTGGTCGACACCGGCGTTGTAGCCTCTGACTCCAACATCCGCTCTTCTAGGTACATTTCGTACCTAGCCGCAGCATCGATAAGGTCATCGAGGGAGTCGTGCTTCATTATGTTGGCCACGACCAGGTCCTTTACTGCGGGCTTGAGGCCTCGTTCGAACCACACGCATAGAACGGGGTCTGTCAAGCTGTCCAGCTCCCTGGAGAGGATCCGGAAACGAACGGCGTACTGGGAGACCGAGGAGGTCTGTTTCAAATTGTACAGCTTGGTCATAACCAGTTCCTTGTAGTTGGACGGGAGGAAGTAGCGCTTGAGTTCCTCCTTGAAGTCGGCGTAAGACATGGAGTAGATCTTGCCGCTCTCTATATATGGCACGGCCCAGCGTAGGGCACTTCCTTCGAGGAGGAGGGCTGCGAAAAGGACCTTCTCTCTATCGGAGGGGAAGGACTCTGGCTGGACGAGGAAAATCAAGGCAAGCTTGGACAAGAAAGGCTTGAGCTCGGTATAGTCGCTCCCGGAGAACTTCTGGCGTGACTCGATCACAGCATCTGCGGCTGCCGGGCTCTGGATTCTGGAGGCTTCCACAGCCGCCAGACGGGTCTTGACCTCTTGGAGTGCTTGAGACAAGAGGCCGTTCTCTTCACGGAGCATATCGACCTGGTCACGAAGGGTGTTTACGCTCTTCAGGATTCTTACGTATTCCGATGGCGAGACGGAGACGGGGTCAGTGCTTCCCGGCCCTGGGAGATCAGGGTCGGCTTTGACGACGGCTTGGCCAGTTTCCTCGGAAACACTCTCCGAGGGCCCTGCGGCAGAGATCGGTGTGCTGACTCTTCTCGTAGACATTGGCGGTTGTGAAAACGGAGGAGGACAGGGCAACTGGATAGGACGGGAGGGACAGGGAAGAGGGAGCAGCGAGAGGGCATACACGTGAACGACAAAACGTGACAGCCGAATCGCAGCGTTGCGGTTGTTGGGTCCTCGAAATACATTATTTTGGCGGCTCGGATGTGTACGCGGAGTGGTCACGGACATGGGCCGGGGATCAAAGCAGACGGATCGGGCGTGGCCCCAGAAATACACATCGGCCTCCGCTAAATCCAAACACTGCCGGTGGGGCTGAAGGCGACAGCGGCATCAAGGTATCGCAGCAGATCGACAGCGACATCAAGGTATCGAGGCAGAGCGACAACGGCATCAAGGTATCGAGGCAGAGTGACAACGGCATCAATGCATCGAGGCAGAGCGACAGCGAGCGGCTGCCCCGGATGTTGTTCCGGCGCCGAGATCATGCCACCCAAGCCAACGGCAACATCGTCAGCCGTCGCTTTGATCGGCCCTCGTCCATCGTGGGGATCCTGATCATCCCCCTCAAGCATAAACTTTACAGCGCAAACTCGACAGGCGCATCCGACGGTCCGCCGCACCATCGGACCGCCGCACCGACGGCCGCTCTGCCGCGCAGTGGTCCCGCCGCCCGAATATATAACGCTCCTCCGTCGCCACTCGCCCTCCATCATCCACCACCTCCGTCTCTCGCACTGCCGATTGTGGCCTGCCGCTTCCATGACCATCTCGGCCCCCCACCCCGAGGAGACTAGCGTCCGGCTGTCGCCCCATGTTGTGCCTCGCCACTACACCTTGGACTTCCGGCCGGACCTGCGCAAGCTCAAGTTCAACGGCTCGGTCGAGATCCAGGTGCAGGTGCTCGAGCCCGTGTCGGTGATCCGCTTCCACGCCGTCGACCTGGACATTTCCGACGTTCGTCTCGATGGCAAGGCCGGCCCGCTCTGGCCAAAGACCGCCTACATCAATCCTCAGACCGAAACCGTCGATCTGACCTTTGCCAGCCCCGTCGAGCCGCAGGACTACGTCCTCGCCGTTCGCTTCCGCGGCACTATCAAGGACCGGGTGCCCCGCGGCTTCTACCGCAGCTCCTATGTCGACGACAACGACGTCACCCACTATCTGGGCGTCACCGACTTTGAGCCCAACTATGCCCGGTGCGCCTTTCCGTGCTTTGACGAGCCTGCCCTGAAGGCCGTCTTCCAGATTTCCATCACCTCCAACCTGCCTGTGCTCTCCAACATGCCCGTCCAGAGCGTCTCGCCTGCGGGCAAGCACCGTCTGCAACGCTTCTCGTTCGAGCCCACGCCGGTGCAGTCGACCTACCTGGTCGCCTGGGCCATCGGCGAGATGACCCGGCTCGAGTCCTTCACCAAGTCGGGTATGCCCGTCGGCGTTTACACCCAGCCCGGAAACGAGGAATATGGCGGGTGAGTTGCGAGCCTGATACAGAGCAACGAGACAGACCAAGATGTGTTGCTGTCACCGGCCCCCGTGCCTCCATCATTCCATCATTCCATCCATCGACTCGCTTCACCGCCCCGACCTTGCACCATGCTGCATTGCTACTAACACGGCCTTCCGTCGCTGGACCCTGCTCCCACACCATCCTCTGCGACAGGTTCTCGCTCGACATTGCCACCAAATCGACCGACTACTTTGCCGAGCTGTTCGACTACCCGCTTCCGGTCCCCAAGATGGACCACTTCCCTGTCCCGGATTATATCTGTGCGTTTGTTTTCAGTCTTGTTGCTCTTGTCGCTTGTTCTGTCCGATGATTCTCACCGCCCAGCAGGACTGGCTGCCCAGCAACCCATTGACCTCCCTTTCTGTTCTAGCCGAGGGAATGGAAAACTGGGGCCTCGTCACCTACGAGGATGATCTGCTCATGTGCGATGTTGAGGCTTCGCCGGCCGAAGAGCTTCAGGAAATCGCAATGTTGATCACCCATGAGGTTGCGCACCAGGTAAGCTCACCCAATGCATCTGGCGACGAATGGGCCGCTGCTCTGTGAGGCTGCACCCTGGCCGCCTCGGCTCCAGCGTCTGCTACATCATGCTGCCCTTGCTCCTCGCTTGCCATCTTGCTTGCTGGCCTAACCTGTATCGGTTCTGCCAGTGGTTCGGCAACCTCGTCACCATGAAGTGGTGGGATGATCTGTAAGTACTCGCGTGTGATGCCGTCCTGGCTCTCGACGACTGCTCGCCGCACTTTGCCTGTCTGTCCTGCAGCCTGGAGCTCACGCCTTTGTCTCCTCCAGCTGGCTCAACGAAGGATTTGCCGAGTACATGCAGTACCGGTCCGCCGATAAACTGTATCCCGCCTGGGATCTTCTGTCGCAGTTCTTCTACTACGAGCACATGTCTGCCTTTGGTGTCGACGACACCCGATTCACCCACCCCGTTGCCATGCCCATCTCGGACCCCAAGCTGCTGCCGACCGTCTTCGACACCGTCACCTACAACAAAGGCGCCTCCATCATCCGTATGCTGGAGAATTGGATCGAGTCTGCCACCCGTGCTGATGGTGCCCCGCATGGCCAGTTCTGGCACGGTCTCCGCCACTACATTCAAAAGTACGCTCTGTCCACCGCCTCGACTGCGGATCTGTGGCAGTGCCTCGATGACAGCGCCTCTGTTCTGGGCGAAAACGTCGTCAGCACCACCATGGCCAGCTGGATCTCCAAGCCAGGCTTTCCGGTCGTGACCGTGGCTTTCACAGAGGGCCATGTCGAGCTCGGCCAGTTCCGCTTCACTCTGTGGAGACACGCCGCCGACGAGCCCTCTGACTGGATCATCCCGGTCGCATACAGCGTCTACAGCCTCGACCACGACGGCAAGCCCGCGCTGGTGCAGGGCCCTACGACTGTGCTCCTGTCCGAGACCACCAAGGTGTCGATCCCGCAGTCTGACAACACTCTGCTTGTAGTTAACCCCGACCGCGTGGGCTTCTACCGCACGCTCTTCGACTCTCCGGAGTACTACCAGAAGCTCGCCCGCTGGCTCAAGAGCCACCCCTCGGCTTTCTCGGCGGCGGACCGGGCCGGAGCACTCTCCGACGCCTGGGCACTTGCCCTCTCCAACCGGCTCGATATCGCCACCGCCATGAGCGTCTCCGAGTTCCTCGCCATCGACCGCGACCCCACCGTCTGGCGCACCGCCATCGACGTTTTCGAGCGCATCGACGTCATCGTCGGCAGCCGCGACCCGGCCCTGCTGGCCCTCTGGAAGACCACTGTCCGCGACTGGATCAAGCCTCTTGCTGCCGAGCTCGGCTGGCACGAGCGCGACGACATATCATCGCACCAGGCGCACTTTGACTCGCTGCTGCGCTCGGCGATCATTGCCTATGCCGTTTCGCTGGAGCTGCCGGCGATCATCGCCGAGGGCGTCAAGATTTACAACGTCGTCGTCAACAACCGCAACGAGGAGGTCTCGGAGCACATGGTTGATCTGGTCTATCAGGCAGCCATCTGCCACGCCCCTGATCCGCACGAGGTCTTTGAGACGCTGCTGCACCCCGACGACGAGATGCCCGGCGACCCGACCGAGGCCCTCGGCTGTGTGCAGCTTCCCGAGCTCCAGACTCGCTTGATCAAGCACATTCGATCGGGCAAGCTCCGGCCCCAGGACGTCGTCCCCGTCCTCGAGAATCTGGCCCGCACCAACCCCAGCGGCACCCACCACGTCTGGGAGTTCCTCCACCGCAACCCGGATCGTTACCTCAAGACCTCCCGCAACGTCGTCAAGGTTCTTGTCGAGGACTGTGTCGCCCGGCTTGAAGACCCAGAGCAAATCTCTCAGGCATTTGCCTCTGTTGGCGGAGAGGGCAAGTGGGACGTCTACCACGACGACGAGCCCGGAGCCACAACCGCCATCCGCAGCGGCCTGGAGCGCCTCAACGCAGCCAAGTTGAGCCATGCTGCCCTGAAGAGCTACTTTGCCGGATCCCACAACTCCGCCAAGGCTTCCGTCCCCGCGGCCTCCCAGAGCCGTGTCAAAGCAGCGATCGAGTGCTGAGGGCCTCCAGTCCATTCGCCCACCCCGCCTCCACGGCCCCAGCTTGACAACAGCCAATGCACTTGCAAACCCCTCCCCATCACGCAATCGATTCCCAATCCTTTCTTGTACCTGTGTGCCTTCTGCAATCAAAATACACAAATCTATTGTGCGTTCGAACCCCTGGTTAGGGTCGGAGTGTGCTACGAATGTCGGGACAGGAGTGAAGTGCGATACTGGGTGCGAAGAGGTCGAGGCACGGACTGGGTCGGGTCGGGTCGGGTCGGGTCGGGTCAGGTCATTGAGGTGCTGGAGACGTGGGTGAATCTAGGCTTCGTAGTCGACGCTGTCGTCGTCATCGTCGTCGTCGCTGGAAACTCGGCGGTAGCGCGATGATCCCTTGCTCTTGGAAGCCGACTCGAGCCGCTGACTGGTCCGCTGGGGCCCCTGTCTTGGCTGCAGAGCTGGGGATGTATACTTGGTGGTTCGGATCTGATACTCATCGTCGTCCGAGTCGTCCCTGCTTGATTTGGCTGTCGATCGCGACTGCTTCTTGCGGGTCAGTTCGGCAAGGACCTGACTTCGCGACGACGACTTTGGGGTCTGGTTCCGGGAGGCTTTGGTTCGGCGATGATCTTCCTCTTCCTCTTTGACATACTCGTCCTCTTCCTCTTCCTCCTCTTCCTCTTCCTCCTCTTCGTCTTCGTCTTCGTCATCGCGGCCATTCTCGTTCTTTACGGTATTACGGGCGCGGTCGTCATCGTCCTCACTTTTAACGTCGTCGTCATCATCGTCCTCATCGTCATCGCCATCGCCGTCGCCCTTCAGCTTTTCTTCATACTCCTCTTCGTCTGATTCGAACTCGTCCTCGTCCTCGTCGTCCTCGTTCTCATCGTCGACGGCCCGGTTACCGTCGGCTTCGGTCTTGACGGCGTCCTCCATTTTCACGTCATCGCCATCATCCTCATCCCCATCCTCATCGTCATCTTCGTGCGAGTCAGAGTCAGAGTCGCTGGCGTAGCGGCTGGGTTTCTTGGACCGCCGAGGCTTGCTTCGGGAGGATTGTTTCCGAATGATCGGGCTCTTGCGTTTAGCGTTGCCCGATCGCGACTTGGGAGTCGAAGCAGCGAGAGACGACCGCGCAGCCAAGATTGGCGACGAGGCAGGGACATCGTCCTCCTCGTCGTCATCGCCCTCGGACTCGTCGTCCATCAGCATGCGTCGCGACGTTTTCGAGGGCGTGTGCGGTGGTTGGCCTCGAGCGGGTGTCTTGACGCCGGGGTCGTTGACCATCGAGTCGCTGAAGATGTCCTTTGCTCGGCTTGGCGTGATCTCTGAAGAAGCAAAGCGCACCCTTGGGTTATCATGGGAGTTTGTGAAGGCTTGTGTCGACTTTATGCCTTCGCAACTCCTCCGCACATCCATCAACGACACCGGCAAGAAAACAGCAGCCATGAGGCATACCTTGCGAGATCTGCAGCAAGCTCTTGCGTCGGCTGGGCGTCCGAACCTGTACCAGCACAGCAGTCAAGGACGTCAGTTGGTGTTATCGTGAATGCCATCAGCGGGTTTGGCGTCCCATTGAGCTCATCCGTGGACAATCGGCTGCGATATAGCCCAGGCTGGGGTACACCTCTGGGACGCTCTGCCACGGATGCCATCAGAAGCCGGTCGAGCTGGTCGAGCCGGCGGCTTGCGCACTCGGATGCCTCACCATGCTATCCCGCGCCCTGGGGATCGGCTGCTCTTCATCCATGGCATCATCGACAGCCTCGGGTTTGATGAATGACAGAATCGAGCTCCGCGTCGACCGGGGTTTGGTTGATTTTTGTACTTCGCTGTTGACGTTCATGATGGCTTGCTCGTTTTCGACACATTTGAGGTGCAGCTCCGCCATCTTCTTCTCGTACTCGTCAGCTGCAGTCTTGAGATCGGATTTTGCTGCCTTCTTAATCTGCGGATGGTCACACGAACATGGTCAGTCGGCAGGCTTGCCGCAGGACACAGGGTCGTATAGGATCGCATGTGTATGTGCTCCCCCTGCCCCACACACGGCACACGCACGAAACTCTCATCCGTCGCCAGCCTCCCAGCCCGCGCGCTTGCACCGCCCGGTTCAACTGCACTACCTTGACGATCAGATCCTGGAACGACTTCCACACGGCGGGCTCGTGTAGCTTGTCGCCATAGTGGGGGACGCCATCAATCAGCTTCTTGATGCTCTTTTCGGATGTAAACGGGAGCAGCGACAGACAGTGGGCAATGTCCCGCCACTGGCGCTCCGAGGACGAGTTCTTGAAGCGCAAGCAGAGCTTCTCGACAATATTCTCGGATTGTTTGTCCTGCGTGAAGCACAGGCGGGATGGCCGCGAAGGGGAGGGCGAGAAACAGGATCGAGGGAGCCAGGACTGTGAGCTGCGAAAGCGGCACCCATCACGGTGCCCAGGCCGGTCGACTGTGAGCGAGAGAATGCGTGGTCATAGTCCCTACCTTCTTGATAAACTCGAACAGGAATCGCATAATGTTCTTGAACTTTTCTTCGTCGACGCCCGTGGTGGGGTGCGACAAGTTGCTGATGATGTCGGGCAGGTTGTTGTACACGGCGTTGTCCTTGGTGCTCAGCTCCGTGAAGAACAGTTTGGCCAGGTCCGAGATGCGCTGGTCCTTGTCTTCGAGACACTTGGCCATCTCGCTGATCTGGCCCTTGACCTTCACCATGCCGTTCAAGATGAGATGGGTCAGTACCATCAACGTGTTCTTCTTGACCATCAGGTCGCCGTCCGAGAGGCGGTTGTACAGGTAAGTGATGTTCTGGTCGATGAGCGAGTTGTAGCAGACGGTCATGTCGCCGAGGCCGATGATGGTGTTGCCACGGATGATGGGGTTGCTGCTCTTCTCGAGGATGGTGAACAAGAGCTGCAGGTTCTGGTCGCAAAAGTCGGCGCTGACACACATCAGCTTGCAGAGCGAGAGCACCGACATGATCTGGAGCAGCGGGTGCTGGAGGGTGGAACAGAGTCAGGGTTTGAAGCCGCCAGCCCAGGTGCATCGTCCACCAGCGATGCGGCTGTTGCGTAGACTCTTCAACTTACGCTGAAGGTGAGATTGTTGGCACAGATGAACGACACCAAGGGTGCAAATGCCGAGAGCAGCGACTGCTGTGAAAACAGAAGCTCCTTCTCGCGGATAAAGACCATGGCCTCGGAGAACTCGTCGTCGGCTGTTCCGGTGACGTTGTCGAGGTCGTCTTGGGCCGCGCGCTTTCGCGGGGTCTTGCGAGCTTCCTCTGCATTGCGATTCACAGCGATTTTGTCACACGGATGCAGTGGCAGAACCACAGAGTCGGGTGACAAGTCAGCAACGGCACTCGCCACTGTGGCATCGCTTGCATCGGCGGATGATCCATCATTTGCTTGCCGCGCTGTTCGTCTGCCGCTCCATCCGCGCACTTGCAATCCTTACCAAGGTACTTGCGCCGCTTCCACTCCACCTCGATGGCCTCGAGATGCACAATCTGCTTCATGGCCACATGGCCGACAGCAAAGCAGAGCTTGGCAAGATCGAAGGCCGTGCAGTCCAGGGCTCCGCTTCGCCCCGACTGGGTCGACATATCCTCCTCGCCCGTGTCCATGGGGTCAAAGTTGAGGTTGGACGACATCATGCTGGCGACGCTGTCGACCTCCTTGTCCTCCGGGCTCTTGATCGAAAAGACCTCCGAAGCCATCTTCTTTAGAATCTCACCGCAGATGACATCGGGATGCTCACTGAGGAGATAGATGGTGTTGATGGCCTGTTCGGCGACGCCAAACCTGGATGGGGATTCGAACGTGAGCAAAGCGAGAGCAGATTCACCGTGGAGAAGGGTTCAACAAACCACGCATGCCCTGCCGCGCAAATCCCGGGCTGTGCTGATGTGGTGCGATTGGATGGAGCCCTCCATACCAGTGGGTGGAGTAGACCGGCTCCAGGATCAACTCGGTCAGCTTTTTGAAAAGCGGGTGATGCATCGGGTACCGCTCGTATATCAAAACGGGCCCTCCTTTCTCTCGCGTCGTCTGACCGAGTTGCTGGATGGTCATGCACGCGTAGCGGGCCAGGAGCAGATCCGTCTGTCGAAAACGAGAGTCGTCAGGGTCAAGAGCAGCCACCCGGCCATCCAGTCATCCGGCCATCTGGTGATCCGGCCATCTGGTGCTGCCAATTATTGCAGCGCCCAAGTGCAGCCACTGCACGTTGTACCTTGCCCATTTCGCCAAACCCGACTCGTAACAGCACGTCCAACTTGGCTGCGATTCGTTGTCGGCCCTCGTCCGATTTGCCGATCATGCCGAGGATGATGAGAGCACCCCGGCGCTTCTTGGGGTCCAGCTCCCTGCGCTTGGAGCCAAATGTTTGCCACAGCAGCTCGATTGCCTCGGCAGGGATCTTGCCCTTGACCATCAGCAGACTGAGGAGCTGCTCCAGCGAGGTCAGCTCGGCAAGGGAGCTGCCGTACGTCAAACTGTCGAAGAGCACAGAACCGCGTTCAGTCGCACAGTTAACTCCATGAATCCAATTCACCAGACTCGCGAGTGAATGCAGGGAGACCCACCTGATCAGGTTGTCCACAATCTTGGAGATCCGTTGGCCCTCGCTCAGGTCGCCCGGAGGGTCCAGATAGATGGTGGCATAGTTGTCGATCACATGGTCGCGCACGCTCTTCTCATTTTCGCTGCTCGTGTCCTTGTCCCAGACTTTATGGACCATCTTACGAACACCGATCTGTGGAGCAGCAAGGCACAGCCGTCAGTATTCATCAGCATCGCTGTCACCGCGCTTGGCTCAAGCGACACAGCCTCCATGGACACATCCGCCGCACATCTGCCCCACACCTAGGGAGCGCGGCCCCGATTCGCGACCACATCGTGGCAAGTGAGCGCAGCACCGAATGCGGATTCGGCAGGGCACTTACATCCGCGCACTCCATGTCGAATCGGTGCGAAACGACGAAAAAGTTCATGGCCTCGACGACTTCGGACTTTGTGGTCGAAGCGAGCAGCTCACACAGCACGGCGCTTGCGTTCGTCATTTGCTTGGAGAACCGGATGGCATCGGCGTAGTATTTCATCAGTGCACGCATGCTCCGTAGCTGCTCTTCGCTGGCAGCCGCGACAACTTGCGGGTAGTTCTCTGCATCTTTGCTTGCATCATCGCCACTCGCATCCACAGCAGCTTCCGCGCCGTCCGCCATATTGTGGTCATCGCTTCCGCTGTCGTCATCGGACTTGTCGCCGGCACCGCCGACGTGGCTCACGTCCGTACCAGCCGCCGATTTAAGCCTTTTCTTTGGAGTGCCCTCGGCCTCATCTTCGTCTGGATCCTCGGCCAGATGCACGATTTCAGCGGGGAACTTTTCGCGGAAGAGCTGATCCAGGTCGCTTGCTCGCTTCTCAAAGAGTCGGAGCGACAGCTTTCCGCCATCAATGTCCCGGAAGAAGGGACACGAATAAACAAACTCGGTGAGGAGCTTGGCTGCGTTTCGGCGAACGTTGCTGGCCTTATCGTTCAAGCGGCCGATCGTCAGATCGATGAGCTTGGGACGGACCGAAAGAGGAATGTCGGTGACGATCTGGCTGTCGCGTCGTCTGAGAGTAGCGGTGGCGGTGACGTTTTGCGTGCGGACGATCGTTATAGGATATGCAATAAGTGTGTGTTCCGACACCAACGCAGGAACTGGAGAGCAAGGAAGCACTTGGACTTTGGGCGAGCCGAGTCACTGGCACCACACCCACATGCGATCCGCTCAGGTGCACACAGTCTCCAGCACAATCTGCAAGCACGACGCTCGCGGACTTACTCGCACAGCTTGTAGATGACCTGCAGCACCTTGACGCGCACATATGAAGAGGTATCCCTGAACCGCTCCTCGATGACGTCGTAGTACTGCATCATCTGCTTGCTGCTGATCTCGGAGCTGCTGACAGCGAGATAGTTGTGGATGATGTTGTAGATGATTTCCATCATTGTGCAGCGCATCGTGTAGGACTGGTTGTGGGTTCAGAGTGAACTTGCGTCAGTCTCCATTTCCTCGAACCAAACAGCCCCATTTCCAGGCCCATCTCGGAACCGATATCGGTGTCCAGGGTGTCCTCTGCAATTCATCACTGTGTTCGAGTCGCAGCCAACCTCCGAGTCCAGATGTGTCTGCAGGAACACCATCTGCTTCTGTGTCTCCTTGGGCAGGAGCTCCGAAACCTTGATGAGGAAGCGCGAGATGGCCTTTGCCACTTTGGCGTCCTTTTCGCCAACCTCCATCTTGCCAATATCGCTAGGAACAAGCGGATGGCCACATCGTGAAGATCGGATCAGATCAGAATGGCGCCAAGTACCGCAATGGCCAGCGGCGACTCCCAGCTATCGGTAGATCCTCAACGATCGGCGGCACCTACCGGAGCACATCGTCTACGACTTTGACGAGATCCCTGTGAGCCAGGAAGCCCAGCAGCTCGGCCATAGGCTCTGCCAGATGCTCTTCTTTCATGTACTGCAGTACACGCGAGGAGACCGCTGTAGTTCGAGCCGCGAGCGCAACCGAGGGGTCAGGATAAGGTGCCCAATCTCCGCATTGGCCGCCGTTTCACTGCTTGTCACAGGGATGACCTTGCATCCTTTGCATCTCATGCCTACCGTTGCCGAATTTGTTGTCGTACTTTTGCGCACACAGCGCAAGGATCTGGAACGTGTGCACCTTGAAATCGGTGATTTTCAGATTCTCGGGGTCCTCGAGCAGCAACGCCAGCGACTTTGTGATCATACTGCATGGTTTCATGGTAACAGGGTCGAGCAAATGGGTGAGATGCGACAGTTGCTTGGAGGTCTGTGCCAGATTTGTCGATTTGCTCATTTCCTGAGCCAGTGGGAGCAGGCATCGGTGCATCAAGTCGGCCTCGGATCATTCAGCCTGGCAGAGGCTCGGGATGGCGAGACCGGAATACCAACCTCGACAGCACGTCGCGCTCGGTCGACGAGATGATGATGCGGTCCAGCTGCAGAGACAGAAGCTTCGAGAACAGTGATAGGGACTTCATTTTGGGTCGGATCCACTCCCACTCGGCATCTTCTTTGTTGATGTTCTTGGATCTACCTCTCTGTGAGTTGTCCGGGGAGGCGGCGAGTTGCATGGGAATCGTTGCATTGAAATGCCCACAAAGTTACAGAGATACGAAGGGAGGTTCGAATGGGTTACGATGAAGGCAAGATGGTCCCCAGGCGGGATGTTCGCGATCGTCCGGACTCGACTCCAACCCAGCCGAAAGTGAGGCTGGCACTTCCACAGAGCAATATCCAGAGAGCCAAAAGCCCACTGCCAAATCACACTCGACATATCACAGCTTTTGGATGCCCCTTTCTCTCCCTCCTTCTTTCGTTGCACCTCATCCGTCGTCGATACGGTACCTTGGGCTTGGTCGAGGCGCCGCTCTTGTCATCCCGCTCCTTCTTTTCGGCTCTCCAGCGATTCTCGCCGGTCTCGAGGAGCCAGTGGATCAAGTACGAGTACATTTCCAGGCTCTGCTTTCCGATCTCAAAGGCACGTTGGTTGCCATCGTCAATGTCCCGCTGCACGCTCTCAATCTGGGAGTCGAATTCGGAGAGCACCAGATCGACAAACTTGTTGCCGATGGCGCCCGGAAGACTGTCAAAGTGTCTATGTTGCGCCGGGAAAGGATGAGATTGCGGGTGGCACACAAGTCCGAGGACACCAACGGTGAGTGAGAGGGAGAGAATGAATGAGTCTGTGAGCGAGGGCAGCAAACCGCAGGAGGCAAAGGCAACCCTCCGGCTCCTCTTCCCCTCGACAAGTAGATACGATTGTGGTTCAGGATGGATTGATCACGGTGCTTACTTGATAAAGCTTCGGACATGATCAAAGAGCTGCTCATCAATGATGTTGGAGGAGTCTTCCTGGAGTTGCACCAGGATCTCTGCATTGGGTGAGAGGGGTGACATTGCGAGTTGGGGAGGGGCGATCGGCGTGAGTGGGGCGCTGCGGGATTCCAACGTATGTACTGATCCAGGTCCGATGCATCCGAGGGAGGGGGAGCACGATTGGGAAGCGACGCCCGAGATAATCCAGTGCAGGAAAGAGAGACGATTTCGCACCATCGAGCTTGCCGTCGAGCTCACGGAATCCCCAGTCGGACAGCGGAAGCTCGGCGTCCCAGGTGAGCGAGCGCTCCTGCAGCTGCAGAAGCTCTGCGTGGAGGTCGAATGTGTTCATGGCGCTCCAGGGCCGATCTGAGAGGGCCAGCGGGTGTCCGTGGATGAGCAGGGAAGGGGGGAGGAGCGAGCGAAGAGGAGGTTGCTGGGGTTGCAGGTTGATGGCAGGCGGACTGGTTGGTTGGTTGGCTGGCTGACTGACTGACTGGCTGGAATCAATTTGCCCGGTTTTGGAAGGCGCCGGATGGAACCAGCGGCCCAAACCGAACCAGCAGCCCATGTCACAAGCCACCATGGCACCTCGCATCAAATGCGCCACCCAGCGGCCGGGATTGTTGTATCGCATGCAGGGCGAAGGATGGGAGTGTCGATTCCGGACCCAGAAAAAGACGACGACCCTGGGTCACAAAGCAGGGACAGTTCTCGGCGCAAACAAAGTCGAGAAAACGTTTCCAAAATGAAATGGGACACCCCCGTTTTGAGCTATGACTGTATTTTTTCTGGAACCTGAATACACACACCCACTCATCGCATTCATGGCCAAGCAAGCAAGTCATCGGCCAGGCACCAAAGGAGACCGAAGTGGTGACTGCCTTTGGGAATGCCTCCTGGAAGCAAGGGAAGGGATATGCTTCCAGTCCCAGGAGACTCAGGTTTGCCAAGTATTTCGAGCAGTTCCACCACCACCAGAGACGACCACCAGACCGATCCGTCTCCAAGATCCATGTGTGCTCGGTGAACGAGTTCAACACGTCCCAGGTGTGCTCACATTGTCGGGAAGCCAAGCGACTCGAGTCACCCGAGTATCTTGATATCGAGAAACCACACTTTGTCCGGAGCTGTGCAAGCTGCCATACGCTGTGGGATCGAGACATCAATGCCTCAAGGAACATGATCTCGGTATGCCAGTCGATCATCGCCACAGGAGATCGACCGGGTGTATTCAAGACTGTGCTTCCCAAACCAACCTAAACAAAGAGATTGCCAAACAGGACGGGAAACAATCTCACGGCTTGCCCGCTGGGGCCTACAAGTCAGTCAGCGGGCTTCAGACATCTGAAGCCAGGAAGTGACTGTCCCGTTTCTTTCTGGACCGACTGTATATTACTTCTATCTGGAAAGCCAAAAAAAGGGAGGAAGGAACACAACATTCAAAGCAGTGCAGAAGAAATCGAAAGACAAGCAGCAACCGCTAGGAGCAACCCCAGGCGGCAGTGCGCAAGGATAAACAACAGCAAACCAAAGACAAAGCTTGATAGTAGTGGCAATCAAGGATGGGCCTAGTGGACATGGGTGGGGGGTAATGGTCTCGCCGATAGATCTTGTTTTCGAGACAAGGGGTGGTGGTGGCGGAGGGTGGGTTGCCTTCTCTCCGATCTAGTTGCTGTGGCCGCCGGTTGACATACTGGTCATAGAAACCTGGTTCTTCATGGCGCTTGAGCCCGACACTACCGAGGCGTTGGAGGGCTGGTTCTGCAGGGCGCCACGGGTGGGATGCGAGTCGGCCGACATGTTGGTGGTGGTGTAGGAAGACGACTGCTGTTGTTGACGGTAGACTTGGATATGCTCGGAGGTCATGGAGCCTGTCCGGATGCTGTCGCTGCTCTCGAGGCCATCGAGCGGACCGGCGAGCAGCGGACCGGACGGGCTCAGGCTGATCGACTCGGGGATCGATGCCAAAAGCTCGGCCGATTTGACTTCCTTGATGGCTGCCTTGATGAAGTTGAGAAACCGCGCTCCGTACAGCACGGGATTGACAGCCGAGATTTGGGTCTGGCCGTGTGTAAGGGAGTCGGCATGAGACATTGAGGTATCCTGTACAAGCACACAGCCGCACTCAACCGTACCCTCGTCACACCCGATAGCTGACCGGCGCAAATCAAGGTTTTGCTGGGAGGAGGGGAAAGTCCCCGTCTTTGATGCAGTCGAGCGAGAGCTTACCCCGTCGGCACTCATGCTTTTCCATGCGTGCTCTACGCGCTTGGCAGCATTGTATTTTGTAAAGATGTCGATGATACCGATGTAGTAGATCTCCAGACCGGGGTTGTTCTGGTCATCGGTCGAGTAGTATCCACCGTGGTCGCGGTAAAAGTTACAGTATTTGCGTCTGTAAAGGAAGGGCGGCGACAGTAGACACACCGCCGTCGATAACAGCACAGTTAGCGCCGTCCGGTGGGCTGCGGTTCGGCCAATCCAAGTCTCTGCCATCAAAAACAGACAGGCAGAACGGAGCAAGGGAGGGCGATCCGGATGGCCGACTCACTCGCTCGGTGTGTTGTCGGGCAGCTTGGCGCTGCCAAGGGTGACTGCCTCAGACTCGATGATGCTCCTCTTGAAGGCGCTGGAGCGGCTGCCCCGTTTCTGCAGCGTCGGGCGCGACAGCGTCTCTTTTTGAGGCTGGGCATTCCGACAGATGGTGGAATGAGATATTCGGCAGACACGATGGCGAGTCCAACCACAGTCCCGCAGATGGGGCCGAGCAAGAGACGGACAGGCGCGGCTCAAGGCAAGTGGAATCTACCTCGAAGACGTTCAGAGTGTTCTCACGGATATTGTCTTTGTTGCCCTTGATGGTGTCGTGATATCCGATCAGCAGCGAATAGTCCATGATGCGCATGCGGATGAGGAACTGGGTAGATGATGCAAGAGTCTGGTAGGTGAGTGGGAGATCGTCCCTTGTGTGTCGTCTTCCGGGCTGTGTCTGTCTGTTGGAGCCGCTCTCACTGCAGCGACGATGCATCACTGCCGTCCAACAATATCGAGGAGGATGGCAGAGCGCTCCACGTCAAGCAAGGGGAGCGGTCTAGATCGAGCAAGGAAGCGACAGGGCATCGACAGAAAGGTCGCTTACAGCCACATCCTTCTCCAGCTGATCGATCAGCGTCTGGCGCTTTTCGGGCCCGAGCACAATCCGCTTCTTGCGATTCAGAAAGTTGAGATCCTTCATGACATCGCCGGGCTTGGGCTCGTCGACCTTGAGCTCTCGACCGATGGTCGAGCCCTTCAGATCGTAGACCTCGTGGATATCCTTGTTGGCTGGGAAGACATTGCCCATGACCACAAAGTGGATCTTTCGGTTTCCGGGGAGCTTGACACGATGGAGTCCAAAGATGCGCGAAACCAGTGTGTGTGGATTGTGGCAGATGTGCTGCGAGCGACAAGTGTGCGCACGATGCGAGTTCGATGGGAATGCAGTTGGAGTCAGGGATAGTGTCGATGGCATTGAAGCCTTGCACCATTGCATCGCCGTGGCATTGCAACCATGCGATGCCGTCCTCTTGCACCTCTCTCTCTTGGACTCGCACCTCATAGTACTGCTGCAAGATCTTCCTCAGGAACTTGTGCTCGCCGTGGTGGATAGTCTTGATGATGAACCGGTAGTCTTGCGAGAAGTAAAAGAAGCTGCCGCTCTTACCAGGACTGCCGAGCTCCGAGAGCACATACTTTCCGGTCAATGAGAGCTGCATCGCACGGCGAAACGGGTTGATTTGAATCGAGTTGGGTTGAGATGAAGGGACATGGTGGCCAGAACCAAACAGGATTCAGAGTCAGTCAAACGGGGGATGGCAACTACACAAAAGGGTATTGGGACAGGCGTGGTATGGAGCCCGATTCGTGTGATCGTAGATACAGGACTGGTGCCGAGGTACAGCGAAGGAGCGGTGGTTCTCCCGCCAGACCGATGCTTGCACATCATCGAAACAAGATACCCACCAAGTACTCGGCAGGATCGACCTTGAATGCATCGCGGATATATCGGAAGACCCAAGGGGCATAGTCCTTGAACTTGAAGTCGTACTTGGATGAGGGCGTGAGTTCGTTGCCTGTGCTGTTCCGCACCAAGATGGGCGATCGCGATCCAGTACAAACAGCAGAGTGTGAGAGACAGATCATCAGGCAAAGCGCAGATCGGAGGGGTTGGGCACAGAGGCAGTACCGGCGCCGGCCAGTCCCAGACAATACACTAAGGATGCGCCTCGCATGTATGTGGCACGAGCTCGGGGAATACGATGCGCTTCATCCAGTGGTCGCTGTGGTGCGAGCAATGCTGCCAGCCAGCTGGCTGGGCTTCCAAAACCTACACATCAAACGCCAGCTTGTTCGCGGCTTTGTAATCGGCCGGACTCAGTGGCCGCGCAGGCTTGGCATTGCATCTCGAGACCTGTGATTGAAGAATTCATATAGGAGCGAATGGAGGGGGGGGTGTGCGAATCACAAGATAAACCGTTTAGAATGCACCCCCTTTAGAAAGTGCAATTCGCAACCGACCCCTCGGTGACCGAGACATGGCATATTCAAGCGAGCAGCACTGCCGCAGCCAACGACAGCATCTGCAGCGCCCGAGAATCCAAAAGACTTGCTCAGCTGAGACACACTGCTTTGACCCGATCTGGCCGCTGTTCGGCCGTTGTCCCGCCGTTGTTTCGCCGCTGTACCGCCGTTGGCACACGAAGCAATCGAGCAAAACTGCGGTACTGACCGAGATTCGGATGCCTGTGAGCATATCGTACATCAGCATGTAGTTGACATGCCCTTCCTTGACGGGCGTGCCGACGAGCACGTCCTTTTCGCTCTTGTTGCGTCGGAGGCGCCGCTCGGGATCGAAAAAGGACGAGCTTATGGTCAGCCGGCGTGTGACGGTGCCCTGTTTGAGCATCGGGGTCGATCCGACGGAAGAAGCGATGCCGTGGCTACTGGAATTGAAATTGTTGGCGAGCGGTGATGTGGGGGACATGGGCGATATGGCATGAAGAACCGAGTTGGAGCTCGTGTCGACGATGACGCTCGACGACTGCGATGCGGTTGTAGTGATATTGGGGAAGTTGAGGGAGCCTGTGGGCCGCAGAGGCGACTTTACGGGCGACGGGGTTGCGAATGACTGGGTACGAGTGGTTCCAAAGGTTTCGCGTCGATTTTCGAGAGGATCCTTGCGTTCCTGGACTTTGAGCTGCGCTGTGGAGGTGACAGGGAGCTCCATCAGCCGGGCAACATTGGGCGAAGCTGGGGTGAGGCCGAGTGAGGTTCGGGACACAACCAGCGAGCCAAGGCGAAACCACACATCGCGACATTGACGACCGATGAAGTGGATGCGGGGGTTGCCGGGGTTGGGTCAATCAAAGTGTTGAATAAAAGACAGCGACAGGCCAGGCCGCAGGCGACCAAAGTTGATGGCACCATAGCAAGCGTTGAGTTGATATTCCAGGGAGGAAATTGTCAGGCCAGAGCAGTGTCAAAGTGCAGGGTTTTGCATCCGCAGAGTCAGAATGTTAGATCGCGTCGACACACGAATGTATCCGCCTTGGATGAATGACGGCAGCCATCGATACGGCAAGCCATCGGTATCGCCAGCCATCGATGTCATCGGCCCTTGGCAGAGCCAGCCATCACCGCCACGGCGGACACCCAAGCACCAGTATCTCCGATGCATTTGTACCTGGAGCGTCGGCCGGGTCGCTCAAGCTCTGGGACGAAGTCGCCGGAATCACGCCAAGCATGGCGGTGAAGCTCTTCTCCAGCCCATCGGTTCCTTTGAGATACTGGTTGCTGGTATCGACTTCGAGAGGGGCGGACGAGTTACCGGAGAGCCGAAGCAGGGTTGGAATCAGCGAAGGCGCTCCGGGGTTGGCGGGGGCGGCGGGGGTGATGACGATGGAGGCTCTGGGCGACGGCTTTGAATCTACCGCAGAGGCCACCGCCGCAGAGGCAGGAAGGGCTGAAGATGCATTGTCGTTCATGGGCTCGTCGTGCGAGGAGGCGATGAGGGCCATGGAGGGTTCAGGGCTTGGGGCGGCAACACGATAGAGAGCGGTGGGATTCGAGGGGCGACGAGACAGAAGGTAAAGGCTTGGGCGGCCAGGGGCGAGTCGGATGCAGATCGATGGGGATCAGAGGGGCGAGCGGCAGTGGCAGCGACTCGGTATCCAGAGGGGAAGTGTGCGAAAAAGCCGGGGAGGACGAGATCGAAGGATCGAAGGATATGCAAGAGCAGGGACAGGAGGAGCCACGACGCAGGAAACGCCGAGACAGATCGATCGGGAGATGTCCGGCGAACGGCAACGGCACCGTGGAGAAGCAGACGGACAGCGAGGATAACGGAGGAGAGGAGAGAGGGGGGTCCGGTCCAAAGCCGTATGGCAGAAGCAACGGCGGGAGACGACAGCCGACGAAGAGCAGGAGCAAGGGGGGCGAGTTGGGATAGGAGATATCGTTTGGCTGGCTCGTTTGGCTGGCTCGTTTGGCTGGCTCGTTTGGCTGGCTCGTTTGGCTGGCTCGTTTGGCTTTGCTGGCTGGCTCTGTGGGAGGATTTGGCTTGGTTTGGTTTGGTTTGATTTGATTTGGTTGGTGCTGCTCTGCAAACCTGCCCTGGCGGTTCGTTATTTTTCGAGCGAATGGCGCCGCAATCCGACAGCGCGGGTGTCTGACACGGCGTGAGCGCCGGTGGATGGTCTGGGGGACCTATATCGGCGAGACGATACTGATGATGCTGATGCCGGTGATAATGCCGATGATGCTGATGCTGATGCTGGCGGTAACTTTGATGCCTGCCGGGTGGCAGCGGCACTCGCTGGATCCAGCCTCGGTGAGCGAGGCAGCCCTGGCTGTCATCCCACACATTTTCCGCACGCTCTCTGCAACAGCAGCGCCAAAGCCGCAACGCGATGGCTTTTGGGTTGTGCGAGTTTGGGTTTGTTGGGTTGCAATGCTCCGCAGCGGACAAGCGACTGTGGCGCTGCGCGGCTGTGCGACAGGCCGGGTCGATCCGGGTCGATCCAGGCGGGTTTCGCGAGCCCTTCCCCCAGCCCCAGCCCCAGCCCCACGCTGCCTTCACAGCGCACGCGCGGCCTTGCCTCTCCCAGGTCCCTGAAACGCAAAGGCGCAGGCGACAGCGGAAACAAGACCGAGTCGTCGGCGTCCAGCCAGAACTCCTCCCCACCGAGGTTTTCCCGCCAGAGTCCCTTCGCCACCCGCAGCTCCCTTTTTTTCCCCCCGCTCGCTCGATCCACCCGCCTCTTGCTCTTGCTCCACCGGGTGGAAACACTTTACCCACGACCCCAGGGTTCTGCTCGGACGACAGCGCAGCCTCGCTGCGGCTTTGGTGCATGTCGCACTTCCAGCGGGACTGGCCGCTGCCACATACTTCCCGACAGCAGCAAGGCCGTCTCGCAAATTAAAGTTGCTTTGCCGCTATAGAGTCCGCTCGCACCAGTAAACTTCTTACTCGCTCCATGACGTCACCACCACCACCACCACGACCAAGAAACGTTGCTGTTCCCACGGATCAGCACCACTCTCCTCTTGGGCCTCCACACCGGCCCTCGGTCGTCGTGTCCCCCGCAGGCCGATGGCGAGAAACGTGCGCGGTCGAGCGGTCGCGCGCTGACATGTGAAGTGGTCGCATTGCTGGCCAAAGGAGCACCAGCCCAACCCGCACTGCCCCGGCGACCTGCCTGGGACTGGGAGGGTGGTCCCGCAAGTGCTCGATTGGCTCCTGCAGGACAGTTGCTGCTGCTGCTGTTGCTGTCGTTGGCGGAGGCGGAGGTGGAGGCGCTGTGGATGCGCTTTAGTGAGCCGGAGGCAGCGCTCGGATGGGCAGCAAAGCACAGAAGGGGGCCTTGCCATCGACAAGCACTTTCGATCCGGTGCAAATGAGCGCCTTGCCACAGACCCATCCGGGTCCATGCGGGAGAGGCCCCATCGTCATCGGACCTTGCCCCATCTCGCAGACCGCGGCGCCCGTCTCTTATTTGTCCCCGGCCAAGGCAAGACACCACAGCCGACGGCAATCGATTGACTATAGCCCCACATCGTATCGCATTTTTCCTTCCCGTTGCGCTCCCTTACTCTCAGTTCCAATGCATCGTTTCAATCCCCCCCCCCGCACAGCCCCAGCGCAGCCCACCACCTCCACACCCCGCCCGCGGCAACAGAATCCCGACGCCCACAAGGGCAGCAACCTGGAACGTGCGACCGCTCGCTGGGCGCACGCCGATTGGCCCGTGCCCCGCGGCACGGCCGGCCCAGCACGGGCCCGTTGCAATGTCCGCGAAGTGGTTCTGCACGGCGCTGATTGGCGGCGGCCCACCCGTGTAACCACGTTGCCTGCTGCCTTTGGCCTGCCCACCGCGCGGCTGCCCCGGGCTTGTGTTTTGGTGACTGCCCATTATTCAGCGCTTTTGGAGCAACGGCGCTGGACTTGGACTTGTGCCAGCCGAGATCGCCTGCAGCGCCAGACCGGATATTACGCCGGCCATCCCCTTCCCCGCCCCGAGGCTGTCCAGCGCCCAAGCGTCCTTGCCTCCCCAGCTGGCTCTGTTCTGGTCGTCCTTCCGCGCTCCCGTCTGCGACATCCGAATCCGCTGTCGGTAAGGTCCAGCCTTGCAATCTTGCCTGGAGGAGGGTGGTCCACTCGAGACTGGTCCGGGATGTGTTTCCAGACGGCAACATGTGCCCACCCCGGCGCCGTCGGACTCGTTGGCGTGTGTTGGCCGCAGGCCGGTTGGGTTGGTCTGGCAGATGCGTCGCACCTGCGAAATGCACTCGGCTGCACTCGGCAATGGCGTCTTGGTCGAGTCTGCGATTGCGGTCCCACTTGGCAATCCCACTTGGCAATCCCGCTCGGCAATCCCACTGGGCGGTTGCATCTCGCCCAGCAACCTCCCCCCCAGCCGGCATCCGCCATTCGGCCCAGCAATCCTTTTTCCTTTCTTTGCTCGGCAATCTCCTCCCCCTCTCGTCTAACACCCACCGTCTCTGTGCTTGAATCAACCCCCGTCATCGCCAGTCGCATCGCCAGTCGCATCGCAAGCCTCCTCGTCGCCGCTGTCGCCAAGAGCCCAGCACATCCGCTGTTGCAGCCACCGCACTGCCCACTTGCATCGGCTCGCTCGACCCGCGGCTTGTCCTCGTTTCGCAGGCCACGTTCCATAATTTATCCTTTCCTCCAACCAGCTACAAGCCCGTCTGTATCCCCACCCTCTGCCTCTTTCCGCCCAACCCCGACAGTCGACTGTCCAATCCGACTGTCAAGCAGCCGCTTTCACCCTCGTACAGCCCAGCCCAGTCCCCCAGCAACCGCCCCCCCTCGCACCGGTCTTTGAAATTTAAAACCCGTCTTGTTCCCTCGCCTTGCCTGTCCTCCTTCCGCCCCCGTATCCTGTCTTGGGCTTTGGCAATCAGTCTCGGTTTCGTTCGCCTGATTGTCTCTCGAGTCCATAATCTCTTTCCACCCTCCCCTCGCTGTCTGTGCTCCCACGCTGCCTGCCCTTCCTCGCTGCCTGTCCTTCCTCGCTCGAATCAGACCCGGTGTCTCCAAGAGCGCTTCGCGTTGTTCTGACCAGGATCTTCCAGAAGCCGCCTGCCTCGTTGCTCCCAGCTTTCCTCGCCGGTCGCTTCTGCTTCCGCCACCTCGCCGCTCGGCTTCTTTTCTTTACCAACGCAACCGCCCTCAACCTCGACGGGCCCGCCCCTCTGTCCGTAGCCTCCCGTAGCCTCCCGTACGCCAATCTCTTAGCCTCGACCATGGCCCATCAGTCGCCGCTGGCGTTTCCCGATATCCGCACTCTATTTGATACTACCGATTCGCAAATGAATCAGCAGCCCGGTCTCGTTGACTCGAATCGAATCTTGACCCCGGCTCTGGATCCGGCAGCCCTCTCGTCAGCGCCGCCCAATACGGTCTCGCTGACAACATTACACCACAGCTCGCCCCAACAAGTTCTGGCCCCGGTGACCTTTCAGGTAACTGCTTTACTGCAGAAGGGGGGATATCCTCCCGACTTGTGCGTGGAGCAGCAGAGTGTATGCATGCCGCTGGCTTTGTGCATGCTGGGCAAAATGTGGTCGACTGGATACGGAGTCTGGATGTGGCGTCCTTGATGGCCAGGCTGGTCGGCTGGATGTGATGTTGCTCAAGATCCCAAAGACAGCCCAACACCCAGACCAACACTATCGCATATCCACTCCGAGATCTGCTCCGATCTGCTCCGATCTGCTCCGATCTGCTCCGATCTGCTCCGATCTGCTCCGATCTGCTCCGATCTGCTCGCCCAACAACCGGCACCCAAATCTTTACTATCCAACAACTAACATTCATCGCTCCATATCCAATCCTTTCCGACCATCCCCCGGCTTTGGCCCCCGTCCTCGCCAGCCCTCCTACTCTCCCGGCATGCGGCCTCGTTTGTCGCCCTACAGCCGGCCCCAGAGTGCCCACTCGCACTCTCGCGGCCCGCCACCCACCTACGCCCATCAGCGCAAGATTATGCGGACGCGATCAGCAAACGACTTTTCGGGCCTCAGCATGCCCGAGACCCGCCCGGTCGAGCTCACCTCCCCCGACACAATCGCCCGGCCACCTCTGGGCTTCTCCCCGAACGTCGGTCCTGTTGCCGCGGTCGCCCTCAAGCCACCGTACATGATTCCCACATTCCCCTCGCCGGGAATGCCCTCGCAGATCCATCAAGCCTCCATGGTCCCGCTCCAGTCGCTTCCCCAGGCGCACCCCTCGCCGTCACACATGGTTCCGTCGACGCCCCACTCGATATTGTCGGGCGACTCGCCCTTCGGAGACCAGATGACCATCAGCTTTCCGCCGCTCGAGAGTCCGCTCATCCAGCCTGCTGTGGGTGGCTATCCGTCGCCGATGGCCTACCCGCACATGCGCCCTGCCCATCTGCTGCAGGCCCAGCCGGTGATGGTGTCCCACGAGAGCCTCTCGGCCGTCTCGAGCAGCCATAGCAACCTCACCTCTTCCTTTACAAGTCCGTCCATGTCCGGCCATGATCCTGCCGCCTTTGGTTCAGACGGATACGCATGTAAGCAGCGCCGACTTATGGCTTATGATAGCAGTGCGACATGTCGTCCACAGCAACTAGATTGGCTGAGCCAGTCGCCTTCCTGCACATCCGTCTGTCCTTGCGACGCCGTGGCCTCCCGCTGTCGTGTGGGTCTCATTTGCTCATGTTAGCTGGTCCTGACTACCTTTCTGTCTCTTCTCGATGCCAATGCCGCTCTCCACAACCAGCACTCCACGATGACGGCCTTGGGGCTGGCAACGACGATCTCGACCTTGGCGATGACAACGACTTTGACGACGACGATGACGATGAGTACGTTAGTCTCCTCCTCTTCCCCACACATACACATACGCATAGACATACGCATAGACATACACATAGACATACACATGCATGGCATGCAACGCTTCCGCCCAACCCATGCATGCCATTCTGATCTTTTGCCGTCCTTCTGTGTACTCCAGCTTCCCCATCGGCACTTCATCTTCCGGCGGCTCGAAAAAGTCGCTCCGAAAAGCCGTGCATCAGGTCTCGGAGCAGCGGCGCCGCCTGCAGCTGCGTCAGTGCTTCAATTCGCTCGTCGAGATTGTGCCGCTCGACAAGGTGCCCATCGAACGCAGCGAAAAGAAGCGCACCCGGTCCCTGAACCGCATCCAGATCCTCCATCGCACCCTCAAGTACATCTACATGCTGCAGGAACGTCGAGAGCGGCAGGAAGAGACCCTGTCCAGACTGAGGCAGGAGCTGCAGGAGCTGCAAGAGCCCGACAGCTCCTCTGGATGAAACCAATCCAAGCGACACTGCTGTGTTCTCTATAGCTTCGCCGCGCTATTGGTCTACTGGTCTACGGCGCTACTGCTCTTCCGTTTCTGTTGTCCCTCCTCCTCCTCTCCTAGTCTCTCCCCTCTCAGTCCCAAAGTGCCCTCCCTGTTCGCTCTGCCTCGAGCAGCATAAAGTCGTTGGGCATGGCTTCGACTTGTGGAAAAGCACTGCCCGTGAATGCCCTACTTGGCGCAGAGGCGCTACAGCTTCCTCGCTTTCTTCCACAAGCAACGGACAATCGTCCTTGTGCTTCGTTGACCCGTCTTTCTGTCTCCGTCCTTCTTATTATCTCCGCCGTTCGTCGTTAACGTCGCCCCTGCCATTCTGTGTCCTGCCCATGAGCCCCCCCCTCTCCCTCACCTGTGGATAGCCATCGTTCTGTCTGCCTCCGTTGCCCTGCTGTGCTGGAGTAATTGTGGCTGATCCTCTTGCTCGCATCCTCCCCTCCCCTCCCCTCCATTTTCTCCATTTTCATTATTATATTATTATCGGTTTCTTTGACTATTGCTTTGCTGCCTATCTTTCTTTCTGCATTCTGTCCTTTCGTGTATTTGCCAAGTGCTATTGTACATCAGAGTTGATTTTAACCAAGTCCTTGCAAGCCCCCCTTCCTTCCTTCCTTCCTTCTCTCCTGTTTATCCCATCTTCTCAGCAACCCGCATCTGCATTTCCACGACCTTCTTGCTGTCGCATCCAAAGAAAACAAATCGTGTCTACTTACGCCACCCCACCTGCACCCCCCCCTCTCCGTATGTCCTGTCGAGCCTGCAAATGTAAACCTAAACAAAGACTACTTTAAGCAACACATCATCCCTAGCCTGGCTCGTTGCTGCGACTGCCTCTCTCGAGAGTAATCTATGCTCTATACTTAGACCAGCCACATTTGGATATGCATCGTGGTCGTTGCTGCAAGATGTCATTCCGCCCTCCCTCTTGGACTGGTTTCGCACGGCGGGACTGGGCTTCAGCAACAAAAGTCGCCACCGCTGCTCTCCTTCCGGCTTTCTCGGTGGCTGCCGTGGCCGCCTCGGCACCTCGGCCATCACCACAGCCTCGACCCCCGGTCGCTTGGCCACGCGGCGCCATCGCCAGCGCGCTGGTACATCCTGGCTGCGGGGACGACTGTTTGTGGTACCGGCATGGCCCTTTGTTGGTGCTCGGAATCGCCAATGCACGAGGACAGGCGGCCTTGCAGGGGCACAGCGATCGTTTGGCTGCGTGGCTGCCCGATCGACTTTGGGGGGTGCCTGGTCTGGCGGCCATGCTGCGTCCGCGGCCGTCACCCACCTCCATGCAGTGATCTGCATGAGCACCCTGCAGTCCATCGAGAGTCATCTGCCGCCGCCCGCCGACCGGCAGGGCCAAGCAATCCTCGCTGTACCCCATGGCTGCCCTCGCTCGTCGACGAGCAGCAACATCGACTTGCTTGGGCCAACCCGCTGTGGCTCGTCCCCGTCCTCGTGCTGTGGGCCGTGGCCCCCCACGCCTCCCGACCACAGCCGCTGGGCACCACGGCGACAAAGGCCTGCAGCAGCGCGTGGGAAGCGCCCCTGTCTTTGCCTTCCCAGCCAAAGCCGTTTCTCCTGCCTGGTCGCGGCGGCTCGGTGCTCGTCATCCTCCTGTTCCCCAGTCCAGCTCCCCGCTCCCATGTGCCTGCCATCTGCCTATCTCGCTCTTACATTTTTTCCCTTTCTTCTTTCCCCCCTCATCTCCTTATTGCCATCTTTGCTCAAGATCCACAGCACCAAAGGCGCAACAGCGCTCCAAGGAAGCCGTTTCCCAGGCTCGCTTGCTCGCGTGCTTGCTTGCTTGCTTGCTTGCTGGCCTTGGGCGATTCGCAGGCACAAGTGTTGCCATGCTCGCCGGGCCATGTGGCTGCTCTTCATTTTCGGAACCATGCAAGCCACCATCGCTCAGCACCACGGTTGTGCCGCAAACCTTCGTTCGTCTCTGAACGCCTTGCCCCCCCACGCTCCTCTTCCTTCCTTACTTCTCCCTCTCCGTTCGCACGCACGGCTTGAAAGAGCACTACCGTTTGTTCACTCGTCTGGTGCCTGCGCGTGCCTGCCTGTCAGCCCGTTAGTCCGTCCGTCCGTCGGGCTGGCGGATCTGTGCCTTCATCGCTGCAATTCTGTCCAATCCCGATACGAGCAGAGTGTGGGCGAGCGAGCGAGCGAGCGGGAGGACAACGGGGCTCTGTCTTGCTCTCCCGATTCCTTGGACTTTTGCCATGGAAAAAAACAAAAACCAACTCCAAAGAGAGAGAGTGTGCGTGTGTGTGCAATCCTTGTCCATCTGGTCCCGGCTCGCTACGGGTCTGGTGTTCCATGGCAGGGGGGCATCCCGGACTCTATACCCAAGCTTGAGTTTGAGCCAGCGCGGCATTGCAGCGATGGCAGAAAGCAAGTGGATGCGACGGGGTATCTCCAAACTTTGCTTTTCGCTGGCTACTTTTGGGATGGGGATTTACTCTTGCGCCGACTGTGATGAGCTTGGTCGTTCCCGGCCGAGTACACGACATGATTCAATTCGACGTGCTTGTATCCGGACGAGATGATGTGCGTTGTTGCCCATTCCGTTGACTGTATCAGTCCAGAAGCACATCCCCAGTGATCTTCTTACTCGGAAATCCAGGTCGGCAAAGCCAACACCACAACCAATAGAGGGCGATCGCCCCACGGAAACCAGGGAACGATGGATGTTCGGGATCCATGAACACTCCACTCGCAGCGGACTTGCTGACGACCACCACTGGCCAGCGGATTCTCAATCACAAACCGCCCCAATCGGTGAAATGTATTCGGAAACAAGCAGGGGTGTCCTACTTCCTGTGCAAGTCGCAAACGATCCTATCCACACAGTGGCCTGTGAAGACAACCTGTTGCTCTCCCCTCCCTCTCTCCCTCTCTCTACTGCAAGGCGATGGAGTGGGGGGGGGATCGGATCGGATTGGCAGTGTTTGCGAGCACATGTATATCAAAAAAAAGAGTAAAACAAAGCAACCGCAGGTGGAGGATGCAAGGTCGATCGGCGCTATTGTACGCTGAGAGGGCAGATGATCCAGCACTGTCCGCTGTGGAGGCTTTCTTTCCTCCACGGACAGGCACATCGATGGGCAGTCCCATGTCGGATGCAGCCTCGCTGAAAACCCCTGGCTCCGCGGCCAAGCCCACTACTCGGCCCCTTGAGAGCTTCCGTCGAGTTCGCTGAGCTTGAGATAGCCCTGAATCGATTCCTCGCCCCGGAGCTGTGCAGCAGATGGGCTCGATCCGCTGTCGTTGGATCGCAGGTACGAAAACGATGTTGTCTGCACTTTGGTACGAAGGAGCGAACCTGCGGTCGTTCGGGGACCATGGAGTGTCGTTTCAGAGACCCGACAGTAGCAGCGTTTCGTCAGCCATGTGTGTTAGTCCGACAATGAACCAGCGAGCAAGCAGTCGATCCATGTTGCCTTGCTCATTGCAGAAGAATCCACCCGGAGCCAGTCGTTCGTCATTGCAGACTCTACTTCTCTCTCATACACAGACCCGACCAGAATCACGTCATACCTAGCTCGCTACCCTGGGCCTGGTCGCGGCTTCTGGTGCCAGAGGTAACTGGGGTTCCACCGGGAGACCTAGAAGTCGGCCATGGCGGACGTTGATGGATGGGAGCGCCATGTGGTAAAGCAAGAATCAGCCTCGCGCGGACAACCCGCCCATTCATTGCCATTGTACGCCTGGCTACGGCATGATCGGCCGAGCGTGGCCAGGAAGAGACGACGAACCTGGGGATGTGTGTGTCTCTCAAGCGAGGCATCAGGAACGAAGCCGCCCTGCAATTGAAAGATCTGCTGTTAATTGCTGAGATTGATGTGGCGGCCATCGATCGGACCCAAGAGATGATGCTAGCAGTAGCAGGACCACACGGCCGAGTCCACTTACGCAGGTGCCTTCTTGGGCGATGCTCCAGGTCGCGGAATCGCTGTCAAGTGGCTGCGAGAGCTTGGGCTCCTGAGACGACAAATTGACAGTGGTCAGCACCAAAAGCATCACGTAGCGCGTGGATGCAGAGGTCTATCCCTGCCGTTGTGCTGGAGGTTCTTTGGCAACAGATTCCGGAAACCAACACAGCCAATTCTGTCGTCCGAGAGCACGACGTCATGTCCCGAGAGACTCGACCATCCAGTGTCACGGCCTCCCCCTCCCTTTCTCAACTCGAGGTGTTACGAACTTGCGAAGATCCGGGACAGGCTTTCCAGCAGCGACTCTGTTCAATCGGAGATGGGTTTGGTGAGAATGCAGTCCGTCACCCGTCGTGCCAGCCCATCTCACATGCCATCACATCGCATTTATGGCATCGCATCACAGCGGAGCACGGCACATTACAACCCACTGCCTCGTGTCATATCACATCCCATCATTTCGTACGTACTCTCGCACTTCCGGTTCGCGGGTCGTAGAGGAACTGCGTCGCTTGACGCCGTGTCGCTCCGATGGCGACTTGGGCTTCTTGTCAGCAACGTCCTGTGAGGTTTCGTCACTGGATATCCCAAGGTGCGTACCGATGAGTCAGCGCAAGCAGAGTTTGCATTGATGGACATGCCAGCTTCCAACATGGCCTCGCGGCTTTGCAACCGTCCCGAGCTGCTTACTCGCTGTCCGATCGAATGGGTATCCGGAGCGCGGACTCGCGTTGCGGAATCTTCGTGGTGTTCACACGGCTCTCGAGGTACTTGGAGCGAGGCGAGCTATGTGGGCAAGGAGATCGCCGGGTCAGTACAGGGCCGCCAGCCTGGGTCGTCTGACGGGGCAATGCCGCTCCCATGACTCAATCGTTCACCCTTGCCGCCGCACGAGTGCGGGTCGATGTCGAGCGGGCGACGAACCTGATCATCTGGACAATCTTGCGCTGCTTCTTGGACATCTCCAGGAGCACATCACTCATGCTCGCGCCGAGCGTCACAGGACCCTCGGGCTCGATCTTGGGCTTCTTGGTTGTGGGCACGATAACAACAGGCTCGATTTTCTGCAGCGGCGGCGGCGGAGGAGGAGGGGGCGGCGGGCCTCCATGCGGGCTCGAGCTGGCCGACAAGTCCGGATGGCGATCACGCGAGATGTTGCTGATGGAGGACTCGAGCCGGTCCAGACGGCCCTGGTCGATTATGGCCTGGGTGTGGGCACCCTCGAGCAGGCCGACTTTGGTGAATAGAATCTCCAGGCGGTGGCCCACGCTCAGATCCTGTCCGGCAGTCTGGCGGGAAGGGCTGTTCAGCAGGGTCTCGAGAGCCTCGAGCTTCCTCTGGAGCTCCTCGAGATCGGCCAACGATTTTTCGTTGCTGGTCGTCTGGATGTGTGGCACGGCTGGTCAGTGCGGCTGGAGACGATCAAGGCATGCGGCTGCATGATGGCTGCCGATGGCAAGAGACAATGCAGCTTTGATATCACAGGGCCCAGAAACGCACACACAAGCATTCGGCGGTCGGTGCAGGATATAGGATATCAGCGCAGCCCAGCTGAGTCACCGATCGAGAAGGGCCGCTTTGACCGAGCCCCCATCCATCCAGAGGAGCGATCGGCTGTACCTTGCTGCCCACAGCAGTGACCCGACGAGCGAACAACAGGCGGTAGATCAGATTGAAGACGGCAGCCACAGAGATAAACAGGAGCGTGAGGATGGCCGCGAGCGGAAGAAATCCGACCAGCTCGGAGACCTTGAGGGGCTCCTCCGAGTCCATTCGTCGCGAGATCCACGACGTCATTTCTGGGATCTTGTCGTTTGCAGAAGCCATGGCGAGCGGCGGTACGGAGAAGAGCAGCTGGTGTGAGTGGCAGCGGCTGGGCGTGGCGATATCAGGGATTACGGTGGCGGGAGCGACGCAAGCGCTGGGTTGATGAAGCTGATGGAGCCGATGGAGCCGATGGAGCCGATGGAGCTGATCGGCTGTTCTGGTCGATGAAGCCGCCAAAGGCAAGGGAGCAAGCATTTGGCCATATTTGGGCACGCCGTTGATGTCAGCAAGCCACGTGATCTGTCACACACACACATCGCTGTTCGGCTTGGCTGGCGGTTCCCACAAGCATCCACATGAGATACAGCGCCCGACGCTTAGTATTGGTGTGTATATCAATCGCCACAGTGATGATCATCCAAGCGCATTCGCGGTAGTGCTCCCAAGCGACTGCAGAAGACTCCCGCGCCACCGCAAAAGGATGGCTGCCAGCAGAGGCGACTGATCGGCGGGAACGCAGAGCCCGCCTTGCACATCGCTGGGTCGTATCGTCGCGCGGTCATCCCGTATGCCGCCCATCGCCCAGACATTACCCACAGCCAACTGGATCGCGCGACGCTTTCCCGTCTCTGCATCTACCTCTTCATCTGCCTCGAGCCCGCAATGTCGCAGGTGAGCATCGAAACCGTCGTGGCGCACACTGATACCTGGCGATGCGATCATAGCCAAGGCGCAACCGGTGTCGCCTGTCGGTGCTCCTAGCGCGATTCCCAGGACGCCGAGCGTAATACATCGAGCCCAGAGTGGGAGCAAACTAGTGCTGACGGATGTATTCGACGCACTGGCAGCAACCGAACCAGCAACCTGGCAAACAGCCTCCCAGCGCGTCTGCCGGAGCAGCAGTCGCATATGCCCCAACTGGCTCTCCAAAGAAGGATCAGGGCGTCAAGTAAGCTGTTGGAGCCAATACCACTGGATCGCGTAAAGGACTCATTGCACCTGAATCAGCCCTCGACCCCAACGACGTTGTGCTCGGTGACGCACGACATCCTGCATGTCTGGTGGATTGGCGTTTCGCTTGATGCTCTGCAGCGGAGTCTTTGGATCAACACTCGTCTCATTGGCCCCCTTTGCTTCATGCATGTGTCTTAGGCCACGAGGAGACGAGACCAAAGTTCCCCAAGGCATGCCCCCACCTTCCATGCAGCCACAGCCTCCTCGGGCATCTCCCAAGGATGTCCCTGCTGTTGCTCCGGCAGCCGTGTCGACTCTTACCCAAGCCTCCGGTTCCAAGGAACAACAGCGAGCCCAGCCCAAACCCAGTCCTGCACCCGGTGATGGTGCGCCTCAGACTCGTCCGGCCGCAGCCCCGACACAAACCTCAAAGCCAGCTGCTGCTCCCACGCAAGCACCAAGGCCAGCGGATCCCTCTCCAGCCGGAAAAGGAGCACCAACAGCGACAGTGGCACCTGCATCGTCACAAGCGGCTTCGCAGAGGCCGCCGGCCCAACCCATGCAAGTCGCTGCTCCACAACAGAAGGCACCGCCTGCAAATTCGTCTGTGAATCCATCTGCAAACCCGTCTGCAAAGCTCACACAGTCTGGTCCAGCCGCACCAGCAAAGCCGCCAGCTCAAGCCGCTCGCCCACAGGCCCCACCACAACAGTCGGCACAAGTGCAGGCACAGCCCCAACCGCAGCTCCAGCAACCCCAACAGCAGCCAGCGACCCAGGCTGCTCGTCCAGGTGCTCAGCCTACTGCTCAAGCGGCTCGTCCACAGGCCCAGACATCCGCCCAAGCAGGATCTTCTCCCTCCAAGCCGCAAGCCGGGGGGCAGCAATCGCAACAGCCCGGCACGACGCAATCGGCAGTTCCCACGCCAGTCAACACAACAGCGACCCAAGGACAGGGATCAGCGCCTGTCGGCCAGCAGTCGAAACCCCCTCAGACACAATCTGCTCCTCCGCAGGGCCAGCCAGTAGCGGTGGTACCTCCGAAAGCCTCGCCTCCAGCAGCCCAGAATGTCAAAGGTGCGGCTGCGGCTGCCCAGCTGGCTTCCGCGGATCCGTCACGACAGCGGACGGATGTAAAGTTGGCAGAGCCCCAGCGGACGGCAAACGGTGGAGCCAAACCCGTAGCACCTCCTGGCGCAACACGAGGCTCTCTCCAGAACCTTACTGATCCAAAGAACCAGACGCAGTTGGTGCAGAAGGCCCCGCCTGCAGGCAAGAAATCGTCCAAGGAGAATCTAGCCGCCGCCAAGGGACTGCCGCCGACCGAGGCATCGAAACCTGCAGCGACACGACCGTCTCCACCTACGGCCACGACCACGCAATACGTCGCTGCCCAGTCGAAAGCACCGGCCCCGGGGGCCATGCTTGAAGTGAGCAGCCCTGCCAGAACATCGGGTGCCCAAAGGGGCCATGGAGCTCAGCCGGAGAAGATCGCCATCCCGACGGCGCAATCACTTCGGGACGATGGTAAGACTTGTCCGCACTCAGCTCTGGACAACCAGTCGAATCTCGCTTCCATCGGCGTCGGGTGCACTGCCACTCGCTGGAGGCAGTCAATATCATGCTTGCTGATTTCATCCGGTGCCTACTGTTGAAACCGCAGACATTGATGATATCGAGGAGGACCCCCTTCTCCGTCGCGAGAGCCACGACACCCTCGAGGATATGCCCACCGACCATGTCGACGACGAGGGCGACGATTCTGGGACCGATGGGTACGGCGATGACTTTGAGGTGGGTTTAGATCTTGGGGAGCTGCCGAGAACCTCGCAAGTGGCCCCGTGCGTTGATTCCAATCTATCAACTTGTCGTAGGCCAGGGATCGCCGAGCTGCACTGACCCACGAGCCGCTTTGCTTCACAGGACTATAACGACGACGATTTTGAGGAGTTCCATGAAGAACCAATCCCGACGCATATTCCAGTGCCATCAAGCACCACAATGACACCCCAGCCCAAACAGCGACTGCTGGACCATACGACCAGGAAGGATGTGGACGACGTGAGTTGGCCATTGTTGAAGCCGGCGTCCTCCAGATCGGAGCCGGGCTGGGATTTCCAAGCTCTGATTGCCAAGATGGGATTTCGATAGCCTCGCACTGGCATTGGCATCTGTTGCGCTGGTTAGGCAGGAGCATACAGAGGCTGTTCGTGCTTGGGCAGTTGGGTAATCAGCACACCGAGATCGACATGGTCGAGACGAGAACCCTGATGATTGCCACGACCGATTTCAGGTGATCCGCGCCCTGGACAAAGAAAACGAACTGGCTTCTTCGCACCAACAGCTCAAAGCGAGCAGCTCGAATCTGATCCGGAGTGGTGCGGATATGCAGCACCAGATTGCAGCGCATTACTTCCCAGGCGCGGGGTGGCTTTCAAATATGTCTTTGCATTGTCTCCCTCAGAGATATACACTCTGTCGTCTAACGACAGCCCTTGTGCATGACCATACTTTCTTTCTATGCTTGTAGGGCCCAAACCCGAGACACCGACCCATCCACTCCCTGTCCGTGTGGCTCTGGACCTTGATGCCTCGCGACAGAAGGCACAGAAAACCAAGATTGCATCGCTGGCGGAGCAAAGGCGAAACAGGCGAATGAAGGACCTCTTGAGTCTCATCGAGCTCGATGTCTGCATATACAGCCATTTTGAATTGGCTCCACTCAACGAATACGAGCTGTACATACGCAACTATGGATCGTCCAATGCCGTTCAGGTATGTGGCGCGCAGCCTCAGATCGACGACGCCGATGTATTTGATGCTCGCTCTGCTTGCGCTGTCTGGGCAATGTCGCGCGGTCGGTGCATGGGCTGAACACCGTGATCCGAAACGATGAACTGGAAGCGGCGCATTCCATCGCATGAAATCCGAGGCGTGGTATCTGAAATTTGGCTTTCGCCGCATCGTTCCAGGCGTCCACGCAGTGCAACGACGACCAGTGCGAACGCGAGTGCCAGACCGAGGACTGGGAAATCGAAGACAAATGGACGCAGGCGCCTCCCGAGAGCTTTGTGGACTCGGCATCGAGCACTTGCCAGCTACCTTGGCTCTCTGCGAGCGAGTCTCGACGCAAGCCAAAGGCAGGACGTCCAAACGCCCCATCGGCGTCGTCCGGAAAGCTGTTTGCAACCGAATACGACACCGAACGGCTGATCAAGTTTCTGAGAAAGTCGTCGCGGGTGATGAACATTCTCCTAGACGAGAATTCGGCCCGACAAGAGGGCGCATTCGATCGGCGGGTGGACGATTCTCTCAAGTCGATCTGCGACGGGACGGCGACCCTGGCGATCCCGCAGTTTTTGAAAGGTCAGCGTCGACAAACAGGATGGAGGAGCGGACTCGTTCCCAAGCTGGTTCGCGCGGCAGCACGAGCGTCCGACATCAACGCTCACAGACCCAGCGAGTGTCTCATGGCCGATATATTGACGGCATAACCATCACATATGAGATTGACGATATCATGCCTATTATGGCGGGTGCAACTGCAGGCTATGTTCCATCCAAAGTACTGTTTTCTCCCACGGACCATCGGATGTTCCTTGCCGTGTGGAAGCTTGCTGACACGGCAACGAATCCTGATGCCGCTGGCCCCAACGCCATCATCAGCTTGTGGAGACTGAGCGATCCCACGGTCCCGTACAGGTGAAGTTCGGCTGCTCGATCTGGAATCTCTTGTCTGGCGCGGCCGTGGTGTGCTGCTCACTGTGACTTGCCCAATGGTGCCCATCCCTTCACTCCACACTTGTACTTGTATCCCCTCCTGCATTTGCACTTGCACTGGCCCTGACAACTCCACTCCATTCTTGAGCCAAGCCCACCGCCTTCATCAGCGCGCATACATCCCTGGCACTGACAGGTCCTCGTCCATACAGAATTCTGATCTGTGAGCCAGCAGTTGAGTGTGTCTCGTTTTCACGGACCAAACCCCATCTCATCTTTGGCGGCACGGCGGATGGGTCGATCCAGGTGTGGAACCTGCTCGATCAGCACCAGCAACACACTCGCCACACCAACTTTATCGATGTCTCGAGCGACGTCGTCGATGTCGTTGTGCAGACCCCGAGCTATTCCACCGACGGACTGTATTCGCTGGAGCGAGCACACGAGGACGTGATCAAGAATGTCGTGGTTGTCGAGACCGAGCCACTCCTGGCGAGTGGACGCTTGGGCCGGAATCTTGGTCAAGAAGCGGCTCAAACCCTGGGCTGGAATGCATCAGCCGAGGCCGACGAAACGACGGCCCGAGTCGAAAGCGGATCATGCCAGCTGGTGACGGTCGACGAATCCGGGGTGCTCTGCATTTGGGTATGTGAGATTGCAGCGCGGACGAGACAAGCGTCGACGCCTCCCCTGTCCTTGTCGCTGTCGATACAAATGGTACCGGTGCAAAGTAGCTCCTGGATGTTGACAGACACTTCCTCCTCCTTGTCCAGGTGGTGATCGAGTATCGAGAAGAGTCGTTCTCGGTCAACGAGCTGGACTTTGGCATGGCGATTGGGAGCTGCGTCAAGCTTGTCAAGACATATCAAACCAATGTGATACCTTCGGCCAAGTACGTATTGGGAGACGGTGTCAGTGGATGGCAGATCATGGCTACGGCAGCCGTGTCGCTGGCGATCCTGTCGAGACTGTGGAGGTGTGGATGGCGCCATGGATATGTAGTTTGCAGTTGGCAACACCCTGGCGAATCGGTGTGCAGTTCCCACTTTGCTGGAGGTCTGATCAATCGTTTCCAATGGAAGCAGGGCCGATGTTCCCTCCGACACGATCGTCTACGACTGTCAGAGCTATCCCACCAACACGGACCATTTTCTAGTGCTCTCGACACACGGCGTCGTGCACTATTCGCGGTGCCAGGACCGACCCAACCCTCCGACATTCTTTCCAGCCTTCCCAGCGCTCGACGACTCTATCGCGCTGCCGGGAGGCAAGCAAGAGCTCTACACGGCCGAATTCTTTGCTCCCAAAGACCAGCCTCGGGCCCTCAGCTTTTCGCCGCACCACCGCAGTCTCTTTGTGGTTGGGTACGAATCGGGGTTGGTCTGTCTGTTCTCGATCTCTCATCGGGTTGCCTTGGCGCACTGGCGAGTCGACGGTGCGGTGCTGTCGCTCGTGTGGTCGCCGCACCGCCAGGCGGTGTTTTACTGTCTGGACGAAGCCCAGGGTCTGTACGTATGGGACCTGCTCGAGCACCACGCCGAGCCCAAGTATGTGATCCGGTTGCAACAGCTGTCTGGGATGAAGGGCTCCGTGGCTCAGCTCGCCCTCAGCCCACTGCCACTGCCGACTGCGGGCCTGGTTTCGACGACCGAGTTGCAAGAAAACGAGGCAACCGACGGGCCGCTCACGACGTCGGGGTCGATGGGCCAAGGACGTAACTCGATGCCGCTTCAGCAGACGGGGATGCGGACACACTCGACGCTGGCGCTGGCGTTCGAGTCCGGCAAGATCGAGTGCTTGTTACTTGGCACGGAGCTGGCGGAGGAAGCCATTGACGAGGAGCGTGAGTTTGAAGAGTTTCTCAGGACGCTGGGGCTCATGGCGGTCGAGTGAGCTGCGAGGTCTCAGGAGACGATGCGTGGATTTCAGCGCTCCCAAAACGAAATGGAACACTGTTTCGAGCCAGAGTTGTCGCTTGTTTCTGGGTCCCGAATACACCCATCGCCGTGTCAAGTGCGGATCAAGACAACCACTCCGAGGGCAATGCAGGACGTGGCTGCGAGTGGTGTGCGCCAGTGTTGGGAGAATGGTGTATCAGCGATCATCCGGGCACCGGTCGGCTGGCTGCATCTGCCGATCCTGCGACGACTACTCGCACCGCAGCAGAGAGGAGACCGGAAATCGAGAACCCGGAAACGGGACGTGGTGCTGGGTCTGCGCCTCTTTGGTTGCCGAATGCGCCGGTTTGTTCCAGTTCCATCGCCCCTCGTCTGCTCTGCCCATCATCGCACCGCAACTCCCCCCCCCCAACACCATGTCCGAGAGCCGCGGCTCCAGCGGCGCTGCCATGGCCCTCTCGGAGGCTTCGGCTGCTGGCCCGACAGCGACACCCCCGGTCCTCGACGGCTCCGACATCCTCACCATCGTGCTCGCCAACGACATCTTCAGCCTCTCACTCGCTCTCACCGAGCTTCAGGGGCTCTTCCTCGTCTTCAGGCGTGCTCGCGCTCTCCTCAACTCCAAGCTGACTCGCTTCCGGCGTTGGTGCCTGGACGCCGGACTTCAATGCCGCCCCGGCCACCCGCTGCCTGTCCTCATCTTGCCCAGCGACATGATTGCCGTCGCTCAGCATTTTGACGGCCGCGGTACCACCGAGCGCCCCTGGCTCGTTGCCCTGGCCGATCGAGGCCACATCGCTGCCTCCTTCATTCTGGCCCGGATTCTGCAAGCTGATCTCGCTGCCGGGAAATCGACGAACAACATTGCAAAAGGCGCCACACAGCAGCAAATCTTTGGCCTTTTGGAGAGCGCAGCCAATGCAAACCACCCCACGGCACAGTTCTACCTGGCCGAGTGCTACGACCGCGGCGATGGAGTCGGCCAAGACCGCACCAAGGCCGCCGAGCTGTATCAAAAGGTTGCCGATCGTGGAGTTCCACAGGCTCAAGTCGCTCTCGGTCGCTGCTATGAGCGCGGCGAGGGTGTCGACCAAAGCTACGACACGGCTATCGAGTGGTATTCCAAGGCCGCAGACCAAGGCAGCGAAGATGGTCGAATCCACATCGAGTTCCTCCGTGGCTGGTTCTCGTTCATCGGCCATGGTGTCGACCAGAGCGACGCTGATGCCTTCAATCGCTGGCAAGAAGTGAGCACCCGGTCCTCGGACACAGCCGTCAAGCACATTGCCACCCACATGGTCGGCTGGATGCACTATCACGGCCGGGGCACTCAGCTGGACAAGCAAAAGGGCGTCAAGATGATCCGCGACAACAAGTCGGACGAGTTCAAGCTTGGGGAGGGCGAGTGCCTGGCGGTCATCTGGCTGCCCAACTCCTTATCGGATGCCCCTGCAGCATGCAGGTTCTTTGAGCTGTGCTGGCTAGGATACGATCAAGACTGGCTCTGCAGACATCTCACGGCTGTGTGTCTGATCTATGGATTTGGAACCACAAAGAATCAGATGCTGGGGGCGCAAATCTTTCAGCAGCTTGCAAACGAAGGCCACAGCGACAGCCAGTACTGGTTTGGAAATTGCTACTTTCACGGATGGGGAGTAGCGCAGGACCACTCGAAAATGTTCCAGTGGTCAAGCAAAGCGGCCGATCAACTCAACTCGTACGGGCAGTTGGGGCTTGGCCATTGCTTTGTCTGGGGAAACGGGGTTCCCATGGACCGCACCCAGGCAGTCGAGTGGTTTCGCAAGTCGGCCGCGCAGGGCAATCGATACGGCCAGCACAACATCGGGATCTGCTACAACAACGGCTGGGGTGTCGACCGAGATCTCACCGCTGCCATATCTTGGTACAATAAGAGTAGCGAGCAAGGATTTTGATTTGTCCAATCGATGTCCCTGGGCAGCCTGAGAGGGAAGGGTTGATCCTGGAGCCTCTGCCGCGAGCGCCAGCTGCACTCGAGGCCGCAATACAGATTGTTCGGAACGAAGCAGGACAGTGTGGTGCAAGCATTCAATTATCTGGTTCGTTCCATGGGATGTTCATATCAACATCATCGGCCTACTCGAGTCGGTACACCTCCAGTCCCCTTGGACACGCTGTTTGGGCATGACGGGGTGTGTTCAGGACCCAGAAGGCGACCACTCTGGCCGACTGCGAACTGGACATGTCGTCGCCAGACTCCCAGCACGCATTCGCCAAAACAGCGAACAAGGAGGGTCTGCGCCTGATGAAAGAGAAAAGGAGATTGCACTGCAGGACAAGCGCAGGAAATGGGCCTGAGAGCTTGCCATATTGGATGAGGAAGAAGAAAGGAAGGACGAGTCCCACATGACCAGACAAGAAGACGGCAAAATGGGTAAGGGAGAGGGGCAAATCCTGAGCGCACCAGAGACAAGGAAAAGAAAAGGAAGTGCAAAGAAAGAGAGAGAGAGAGACACTGTATTTGACGTAAGGATAGACACAAACTCATTGGAGCCCAGGGACACCGCAGGTGTGGGCAATAAGTCCGAGGACTGGAAAGCAGCGCGGGACGGGTGGGATCAGGTCTAGACGAGAGAGAGGACGCAGGTGGGCAGGTGGGCAGGTGGGCAGGTGGGCAGGTGGGCAGGTGGGCAGGGGAGAGATCGAGGCAAAGTCTGTCAGGGTTGCGCGTCATAGACGGAAAACAGGGAGGATCAATCGCATAGGTTGAACAAGAGCAGCCAAGGGAGAGAGTCGAAATAAGAAAGGAGGGACAAGTGCGGTCGCATCGTGCGCCTGTGAGCTGACAATCAGACAAGAGAAGCAAAAGATACTCGTAAGCTATGGACAAAAACACGATCGAGCAAAAAAAATACTTGTATATTTCTTGCGCATCTCCATTAGACGATGAGAAAAAAAAGGACTGGAATAAGATACTCGAAGACAGAAAGAAAAAAAAAAGTAGCAATAAAATCATAGGCAATGATTTGAGGTGTGGAGGAGGAGGGAAAAGGAGCGAGAAAGTAAATGGTAGAAGGACAGAGAGAGAGAAAGAGAGAGAAAAAAAAGATAGAAACGGCTAGTGCGAGAGATGGTGACGGCAAAAAGATACGAGCAAGACTTGCGGCGGACGGTGAGGATTTCTCAGTGAACTTGGATATGCGGTGGGGTGGTGGCTGAACGACGAGGCTGAGCGGCGCTAGCTCAGTACTGAGGCGAGTGAGCGCTGCTGGCATCATCCGAGCCGGGAGCATATCTCATCACACTGAGCAACAGGACGTGTTGGGCTGCAATGCAAATGCCGGGGATAGAGAAGATAGCGTGAGAGGCAAGCGGATGATACGATCGCACGCTCGAACGAGCACAAACAAAAGCGTCGATGGCGAAATGCAACGGGGTGGACAGCGCCATCCCCACCCACGTCGGTGAGCGAGAGAGGGGGGGGGCACAGGAGCGTCAAAGCAACCCGCGAGGGTCAAGTCGGCCAACACTTACACAAGGTGAACAGGAGAGCCTTGAGGGGAAGGATCTGTCCGCCGCCGCGGATGCTCTCGACAATGGTGCATCCACAGATGGCAACACCGGCGCCGGCAGTGATGACGACACGGGTGAGCTCTCTGAAGATGACCTTGGAGAGCGGGGACTTGCCGTTGTTGTAGGAGTTGTCGCGCTCAAAAGCCGAGAATTTGTAGATGGTTGTGAGCAGCGCAATAGTACAGACGAGATCGAGGATAACCCAGTAGCCATAGAGGAGAGGGCGAGTCCAATCCCGGTAGGAGGCCGGGACGGCGTTGGCAGACCCGCAGACTGTAGGTGAGATGGTGCGAATAATGTCGGGGTCGCATCGGATCGAGTCGGATCCAAAGCGGTGCGATGCGATGCGATGCGATGCGATGCGATGTTGTGTCGGTTGTGGTGGTGTCGTCGTTGTTGTTGTCGATGTTGTGGCAGGGCATATTCAGCAATTGTGAAGAGCAAAGCAGAGGATTAGCACATGACACCGGGTATCTTTCGGCTTGCAAACAAACGGCCTCCGCCCAAGGCATCGGATCGGCGTGCGATACTGACTGTTGAATCCGTTGTAGGCCGAGTAGTTGAAGAGCATGTACAGGATGACCGAGAACAGTCCTGAGAGCTGCACTCCAACATGGGTCCACAGTCCGGAGCGGCCCTTGGTGACGTTGGTGACGAACAGGGTTCTCCAGACAATGTAGGAGATTTTGAAGGCATCCTGCAGCGAGATGGAATCGGCTGTGGTGAGCAAGCTGTTGGGACGGCGCAGCGCGGCCCCAGCGAGTGCCCAACGAAGGCAGTATGTACCTTGAAGACCCAGACCAGATCGGACATCATCATCAGGATGTTGTAGTTGCAGCTGTTGACACCGGTCGGGTCGGCGAGCGAAAAGGCGCAGTACTGCAGGACAAAGGCGATGCAGTCGGTGTAGATCATGAGCTGGACCAGGGACCGATAGGAGAACGAGAGCTTCCAGGCATCGAGGAGACCGAGGGTCAGGAGGGACGCAAAGCTGACCAGGCCCGCGGCATCGTTCAGGCTGTTGAGGAGGGTCTGCGAGGGCGAGTCGGAGATCGCTCTCGGGATGGTGAAGGGCACACTGGTGGAGTTGGACATTGTGACGGAGGGGAGCTCGAGGCAACCGAAGTAGGACCGGCGTGCCGGGTTCGATGGAGGGGATTTACTTCAGGACGAGCTGGGAGCAGAGGCTTGTGGATGGGCGAGGATGGCGACGGAGCCGCAGAAGAGGCAAGTTGGGACCAAAGCGGATCAGGACACAGCGGAGACGGGGCGGGAGGGAGACAGGGACAGGACAGTGGGAGGGGAGATGGATGATAGAAGACGACGCACAGGGAGGAAAGCAAAGGCGGGGAGGAGCAGCAGATATAGTTACCGAACCCGCAGAGACAGGAGACGAGCACGGGAAGCGCAAAAGGCCGGTGGGAAGGGGTGGAGGACGGGGATAAAACGGAGGGGAATGGGCGAAGGACGAGAGGGCGAGCGAGAAGGGCGGTGGGCGAGGGGCGGGCGAGAAGCAGGCGAGACGCGGGCGAGAAGCGGGCGAGACGCCAGAGCCGAGCCGAGAAGCACAAAAGGCCATGGCGAACCAGCCGGACTGGGCCAGCCGGGCAGGGCCAGCCGGGCAGGGCCAGCCGGGCAGCGCGAGCCGGCGCGGGCGCGGCCTTGTGGAGCGGTGAAGGAGCGACGCGTGTGTTTTGTGTCAGCGGCAGAGTGTGGGCGGCACTGTGAGCGGCACTGTGTGAGCAGTGTCTGCCGCTGGCTGCTCGCCGCCGCTACAGAAATAGCGACTGCAGCCGCAACACACAGACAGTCGACCGACCACTCGCGGCGCGCGTCGGCGTGTCGCACAGGGCCACCCTTATCGCACCCTTGCCGCCACACGCCCCACACAGCCGCTGCTGCGCGGTCGGGCACTGTGCAGCCTGTCCCGTGTACTGCTATTTCGGGGCGGCGACGCGCACGGGCACGCGTCACCGTGTGTCACCCCGGCTGTTGGTTTGCGGGCTTTGACCCGGGTGGCCGGGCTCCCATCTCGTTGCATCCATCTCGTTGCATCCATCTCGTCGCATCCATCTCGTTGCATTCGCATCCATCTATTCGCATCCATGCATCACATCCATGCATTCACATCCATGCATCCATCTCGTTGCATCCATCCCGTTGCATTCGCATCCATCTATTCGCATCCATGCATCACATCCATGCATTCACACCCATGCATTCACACCCATGCATCACAGCGCAGCCTGGGACCTTGTCCTGCCCCCACCACGCGCTTCGTTCATGCCAATAAACACAGCGGGGACACTGGTGCTCATGTGAGCTGGCCCTTGCGCGAGTGGATCCGCCCAGCAAGGGCATGTCACCAGAAAGCGCTCTGCTGATGTTGCGATGCCTGTTGGTTTGCGGCTGCACCAGCGACCCGGGCGACGAGGCACATGGCGGCCAATGTTGACGACCATCGAGACCAGTCAACGATGCGGAGGCTGTCTGCGGCATGGAGGGCCAGCCTTGACGGCAGCAACCCAACTCCAAACGCCCTGCCCAACTCGCATCGGGCCTCGCGCGCCTGCCGATGCATGTCGCTCACTTGTCCAGAGCCCACGGCCTCTCTCTGGCTTTCCGCTTTCCGCTTTTCGCTCCTGTTTGCGGCCCACAGGGCCACCCCGTTCCGCCCACCCCTCTGCGGGATTGCCCGTCCAGCCAGTGACAGGCACTTGTGCTCGTCGCCTGCATTTGTGCGCGCACGTGTGTTTGTGTCGGTGTGGCTTCAGGCAAGGGTTCAGCGAGGGCCACATCGGGAGGAAAGCGGGTTTCGCACATCCAACTGCTCCCACAGCATGTCCAGCTGCCCTTGCAGCATGACTCGGGGTGTGTGCGGTTTTGGAGTGCTTCTGCCGCCGTGCCTCGCCTGGGACCCGTCGCCCGACACACCCGCATCTCCACTTCCCGAGTCTCGTGCTTCGAAGGGGGGGGGCAGCAAATCTGCTCTGTTCGCGACGAGTCGACACCACCAGACGAATCCTGACAATTTTGCTCCGTGGAGTCGCCGACTCCTCGCGGCCACCATGCCGCTGCCCGCTCTCAGTACGCATTCTCCTCGGCCTGCTCGATCTCGCTGTTGGATTTGTCCAGGAACCCGAGGATCTCGCCGACTCGGTCGCGGTTGCGCTTGATCTCTTCCTCGTGGATTCTCTGGATGACGACCTCCATGTCCTTTGCCACCCCGGTCACCAAGTAGTCTTCCTGCCAAGCCCAGGCGGTGTGGCGGACCGGCCCACAGCAGCCGGCACGATAATCGGTTAACACGAGCAACAGCGATCCGGACTGCATCGGCAACAGCCCAGATGCCAGCAACCAACAGCCGAGACCTCAGCAGCGCAGACTCCTCGTTGGGAAGAGCAGTCCGTTCCCGAGCATGACCCCTCCCCCCTGCCCAAGCCAGTGTCACCGCCGCTCAGTCCCTGCCGGCGCTTGCCTGGTGATCAAATTTGCCCAGCCGAAAGTCGTGCGAACCGTTGATGGCGTTCATCAGGGCGTCCTTATCGCCCATGATCTTGACCAATGCGTTCAGCCCCAGGAGCGTTTGGGGAGTGTGGTGGCAAGCAACCGCTGGTCAGATAAGCCAAACCTGTTGTGACCCTCCGTCCTGTCTCTGCCCCCCCCCTGCTCCCAGGAGCCCGTCTCTCCACCGCCCCAATTCCCCTCCTCGCCTCGCCTCCATCGCCCGCTTACATCACGCAGGTCGTCGTCCAGGTCGTCCATGTCGCCCTTGTTGAATCGCTCAAAGAGCGCCACAATCGTCTCGGAGAACTTTTCATGGAATTCGGTCTCGATCTCTCGCAGCCGCGCAAAGGTCGTCTGGCCGCTTTCGTTGATGGCCCCGCAGAGCTCGGTGTAGTTGCGCTCGATCTCCTTGATGACGTCCTGCCGGGTTGGTCGTCCAAGGACGAGACGCATTAGTCTGGGCTACTTTGAAACATTTGCCATCGGTGCTCAGACTTGACCATCAGCGTTGGCATCAGCATCGGCGCTGGCATCAGCATCGGTGTTGGCATCGGCTCCATGCCCTCCACTCTAATAGAGCTTACGGCCACCGGGCTCGGCTGCTCCGACTCGAGCGGCACTTGCTGTCGTCACAACAACAACAGCGACAACTGCCCGCGCTGCCACTACCTCGATCTGCTCAACCAGAGTCATTTCGTAGCCGAGCAGGACGTCCGACAGAGTGCTGGTTTGGTCCTTCAGGATCTTCAGGGCCTCCTCGACCTCCTTGGAGTCTCTGGAGCTCTGGATGGCCCGAATCAGCTGGAGAGGGAGAGAGAAAGCGCATTGGTGCCGCTGATGAGGTGAGGTGCTGCGGGTATCCTCGCTGCGAGGCTGGCTATATCTCGCCGTATCCATGCAGCCACCATCACAAACCTGGATGAGCTTGCCCCTCCCCTCCTCCCTCTCCTGCCTGCCTCCCTCTCCTGCCTGCCTCCCTCTCCTGCCTGCCTCCTCCCTCCAACCAAGCCAAGCGCACGATCTCTGCCATCCATGCACCGTTCATTCGCAGCTCCAACCTGCTTCTTGTTGTGCTGGTATTTTTCCAGGCGCTTGATGCTTTCGGTGCTGGCGTCTCTTTTCGCATTGTCCACACAGGTCCGGAACTGATGCAGCTCGTCCTGCTTCTCGTGGTACTTTGAGAGCACCGTCTGTTTGAATTCATTGACGACCAAGTCGAACTTGGCTCGGTATGTGTTGAAGGAGATGGGGGGATAGTCGTCGCAGAGGTCGCAGAGGTCGCAGAGGTCGCAGAGGTCGCAGAGGTCGCAGAGGTCGCAGAGTCAAGGATAGACATGACGGACGTTGTGTCGGAAGCATGGCCGTGATTATACGCAGCATATCCCATCCCACCCCATCCTGAAAGGATATTCGTCGCGCATCTCGCCCAGTCGGTCCCGGTCGATCTGGAACAGCCTCTGAAAGTCCAGGTCGTCGTCAAACATGGATGAAAACAGAATCTCGATTCCTTTGATATGGGCCGCCTGCATATATCCGGGTCATGGTTCCGAGCAGAGACCTCGTCAGCGCCGTCTGTCCCGACACAGAGGCCGATGTCATAGGTGGAAACAGGGCTTACCTCATGCAGCGTATCCAGTTCGTTCTGCTGCCGCGCTTGCTCCTTCTTGGCGAGTGCTATTTTCTCCTCCTCTTCCATCGCGATGATGTCGTCGATGTACTTTTCTCGTGCTGTAGCGACCTGTTTCCATCGTCCCGTCCCCCCCCCAGAAAAAAACAAAAAGCCAAACCACGTCCTTAGTCACTGTCGACCGAGCCTATACCAGGGACCAGGTTGTGTTAGCCCGCAGCGAGCACCGACGCTGACCTTCTCAGACAACACTAGGCGATAGTCCAGATATTTGAGGTTCTTGACGTGAGCTAGCACATATGTATTGTAGTTTGGGTTCTTGCATATGGCATTCCCGGCGGCGTTGAGCACTCGGAGCTTCTCGAAGCGGGTCAGATACGATATCTGGAGAGCGCACAAGTTGGAATGCAGACACAGCGACGCTCAGGAGTATATCCTTTGCAGATGCCCGATGGACTGATGGATGGGAGCAACCAGAGCTACCACGCGGCGTGGGAGGCAAGCCGCCTTCCTCCTCCCCGTTCCTACATTCTCGAGAACATTGATGTTGTTGTTGCCGATGGAAAACACCTCCAGATTGACGAGGTCATCCATGTTTTCGATCTTGGAGATGCGGTTGTTGTAGAGCGTCAGGTCGGTCAGCATCGTCAGACCGTCGAGCCCCTCGATGGTCGTGAGGTTATTGAAGGACAAGTCTGGGACGACCAGAAGGGGCCAAAGAAGTAAGCAAAGGTGGAACCCCAATGAACCGTTATCCGGAGTCTCGAAGCATCGAGGCGAGTCTGGCGTGACTTCCAGGCAGCACCACATCAACACAACGCACCCAGCCACTGCAGATGCTTCAAGAAGCCAATGTTCTCGATGCGTTCGATGATGTTGTTGTCGAGTTGCAGCTTGACGAGATTTTCATACGCCCACAGGTTGTCGATCTTGAGGATATCTGGGATGGCGATGGCACCGCCCGTTGGTGAGCACACAGCAATGAAGCCGACGGCCAAGTACCGCCGATGGCACTCTGGATAGACACATCCATGTCCATTCACTAGACGGGCCGATGGTGCAGCAGGACAAGCTGCGACACCCATGAAGACATCCGTGAAGACATCCGTGAAGACATCCATGAAGGCACCCATGAAGATACCGTGCCTCTGGAGAACTACCGAGACACGCGATCAGCCGATCCCTGCCCCACCCCCATCTTGGTCGGCTCTGCCCCTGAAACTACCGGCGCCGCCTCTTCGGTCGCGTCGGTGCAGTCCATAGCACATGCTCACTCTTGTAGTCCAGCCGCAGCGTCAAGACCTCTACGGGGTCGATGCCCTCGCGTCGCGCAATATCGGCAATCTCGGGATTGACCTGGTCGTGGATCGCGCGCTTCAGCAGATCCTCGTCGATGACGGTGGGCTCGACGGTGTTGTAATTGCTCATCTGTGCAACTGCAGCACTTGGCGGGGGAGAGGGAAGCGGAGCGGTTGTGGTGGCGGACGAGCGTGACGGGAGATGATGCCTCGATGCTCAGGATATGTATGTATGTCGAGCTGGGAAACGAGGAGGCGAGGAAGGAGAGGGAAAAAAAAATTCGACAGGGGATTGCGCAAGGCAAGGGAGCGGTGATTCAGGCTGAGAGCGGCGATCCTTGTGGCCTTGGGGTTGGTGCGGCCCAACAAGGCGCGCCCGCACCAGCACAGCCTCACGTGTCGGCAAGGGCAACGCGAAAGGCATGAGCGAGGAACAGCCCTGCAAGCCAGCCCTGCAAGCCAGCTCTGCAAGCCAGCGGCGAGGCCGACGGATGCCATCCAGCAGGCCGAGCCGAGAGGCAGAGGACGGGCGATGCAGATGGTCGGCGGGACCAGCGGGTGTCGATGCCGCTGTCGACGTCGACAGCACGGACCCTCTTCGTCCTGGCTTTGGCCGGGCGTGCTGCCTTGTGGCGAACCATGACCCATCCTGTCTTGCTATTGTTGTCGACGCTGTCCACGCCGACGCTGTCCACGCCGACGCTGTCCACGCCGACGCTGTGCTGTCGCCAATGAGTGTGCAGCGCTTTGTCTATGCGGATGCGCTGATCGGCCCTATCTGGGCTGCCGGTTCAGGCCGCCGGGGGGGGGGCCGCTCGCTGCCCGAAAAAAGAGGCATCGCCGATGCGACCCGTCGCCTGGCGGGCTCAGCACGCCCCGAAGAGGGCGATCCATCGGTTCCGATTCGCGGCGTCAGGATGCGTCACCGCCCAATCTTGGCTCGGCCGGGCAGCGACATATAAATTCCCATTCTTCCTCGGGCCACACTCTTCTTCATCTTTCGCTGTCGTCGCCTTTCTCGACCTGCCCAGGCTTCCCTCCCGGCTCGTACCAAGTTCCTCCGGATATCGTAGAACCCAAGGTACCGACCGGACTGGGGGATATGGCGCTGCTATTCCTCTTCCAGCCCTGCATCCGAGCTGTCCACAAGCAAATGCACCCTGCTCTCTTGCCGGCCAGCCTGGGCTGTGCGCCGGTGTCCAGGACCATCCGTCCACTCGGGCAGTCGGTTGCCAGGCTTGCTCTCGTCAGCCGCCTTCCATATAGCCCTGTCGACCCGGCACTCGCATGGCCATCCTCCACTCCTGCCCTGTCCTGCACCAGCCGCTCGTTCGCTTACGCCGCCTGACTCCCTTGCCTCCACCGCGAACCTGTCGCTGGATCGGCGCTCGGTCGCTTCCGTCTCCAATCCATCCCCTGCAGCCTGCATCATGATGTCCCGTCGCGCACTCCGTCTTTCCTCGCAGCTCACCTGCTCGGCGCGCGCATACCATTCGGGCAAGCCTGGCCCGAAGGTGTGCGCCACCGCCGACGAAGCCGTCCGGGCCGTCAAGTCCGGCGATCGCGTCTTTGTCCATGGTGTCGCAGCCACTCCCATCCCTCTGCTCACCGGTATGGCCAGGGCTTGGCAGAGGGGGGGGGCTCTGTCTCCTTCCGCCAGTGCAACCTGCAATTCCACTGCTGCCAACAACCTGTGTGTACCATGTATCGCTCTCTGCTAATAATCCGGGCTTGGCATTGCTCTATCCACTCCAAACAGCCCTGGCTAAGCGCCACGACGAGCTGAGACAGGTCGAATTCTGCCACCTGCATCTGGACCGCCCCAACCCATGTGCCACGGAAGAGTATGCAAAATCGTTCGTCACCAACAACTTCTTCATTGGCGCCAACCAGCGCAAGCTTGTGGATCGTGGATTCTCGTCGTACATTCCCACGTTCCTGTCGGAGGTATGTCAGGCAGTGCTTTGACCCGCAACGCATGCAGGTTCCTAGGCTGCCATTCGCTTGCCATTTGCTCGTAAAGTTGAGTGGTTTGGCAGCCTCGGGTGTATCACTCCGATCGCAGTGCTGCTGCCCGCTGTGCTCTAATGTCGCTGCAACTCAATCCACCGACCCGCACAGATCCCGTCGCTGATGCGCAGAGGACTCGTTACCCCCGATGTCGCTTTCCTCAATGTTTCTCCTCCGGACAAGCACGGCATGTGCTCTCTTGGTGTCGAAGTAAGGCTCTCCCTCCTGCCAGTGGCATTGTTGGCGGTCGCAGAGTCGGTCCAGTGGGCTCTATCGCACCTTGTCGAGCACACGGCACCGCGATCTGGCGTGCGTCGGAGCTGCTCCGTCTATCCGTCTCGTCTGCTCGAACTTCACTGCCCAGAGCCCCCGGTGTTCAGTACCACCTGATCCAGTGTGTTGTGCGTTCTCTCAGGTCGCCACGGCCCTCCCAGCCACTCAAACTGCCAAGATCCTCATCGCCCAAATCAACCCCTCGATGCCCAGAACCCACGGCTACTCTTTCGTGCACTACAGCAACCTCGACTATGTCTTCCATGTCGACGAGCCTCTGCCTTGTCACGTCAGCAGCGAGCCCAGCGAGGTCGAGGCCAAGATCGGCAAGATCATTGCCGGACTCGTCAGCGACGGAGCCACTCTTCAGATGGGCATCGGTATGTCGACTGATTGGATGTTGGGTCCGTCCTCTCCAACGCTCCTGTCGCAGAAAGCAGGCTAACATTCAAGGTCCACACAGGCGCCATCCCCGATGCTGTTCTCGCCTCGCTTTCCAACCACAAGGATCTCGGAATCCACACGGGTACGCACCAACTGCCTTCCGACCAACGCTGGCTCTGTGTTGCTGCCCAATGTCCACGTCCTCACGCTCATCCGCCTCCTCCGCTGCCTCATGTCCGCGCCAGAAATGTTTGCCGAGAGGGCCATCGATCTGATCCAGAGCGGCGTCGTCACCAACCTCCACAAGACCTTCATGCCCAGTAAAACCGTGACCTCGTTCGTCATGGGCTCGCAGCGTCTCTATGACTTTGTCGACGACAACCCCGGCATCTCCTTCTGGGACGCCTCTGTCGCCAACAACCCCCGAATCATCGGCAGCAACCCCAAGGTCACGGCCATCAACTCGGCCGTCGAGGTCGATATCACCGGCCAGGTCTGCGCTGACTCGATCGGCACCAAGATGATCTCTGGTGTCGGTGGCCAGGTCGACTTTGAGCGCGGTGCGGCCATCTCCCAGGGCGGTGTCCCGATCATCTGCTTGCCCTCGACCGCCAAGAACGGCGAGTCCAAGATTGTCCTGACTCTCAAGGAGGGCGCCGGTGTCATTACCACTCGCAACCGTAAGTACTGCTGATCGGGAGATTGCGGGCTGGCCGCACACCAAGCCTGCTGCTGCCGAGCTGGCAGATTTCCGTCTTTGCGGTGCCAGCGGTGTCGGTCAGTTTTGCGACGGCACCGCTCGATACCGACCGTCATCCAGGCGGGCCTCTCCATACCCACCTACTCACACAAGCCACCACACCACCGCCCTTCTGTCCACAGATACCCACTACGTCGTTACCGAATACGGAGCTGCCTATCTCTTCGGAAAGAACATGGTCGAACGTGCCGCCGCCTTGATAGAGATTGCCCATCCCGATCATCGCGAAGAGCTCGAGCGCGGAGCGTTTGAACGCTTCAAGGTCAAGACCTGGAGGCACTAAGCCGTCTGTTTGCTGGATGAGCCGAGATCATGCGGGAGAGAGGATACGAATGCTGCTATCCTCATCCCCACACCGTCCTCGGCGCAGCGACAGAGCCCTCTGCCCGGGGTTTCATTTCCATGTTGTCCCGTATAATCTTCTTCTGAGAACACTGCTTGCTTCCGGTCGCCACTCAGAGCCTTTCCTTGGCTTTCGCTTCTCTGTGCACACAGCACTATGCTTCTCATAGACCTCTCTGCTGCTCCCCCAACTCGTGATTTCTGGAGGAGGGGGGGGGGGACAGAATACAACTCTGCTTTGAACCGTTCGTTTCTGATCCCGATTGCGGCGGCGGCCTGTGTGGAGCGTGGCGGATCAGTTCATGATCAAGGGTTAAGAGGAGGAGAATGCGCGACAGATTCAGAACGAACCGGGACAGCTTCGTGGCGCCTCGATGTCAAGACAGTCGAACGAGTTGCTCGCCGTGTGTTCTGGGCCATCAGCGTCTCTGGTGGTGGTGGAGCCACTCAGGCACTTGGTCGAGCCCAAGTCGGCGGGCATCCTTTCCTCTGCTTCCCACGATGCATCCCGCATAGTCAACCACAATGTCATGCTGAGGGATCGAGAGGTGTGTATTCAAGACCCAGAGATAATCGACACGCCGAGCTCGAAAACAGATTGTATTTGTGTCGCCTGCAGTGCCGCATGGCCACAGATGCCAACGCCATTCCAACAGGGCACCAGCAGCCAACCAAGACACGGCCAAAGTGATCTACGACATGCTCGGTGAGTGAGGAAGGAGGATGCAGGAAGGGGTCTTTGGGATCACAGTCACAGTCACAGTCACAGTCACAGTCACAGTCACAGTCACAGTCACAGTCACAGTCACAGTCACAGTCACAGTCACAGTCACAGTCACAGCGGAAGCAGAATGGTGCCTCTACTTGGGGTTGATTTGGGCCAAGGGGTTGTTGCTTGCGGGCAGAATCGGGGTCTTACCAATCGCTGCTGCACCGGGAGGAGCCATTCCCGCCGGCAGACCAGCAGGCTTGATGCCCGGGTTCTGCGCGGGCCTGATGGGCGAGGGTACAGATGCTGTCGACACACCCGAGGCAGCAACGGCGGTGCTGGGCGAGGCCGCGGCCCTATTGGAGACGCTGATCTTTGGTTTCTCCTCCTTCAGATCGGCTTCGGCATCCTGGTACTGCTGGTACTCGGAGATGAGATCGGCCATGTTGGACTCGGCCTCGGTGAACTCCATCTCGTCCATGCCCTCGCCGGTGTACCAGTGGAGGAAGGCTTTGCGGCGGTACATGGATGCGAACTGGACCTGGACACGCTTGAAGAGCTCCTGGATCGCAGTCGAGTTGCCGATAAAGGTCGAGGCCATTCGGAGGCCCTTTGGAGCGATGTCGCAAACTGGCGGCACCGGCGGTCGATGGCGAATGCGCGAGTCGGTAGCGCAGCGAGTTCGATGCATTGCGGTCAGTGCGAGTTGCATTGGGGCGCCGGTCGGCGGAATGCGGTGTGTGCGAGAGTACAACTAATGCAGTGATCCGCAAATTGGGTCGCTCATGGCGCTGGCCGACTTGCACATCCCTCTTTGCTCCAGCATGGGCAAATGACATCCCCTGAACACACTCAGCTATGGATTCAAGACCATCCCCATTACCGCATCTGGTTGCAGCACCCTGCATTTACCTGCGGTCTTGACGTTGCTGGGAATCCACTCGACAAAGTAGCTCGAGTTTTTGATCTGCATGCTCATCATGTGCTGCTCGACATCATTCATCGACAGCCGGCCTCGGAAGATGGCGGCGACGGTCAGATAGCGCCCGTGCTTGGGGTCGCAAGCCGCCATCATGTTGCGGCCGTCGAACATCTGAGTGGTGAGTTCCTGCACCGTCAGTTGGCGGTAGTCCTGAGAGCCCCTTGCCGTCAGAGGCGCAAATCCGACCATGAAGAAGTGGAGGCGCGGGAACGGAATCATGTTGACGGCCAGCTTGCGAAGGTCGGCGTTGAGTTGGCCCGGGAATCGCAGACATGTCGTGATGCCGGACATGACCGAGGACACGAGGTGGTTCAGGTCGCCGTACGACGGGTTGGTCAACTTCAGGGTGCGGAAGCAAATGTCGTAGAGGGCTTCGTTGTCGATGCAGAAGGTCTCGTCGCTGTTCTCGACTAGCTGGTGGATCGAAAGCGTGGCGTTGTATGGCTCGACGACGGTGTCGCTGACCTTGGCCGAGGGCATGACGGAGAAGGTGCACATCATGCGGTCGGGGTACTCTTCGCGAATCTGATTCCACAGAGGGGCATTGGGTTAGTCACTGACCGAGCTGCAAAGTCGATTGCGCCCAAAGAGAGCATCCGTGCATACCTTGGAGACAAGCAGCGATCCCATGCCGCTTCCGGTTCCGCCGCCAAGCGAGTGTGTCATCTGGAAGCCTTGCAGGGCATCGACGTGCTCTGCCTCCTTGCGGATGACCTCGAGAACATTCTCGACCAGCTCGGCGCCTTCGGTGTAGTAGCCCTTGGCCCAGTTGTTGCCGGCACCGGACTGTCCAAAGATGAAGTTGTCTGGGCGGAAGAGGTCGCCGTAGGGACCCGAACGCACGGCATCCATGGTTCCGGGCTCCAGGTCAACCATCACAGACCTGCGAGACAAGAGTGTCAGTCCGTCCAAACAGCAAAGAGAGGGAACAAACCGAAAGGTAAGGACATCTGCCCCTCCCCGCATCCGGCCACCGACCCAACCGACCCAGCCGGCCCAGTCGACTTACCTTGGAACGTATTTCGGACCCGGGACTTCATTAAAGTACACATCGACTCGCTCCAGCTGAACATCGCGTTCGCCGACGTACTTGCCGGTTGGATCAAGGCCGTGCTCCTCGCTGATGATTTCCCAGAACTTGGAACCGATCTGGTTGCCACACTGGCCTGTTTGAACGTTGATGATTCCACGCATATTCACGAATATGGACGTGAGAAGGTCAAGGGGACAGCGACGATGGTGGCGATGGCAACGATAGTAGCGACGGTGGCGGCGAGAGGGGAGGAGCGGTTTGACTTGTGTGTGTATGTGGCTTGCTCTGGTAGTATTTCTTGGACAAAGTGGGTTTGCTTGGAATCCGGCTCGGGATCAATGTGCCTGCGATGTTTGAGGTGCGGAGTTTGGACTGTTGCAAGTGTGTCGACTAAGCGAGGAAGAGCGGGACAGCGTCCAGGACACAGTCAGTTCAGCGGTGGCAATCGCCAGCGTCGCAATGCCGCCGTAGACGAGCAGTGAATGGGATGTTAGTTCTGGGAACAGTCTCAAATGTGCGGCGCACTGTCGTTCGGGAGAATGCGAGACTCGGTTCATGAAGCCGCGTTGGCTGAGACAGACAGGCATGATTCGTCGTCGGTGTGCTTGGGAAGAGCGAGCAGCATCATTACCTCTGCTCTGGATTTGGGGACCGTGCGAGCGACCGACGATAACGAACTAATGGTGTTTTGGAGGGAGGGCAAATGTCCTTTGGGACAGAGATGGAGACGAGGACAGCCTGCTCTGCTGTCCCCCATTTTAACGCCTCGTCGCCTCAGGAGCCATCAACAAAAACAGGTCACACTTCCAGGCAGAATGCTCTGCCGACCATTCTCCAATCACTGACGACGCAAGGGCGCGGCAGACAGGGCAGCGTCAAGATGAAGGGCCTGGAGGGGCAGCGCTCAAAACGGACTGATCGAGCAGCCACAGTCGCTTCCAGGCGACGCTGGCTAGGTTGTCTTGCGGGGCAACGGGGTTGCTGCCAGTCGAAAGAGAAGGGCGGCCCTGCCCTCGGACCGTCAATATTTGGACAACTACCCGCCGAGCAGCCAGCGGCCGGGCTGGTCCTCGCCGTGCTGTCGAGCTCGCAACGACACCGATGCGGGCCCTGACGGCGATAGCATGCAGTGGGAGGGGAGGGCGTGAGAAACGCAAGAGACTTGGGACAGCCAGCCGGATGGAAACATGGCAAAGGTATGACGACTTGCATCATGGCACGCCGGTGCTCATGGGTGGTAAGAAAAGCCGATCGCATATCACACGGCACTGCATATAGCAGCATGCCGCTGCATGATTTACTCGGAGACGGAGCCGGGACCTCACGGACTTGGCTCACAGCGGCCCCTCGGCATCACCAAAACAAGTAACCCTGGACACTGCTCCGCGGGGCACACGGCATCGGCAGTGCAGACATAGGCATATCAACTGTGGATATCGCTCGGCGTGTTGTTATATTCAAGAAGTCGATGCTCACAGGTGGACTAGGACGAGTCGCTACTGCTGGTTAGCGTGCTGAGGGAGGTGCTCTCCTCATCCGAAGAGGGATGCCTTGGCACAGCGGGCTGCACCCAGTTGGGTTGGAGAAACACTTTGGTGACGGCATCGCCAAAGAAGCCCTTGGCCCAGAGCCGGTGCTTGGTGCCCCGCTTGAATGCATAGCTGGCGGCCACATCGACGACGACGTCTGTACCGGGCTGTACATGGATGGCATCGAGCTGGTGGTGGTCGATCGCCAGGGTCACCGGCGACCGGAACATCATCGTTTGGTGATGGAACTTGAGCGCCGGCCAAATATGAAACGAAAAGTGCAGTCGGATCAGATTCCCCTGGGGATCGTATTCCTGCTTGGCGATTTTGAGCTCGACCGGGCGGCGCTGGTTCTTGAATGTCCGTTCGGGGAGCAGGCCCATGTCGACCTCGGGCAGGCCGGCAAAGGCCGGCAGTGACCAGGATCGGGTGAAGCCGCATGCTTCGTTCTGGACGTCGTTCGGCGACGGAATGGCATCCTGGCTCTTGAGAGCATCGAGGAGCGCAAAGACGTTGTTGCCGGCCAGGAGCTGGAGAGCGTCCCGGTGCATGTCCTGCAGGTCGTCCATGTGGCCTTGGATCGTGGCCATCTGAGCCTCGAGCTCACGCCGAGTTTGGGTCTCGATGTCGGCGACCTGATCGAGCATCTGCTGCTCGCGCTGCTGGATCTGAAGATGCAGTGCCTGTGAGCGGTTCCTGATCTGGGTCCTAGCCTCGGCGGCATCGAGACTAAGCTGCTCCAACCAAAGCTGAAGCTGTGTTGGGAAGGCTTGGTATTTGGCGAGGGTGGATTCGATGGAGCGCAGATGAAGCGTCTGGAACTGCTCCCGGGCGTCGGGGTAGTGATCCAAGACGGGCCTGACGGGATGCATACGGTCGTCGTCGTCCTTGCAGCCGAGCACGTAGCAGAGCTCGCAGACGACGGTATTGCAACTGAGGCAAAAGAGGACCTGGAGGTGATCAGGATGCGACGGACAGTGCGACGCATGGCGGAAGATGGCCCGGTGGTTCTGGATCTGAGCATAGAGCTCGGGGTCCTGCAGCAGGTCTGTGGGAGCGATGAGCTGGTGCCTGGAGGTCGATTTGGTCTTTTGGTGCGAGAGCCGGTGGAAGTCGCAGAGCTGGAGGCGGCAGTCGCGGCAGAACGTCATCGGGCCGCTCGCGAGCGGCAGCGATGGTGCAGACTCGTTGTCTGCACACAAGTCGCAGCTGTCGGTGCAGACGGCCGGGGAGGCGACATCGACGGGGACGGAATGAGGGGCATGCTCGGCAGGAGCAGGATCGAGCCTAGCATCGCCGGGTGCGATGGAATCGGGTGTCTGGACAGAGCCACACAGAGGTGCGGCTCCTTCCGGGCTGGCATCGCCCTGGACGGTGTCAGCCAGATGGATCATGACTTGAAGCAGCAAGACAGAAAGCGGAACGACAGGGTCAGAGCGAGGTAGTCCAGGGGGTGGGCGGCGATGCAACGAAGGGGAAGCGAATGCAGCAAGTCGGGCAACGGGGATGTGGTGAGGAAGACGAAGACCAAGGGGGGAAAGTGGTTCGGAAACCTCTTTCGGGTCGCACGGGGTTTTGTGCAGAGTGGTGCAGAAGAAAAGATAGCCGCGGCTGATTGGCGCGGCTGTCCCGATCGCGGGTGGGCCAGGGGTGGGAACAGTGCTGATGGACTGCAGCCACGACCATGCTCGGTGTCGGCCGCCTGGTCGATCGCCTGGTCGATCGGATGATGCAGGACGTCGAGATGCAGGATGTTGGGATGCAGGATGCAGGATGCCAGGATGCGCAAAGAAGGCAATCTATTCCGAGGCAGAGCACAAAGAAAACAACAGCACCAGGATGTCCTCAGCCAGATCGGATCACGCCATATCGACACCAGTTCGGATCGGCGCTGACCCAGATCGGCAGCAGACGGCAGATCAGTACAGGTGGTTCAGCGGCGCCATGCCCCGGTGGCCGCTCTCGACCTCCACCCAGCCCCACCCGTCGTCGTACTCCTCCAACACAAGCACCTCCTCGCCCTGGACGAGCGCAACCTCGTCGGGCTGAGTAGGAGCACGGCTTATAATCGCACGTCTTGCATCGTCCTGGCTGCTGGGAATTCGGCTGCAAAAGTTCAACGGCACGACGCCGCGCTGCTTGGCAGCGTTCTCGGCCAGTCCCCATCCATCCGAGTATGTCTCGAGGATGAGGAGATCGTCGTCTGCCTCGAACCCGAGCTCGTCGTCTCGCTCTGCGGATCGACGGATCTTGGCTCGTCGCAGCTGTGGCAGCGCCCGCAAGCCAGTGGGGCGCTTCAGCGACGATTGTCTGAGTGACTCGGCGATAGATGACTCTTCGTTATCGGGAGGATACGGGCTGCTTTCCACATCGACTGCAGGGGCCTGATTCTGCAGAGTCGAGTAACTCACTGGTGGTACAGGCTGCGTCATAGTGAGCTCGTAGGACACCACCGGCGGCGGCGGCGGTAGTGGTAGTGGTGGTGGTGCTGAATTCGTACCGACAAAATGGGAGCCAGCTCCGCCCTGTATGTCTACAAGCTTTGGCAGTTGCAGCGGTGGGGGATACGGGATTGGAGAATTGCGGGAGGCAAAGTCCTGGCCAAGACGAGGATAGCGGGGTGCGGATGACTTTTTGTGCGAGCCCAGAGGTCTCCAGCCGTACTGGGGAAGTAGTTCGGAGGTCTTTGCCAGTCGTCGGGGCTGGTGGCGGTACTTGCGCTTGACGTACAGATATGCAGCGACACCCAGAGTCATGGCGACCAGAGCAGCACCACCCAAAGCACCACCAAAGATGACACCGGAGGAGGATTGCGCTGTCGAGTCGTCCCGGCTGGGCGTCAGCGGGGCACTGGGTGCAGATGGATGCGTCTGGATGGAGTACGTCCGAGACGGTTGGGTCGAAAGCGGAGCAACGGAGCTCGGCGATACTGCTACAAGGCCAAGATTGCTTGAGACGGTGCTGCTGGGGCTGATGGCCGTGGCGCTTGCAGCAGCAGCACTTGTGGTCTGGGAGGGGAGCGCTGGGCCTGCCAAGGACTGTGTGGACTGCTGAGGAGCCAGGGTTGTGGGATCGACCAGGACAGACGATGCCGTGGCTGGAGCTGGATCAGGGCTGGGCAATGTCGGCTTGGGTGAAGGGGCCAGCGGGTCTGTGGGAATGACCGAGGCTGGCTGTGTCCGGAGTGGAGCTGGGGGCTGGGACTCAGAGGTCGAGGCGGCAGGATCGGGAGAGGTGGCTGGGCAGCCTAAGCGGCTATGGCATAAGGATCCTGGAGAAGTAACGGCGGCACTGCTGTGATCTACAGAGTGTGATTGTGGTGGTGAGCTGCCAACGGCATTAGAGGCGAGGTTTCCCGAGCCCTGTAGAGCGGGACCCAAGGCCAGGATATGAAAAGGGAGCATGGTCAGACGAGAGATTGTTGCGGAAAGCAGACAACGGTCAAGATGCAGACTAATCTGGCAACGGTGGCAGCAAGAGAGGGCCGGTTCGAAAGGGGCAGCACTGCATAACATGGTTGTGGATGCGCGTGGGTCATACACCAGGGGTGGTGGCAGGGACCAAGAGATCAAAGCACAGGTCCCTTGAAGTGGTGGCAGTCCCTGGGATGATCGGTACGGAGGCAGCCCGGCAACAAACGCTGTCGCTATCAATGGAGCAAAGACGGAGCGAGGACGATCGGATCTGCACTCACATGCTGGGGGAGAGCCAGGCCGAGCTGTGGCCATGTGAACCAGAGCCAGAGGGCAAGGCACCAGGACAGAGACTTCATCGCCAAAATACGCAGGTGTGTTTGTAAACCAAGCAGTAGCGAGCAGCAGCGGTGCCGGTGAGAGGGCGGTGGGTCCTTGGGTGTACGAGGGGAAGTGGCTGGGTTGAAATACCACCAGCGAGGGGCAACGGAGTTGCAGCGGCCGTTGCGCTGCTGTCTCGTCGGGTTACTTTCCGGGAGGTCAGGCGGGGTCTCCATGGGAGTGCCCGCAGCGTCTCGACCAAGTGTCGGAAGTATTCCGATGTGCTCAGCGCTGGCGGTGAACGTCACATCGACACAACCACTGCCGGCGGCCAACCCGGCTGCCTCCCGATTTTGGTTGGTGCGCTTGGGGATGTTCAACCGACCCGGACTACTCGGCTGATCGCAGCTTTGGCCAAGAACACACCGATTCCATTCACTCGGCGGTGCGATCAGTCCGGACAATCGCGAGAGGGGGGGGGATTCGAGACAGGCGATGCATCGCTGTTCCATTCGCCATAGTCGATGCCTCGACTCATCGACTCCCAAACACACTCTTATCCCAACTCCCTCCCCACATCGGGGTCTGCAGCTGTGATCGAGAATCAGACTCTGACGATCCGAGCTGACAGGGCGGACCGCTGCCCTTTCTCCTTGTGTCTTGCTGGCTCACCCTTGCTTGTTTTCGGCCGCCGCAACGGCGGCTTAAGCAAGAAGGCGGACCCTCCGAATGGACTCCCTTGGCCGGATGTCCATCGCCGGATGCGCTCTCGACGGTGCCATAGCTGCAGGCAGCTCTGAGGGGCGACTGCACATCCCCGGATCAGACACGGGCTGCATGCCCACCCCGCTGTCATGGCTGCTATCATCGACGGTTGTCATGGCCGTTGTTCTCGGCGGTTGTCGCGGCTGGTGGCTGTGGCTGCCGGCCTGGACATTGGTGAGCAGCCAGGCGCTGCCGCATGGTCTGGTGACCGGGCAGACATGGTATGCCGCTCGTTCCTGGTCGGCCAAGTGCGGGCCACCCCGGCCATTCACCCGAAATACGGATACTGGATCTGCCGCTGGCATTGAGGGTGCTCGTTGATGATGCTCGCTGATGATGCTCGCTGATGATGCTCGTTGAGGCACTTCCTAGACACACCCCAAAAGCACTGCCGCACATACATGTGCCTCCTCGCTCGCTCGCACTCGCAAGGCCGCCTGCAAATGGCCTCCGCTTGGTCGCAGCATGACTCACGTTTTGATTCAGCACCCAGAGGAACGATGAAAGCAGACTTTACTCGGCTCACCGGCCGACGTCGTATGTCCAAGAGTTGGCCAGCCGAAACGGCGGCTGCTGGAGTGCGCCCAATGTCCTCGACTCCTTGGAAGGCTGTTGGCTGTTCAGCGACCATGATCGTCCGAGAGGCACCAGCCCGGATTGTGATCGGGACCTTGGTCGGGACTTCGATCTCGACCTCGACATCGACTGTGAGCGCTGTCCGAGACGGCCGTGGGCCTGGGACTTTGAGCGTGAGCGAGACCGCGAGCCGTTCGAGCGAGGCCGAGAGTACGATCCTATTGAAATGCGGGCCTCGGGACGTCCTCGGGCGCTGCCCTTCGGATGCCGATGCGAAGACGACCTTGCGAGGCGTGGTGTTGATTTTGCAAGACCAGACGGCCCCTGCATCCGGGAAAACTGATAGCCCCGGTCATAGGACTGCGATGGCAGCGGTTGCAGTCCGCCTTGTCGACCAGGCCCGTGAGCACCCCAGCCAGGAACAGCGCCGCTTTTGTGGGGCCGAGAACCAAAGCCGCCCGACGATGCCCCTGGAAACGACAGAGATTTGATGGGCCGCGACTTGGAGTATCCATCTGAAGCCAGAGGGGGCGGAAAGAAGGGCATGGGTACTCCCAGCGTGCCTGGAAGCACAGGAGCCGAAGCCATCGACGACGATCGCCGCAGCGGAAAGAGCCTGGGCAGCGAGGCAGCAGCAACCATCTCGGGAGGATACCCGCCCCAGTGCTCGGGGGCGGCAGGGTAGTATCCTGGACGGTCAGAGCGGTACCCAGCGAGCCGTGGATCCGGATAGCCCTGGAGGTAGGGGTATCCTGCTGCTGCCATGACGCTGGCATATCTGGGATCGATGGGCGGAAGCTTGCTGAGGCTCTCCTGCGACCGGGACTTGGTAAGGCCGGTGACGATGCGAACCCTGGGCTTGGTCGGGAAACTAGGTTCGGAGCCTTTGGGGGCAGAAGAGTGCGAATTGCTGTGTTTGTGGCTGCGTTTGCCGGAAGCATGCTCCTTCTGAGTCGACTTCATGATCGACTTGATGGGCTCGGCCACAGAGGGAGCAGCCGTCTCCCTGGGCCGCCTCCTCCTGGCCTCAGGGGATTCCTCTGTCGCTTTGTCGCCCATGCTCCGAGGCGCAGGTCGCAATCCGCCGGCATCCTGGAGTGAGGCAGCGGCTTTCCGAGCAACCTCGGGCGAGCTCCAGGGCACTTGCTCTCCGTCCTTGAGCACCGCATCGAGCTTGGACTTTTGCTCCTCGACCCACTGACGGGTTCGCTCCTCAATGCTTTCGATGAGCCATATCCTGGCTTTCTCTTCAATGTCTTGCAGGATCTTGGCTTTGAGCGACTCTTTAAGATCCTCCTCGGTTGGAGGCTTCTCGGGTACGGGCTCAGGTCCTGGCTCAGGGTCAGTGGTCTTTGGTGGGTGTTCTTGCTTCTTTCTCGATGCTACCGACAGCCTTCCCACGGCCCCCTCGATCGATTTCTCGTACTTTCGCCAGCGTATGCACGGTGGCGAGATGGCACGCAGCCGAGACCGCTTTGAGGGGTACATGATGCTCGGAGGATGCCGCGGCCTTTCGACAAAGGTCGATGGATCCCAACCCTCGCCAATGTCAAGACTATCAGCGGGGCGAAGGTATGTCGCCTTGGAGCGCCGAAGGGACTGCGTGCTATCCACAGAAGATTGACTGTCGCTGTCTGACGCAGAAGACTCGCAGGCAGTCGAGGAGTCGCCGGCGCTGTCGTCTGGAGGGCTGGCACTATCCACGGATGCCTCGTTGTTGCTGTTGTTGCCGTTGTTGGCCGGAGGTGCACACTCGGCGGATCCCTCGGCTGGCACAGGTGAGCCTGGACCGGATGCATTTGGATCTACAACTGCTGCGGCCGGGACAGTAACCGGGATAAGGTCTTCAATCTCATCGGTTTCGGTCGAGACCGTGACCATCTCGACCTTTCCTGGCGGTCGCCGCGGGGCTGCTCGCACTGCCTGCGAGCCCGAGGAACGCACTGGTATGGACCAAGCAACGGATCCTTTGCCAGAGTCATCAGGAACCGACGACGGAAGCTTCTGGAGGCTGACGGGAGGTCTCTGCAGTGGTTTGGAGGGCACGGCGGACTTGGACTGGCCGCCAGCCGGCATTGATGCGGTCGTCTGAGATTTCACCGGGCCCGAGTGTGCATTTGGCTGCGGTGCAATGTCTCGCGACGACTGTGCTTCCGGGACGGTTGTGAGTTCGGATTTGTGTGGTCGCACATCACCGTTGGCTACGCAGCCGGATGAGGGCAACGAGGGACGCATTATTAGCTGGTACACTAGTAATATGGCATCGCAAGTGCTGCCGCCAGCCCAGCGGCGTCTCAGAAACCAGAGATTCACAAGACGTCCTGCCCAAGTGCACCGGACGAGTCAGACGCTCGCTCGTGCCGAACCAGTCAGCGACTTACCGCGTTTGGTATCGGCTGATGGCTGTGTACTGGGGTTGTCGCTGGCCCCTTCCGAACTCGAGCGTTCGCTGTCTTTGAGCATGGAGGCAGTCCGCTTGGGTTTGACGACCGTGGACCTCCCTCGCTCGACGGACTGACCTGTGGGTGGCTGCGGGTCAAAGAAGCTCTTGCGGGTGGACGGAATCAGTGGATCCAGGTAAGGGCGAGATTTGCCGCGGTCCTCTGGTGGAGGCACGATTGGATTAGAACGGTTTTCTGGCTGGCTCGATTTGTGCCGGCCCTTCCACTCCTCGTTGCCAAAGATGTGGACAAAAGGCCTCTGGAGGCTGCCGGACATGGTGATGGCCGAGTCCAGCTTGGATTGAGTGTCCAGCTTCATTCGATCGCCTTCCGAGTCCAAGAACTCGAGTTTGAGGGAGCGGTTGACGGACGGCGACCCTTGGTAGAACGCCTGTGAGATCTGGCTATGCAGATCGTGGAGGGGAACGTCGGGCTTGGTGGTGACGACTTTGCAGACGTCGTCGACAAACACCTTGAAGGTAACATTGTTCGCACCGTCCGCTGCTGGAGCCGGTTCTGGAGAGTGAGTGGAGCAGGCAAGACCCATTAGCCAAGCGTGCATTGGTTCTCACGGGGGACTGGCATTGTCTGGTCGACGGGACACCATCTTACCTCCTTGACTCATGTGTGCGCTGTGGCTAACTCGAGCCAGACGATGTTTGGACTATTATAACTGTATGTGCGGGGCAGTACGTTGGTACGTTGAGTGTACGTTGGTGGTACGTTGAGCGATCTCTGCTGAGCTTGGCAGAACGGAATGCAGACAACATCGTCAGCAACCCCGAGACACAAACAAAGAGGGCAGCGCAGCTGGCTCCGCACAGGCTCTGTATTGGGCAAGGTGTTCCAACTGGATGAAGGGGTCAAGGACTCACCGGGTGCCAGCAGTACGGACGGTGAGGGCAGACAGGAATCGGTTTGGTGTTTGGTGCTTGGTGCTGGGTGCAAGTGGCTGGATACTGGTCGGAGAGCGGCTGGACCCACGCGGCGATTGTGATTAGGCGCAGCGACGGAGGCCGCAGCGAGCAGCACGGTAGTCTCTCCGAGCACGTATGTGTCGCTGAGTCCGGCATCGGCTGCTCTCGCCGACCCCGCCCATGATTGAGCCGGGTGCATTGGAATGTTCCTGGCAGAAGACAGAACAGCGTGCACCGCCACCCGGAGGCAGGACACTGCCACGCGGCTGCGCATTGATGACGTCAGCACAGCGTGGCACAGCATCCACGTGGGGTCATGCTTTTCTTGCTGGCCACGTGTCTGCCGCTTTGGGACCGCTCGTCGACCCTCCAATCCCTCCTCGCCAGCTTTTGTCCATCGTTCATCGTCCATCGTTCATCGTCCATCGTTCATCGTCCATCGTCCATCGTCCATCGCCCACCACGACACCACATCCCTGCTCGGCCATACCGCTCAGCCATCCGCTCAGCCATCCGCTCAGCCATCCGCTCAGCCACACTGCCAGGCCCTTGATCTCTATCTACTGTCGGCTCATCTGTTCCTCGTATTCAGCCCGCCGCACCCTCACCTGTTCTGTCCATTCAGCCAGACCCGCAGTCTACCTCGCCATCCGATTTCTGCTCGTGCAAATTCAGCAACAGTCCGGTTGAGCATCGTCCCCAACGCAGCCGCCACTTGATCTGTCGCCCACAAAAAAAGTAGAGTCCCTCCTTTCCCCCTCATTCGATCTCGCAGCCGTAGCCCTGTCCGCTCAGCAAAGCTCTCAGACCACCACCATCACCACCACCACCGCTGCCGCTGCACCACTGTGTGATAAGTCCTTGGTTGATACAATGGAGCTGCTGGCCGTCCCAAGCTTTCCCCATCCAGAGCCCGTCTCGGTGCACTATCGTCACGCTGCTTCGTATGATTCGCCGCCGGGGATCTCAAGCGGCTTTTTCGAGCCCCGCCGCGTCGAAAGCGGATCTGCAGCTGCACCGGCTTCGGGTGCCGTCGACGCCAAGGATGCCGCGAGACACTATCTCGACACACCGGTCTCCTCTGTTTACGACTATACCTTCCCGATGGACGAGTCAATCGACAATGCGTACTGCGAGGACTATCCGGAGCTTGTGGATGAGTCGGAGATGCCGGAGCATGCTCATTTGACGGACCACGAGCTGCACGGCGAGGGTGCTTGGCCCCAAGATGGCTGCGGCCCTGCCGCTCTCCACGACACCGCCCCCCTGCCCTCGACAGACGGTGCGGAGCGCTCGTTGGATGAACCCCCGACTCTGGCACCTGGTGTCCGCCCCTACTGCGTCTCGTTCTTGTTCAAGGACTCGTCATTCACACTCGAAGATTCTGGCGACGAAGAATCGCCCTTTCTGATGAATCTAACCTCTATTGTTTCGGACTTTAAGCTACAGCACAACGTTACTAACGACATTGCCCTCGAGATTCCCAGTCTGCTGCTAACAATACACGAGGTGAGCAGCCGAGCCGCTCCAGAGAGGGGCTAATGGTTCTCTGGCATTGTGTCCAGCCACGTCTGGCGCGGTGCTGCATGTCTGCCGATATTGAATCGTTAACCGGGGCGATTCGCCAGCCAACGGCTCAGTCACTAACCGTCCCCGTATCAACTTGGCAGGCTATGGATGTTGCAAGCACACTCACTCTCCAGGAACTCTGCCAGTACCACGAATATGTCTCTAGGGATGCTCTCAGGGTCGTTTTTGTTGAGGTAGGCCGACATGTGCCGTCTGGCTCCCGATCGATTTGGAACCGCATTGGCAAGATCTGCGAGCTAACGATGCCTCAACCCCCACCGCCCAGGGTAAATATAACACGGCTGCTCAGCTCAGCTATCTGGAATCGCTAACGCCCGAGAATCCGGGGGACGACCAAGCGACGAACGAAGCCAGCCCGGTCGATCTTGTCGATAGTACCACATGCACCGAAGACGACGTCTGGTCAATAGAAGACGGTGGGCATCGTTTCTGAACCTAACTGGATCGCATCGATTCTCCGCGAGACTCGGCTCTGACAGCGAAGGCGGTGCTCTATGACAAGGGACGAGCCGCGCAGAAGACAATCAATTATGGCGCGCTATGCTAACCTCCGGTCTCCTCGATCTCGCTCCCCGTTCTCCTCCTTCCTTTATGCCTTCTTGTTTGACGTTTGTCTCTGATTGTTGTCGATATTTGCTGATGTTGTTGGTGCTGGTGCTTTTCTGCGTGTGCTCAGGCGAAATCAAGGAAAGTCTTTCATGATTGTAGGAGCGGGTTGGAGCGTGAATGTGCACAGAGACGAATGCGTTTCTTGTGTCTTCTCCCCCCCCCTGCTTCTCCTCCCCCCCATTCTGCTCCTTTTTTGGTTCTGAGCGCTGGTCCTGGTGGTCGCCTCTGGATGCACGGGTGATGAGATTCAGTGTTCGTATAAGGGAGCGTGTTGTCTGCTTTTGAGGCCGACGGCCATTCCTAATATATTCTCACCGAGCGAGCATTGTGTTCTCCCAGAAGGGAATGACAAGCGTCAGAGCGACTGGCGACCAAGATCTTCCCTGCTCCCTGCTCCCTGCTCCCCGCTTCCCTGTCTCATCGCAGCAGATCAATCCTCCATCACGTGGGTGAGCATCATCTCGAAGGGCAGCACAGATCGCTGCCGCCTGTGATTGCGGCCTTGGGATTGTCCTTTCCCACGGGTCTGCCTCCTTCTCCAGCGTCCCAGGCGGCCACTCGTTCATTGCCCTGCGTTCGCCCCTCGGTAATTTCATCCGTCCGCACTCACGTACTGGCCGAGCGCAATGGACGTCATCGACAACATCATCCCGGTCGAGAGCCCGAGCGAGCCCGCTGGCGATAAACCGCCGCCGCTGCAAACCAGAGGCAGCGCGATATACACTGGCGGACGGGTTCGCCTCAGTCTCGTCCCCTCCATTCTGCCGCCCATATACAACGGCAACAAGACTGCATCCCTCGAGTCGCAAACGGGTCTGAACACAATCGACCAGGGCATTGGCTCCGAGGCGAGCGGGGCTGCACTGCCAACGGAAGATCCGTCAGGCACACGGTCGCTCCAGACACCCAGCCCAAATTCCCATCCGATAGCAGACCCTAAAATTGCCGATGAAGCGCTGCCGCCACCACTACCATCACAACAGCAACAACAACAGCAACAACAGCAACAACAGCAACAACAGCAACAACAGCAACAACAGCAGTACTCGTATTCGTATCCTTACCAGTCCCACTGCCATGATTTCGATGACGACGGAGCCGTTGCTCCGCTGCTCGTCTCGCTGCGAGTCTGCAAGCAGTGTCAGGACTCGCTGCTCCACACGTTTGAGCACTGCCTCGCCCACAAAACATCGCACGATCCGAGCAAGAACGGCGGCTTCGAATCAATCCACCAGATCGACGAGGTCCATGATGCCCAGCGGCTTTCGGAGCCACCGTTCTTCAAAATCGTCAAGGACCCGACCAAGCGGCGGAACAATGTCTACGTCGATCTCAGCGAGCAGGTCACCCGTGACCGATACGTTTTCAACGAGATGAAGCTGGCGCGCATCGGCGACGATGCCGGCGGCGTCAAGCAGTCAACCATCGACGCCATCGGGGGACCCAAAGGCACGGCCTTCTCGGGAGAGATCTTCAAGCGCACGATCAATGCCAAAAACAGAGAGATTCAGAATCTGCGCGAGAAGCTCTACGAAAAGGCTGTCAACGAGCGTTTCGAGCGCGAGAACGTCGAGCGGCTCCGGATTGCCCTCAACAAGTCGCTCAAATACTACTGCTACGCCGAGGAGTGGCAGTCGCTCGAGAGCACTCGGCTGCAGCAAGACATCCGGCACCTCAAAGCCGAGATGTCGTCGCTGATGGCCTTCCTCATCAACTCGGAGGAGGAGAAGCGCAAGCTGCTCGTGGAGATGGAGGGTCTGCGCGAGGTGGTCCGCAGCAAAGAGATGGCCGCTACCGCGGCAACAACGGCGGCGCAAGAGATGAAGGAGAAGCTGCATGCCAATCTAAAGGAGTTCCTATCCATGAACGACACCATGGTGCGTCTCCGCAGGGAGGCCGAGCAGGGCTCCGACATGGTTCACAACCGCAACGAGATCCTGCAAAAGAACCTCGAGAAGATCTCGCGCGACTTTGAAAAGTCCGCCAAGGAGCTGGCCGAAGCAAACACCAAGATCCGCGAACTGGAATTCGAGCTTGAGGAACTCGTGCTGCAGTTCAATGCCACCGGCGAGGCCAAGCGCCAGCTGCAGGAGGAACACACCCGCCTCACAGACGTGTACTCGCTGACCCTCAAGGACCTACGCAGTCTCAAGGACGAGCATGAAAAGCTGCGGGAAGTCTCGGGACAGCTCGAGGTCGACCTCGAGGACATGACTGCTCTGCAGCAAGAGACAAAGCTGCAAGCCGAGGAGGCCATCTCCAACCTCGAGACCGCCAACAGCAATCTGAAAGTCGAAAAGAAAGAAGTCGAGTCCAACTTGACCAAGACCAAGGCTGAGGTGGAGCGTTTGCAGAATGTCCTCAAGAACCTTACCAAGCAGAAGGATCAGCTCGAGACCAACCTCAAGCAGACGACGCAAAAGTTTGAAAAGGAAATCGCCGCTCTTGAAAAGAGAATCCGCGAGGCACAAGATCTACGGACAATCGACCAGAAGATGATCAAGAATCTGCAGGAGCAGAAGGAGAAGCTCATGTTTGAGGTCACGGACTTGCAGAACTGTCTTGACGCAGAGACCACCAACGTCAACGAGCTGACCTTTGAGCTCGAGCAGCTCAAGAAACACTCGGAGCAAAAGCTGGCTGCACTCGAGGACCAGGTCAACGCCCTCAATGCCGCCAAGGTCAATCTCACCAACGACAAGCGCAACCTCACCGACAAGATCAAGCTGGTGCGCGCCGATCTCAAGACCAAGGAAGACGAGTATGCAGACCTGACGGCCCGGTTTGAAAGATACACAGCTGAGGCTACAGCAACCGAGGCTGTCTTGCGCGCCCAGCTCGAGAAGCTCATGGGCGAGCACAATAATCTCACACGGGACTACAAGCAATTGCAAGAGAGTAACACCATCCTCATCGACGACAATGTCAAGCTCAAGTTGAGTCTCGAGGCCTTGACCAAGAAGCACCACCACTTGGAAGAGAGCCACCGCATAGCCCTGAAAGAACTGGAGGACGCACGGAGGGAGAATGAGCTGCTCACCAGCAAAACAGAGCGCATGGGCGCCGAGTGCGAGACGCTGCAAACCGACCTGGCGGCAGCCTTGGCAAAGATCGAACAGCTGACGGAGGAGATGAAGCAAATGAGGCAAGATAACGAAGAGGAGCTTGTGAACAAGAATTTCACCATCCGAGGGTTACAGCAGGATCTCGCGCGATCGCGGGACGAATGTGCGGCCTACGACAGGCTGGCCAAGAAGCTCAAGCAAATCATTGTCGATCTCGAAAACGACATTGCCACGGTGCAGGAGCAGCTCAAGCGGGAAACGGCAACCAAAGAACACCTCGAGACCTGTCTGTACGATATGCGTGCCTCATTGAACTCGGAGCACAAGATGAGAATCGAACTGGAGCGGCTGCGGGGTCGGCTCGATCGCAAGGAAGCATACCGGTTCCTGGAGCGACTCGGAGCCATGAAGCTGCGCGACCGGACCCTGAACCATATTTCGGAGGAGCTCCAGGACGAATACAAGCGTCTCAATTCGATATCGTTCTTGCTGCCCTCGGACGAGGCCCTGAAAGTTGTGGATGCCCCACCGATCCCGTTCAAGCTGCCAAAGAACGAGCTGGAGAGCCGGAGCAGATCCGGCAGTGCCAGACCACCCGTCAAGATCGTGATCAAGCGAACGGAATAGCGATGGTGTTGCGCATGTATCTTTGCATTGAGTTACTGGTCACGGCTGCTTGGGGTCAGCGGCCGGTTGCTTTCAGGGGATGAAAGTGCTTGTGGGCAGCCTCCGGCTTCGCTCAATATCGCATCTCAGCCAGAGTTGCAGTGCCCACACGATGAACAGATACACCTGAATTGCAGCCAGTCGTCGCTCTTGTCCGATTGTTGAATACAATGCACATGTCTGTCGGGCACAGTGGTCTTCTGCAGCACTCTCGCTTCCCATGTCCCGGCCCAGCAATGCTTCGACTTGATCCGCCCCTTCCGTCGGTGAGCGTAACCGACTGTTGTCTTCATCACCTCTCCGGTGACTACTTTGAGCATGTAGTGAAGCTACTACAGACCCCACTCGTGATCATGGATTGATGCGAAGGCATTCATGTGCTTGGCGAGCCCGTTTCGCTTGCGGCCTCGAAACAGGAATGTCCCGTCGGACTTCCGAGAACACAGTGATTGGAGGGACGCCCGCTGGGACAGCATCGGCAGGCTGACGCAGCCTCTCAACCCGATAACAAACGTCAATCCCATAGCCTGTTTGATCGTTTGCATATCTGGCGCTTTCGCTGGGCCGAGCTTTGGATCGATTGCCTGCTGTTCAAGCTCTTAGCTCTGCGGGTTTCGGTGCACGATTCGCCCTGCCTCTGCTCTGCTGTAGATACACTCTCGCCCGCAGCTGTATTCTACACCTACATAGCATAGTGATATCATAGGCCGCCGAATCTATCCAACCCCCAGAGACCTCGTTCTGGTCTCCTACACTCATTTGTCATCAACATCGCCGTCACCGGCAGATTCCGTCGCAGCTATCGAGCGCCTCATCCACACAAACAGCAGTGACAGAAATCATGGACGATACGCCAATCTCGACAGCGGACAGCGACCGCATGCGGCTCAAACGGCTCTCTGAGGAGGAAGAAAAGCGCGAGCGCAAAGCCAACCTGCTCTTTGACTATATCGAGAGCGAAAAGGCCAAAAATGACAAGAGCAAGCGCATCATTCTGGCTGAGATTGTCAAGCGACAGCACGAGCTGATCGCGATCAAGGCTGCCGAACTCGAGGCCAACGTCAAGCAGCGCGAGATGGATACCGAGCGATCCCGGCGGGACGTGCTTGATAAGGTCGGTCTGCAATGAAACCCTGGGTAACGCGTGGGAAACTCGGGCGGGCAGAGCGACAAGCACACCACTCCTGACTGTCACTGCAACGGCTGCCCATCCCCGCTTGCCTCTGCAGCCAGACCACACTTTGGCCACGATGCTCACCACGCTGTCTGGTTGTATGTCGCTTCCTTTCAAAGAAAGCCCTGCGGATCGATAGTATCTACCGTGTTCTGCCGACGCACCCGCAGAATCTCCATCTGCTCCATGGCAACATCAAAGCTCAGACAGCGTCGCTGCACCATCGCCAAGCCAGCGACACCCCGAAACAGTCCGAAAGACGGACCGATTCCCAGCGAGTCACGACTTCGGTGGCTCCCGAAGCCACAGGGGATCGCGATGAGTTGCAGAGCCAGGCCGGAAGCAACCTGAAGACCTTTGCCAGCTCGCTCACGATGGCGAGCAGCACCGTGGGCCCCAGCTCCCACGGCGGATCAACGCTGTCGCTGCAGCAAGGAGCCGGTGCAGCAGAAAGGCGGTCCTCGCGTGTGCAGCAACTCAACGCCATCACCGAAGACCGCTCCGGTCAACGTAAAACGCGGCTCTTTCGAAGCAAGTATTACCACGAGCAGGCACACGATCTCAGGACCGTTCGGAGCGAGGCCACTCGGATGCATGATCAAGCAAGAGCGACCTTCAGCTCCCGGTGTCATCGTCGGCGCCGACTGACTATCGACAAGGAGGGGCCGCATGGACAGCTTCTGGATCTCGAGCCTCGGTGCATAACGGCAATATCGCCGTCTCCGCTGGCAAAGTTCAAGTCCGAGTTTGTCCCTCGAGCATCGCTTGGAACCAAGCTGGACCATCATGGACCCAAGAACAGGGGACGCGGCACGCCTCAGCAGCCGCCCAACGCCGCAGTCCTCGCAGTGTTCCATACCGAGGCCGCCTTCAGGGCATTCACGACCAAATATCAACGACCCCTCTCGGACCACCGGGAGGAGCACTTGGTGAGTGAATACGCTTGTGTTGGAATGGCGAGGGAATGCCCGATGGCCCGGCTCGGGATCGTTGTGCGATGCGGAAACTAACCACTTTGTCCGATGCGTGACCCGTACTTGGCGCCTTCAGGAGTCGCTGGACTTGATCCGCTCGGAGGCTCAAAAAAAGATCGATGTTCGCAAAGGCATGATCACCCGCATCCAGAGAAACCGGGCGCTCATCAGCGGATTCGCTGAGCACCGGGGCATGAGTCCGTTCCGACAGCATCTGGCACATGCGAGCCGGTATGGCGAGCCGGAGTGCGAGCCCGGTTACGGACACAACGACGACAGCGCCTATCCCGATGAAGGTTTTGCTGTTGTCCGGGAGTCCCAGCCGCCAAACGCTTCGCTGATGACGGAGACCTCGACGGCACGTCCCTCATTTGCTGCCACATTTACCCAAAAGAAGCAGTGGGTGTTTGATCCCATGGCCGCATTCGCTGCAGCAGGACCGCAGCTGTCGACGACCGGCCCGCAGCCACCAATTATGAGCAACTCTCCTTCGCCGAATGTCCCTGGTACTCAAGTTGCATCGGCAAGTGGAACACGGCCACTGACAGGACTGACCAACCAAGGGCAAAGCCAAGGCTCCTCTGATCCCGAGCTGCTGAGACTTGCTAAAGAGGCTCTGGCATCCACTCGGCGTGGGTACATCAAGACTGTGGAGACTGAAGCAAATGAGCCAATCGGTGGTCAAGCCCCCTCGGCACACTTTGGCGAGGACTTTGGGGCGACCCAGAAGGATGCCCAGCCCGAGATTACCGTTGTGGACGAGAACAGAGATGAGCTGTTGGAAGCCTCAAAACCCCAGGCTTTGTCGACGTCGGCGCTTCTGGAACCGGTGGCGAGCCCGTTCGATGTCTCCAATGCAAGCCACAGGGACACCCACGCCCTGGCCAATATCACACACAGCCGAGAAGAGGAGGCCCGTGCGGCACAGTCCGGATCCGGGTCCGAGCAGGTCTGGAAATCCCTCGATTCATTTTCGGAGGTCTTTGCTGGATCGGGAACCTCAAAGAGCAACGATACTGCGCCAACCACCCGGGCGACGACTGCTGCAACTGCAGCCGAGGAGGACCGACGCACACTCCTCAATCCGCTGGTTCGCCTGGGCTCTAGCAAGGTCTCGTTTACGGGCATGGGCCCGGGTTCACCCACACAGTCGTTTCGACTGGCGGGGCCAAGGCAGAAGAGGCACTGGCAAGCGCTGGGACCTGATGCACTTGCCGAGACCCGACGGGTGATTGCTCCCTCGACGCAGCTGCGAGTGCCGAGCGTCAGCCTAGGGTCGGCGGGCTCGGATTCGACATTGGTCTGTGACAGCTACGATCGATTCCCGCGCGAGCGCAAGGATATTCCTCGAGCGATGGCGTTCTGGACCGTGGCTGACAGCGACATGTAATCTGCGGGTGTCATGACCTGATGTTATTGAACGGACAGCGCGGGACGGGTCAAAGTCGAGAGACGCAGACTGTTCGAGGAGACGAAATGCAGTGCGAACATGGATATCCAGTCGGCTCTGTCGGTAATGACTCGAGCACCGGCTCGACGCATCCGTGGTTGTCTTGCGTACTCTGCCTGGCCGTGCTTGGTCGCATGAGATCACGCGGCTTGCCTCACTGTGCGTCAGAATGACACCGAGTTCGTCGTCGTTGCATTGATGGAGGTGCATCGACACAGGTGCACGCATTCAATAGTGCAGGTGCATGCTCCCATCGATGCAGATGCCCGCTCTCAATAGTGCTCCCAGCTTCCTCCGTCGGCGCAGATACCCCCTTCCCACGATGTGTCCGTCTGGTTGTCTGATACCCCCTGCCCACATGTCCGGCAGCGCCACTGGCCAGGGTTAGGGCTGCCGCGTGTTCTGGCATCCGAGCGCCCGATTTGGTCATTGTTTCCGCAGCATTCCGCCAGGCCAGCTTAGTCAGCGCTCTCGGCGGCGCCTCGCTGCGCTCTCGCGCGCTCTCGCCGGCCCTCGCCCGTCCTCGCTGCTCGGCCGCCTTTTGCTCTGCTCTGGCCTCGGCCTTCGCTGGTTTTGCTCTTTGCTCTCCAGGCATCCGACCTTCGACACCCCTCCACACCCAACCCATCCATTCCGATCCGAAATGGCCCTCAAGCGCATCAACAAGGTCTCAGGCTCTGTCCGCTCTGTCCCCAGCATCTCATGTCCCTGCCCTCTGCTCCTCGCCTTTGTGGGCGCATTCCGCCGGGCACCCTGCTTGTCCCAGCGATCTCGATTCGGTCTTCGTCCGGGCAAGAGGAGCCTGGCACCCGGCGGCATTGTCTGGCTATCCTGAGAGATCTCCCGGCGCAGCGGCCAAGCACCGCCGGTTGCTGTGTGGCTCTGCTCTTGCGCATCATTCCACTGACTTTTTGCTGCCCTGGCGTCGTTCTGTTGCAGGAATTGCTCGATCTCGGACGTGACCCACCCGCTTCCTGCAGTGCCGGTCCTTGCGGCGATGATCTCTTCGTAAGTCGCCTCTCTTTCTTTGCATGTCGCCTGCAGACCTTTGCGATGGACTCGGGGGCTCACGGCCGCCGAGGTCTGCGTGCCTCCTTCCAAGCGGACTCTGCCGTGTGTCCAGACGCTGACGTCATTTCCTCCCCTCCCTTCCTCTCGTCCTCAACAGCACTGGCAGGTCAGTTCGTGCTCCCAGCCATACGGACACTAGTCCGCACATTGCGTCCGCTATTCTCATACTGACCCCATCCTGTCATCCGACTCTTTCGCACGGCCCAACTGCCCTGCAGGCTACCATCATGGGACCCGTAAGTCGCCAATTTGTTGCCACGCTGCATCGTCGTATCGCCGGATGGCTGCTTGGAGCGGACACACCTGCATCGGCCGAGTGCTAACCAGATGGTCCGATATTGGCCTGTCTTGCGCAGTCGGACAGCCCTTACAGTGGCGGCGTCTTCTTCCTGTCAATCACCTTCCCCACCGACTACCCGTTCAAGCCCCCGAAGGTGCGGCTCGCTGTCGATGCCATGCGTGTGTGCAGTGTGAATGTGTGAATGTGTGAATGTGTGAATGTGTGAATGTGTGAATGTGTGAATGTGTGAATGTGTGAATGTGTGAATGTGTGAATGTGTGAATGTGTGAATGTGTGCGTGGATGTGCACTCGCAGACATTTGTCACTACAGCTGTTACTAATCGTCTGTGGCGGCGCCATGGGCTCCTCCAGGTCAGCTTTACAACCCGGATCTACCACCCAAATATCAACAGCAACGGTAGCATCTGTCTGGATATCTTGAGGGACCAATGGTCACCAGCACTCACCATCTCCAAGGTCCTGCTGTCGATCTGCTCGATGCTCACGGATGCCAACCCGGACGATCCGCTCGTCCCCGAGATTGCGCACATCTACAAAACAGACCGTGCTCGCTACGAAGCCACTGCCCGTGAGTGGACCCGCAAGGTGAGTGCCAACAGAGCGACGCGGTCGACACCAATAGCGGCAGCGCAAATCGTCCCTCTCGCCGCCATCGGATTGGCAAACGCTGCGTGGGAGGACACATGCTGACTGATATTCTGTGATCTTTCCCCATCCCCACCTGCTCGCAGTACGCCATGTAAAAAGAGAAGCTCGAGAGATTGTTTGTGGGTGTGATGTGTTGATTGTTGATATGCAAAATATACAGTCTTTCCAAAAATTGCCTGGACCATTGCTCTGCTTGCGACCGCGGATGCCACGGCCGCTGTCCTGGTGCTGTCCTGGTGCTGTCCTGGTGCTGTCCTGGTGCTGTCCTGGTGGTGCTGTCTTTCTTCCATGAGCCCTGTCGTGCGAGCCGCCACACGGCCGCCTTGCTGCGCTGGCTCGAACCTGCCGAATGCGGCGAGGCTGTTTCCCGGCGCGGTCGTCTCCGTGTCGGTTGCCCTCTTGTCCCGCCAGCCCAACGCATCCACGAATCTGAGCAGGCCCGAGCAGCGGAATCCAAACAACCCGAAATGAAGAAGAAGGTATGCGGCCGAGCGGGGTCGATCTGCTGGCATTGCCTCTCACGGGCCAGCTCCTCCAGCTGTCGGCTTTGCCTCCCCTGGGCTTGCTTGGCATAGCTATTTGTGCTCATCAAAGTCTGTCCTGGCCCGACCCTGGCGGCCTGCGCAAACTCCCTCCATCTCCCCTCGTATGATCCAGGTGCTTTTGATGGGCAAGAGCGGCGCGGGCAAGACGTCCATGCGCTCGATCATCTTTGCAAACTACATAGCCAAGGATACCAGGCGTCTTGGCGCAACCAGTTGAGTCTCGTCGTCCTTGTCGTCTTCGGGATATGCGACCCGTCTCCATCTGTCCGCAAGCCTCGCCATGCCCCTGTGGCGACATGGGTGGACAATGACCGAACATCCGGTGACCGCAAAGGAGCGGCACCGTCGATATGCGCTGGCCCTCACTTGATTCAATCATTGCGGGGATCGGGTGGCTCGTTCTAACATGCTCTGCCCTGGGATCGCTCTGAATGGCCCCAGTCGACGTCGAGCACTCGCATGTGCGGTTTCTGGGCAACCTGGTGCTGAACCTGTGGGACTGCGGAGGGTAAGCACAAACTCTGGCTGCGATGGCTGGTCGCCGGTGGTCGCTGGTCGGCACGGTGGCTGAATGATCCCTCATGGTGTCGTCGGCTGCTTTGCGACAATCGGGGACTTCATGCCCCCAACTCCGGGTCATCACCAATCGAGCCCGTATTGTGGAGATGGTCGCTGGGACAGCAAGCGATACCACCGGAACCAATCCGATTGATGTGGCATCAATAATGCATCCGAAACAAAGCAGTCTGCCCAGTGACTCTGATCGTCCGGGTGGTATCGACGCAGTCCAAGATCCTCGCCACCACACAGACCAACTGCGTGGTGCGATTGCGTGCAGCCGCACGTTCCAAACCACTCTCTGACTCGACGGCGTTCGGATCCGTCTCCTCCCTCGGCTTCACCGCACCATCGTCTATTGCAGCCAAGATGTCTTTATGGAAAACTACATCAACTCGCAGCGCGAACAGATCTTCCGAAACGTCGAGGTCCTGATCTATGTGTTTGACGTCGAGTCGCGCGAATACGAAAAGGACGTGCGCTACTACCAGAACTGTCTCGAGGCCATCAATCGGTTCTCGAGAGACGCCCGCATCTTCTGCTTGATCCACAAGATGGATCTTGTCCAGGAGGATAAGCGGGAACAGGTGTGTTCCTTTCTCTGTCCGTCTGTCTCCGCCTGTCCATATGTATGGCAAAGCACCTACCCAGACCAATTGCCTTTCACCCTTGCCTGTTATTTGAGAGCTGTTCAACCGCGAACCTGCTCGGTGGCCGCGAACCTCCACATTCCGAGCCAGGAGCGAGCGAGTGACAGGTGCACTCAAGGGATTCACGGTGTAACTAAAACCATTTGCTGTCCGTCTATACACTGCTCGTGCTGATTACGTCGCCGCGCCTCACGATGCATGAATCGTACCGGAACCGTGGGTCCATAGACATTCCGTGAACGAGAGCAAGACCTGTTGCGCCGCTCGCATCCGATGCCGATCATGGCCTTCAAGACATCGATTTGGGACGAGACACTGTACAAGGTACGACGAGCAACACTGTTGTAGAGCCGCCCCCTTGCGCCTGCCGCTACTGCTCCTAAGCACGCCATCGGCTGGATATTTCACCGACTCACTGACCCACTGATCCACTGACTCACCGACCCACCGACCCACTGACTCACCGATACGCATGCAGGCTTGGTCGTCGATTGTGTACTCGCTTGTCCCGAACGTCCAGCTGCTCGAGAACCAAATCGAAAACTTTTGCCGGGTCTGCGAGGGAGACGAGGTTGTGCTTTTCGAGCGCGCGACCTTCCTGGTCATCTCGCACTACACACAGGTCACGCACTCGGACCCACATCGATTCGAAAAGATATCCAACATCATCAAGCAGTTCAAACTGAGCTGCAGGTGGGTGATCGGCAAGGGGGGGAGAGTGATTGCACTCAACGGCGCATGGCGGGTGGGTGCGACATCGGGCGAGTTATCTTCGAGCTCGCTGCGATTGCCACAAGTTACTTACGCACTCATGTGGGGGCCACTGCGATCTGCCATCTGCTTTTGATGTACAACTGTACTTGGCACAGCAAATCCCAGTCGCAGTTCCAATCCATGGAGATCCGCACGCCGAGCTTTGCCGCATACATCGACGTGCTGACCAACAACACATACATCATGATCATCGTCTCGGATCCCAGCATCCGTGAGTAGCCGCATTTCAGAGTGGGTGATGCATGCGATGGCGGCTGTTGACGAGGCTCCGGTTCTGCCTTGGCGGCGCACGGGGCATTCGTTACCTGGGCCGGGGCCGAACCCGTGTGCTGGTCTGCCAACTGACCGACTTTACCACCCCATCGCTCCAACCGAATGCCGCTCATGGATCGGGTATGCAAACTAACTGCTGGCGGTGTTACTTTGTGCAGAACCCGCTGCCACGCTGATGAACATCAAAGCTGCCCGAGCTCATTTTGAGACGATCGAGACGGGACGGCTGCAGTGAGGCTCTCCCCACACCCGCCACAAAGACGACGCAAGAGAAAGGCCGGGACGGAGGCGTCTTGCATATGACCCTGGGGTGGCGAGAGTCGGGGCACGATTGCTGGCCAAGAACCAGTGCGTCGAGGACTTGCTTGGGAAGGCGGCGGCGACTTGGCCTCTGCCAAAGCGCACCTGACATCAAGAGGGAAAAAAGATGTCCAAGCCGAGGGACAATGCTGTGCAGATGGATGATCTCCATTGCATTTGGGGGGGGGAGTGCTGTTCTGCCTCAACCGCAAATACACAACAGCACTGTGGGTTTGGCTGGACGAACGAACGAACGAGCAAGCAAGTCGATGTGGCCCAACGCGGGGCCAGACTCGACGATTTGTCATGCCAAATGCACCGAGACATGCACAGTGGCCGGCATGTGCTGGGACGCTGTGCATGGGAGGCGACGGGGGTTGGGCCGCATGCTCAGCAAGCGTATCCATGGAGGGCCCGCCCGCGACGCACAGAGCGGCAAAGGAAAGAAGCAGGGGCACACACGCCCAAAGCACGGCCCTTGGGCTGAGGCGCTTGTCGGCGACGTGGCTGTGAAGGACACGAGCGCACAATGGGACACCGCCGCCGGGTCGCTGGGATATGGATGGCCCTTTGCGACAGAACAACAGAACAGCAGGCCAACGAAGCAACGGCCAGGACCACGAGAGAAAACGCAAGTGGGTGATGCACACAAGCAGCTTGCTTGTTGTTGTTTGGGTGGGGAGCCTAGCTCCACCACCCGTGCGTCGATGGTGGAGACCAGGCCAGCAGGAGGCAGCGCAGATGGAGGCAGGTCGGGGCGGGGAGGTGAGGGACCAGGGCGAGGCAAGCCTGGCGACTTGCAGCGACCGACGGCGGCATCGAAGCGACTTGCGAGCGACCGACCGACCAGCCGACCGGGCAACAGCCTCGGATCATGCGGGTGGGCGGTGCTGGCAGATCCGAAAGAGAAAGAAGGATGAGGCACGAGCCCAGACAGACAGAGAAAACAGGAAAGGCCGCAGTCAGCAGCAATCGCCAAATTTACGACAGGTCAGCACCCAGAAAGCGGGCTGGTTTCGGATGACGAAGCAACGGAATACCCGTGGGGAGGAAGGCAAACGATGCTGGCGAGAGCGCTGGTGGCCGGATCGCAGGATGGCAGGCGAATGCCGTGGGAGAGGCAGAGCTCGATGCGAATGGGAGGAGGACGGAGGGACACTTGCTCCTCCCCTGACTGGGTGCGGCCAATAGTCATTGGACGAGCGGCCGGTGGGACGCAATCGAAATGCAATGGCACACATGAGATGCAATGGCGCAACAGACGGATGTATCCGGCCGCGAGATAGCGCGAGTACCGCAGATTCGCAGCGCGCTCGCGACGGCCTTTGGCAGCCGGCAGAGTGTCACCGAGCTAATGCGCCGAGCTCTCCGTGCGGATCCCGGACAGGTCCTTGCCCAGGGCAGACTCGACGGTGGTAGCGACGTTAGTGATGTTAGTGATGTTAGCGATGTTAGCGATGTTAGCGATGTTAGCGATGTTAGCGATGTTAGCGATGTTAGTGCCGTTGTCGGCTCTGGAGGGCAGTGATGTCGCTTTCGCCTTCACCTCCAGGCGCTGTTTCAGTCGAGGATGCCCTTTCGGCTTCAGGCCCCCCCCCCGCATCCAAATCCGAACAATGCCACGAGCAAGCGACCGCCACCACCGAACAACGCGGTCTGCGGGGGGGTCACGGGTCGCGCGGTGCGGCCTTTAGCCGGGCAGCCACAAGCATCAGCAGACGCCGTTGGTACCATGATCCAAAAAGGGCCGCGGCTGCAACGGGCCTTGGCGGCCATGGGCAGCGCGGAGCTGTTGGGGTCAGCCGATGGCCCTGTGGCCACGGCCGTTGCCGATCATGCGCTGCTGTGTCTGTGTCCGCGGCGCGGGATCAGTTCGGATTGCCTTGGCGAGGACAAGGAGTCGGGGTGGGGCTGTCGAAGTGCTCGCCAGTCTCTGCAGAAGATTCCAGTGCTATCGCAAGGAGCGGGGGACGTGCGGATCGATCTGCGCCAGCACAGGGGCCCTCGCTCGAGTATAAGATCCTCGCCCCCCAGGTCCAGGCCCCTGCGGCCCGCCAGTGTGCCCGACTTTCCGCTCGCAGGTCCGGCTGCCCAACCCGCCCTGACTGGCCATCGCACTTGCTTACCGACAAGCATCCAAACGACGGATTACTCCTCAGTACCCACTACCATACTTGCGCCTCTGCCGAACCTCCGTTTCCAAGCACCCCTGTCCTGCAAACTCCTCGTGCAAATCCACTCCTCAGAATGGGCTCACAGTACCTCTCACTCGGCTCGAAGCGGGCCTTCATTGTCATGGCACTCGTCCTGATCGTGTCACTCTACTGGGTCACCCTGTCGGTAGCGACCCTCGCTCCGTATCCAAGCTCCGTTGTCGACTCGGCTGAATCCGATGCCGAGCCCGCCGACTGCGAGTCCAGCACCCGGACACCGCCTGCCCTGCCCAAGATCGCCATCCTGGTCTCGGATTCGAGCGACACGCGCGACCGGTCGCTCGAGCGACACTCCCGTGTCTATGTCGAGTCGGTCCAGCTCAAGGAGGACTATGCCAAGCGGCACGGGTATGCCTTTTTCATCGACAGCGTCATCGACAAGTCGAGACCTCATTGGGGCCGGCTCGGCACGGCCTACACGATCATGAACACGATGCCTTGGATGTAAGTGTTTGCTGACATGCTTTATGTTCTGGCCGAGTGCTGCTCTGGTCGAGTGCTCGGCTCGCGGTCTCGGCGCGCTCTGTCCGGCCCCCAGTAAGCGATGCCTCGGTCTCAGCAGGGCCTGCTGGGTCGCTGGGTCGCTGGGTCGCTGGGTCACGGAGGGGATCACTCTCCCGGCTGCCCCAATCGCCAGCGCTCCCACCCGTGCTCAGCGCACACGAGCGCCATCAGACGCGATCGCCACCGCCGCACGTGTCTGCGCAAGGTCGCACACACGCCTGTGCAGCTCACGTGTCGTCGTGACACACAAGGGCCGCGGCGCCGTTCCCTGTTGCTGATGCGCTTTCCTCCACCGTCCTATCCCGCCTTTCCTCCACTCCTCCCCCACCTCGCAGCGAGTGGATCTTGTACATGTACGTGACGAGCGCAAGGCATTCCTGCGCAGGCCGGTGGAGCAAATGGCTCGGCACCCGCGCACGTTTGGCGCAACGCCGGTGGTGGTGGTGGTGTGTAGGACCTGGGGCCTCGCTCGTTGTCGGCCTGGCCATCCATCGCGGCGGCCTGGCAGTTCCGCGGAGCGGCCGATTGGATGCGGTGGAGCAGTGTTTCCCGACACGCGCCAATTGACCCGAGCAACAGGACTGCTGCACATGTGTATAATCGGTGTGTCGATCGGTGCCATGACCACGCTGACGCCAAACTCGCCTCCGCACACCCACCACACAGGGATGTCGATACTATGATCATGGAGCCGGACCTCAGCCTCGAAGACTTGCTCCTGCGCCCGTACATGCGCCCGAATCTGCAGCCGTCCACAACCGAGAACGACCGCTCTCGGCGGGACCAGCCCCAAGACGACCAATCTGTCATCCAGGGTGCCCCGGTTCGCTTCCGGGTCCATGCCGTGCCGCCGCGCAACTACCAGGAGATCGACTTTATTGCCAAATCCGACTGCACCGGCCGACCGCTCAACAACGGCGTGTACTTTATGCGCAACAGCAACTGGACCATCCGGATGCTCGAGCATGTCTTCAACGACCGCACCGACTATGCTGGCACGGTCCAGCGGCCGGGTGTCCAGGACGCCATGACCAATGTCCTGATGGCGTATCCGCCCGCCGAGACCCGGCACTTCATCATGGGTCCCAAGGAGGCCACCTTCAACAAGTACACCGAGATCTGCACCGACGACGAGGATGCCGAAGACCACTGGTACCGCAAGGGCGACTTTGCCCTCCACCTGGCCGGAATCGTCAACCGCGAGGAGCTGTGGACATACTACATCCGGATGCTCTACCAGCGATACCCGTTGGTGCTGCATCAGATGCTCGCCGCGCTGAAGACCAAGTGGTTCGGCCGGGCTCCTTGGGTCGAGGAGCTCGAGAGCATGGTTAAGTCGAACCAGGTCAGCTCTTAGAGCTTGCCATATCCAGAATGCAGTTCCGGCCCAGGCCCGAGCTGCGTAGATGGTCTCTCGGCTCTGGGCGTGGCTCTGTCCACCGCTCCTGGCGCAGGATCGACTGCCTTTCTCACCAGCCTCCATCGCTCAAGCGCACCTCGTCGGCTCAACCTGGTTCCACCTCCCCTTAATACCGCTGTGGGCTATATTGGTGCTTCCGGGAAGAAACAGTGCACGCGAATCGGCGGTTTTCAGCGGCCCGCTCTGAACCTTGCTGGGCAGGTCTCGGAGAGAAGATTGAACGGGTCCGCAACCTCGGCCAGTTTTTCCTATATTGTCGCCTCGCGGGGTTGGAACAAGAGTCCGCCACAAACGAAACACACCTCCTCTATCTTCCGTCGATGCGCATACCAGCATTTGTGTCGCCTCTCTTTGGACGCGATGGCAATAATAGATCCGCATCTCTATTTCACGACAATCGCGAGCACACGGGCGGTCCTGGTCGCTGCTGGCTGGACTCGGAGGGATGGAGCGGGGACAATCGGCACTCGGGGGGCAAGTCGCTTGCTGCCGCCGGTCGTTGCGGATCAGGGACCTGGGGCGACACAGACCCTGTCGGAACCTGAAGCCTCGACAAGGCCCTGTCCTTGTGTTGCTGGGGGGTCTATCTCCCATGACCCAGACCCGTCCTGGCCTGACCCAGACCCAGACCCAGCGGCTCCGATCGACCAAGCGCGGGGGCGTTCTATTTGTGTCTCCCCGCCGATCATATGATGCCTGGCGGCGTTCCATCGAGCTCGATTCGTTCGCTTCGGCCGCTCCGCCCCCCTCCACCCTGACGCCAATAGACTTGGCTTGGTGCTTGGCGTTCGGCGTTCGGGGCATCTGTTTGTTCTGCGGTTGACCTCTTGGTTGTTCCTGAAACAATCGCCGCAGGCCCTCGGCAGGACGACGTGCACTACCAGCACAGCCCAGCGGCCACAGCATGACGCACGTTCCGCAATCTGCGTCTGCGCCAGGATCCAGCTCGACGCAGACCAACAAGAACAGCAACAAACACAGGCCGTCATGTCCTGGCTGCTTGGCCAAACAGAAGCAGCTGAGCACCGCCATGCAACCACAAACACAGCGCGGCGGATACAACGGCTGCTGTGTCCTGCCCCCCCCCTTCCGTCTCCGGCCAATTGTGTGCGTTGTTGTGAGCCGCGGGCCGCAAACAGACGCCGTTTCCTGAAATGGCATCGCGGCCGCGCATCTGCACGACAAGGAAGCAGCCACTCAACCGGGCCGCAGACACGCCAACAGAGAACTGCTGCCACATGACAGAACCAAGCAGACCTTTGGGACAACAGCGGCCTGTGGGAGGCAGCAGCAGCCAGCTTCCGCACAGCACAGGCACGACAAGGACAAGGGCCGCCACCTGCGGGCGCGCCCGAATTAGAGGCGGCGGACGACCAATCAGCACCGCGCGTAGTGGGCACGTGGCTCCGTGCGGCCGTCGAATATTCGCGGGTGTGGAGCCGCCGACGCCGCCCAGACAAGGCCCCGGGCCACCGGCGGCCACTGGCCACAGTCGCGCCGCACCCGTGTCGCACCCGCGGCGCCCGTCCTGTGTGCCCGAGCACAGCTGGACGCGCCTCTCGCGGATATATGGCCGGCCTCTGCCTTGGCCGTCCTTCGACAATCGTCTTCCCCCCTCGGATTGTCCCTCTGGTTGTCCCCCTTGGTCGATCAATCGCCTTCCCTCCCTCCGGCATCTGTCGACCATCTCTCCGGCATCCGTCCTTGTCTGCTTCCCTTTCGGACCCTTCGTCGGCCTGCCTGCCATCCGGAGCTTCCGTCTGCGTTCCGCCTTTCTCCTTTCCTCTTCCTCGCTCTTGGTCTTTCCTCTGCTGCCTCCCGCCCTTCCCTCCAAGCGGATCTTCCTCCTCTCCGCCCAGAAAAGGCCCACGGCTTCCTCCTTCCAAGCCCATTGCCCCTTGCCTCTCCGTCCGACCCTGCCCGCGACAATCCGCCCACCGCACTCACTCCCATCGCGCTCGCAGCCATGTCCCTCAACAAGAAATACGTCACGACATTTGCACCGCTGGTTATCGGCCTGGCTCTCGTCTACACAATGGTCGTTATGTTCATGTGGCGGCCAAGTTCCACAACGGGCTTGGCATCGACCCAAATCGACTGCCCAACGCAGCTTGCCAGCATCAACAACAGCAGTAGCAACAGCGCCACCTTCAACCAACGCCCGAAGATTGCCATCCTGCTCTCATACTCGGGCGACGTCCGCGACATGTCCATCGAGCGTCACTCCCGGGTCTATATCGAGTCGGTCATCAGCAAGCAGGAATATGCCCGGAGGCACGGCTATGCCTTCTTCCTCGACAGCGTCATCGACCAAAGCCGCCCGCACTGGGGCCGCCTTGTGACCGCCTACTCAATCCTGAACAGCATGCCCTGGATGTAAGTCGAGCCCGCCGCTTGCATTTCTGGTGGGGAGGGGGCCTCGTTGGTTGGGTCGAGTGCGGTCATGCCTGGCGCGTTGATGTGGGAGGAGGAGGAAGAGAGGGTTGTCGCTGCCGGGCAGTGTCCTCGCTCATGATGGCGTTCGTGATGCTGGTGAAACCTTCCGCACGACGCCGACACATTCCTCCACTCGTGCTGATGAAAACCTTTTGCCCGATCGCACGTGGCCTGTCCCTCCAGCGAGTGGATCATGTACATGTAAGTCGTCCACGTTGATGCTCGATGTCGCTGGCGTGCGATTGTGTGGAGGGGCTTTCCCCGTCTGAACATATGGCCTCGAGACTCACCTTTCATCGCGTTGCCTCCAGGGACATCGATACCATCATCATGGATCCTTCCCAGAATCTGGAGGATCTGATTCTGAAGCCATACCTCCGACCAACCTCTGGCGAAGCTAGATCGCAGGCCGCAAGCTCGAACGGAACCAGGATCACCGATATGCCTCCCAAGGACTACCAAGAGATTGACTTTATCGGCAAAACCGACTGCAGTGGCCGGCCGCTCAACAACGGCGTGTACTTTATCCGCAACACCAACTGGACCGTGTCGATGCTCAAGAAGACCTTCAATGACCGAACTGACTACGTGACCAAGGTGCGACGGCCCGGCGTGCAAGATGCCATGACCAACACCCTGCTGTCGTACACGAGAGCAGAAGCCCGGCACTTCCTCATGGGTCCCAAGCAAGCCACCTACAACAAGTTCACCAAGGTATGCACTGGCGACCCACAAGGCAAGGACCACTGGTACGAAGATGGAGACTTTGTGATCCATTTTGCCGGCGTCGTCAACCGCGAAGACATGTGGGCCTACTACATTCGCAAGATGTACAGTACCAACCCAAGCTCCCTGCACTACATGCTCAACGAGCTCGACACCAAGTGGTCTGGCACCGCCAAATGGGTCTCGGACATGAAGGAGCTTGCCAAGAAAATCCCTGCTCAATAGAGGCAAGCTGTGAGGCCCAGATCCCAAACATATGGCGCCTTCCCAAGGCTGCGGCTGCCGTTTGCATGTGGCCTCGCATGGCGATCACTCGACGGGTAAACCGATCCTACCAGGACGAGCATATGCCAGGGTCGTTGGGACGAAGAAACCAGCACAGTCCCCCTCCGCTTCCTCCGATGCCCTTGCCCATGGTGTCTGTCGCCGCAGCCACCAGCCAACAAACTCTCCACACCCACGTTTGAAATACCTGGCCTGGCCTGGCCTGGCCGATGCGGTGTCTGACCGAGCCCCCCTGCTTCTCCTCCTTGGTCATGAATACGATTCTTGTTTTGTTTTGTTTCGCTTTGCTTTTTGTCGGTCCTCCATCGGCAGCGAACCTGGCAGACCCCGTCACACGTTCACACCCACCAGCCCTGGCCCCACAGAGCGTCTTCTTGTATGATTCCGTTGCGCAATACAGACGCACATGATTCTGATCCCTGCAGCGAAGGCTCGTCGCTTCTCCGCTTGAGATACTCGTCGCCCTGCCCACAGCCCGCCGTCATGGGTCGGCTGGGCGCGATCGCCATGGAGCAAACCCCTTGGCTGATATCTCGGCCCGGAGCGGAGCCGTGCTGCCAAGCAAAGTTTGGGTTTTGCGGCGGAAGCGAGCCCGGCAGCCAAACAAACCTTCTGGTTGCAGGCAGGGCAGGGCGCGCCGCAATCTGGCTGAGCCAGAACCTACTGCCGGCCCAGCAGCCCAGCAGCCACACCCGACAAAGACAGCCGGCCTGGCGAGCTGGTTGGCGGACTGGCTCTCGAGGGGACATACATCCGTCGAGGAGGAAAGGGGAGACCCTCCCGCACTGACCCTGTCGAGGCTCAAAGGTCCCTTCTGTCGACCGAGATCTCATCACACGGCGGTCTGTTTGCGGCGAATCGCCAAGCTTGAGCAATATCCAAAGACAACGAGCAAGGCATTCTGGCAGAACGGCCTTGAGGGGGAGGCAAGCTGTGACCAGGCAATGAAACAAGAAGCGTCTGTGTTCCGAGGCAGGTGGCGACACGAAGCGAGGCTCAGCGCCAGCCGAGAGGAAAGCAGCGTGATCCTGTGAATCCTGTGGGTGTTGTTGTGGGGACGGGCCTTGTTGAAGGAGTCCTTGCTGCGGGGAAGAGACCTCAAGGGCCGGGGTTGGGCGCGGGCAACCCATGACGACACGGACCAATTGCGGCGGTCGTCTGAGCGCGCAGGTGGGACAGATCGAACGTTCGCACAACAACGCAGCGGACCATCGCCGTCCTTCAAATGCCCGTCGCTGGTCGTCCGTCTCCCGCCGTCCGTCGCCGAAACACCCCTCCTTTTGGGCCGATCATATTCCCCTCCTTGGCGGTCCGGAGGAGCAGCCATCTCTCTCGCTTTTTACACCCCTCTCCTCCTCCTCTTCGTTCCGTCCAGTCTCCCGAAGACGCCCCCCGCCCTGTCTCCCGCTCACCCCACCGTACTCACAGCCATGAACTCGTACACTCTCCTTCCGGACTCTCCCAGGACCAGCAAGCCTACCAAGAAGCCGACTCTGGTCTGGGCCATGGTGCTGCTGGCGGCAATGGTGGTCGTGACCCTGCTCGCGCTTCGATACGAAGGCATCCGGCTGGCACAGTTGGCAACGTCCCGGGTCGCAAACTCGTGCACCGGGGACTCGCCGTCTCCGTGGCAGCCGCCTGCTCGCTCGTTTGCAGACGGCAGCGGTAGCTCTCCGCCGCGGATCGCCCTGCTGGTATCCTATTCAGGCGATATCCGCAATTACGCTCTCCAGAAGCATCCAAGAATGTATGTCGAGTCCGTCCAGATGAAGCGCGAATACGCCCGGAAGCACGGATACGCCCTCTTCCTCGACGGCGTCATCGACAAGAGCCGCCCTCATTGGGGGCGAGTTGGCACTGCGTACACCATCATGAACACCATGCCGTCCATGTGAGTGCCGCCTGCCTGATGCAATGCGTCACCAATCGGTCGAGTTGTTCCGCACTGGCACCCCGCCTGACTCACACTGTCACCATCGCTGCTTTCTCCCGACTCGACCAACAGTGAGTGGATCCTGTACATGTAAGTCCGGCTCTGCCAAGCGCCGCTGCAGACCTCTGGACACGACGATTCCTGTTCAGCTCCACTCACATCCACCCGCATCCACCCGCATCCACAATCCCACAGGGATGTCGACACTATGATCATGGAACCCGAGCTGAGTCTCGAAGACCTCATCCTGGCGCCGTATATGCGAGGCGCCAACGGCTCCGAACCCGTCACGATCCGGTCGACTCCGCCCCGGCCATACCAAGACATTGACTTTATCGGCAAGCAAGACTGCGAGGGTCGGCCACTCAACAACGGCGTTTACTTTATGCGCAACTCCGAATGGACTATCCAAGTTCTGGGAAAAATCTTCAACGATCGAACCGACTACAACGCGACCGTGCACCGCCCGGGCGTCCAGGACGCCATGACCAACGTCCTGACCGGTCTGCCCTGGGCCGAGCAGCGACACTTTTTCGTCAGCCCGCCCGATGCGAGCTTCAACCGGTTCGCCACGGACTCGTGCCCTTGGGACGAATTCCGCTCTCGCCACTTCTTCCGGGACGGCGAGTTTCTGCTTCATTTTGCGGGCAGCGCCTCGCGCGACACCGCCTGGGGCACATTCGCCCGCAAAGTCTACGAGCGATACCCCGATCTCCTCCATCGAGTCGTCGCGGGGCTGCGGACAGAGTGGACTGGAGATGCAGAATGGCTCGTCGGTCTGGAAATGATGCTGGACGCGTCCGTCTGACGCATTCAGTGCTTGTGGGAACCATCGGCAGTGGCCGATGCTGTCCCATTCTCTCCTATCTCCCCAAATTCTTGCTGCCTCCTACTCGTCCTTCCCACGTTTGATCTTGTGATAATCGAGCACCCTGTGAATAAACTCTCCCTCTCCCTATTCAATACGCCGCTCCCGCAGCTTGTCTTGGCAGATCCCATCATCCGGCGAGGCGCCACAGCCACGCCCGCTCGGGCTGGCCGCTGTTGGAGACCCGAACCAACACTGCGAGATGGGAGGAAGACGGCGGGTCTGGGCGTGTGCGTTCAACCATGGGCAAGCAGCGCCTGTCTCCGGGCTGTGCCTGTCTGGCTCTGGAGGGCTGCCGCTCTCGGTGGCGCCAGCATGACATGCCGCTGCGGGCTGTCGACGGCGTGGCCTGCCAAGCCGAAACTGGAATGCACGGCCCTGGCGTGGGACTGGCATGGAGCTCTGGCATGGAGCTGGCGGATCGTGGTGGGAATCGGAGGGAGGCGACCGACCACAGGGTCCCCCATCGGCGCAGCAGCAGCTTCATGCTGGAGGGAGAGGGATGCTGGCCGCCACCAGCATGTTGGGCGGAACGGCCTGGGTGCGCATGTGTGGAGCAAGGTTGCTTCCATCGGTTCTTGGATTCCGTCGTGCATTCGATTGTGTGCTGCCGGACACACCCATGTGCTCCTCTGGATGGTGTCGGGTTCTTGCTGGCGTTCCATTGCGGATTCTTTGCGTTCTCAGAGCCGTGCGGCGTGCTCGGCTCGCACGTTGTGTTCTTAGGATCGCAGCATGCTCTGGTCCTTGATCTGTTCAGACAGGCAACACTCGCATCTGGCGCATGGTGCACACGTTTGGACCAAGGCAGCAGCCGCGAGCCGAAAGCGCCGCACCCCCCCCCAACAATGCCCAGCAGGTCATTGCCCCAGATCAGCCAGACCAGGACCGCACCAGCAACCAGGGCAGCACCACCCAGACAAGCCCCTGCATCGAGAATGACGACCAGCACAACGGGCTCGCGAGGGGTGTGACTGGCAACGACGAAAGGGGGAGCTGGCAACATGACCAGCCTTGTGGTCCCGGAACAAGACACCCGCGGTGACCGGTGGCGCACGGGTCACGGCGACAGGCCAATCGCCGCACAGCCGCGGCTGCTCAGCACGAGGCTGGGTCGGCGTGCGGGCGCAATCTGATTCGACGCGGCGCCCGTCCCTGCCCCGTGCGCGGCGACTCCCTTTTTCCGGCGCCCGACCTTCCGTCGCACCAGCGGGGGTGTTGTGACCCGTTGCTTGCCACTGCGCGACTGTCGCTGTGGCCGGGTGAGCCGCTCTGCGCCCCTGCCTGGCAGCCGTGTGTGCGCCACCGGTCCGGTCGCGCCGGCAGGCGCAGCCACAGACGCGCACAAACGCCTGTGTCTCCCTCTGTTTTCTGATGCTTCTCCCTTCTGTCTCTGTTGGCTTCATTCTGTTCTGTTCTGTTCTGTTCTGTCTGTCCCTTGCTGCCCCTTGTCCTCCCGTTGTGTTCTGTCCCTTTTCTGGCTTTTCCCTCGCCCCGTGGCCCATCGACTCTCTCCTGTGCTCTCGCTCTCGCTCCCCAATATCTATCACTGCTCTCGCCCTACTCTGTCAGTGCTCTCGCTGCCCGTCTCGCCTTCCTCCTTGTCGCTTGCTGTCCGTTGTTTTTCTGCTGCTCTTGTCCACAGAACCAATCGAATGTTCCGGTTCTCATTCGCGGCGCCCTGTCCGTCCCTGTCGACGAGCCCTCAGACAAGCCCTCTGGCCAACTCGCGTTCGCCGTCGTCTCCCATTCAAAAGGCACATCCCTGCCTCGGCCCAAGCTTTTCCTGGTCTCCTGTCCATCGCCCAGTTCCCTCTCCCTCCCAGACACCAGAGACCAGCCTTCAAACGCCCTCCCCTGGCTGCCATGCTCTCCGTCCTAAGTTCAAACCACTCCAGCTCGGCCCTCCGGCTCCTCCTCCTCATCTCGCTGTTCTGCATGGTGTCGATGCTGTGGATTGCCCAGTCCAACACCGCAGCCCTGCGGACAAGCGTCGAGGAAATCTGCCGCGAGAGGATACGGGCCAGCGCCTTTGCCCAGCAGAGCTTCTCCAACTCGCTACCCAACGGCGACACACTTCAAATGCCCAAGATCGCCATCGTCCTGTCGTTCTCGGGCGACGTCCGGGAACTGTCCCTGAAAAAGCAAAAGCGAATCATCGTTGAGTCCGTCCAGATGAAACGCGAATACGCCCGGAAGCACGGATACGCCCTCTTCCTCGACGGCGTCATCGACGAAAGCCGTCCTTACTGGGGGCGAGTTGGCACTGCGTACACCATCATGAACACCATGCCGTCCATGTGAGTGCCGCCTGCCTGATGCAGTGCGTCGCCAATCGGTCGAGTTGTTCCGCACTGGCACCCCGCCTGACTCACACTGTCACCATCGCTGCTTTCTCCCGACTCGACCAACAGCGAGTGGATCCTGTACATGTAAGTCCGGCTCTGCCAAGCGCCGCTGCAGACCTCTGGACACGACGATTCCTGTTCAGCTCCACTCACATCCACCCGCATCCACCCGCATCCACAATCCCACAGGGATGTCGACACTATGATCATGGAACCCGAGCTGAGTCTCGAAGACCTCATCCTGGCGCCGTATATGCGAGGCGCCAACGGCTCCGAACCCGTCACGATCCGGTCGACTCCGCCCCGGCCATACCAAGACATTGACTTTATCGGCAAGCAAGACTGCGAGGGTCGGCCGCTCAACAACGGCGTTTACTTTATGCGCAACACGGACTGGTCCGCCACGCTGCTCAAGACCATCTACAACGACCGCTTCAATTACTCGCTCATCAACGTCCCCGGCGTTCAAAATTCCATGACCACAGCCCTGACCAGCCTTCCCTTTGGCCAAAAACGATACTTCTTCATGTCCCCCAAAGAAGCCACCTTCAATCGCTTCGGTCCCGATGGATGCCTTGGCTACGATCTCCGCGGCCTGCATGTCTACCGCAGCGGTGATTTTTTGGTCCACTTTGCCGGCAGCCCTCACCGAGACCTGTACTGGGCAAGATTCTCGGAGCAACTCTACCTGATAAAGCCGTGGTTCCTGAAAGTCGTGGTCGCTGGCATCCAGTCCGACTGGATCGACACTGCCCCCTGGTTCGAGGATATCAAGTATCGATTCCGAAGCCTGATCAGCTCCTGAGCAAGTCGCTTGATCTTTCCTTCCCTCTTTCGCGCCCTCCTCCAGAACCCCCCCCCTCCAGCCCCGCTTCTCATGTGAGTGCGCATGAAGCCTCGATGTCGTTTGTTATTGGGATGTCTGTAATCATAGTATGTTTTCCCATCCACTCTATTCGATGTCCCTCCCCCTCCCCTCTCTTTCTCTTTCTTTCTTTTCTTTCCCCAGCTCAGTCCCTCCCGCGCCCTTTCTCTACTTCGAGTCCCTTCATGTCGTGGAGCTCATGTCGCAGAGTTGCCTCGGCCAGTCCCGATATGATCAGCTTTTGTACCATAATCGCTGCTGCTTCAAATATCACCAATCCCCTTGGAATTGTCTTCGAAGCTACTGTGGCTGGCAGTTGCGCCACAAGCACCCACTGTGCGATCCATCAAGCAACAAGTGTGCCGACAACGCCGGAGAGACTCAGACCCAGGATAAGGGTCAGCACACCCACGACAATCAGCAGCAGCTCCGTAGTGACGATACCGAGACGCTGGATCCACAATGGAGACAACACCACAATCCAGTCAGTCAAAGTGCAGAAGTGCGGGTTCGACCGACGCAGCGGGATCCCAAGGCCGGAAAGGGAGCTCAGCGAGTGGAAACTACATCGTGCAAGCAATGTCTGCACAACCAGCTTTGTGATAATGTCGCCGATGAAATCCTGGCGAGCAGTACCCAAAGACATGAGCCCTAACAGACAATACCTACCTTGATGAAAAACATCATCCCCAGCGAGAGGCCACATCGGAGAGCGACGGCTGGCAGACTGAACACCGGGTCTCTGGCGACCAGCAGCGAGATTCCCAGATGAACAAGCCCCGTGGCCGAATGCTCCAACAGTCCATACACTTTATTCAGAAAAAAACGGGACAACATAGCCGTTTCCATGAACATGTAGTATGTGCTGTGCTCGCGTCTAGCAAAGCCACAATAAATAGATCAGATCACTTTGGCAGCCTCCGAGTGAAGACCACCGGTCGCCCTCCGGTCTCCACAATCGACCTGCACACTGGTCTCGGAGTGCCAGCGATGGATGGTGCTCTTGAACACACTGGCGAATGGTCATGGCCAGCGCGCGATCACATTGGGTAACAAAATATTTGATGAATGGTCAAAACCTGGGTGTCCCGTTTTTTATTGGATTGCCCATAAAACGGGTCCATAGCGTTCTGTCCGCGCGCCATCTTGGCCTTGATCTCGGCGTCGTTGCCCTTCATGACCATCACGTAGCCGACCATCTGCATAAAGGCCACCGCAAAGTTGACCGCCGCCCAGGCCCAGCCAAAGGAATAGGCTCGGCCGGGGGTGGGTGTGCCAGGGTACCAGTGCAGCATCAGAGCCCGGATGCTTTCCTCGATTGGCGAGGTGATCACCACCACCAGCGCATAGGCGAGCTTGACGCCCGAGCCACCAAAGTACCGCGAGAGGCCCTCTTGGATCGGAAAGCGGGCCGCTGCCGAGAGATACCTGCGCAGGTACGGCGAAGGACGAGTATCGTCAGAACAGCGAGCACGAACATAGTCCACCGGCAACATGAACAATTGGCTCCACACACACGATTCTACGCAACCATAATCACAGTCACAATTGCAGCCACAATCGCAGTCATAATCGCCTCGCGTCGATCAATCGATCGATCAATCCATCGATCCATCGCCCGGTCCTGCCTCCTGCGTGTCCCGATTTTTGCCACAGGACTCACCATGCCAAAGCCCCAAACAGTCCCATGGACCACGATCCATGAGTTCCAGCGACCTTGTTCCATCCAGTCAGCACAAAGAACAGCCCTGGGAGCAACGGAGGCAGAATCCAGAAAGGAGCCATTCTCCAGAGCTTTGTCTCGAACTCTGCAATCGCCGCAGGCGACATCGGCTGCGATTGCGATTGCGATTGCGATTGCGATTGCGATTGCGATTGAGACGACTGAGAGGACTTGGATTTGGCGCTGTTCGGCTGTTTATCTCGAGAGTCCCGGTGTGCGGCTTGCTTGCGGTTCATTGTCGAGCAAGGTGGAAGGAGAGAGGCTGGGGACGCGAGGATCGAGATTCAGTCGAGATTCAGCCGACATTCCATTCAGCCGAGGTTCGCTGGCTGGGCCGCACAATCGAGGGAGGCAGATACACGGATACCCACCGCGGAGAGATCGCTTGAAGGTGTGGGAGGTGGGCTGCAGCCTGATGGGAATCAAGCGCCAGATCGGTGGACGGAGAACGGAGAGCGGAGATGGATGGAAAGATCAAATCCGGCAGGGATGTGGGCCGTCAGATCGGCTTTTGGTGTGCCAGACAAGCCCACTGGATCTTTGCAGTCGAATGGGGGTGCCGACACTTGCTGTCATAATGCGGGCCTCTGAGCCGATTCACCAGAAACAAAGCCGCAGAAGGCAACATCGCCCCAGCAAGACCAGAGAGCGACGGAGCCTCAGGCTGCCCGATTCTGCTCGAAGGCGTCGTGCTTTGGGTCGCTGGATTGCAGGCAGACACACAACAGCAGCCCCCAATCTCGATGGCTCTCTCAAACTGTGCTCCCCTCCTTTCCAACGGGTCGGCCAAGGCAGGCGCAAGAGGTTCAATGGAGTGTATTGGTGCTGTCGTGTGGACATGCAGATATCAGATTCGAAGCTCCTTGAGTCGAGGGTCCTGCGGATCGTCCGGCTGAGAACGGGCAAGGCACAGGCAGGCGACTCGTTAACAACAAGATCTCGTCGACGACGGCTACAGCAGCCAGCCGATAGCCCAGATGCCGCCTGACTCGGCTTTAACAAGCCCTCCCGTTAGCCCATTCCCCGCATCCATCTCAGGTGTCGATAGCCCCGAACCGGATTCGCTGCGTTCGAGGCCGACAGGAGCCACAGTCGCAGTCCTCGATAATCGCAAGGCTTGGGCTCAGTCCTCAGCCCACACTTCCCTCTTCCGGGACAGCTTGACGCCGTCATCCCTCCGCTGCCTCACCTTCTCTGATGAAGTGGATTGGGCGGCCTTGATCTTGCCGTACTTCACAGCGATGCCTGACCATGTGCTGAGCATGCTCAGAGTGCCCAGGACCGTGAAGGCGACGAGCCCGCCCGTGACTCCCTTCTGGACGTAGTCGGCAAACTTGGTCAGTCTCGCCATGGCTGCTGGCAGAAGAATGGCTGGATGCGGGTGGATGAGAAGGCGTGTGCGTTGGTCGCTGTTCGATGGCTCTGCTGGCGAGCGACAGATGCGGATTTGCTTGCTGGACGAAGCAACACAAACCGAGGGCCGGCCCCTTCTCTTAGGTGAGTCACGGCACCAATTCCCAGGACGAGAGCGCGCTCTGACCTCGCCTGCCTCTCGCCGAGGCCGCAGAGCCTGGGAGAAACATGCAATCGGCGAGGCCGGATCCGCTGACCAGTCCGCATCAGGGCAGGATGCGCAACAGAGCAAATGGCCTATTGGATCCAGGCTTGTCCAGGGCTGCGCTGTCGAAATGGAAATGGGGCGATGCGTCCCGTATTTTCCTGAATCAAGGAAAGCAGCATCATATTCACACTCCGAGAATTGATCAGGAGGAACTACAGGATGGGAGTCAGGTACGCAGGAGGAGCTATGAACGGGCTGGGCAGACGCCTTGGTTGAGCCGCCATTCCATCAGATGCAAGAGCCCCTGGAACGACACATAGGCAGCCGTCTGATGCAATTCCAAGTGCGAGGAAAGAGTCAGAAGGATGCTAGGGATCGCCGGGGTGGTGGGGTGTATCTCGGCAAACTGCGTCGGGTGTGAAGCCGAGGAAGGACTACCTCTCCAAACCAACAGACCGACCATACGAAGCCGCTCCCCTCTCTTGGACTCGTCGACCCGTCAATACTAACAGCGACACAGCAAAGAAACAGAAGCAGAAGCAGAGACGCTGTCACTCACCATCACAAAGACATGCCAAATCTGATGGCTGTGCAGGAGCAGATCAAACTTGCCCGGGAGAGCGCTGCCCAACCAAGATTGCGCAAGTTAGCATTGGCGGGATCTACCAAGTGATCTGCATCGAAAGCCAGTCAGCCAGCCAGCCATTCCTTGGCTCAATCCTGGCCCCTCGGTCCGACAAGAGCATAAAAATCGCTTACCGTTCAGGAAACCTCAGGACATAGAACACTGCGCCGGTAAGGTACAGCCCCACCGATCCAGCATAGAACCATGTCGCGTTCAGGTCCGAGAGGCTCAGGTTGATGCCGTTCAGGATGCAGTAGTGCACGACCGGGCCGCCGCTCAAGACTCCCGAGGAGATGTACACCAGGGTGCGGTAAACCCGGAAGGCCGACGTGCTCCAGACCTTGAGGCGGGGACCAAGGACTCCGACCATGTTGACCACGACCAGGGTCGCGATCCAGGCCGTCCGGATGACGGGGTTGCAGTAGAACAGGTAGTAGGCCACCGTCGCTGTGGTGCCGCACACCAAGGCCGAGATGCCCGAGTAGTCCAGGCAGCCCCAGAAAGCGTACGCCGACTCGGAAATGCAGAGGTGGAGATGAAACAGAGAGGAAAAGAGAAACGTGCAGCTCCCGCAGAGCAAGAAGAGGCCGATGACGATCTTGTCGGTGACTGTGGCGGCGGGGTGGATTTGGCTGGTGGCCATCAAAAAGATGGAGCTGAAGAATATACAAAATGCTACAGAGTGTGTCCAAACATTGCCCTGCAGTGCATCAAGCAATGGCGCCAGGAGAGCCCAGTTAGATAGATGCGAGCCCAAGCGATGGAGGCCAGCACAGTCCGGGGTGATGCCAGGGGACGACTCAGCCAAGGGGAGCCCCCCAAATCACCCAAAGTCGCACTGCTCACGGTCCCTCCTTACCGATTCGTTGTGGAGGCGAAAGAATGAGGCCCAGCTTTGTTTGTAGGTGTAGCCCGAGCGGTAGCTGACGTTTCCGGCCAGTGAGGGATGGCGTGTGAGACTGCCGGCCGATTATTCTCGCGGTGGTTGCCGATACAGCGGACTCTCGCCCTCATATGCTCCGAGAATCCGTCAGGACGCCCTCGCTAGCCGCCGTCTGCCTACCCGGTGTGAATAAAGTCGTTGTCTTGCAGGTACCGCGGGACTTCGGAGTAGTGACGGAGCTTTGGCGCATGGCCCGACCCGCCCAGCCAACCCGGGAGCAGCGAGAGCGGCTGGGCGTGGGGTATCCGGGACTCGCAACAGGCGTCGCTCGGCTGCGTCAGCTTGCTCGCCGAATTTATCCGACCCACGCCTTCGTCTGCATAGTCGGGACTGTCGAGCGAGAGCGAAACCTTGGCAGTGGCATGCGGGCGGCTCACGAGCGTGGTGACTGAGGAGTAGCTGCGAATGGACGACGACGAGGCGCCGTAGGTCGAGGAGATGGTCTGGGTGGTGGTGATCATAGTGGCCGGGATCTGAGCGACGGCGCGGCTGTTGGAACTTGGGTGCTTGAGAAAGCTGGAGAGGGGAGGGGATTCAGAGAGCGATGGTTTTTGAAGCCCAGCGTGAGCGAGTTGGGAAGCTATGCGTCCCATGCTTGGCTTGCAACAAGCCCAGCGACAGAGAGAGAGAGCAGGAAGCGATTCAACCAGTCTGGTGCTAACCTAAGTGGCGTGGGGAAAGGAGCAGGCAGAGGACGAGGTTCTTGGCAGAGATTCGGCAAGGGCGAGGGCGCTATGGGGACAGACAGACAGACAGCCAGGTGGCCAGATCCGGTCTCGGCAACTGGGCGACGAGGGAGACGGGCGGACGGGCTTGGGCCGAGTCTTTATACCCCTCACGAGGTGCAAGCCATCTGCATCTCATGCGGGGGCGCTCGTCTGCGTCTGCAGGAGGTGGATTGCTGCTGGCGCTGAGCCCAGAATAGAGCGCTGGTGCCCTGAACTCCGAACCATCACACGCCGTTACGCAACCCCGCGCCAGCGATGCCCATTGGACGGCGTCCGCCAATCGGCGCAGCGAGGCAGCGCATGCGCTGGACCTGGTCTGGGCCTGGTCTGGACAAAGAAAGCGATACAGCATGTCCACAGCGCATTGGGGCGCATTGGCCTTGCAGGTCCAAGCACGCCGCAGCCGCTGCGTGTTGTGGATGCAGCATGAGCGACAGATGGCGTTCCCTCAGTGGGCGGCGCTCTCTCAGCAGATGCCATTCATTCACCCAGAAGAGTGTGTCTTGTATATATTGTGCTTGAAGAAACCTGATGCTTGGGTTTGTATGTGCTCTTGCCGGCCGGCACGGCATTCCACAGCGAGCCTACGACGTGATGGGTCGATCGAGAAGCTCGCCCCAGACTCGAATGATACCGTCAGCAGCCTCCTTGTATTTGCCTTCCAGCTTGCCCTGCTCGTTTGGATATCGCGGCAGGAGGCAGAACGGGCGGTCCTTCCTTTCCCATGCCCACTTGACCTTCTCATAGGTTGTATCGAAGGCATAGTCCGTGAGTTGAAGAGTGGTTTTGTCGCCTTCGGCATGGTACTTGTTGATGACAACACCGCCGTTGAACCAGAGAGGCTTCTGGTGCTCGTCCACATGGAAGAGGCCGCCGCAGACACCGTCCGTCTCGGACACGAATCCAACAGTACCGCCGGCAACGGCATTCATCCAGTACGGCTGCTTCATCAGCTCAAAGGCCATCCAGAAGGTCTCCTTGTCGCCTGGAGATGCCACGATGACGGGTGCGGACAGCGTCAAAGGAGATAGAGTTGCCGACATATGAATACAGGCACATCGCAGTGCAAGAATGCCTTGGACGAAGGCCATGGCTCGGCCCTCCACCTCAAATAGCCCGGAGCAGAGACCTCCATGTCAGTGTGCCGGAGTCAACATACCATGGAATACACCCCAAAACCCGTCTTTCTTGCCATCCGCGGTGTCACCGCGGAAGTATTCCGAGTTCATCTTGCAGATCAGAAGCAATACATGGAAGACCTTGGCCTTGTTCAGAACAACCACGCCAGATTCGCCTTCGTGGACGGACTTGAGGCTAAACAGGCGGTTGCTCGCCTTGGCATAGTCCGAGGGATTCGTAATCAGCTTCTTGACGTACTTGCTCTGATTCGACTCGCCACCGACATTGATGGTCCGATCGCGGTACAGCAATGCACCGGTCTTGACGTATCCCGAGTCTTTGAAGACAACCTCGGGGTCTTGGAAAAAGTTTGCGTCGGCATCGACAAAGATGATTTCTGAGAACGACGAAGCGAGCATGGCGAAGGGCTTGACGGCCCAGCCACGCACACCCGGTCCGGCAGTGTCAAAGTGCTGCTGTAGATCAACAACTCGCACGTTGTCGATCGTCCTCAAGTAGTTGATTTGATCCTGGCCAAGGTCGCCGGGGCCGGAGTAAAAGACTTCGATGGGGAGCGTCGAGTTCAAGACTTCGCGAACAACATGGATCAAGTGCCGAGCAAATCGAAAGTGCCAGGAGCCTGTGCTGATAACCAGCCCTCGCTGGTCTTGGTACGACTGGAGGACATTGGCGACATTCTTGTACTTCTCGGTAGCGTTGACAAAGGGGAAGAGCGAGTACTCCAGGTTCTGCAAAGTCACCTCGACTTGGTGGTAGAGATTGCTGTCGCCCAGGATCCGGTCCATCGATGTGCGGCGTCGGCCTGTAGCGTCGTAGCAGAGCTCAAACAGCTGGCGGTAAAGATAGCATTGCTCGGCCAGGCCGGCAATGTCGCCACGACCCAGTGGCTCTTCGGTAAGCCTGGCGTATTTTCTGAGCAGCTCTTTGGCGGTAAGCACAAGCCTCTGGCTGTCCTCGTCCAATGGCTCGGTCTTGCCGCTCGTGCCTTCCTGGCCAGTGACACTGGCCGAGGGCTGGGCCAGGCCGGCTGAGGTGGAGGAAGTAAGAAACGTGGCCGAGAGGCTGCTTGACGTTGCTGATGAGGGCACGGGCTCCGAGGACATTGTTGGTATCTCTGCGGCGGACTCTAGGGGCTTCACCGAGGCCGCGGTAGGCTTGGCGGGAGACACCGCCGAGACCGCCAGCTCCACCTGGAAGTTTTCATCCAAGTCGACTTGGGGATTCTGCGAAGACAGCGATCCGTTGGCAGCTGCTTCCGTGTGCGATGTCCACACAAACGTTGCCAAGACGGTCATGATGACCACCAAGGCAACGACGGTGGTCCATCGTCGACCCAGCGAGAGGAAAGACGGCTGTGAGGACAGCACGAAGAGAGGCATCGTTCAGGAGGAGGGCTAGCGGCACCAGGACAGCAGAGAGCGCACGATATCAAAATTAGAGACTTGGCTTCGGAATCGAAGCCGCTGGCACCGCATCTTATTTGGATGTGAGCGGCCTTGTCGGCTACAGGCTGAACCGGCTGCCACTGGGTTTGTGGAAGCCAGTCTAACTGGTCAAGACTTGCATCTGTGACAACGGCAGTAACGGCGACGGCGCCCAAGAATCGGGCACACAATCGTGGCATGTCCACCAGAGAGTAGCGAGTGTATCTATGATTGCCTCTTACCCGGAGCGGCGTCGGCACGGCGGACGGATGGACGGATGGACGATGGAAACCTGCGAGACAGCACCCGGCCTCAGACAGCTCTCTGTTTGGGACAACACCAGCGCAGCCCGCCCGCCCGAGGGTTAGGGCTGCCGGCCCTGGGACACGAAGACATCCGCCTGGTGTGTGATTGTCTTCGGCGCCATCCCAGGATCGATCTCGCCAACAATGAGCATCACCCGCATTGCCCGCATTGCCCGCATTGCCCGCATTGCCCGCCCGGGCCGTCTCGCGCTTGGCCATGCCCGCCGGACTCTCTCCAGCTCGGCCAAGCTGGCGCAGATCCAGAGACCCGTCGATGGCCTTGTTATCGGGGTATGTGGCCGGACTCTGGCCGCCGGCTCAGGCTCGATGCTCCTTCGCGCGGATATGTTTACTAACTCGGTCGGACTGCTGCCACGCCGCCCTATTTCCAAAGGCCTATGAGTCGCCAAAAGTCAGCGAGCCTGGATATAGCCCCTCTCTTCTTGCAGGCAGCTCGCTCCCGGACAGCGCGAGAGAAAACATTTGCAAGATCCTGGCCAGTGCACGCTTCAAGGGCGAGTCCAAGGAGTGTCGAACGTGAGTCGCTCGCCGTTCTCCAGAACCGAAGACGATCATCAGCCGGAGAATACGCAAGGTCGCGGATGATTTTGATATCGGCGAGCTCTGTTCGGTTGGCCACTTGCCAGTCCTAACTACTGTCTCTTGCACATATGCCACCCCTCGTTGTTGTTCCTCTCGTCGCTGCTGTCGACCAGTCTCTACAACCTCGAAGGATTGCCTCCGATTGTCAGTGTGGTGGGCCTCGGCAAGGCTGATGCTGATGACAACCAGCGTGCAGAAAGCGCACGGGTTGCGGTGAGTTGCTGCGAGCTTGTGCGGCATGGATTGCGACCCAAAACAGTGCGGTGTGCAACGTCGGATCGACCCTGGTGAGCGACGACGACCGGGGTGAGATCATGAACATGTCAGAACGTGGATCATTCTGCCTGACTTTTGTCTTCCCCAGGCAGCGACCGGTGCTGCTTCCATCAGATCGCACTTCAAGAACAGTCTCGCCCACATTGAGTTTGATGCCCTGGGTTCCCCGCTGGGTACAGTAGTCGGCACGGGTCCAGTGCTCCTGCATGCGTTCGACTTGATGCTCCAGCTAACCACCTGGCTTGAATGTAGCTTCAGGCGAGGCCGCAGCGCTATCAACTTACGCCTTTGACAAGTACAAGCAGCCCAAGAGCAGGGACCCTGTGCTTTCGGTGGATTTCCATGATTCAGTGAACGCCGATGCTGAGCATGAGTTCGCCTGGCGTGTGGGCTTTATCCAGGGATCTGGTAAGTTTGGGTGCACATACCAACGGCCCGAAGCAAGCGAGCCGAATCCCGAAGCAAGCTAACGAGTCTCTGGTTGCGCCCCCGTCAGCACAAAACATGGCCCGCAAGTTTGCCGACACCCCAGCCAACTTGCTGACTCCGGCCATATTCAGTCAGCAAGCCAAAAATTTGTTGGAGTATCTCCCTCACACGCAAGTCCATGTCCATGGCATGGAGTGGGCCGCCCGAAACAAGATGGGCGCCTTCCTCAGCGTGGGTCGCGGCTCGGATGAACCCGTCAAGTTTGTCGAGGTTGTGTACAGCGGCGGCAAGGCTGACGAGCAACCTCTCGCTCTGGTTGGAAAAGGTATGCACGCGGATTCGTTTTCAATCCCCTGTGCCTTTGCTGATCCGCTCGCGCCCGATATCGCTCAACGACAGGCGTGACCTTCGATAGCGGCGGCATCTCCATCAAGCCATCCACAGACATGGCCCTCATGAAGGGAGACATGACGGGCGCCGCTGTGGTTATCAGCGCCATGTGGGCCATCGCGACTCTCCAGCTGCCGATCAACGTCGTTGCGTCTATCCCCATGACCGAAAACATGCCTTCCGGCAAGGCCACCAAGCCCGGTGACCTCGTGACGGCCATGAACGGCAAAACGATCGAGGTCGACAACACCGACGCTGAAGGGCGACTGATCCTTGCTGATGCGTAAGGACCTCCGCCATGTTTGTCTCTGTCGAGATGAGCCATCGATGCTCCCCAAGACAGCGCACTGGTGAATCACCGCAAGTCTCGATTTCCTAACTAGCGCTTCGATCTGGGGCCCTCGCTGCATCAGGATTTACTACACCGCAACGGCACATAAGCCGCACAGCTTGTTGTCGCTTTCGACCCTGACCGGCGCCATCGACGTTGCGCTCGGATCAGTGTTTGGAGGAGCCTTTGTCAACAACGACGATCTATGGAAGGTCATTGAGGACTCTGGCAAGCGTTCGGGCGACCGATTTTGGAGAATGCCACTCGATGATGCCTATAAGCCTCAAATTCGAAGTCATGTCGCCGATCTCAAGAATGTTGGGGTACGCTGGACGAAGGCATAGGCTCACAGGCACACACATTCATCTGTAGCATCAATAGGCATCGACTGAAATGGAGGCGCATCCACTGCTGGCATGGTCCCCCCCTAATTGTGTCCCTGTCGCTCTCTACCAATGTAGGGCCGCTCGGGTGGCTCGTGCACCGCCGCCATCTTTTTGAAGGAGTTTGTGCCTCAGGAAAACGAGAAGCCGCTTGTGCAGTTTGCACACCTAGGTATGGTCGCCCGCCCAATCCACCGCACTTACCGATTTTACCACGAAGCCGCTGAGGATCATTGTTCCGATGACCGTGCTCGACTGACAGAGCTGCACGATTCATTCAGACATTGCCAGTTTGATGCACAAGCGAGACAGCTCCGGCTACCTGAGCGCTGGGATGACAGGTATGATGGCGGGGCACATGATTCCGCAACTCGATAGCAGCCCTGGTAGTTTCGTCGCACGGAGATCCTCATTCAATCTTTTGGTTTGTCAGGCCGACCCACGCGCACAGTGATCGAGATTGCAAAGGCTTTTGCCAAGTAATGGTGGATGGCTGTGGTCGTGGCCCATCCAGCTCTTCCAGGAGAGGAAATGGGCGACCCGTGCGAGCATTTCATATCACATGTGGTGTATCAATCAAATGCCATCGATCCGCTACCACTGTTGCTTCCGTCGGCGGTCGATGGTGCATTTGTCGTGTGAGGCATGCCGTTGATCCGGCTGGTCGAGCAACAGTCGAGAAAATGAGTATCCCACCGTTGCGAAAGCAGCTGTGCTGCATGTCTCGGCCAGGCCAAGTCCCGTAATGAGCCCCACCTCCCCACGGCCTGGACGAGCAGTATGCATTTGCACATAGCGCCTGTATTTACCAGGAGTCTGCTGCACGGTCCACCCCAAGTTCGCAGTTATGCATCTGCTGGGCTTGAGTCACCAGCGCTGCCGTTGCTCTCGTCGAGCGCCTCGCCCGATTTCTTTGATTTTTTGTGCTTTCGTCGCTTCCTTCTCTTTTTATCTGTGCTTTCGGTGGCGTCCGTCAATGGGCTTGGAAGTTCCTGGTGCTCATCGTCTGTGCCGTCCTTATGATCGTCATCATCCTTGCTGGCATGATCGTCGTCGTCGCGCGTCCGTTTTGTCCCCACAACGGCAGCAGCACCCTCGAGAGCGGCTGCTGTTTCATCACCAAGCAGAACCGGCCCGACATTTTGATTTGACTGAGATGGAGGCGCAGAGGTCTTTGGCTTCTTTTTCTTTTGGGACAAAGGGTTGGGGCCCTTTGCCTTCTTTTTCTTTGCTGGTGTCGGGGACGTCTCCGACTGTGGCTCCGCCTCGGCTACTGTCTTGGTGCGGACCGAGATTTCGAATGGAAGCGGCTCATTCTTTCGCTTTTCAAGCTATCACCCAGTTCCGATACGAAACCAGCGGTCAGGGAGAGCTTGGTAGCCTTATCCAATCCCTCGTTCTCCTTTTCGAATCAATCGCATCGGGCTGCTACGACATCATCCAATCACAACATACCTGCTCGGCGTGGATGATGGTCTCTGGCGATGGTGGCTCGAGGATCGTCACGCTGTTTTTGATGTATATGAGCGGTGTTCCAGGAACTTTGCGGAGCTGTACTCGCAGCTGGACGTCCTGGCTCGCCACGGCGTATTTGTGCTTGTTGCTGGATCCGATGATCTCGCCGATGCAGTCGGCTGCAGGGATGGGCTGGTGGTGGGTGCACCGTCGCTTTTCAAAGCGCTTGGCGGCTATGACGGCTCCCATAAATTCTTCTCCAAGCGACCTCAGTTCGGCAATCACACAACCTGTCGTCACTGCGCCCACCACCAACAAACCACGTCCAACCAAGGAGCCAGATCCAACAAACGCACGACAGACCACGAACGAGCGACGGGAGAGTTAGTGCGGGCACTCCATAGTAACATGATGCACGAGCATTCAATGGCACCGCGATCTTGAGCTCAATCGGCCGAACTTTACTTGGCTTGACCTGGCCCACCAATACGGCTGGGAGGGTGTTTCGAACATCGGCTCGCATGTCCAGCGACACTTTGATGAAGTTGCCGTCGACAAGCACCTGGTATGGCTCACGAAAGCCATAGGACCGAGTGAACACGGTCATGGTCTTCTTGTTTGTCTTTTGCCGCTTGACTTTCATTGTGCTCCTGCTGATATGGTCTTCGGGGCTGGGCTCGGGCTCGGGTGTGCGATCGGGTCCGAGGCAAGCGACGCGGCGGATCGCTGGCTCTCAAAAAAAAAAAAAAAAAAAGCTGGGGTTCACTGCGCTGCGCTGCGCTCATTGTCAGCAGCCAGTCCAAACCGCAAGACCAGGACGGCCAAACGCCTCCCGGATTCATCAGCACGTGATCACGGCGACAAAATCGATCGTCGCTGGGATCGGGCGGTGTTCGGCTTTCTCGCTGCTTGGCAACATCGAGAATGAGCACGATCGTCTGTCCGGGCCAGCGCCTGGCAAGTGTGCGGGAGCTCCAAGGTACGCTTGGCCGTGATTTTGTGTCCAGGCTCTGTTCCTGGCACAGCTGCGGTTGTTCGTGCAGCCGCAGTCGAGCAGCGATCTCGGCCAAAGCGGACGATGCCGTGCCATGCCATCACTCACCAGCAATTGATTATGCATGCGTAAATGGGTCACTTGTCGAACAACCTTCAAGCCTCGTCGGGAACATATCATAGGTAAAATTTTGTTTCACTTTGCTACATGCCACGATTCCATGCCAACAACATCGATCCATAGCCCGGTCTTACTCTGTGAATCGACCGCACTCCCAGAGACGGCCAGGTCTACGCTTCCATCGTCGGAACAAAGGAAGTCGACGAAGATGCATCAAAGGACGAGGTATGCGGTCTGGATCTGTACGGTTGTCGATCAAGCCTGCCTCGCCCCTGGGCAGCTCGCAGCTCCTATCATTGTGGCCCCACAAACTCTGCACACGTCAACGACTGAATCGCTGGCAACGCAGCTCCCTACCGTTCGAGTTGTCCGGAAGAAAGATGCGTCGTCTGTTCCCGAAATCGGATCGATGATCACTGGAAAGGTCATTAGAATCAACCCGCGCTTCGCGACGCTCAGCATCATGATTGTCGGCTCAGTGCCGTGCAGGGAGAATTTCCAGGGCATCATCCGTGTGCAGGATGTCCGTGCCACCGAGAAGGACAAGATTCAGATCTACAGATCCTTCCGTCCTGGTGACATTGTTCGGTGCGTGCAGCTCATCGAAATCCGTTGGCTTGATGCGTCTGCTGTGTGTCAGCACCCGCTCAACATCCGGCCGGGAAGATCTCCCAACGACTTACGACCCGGGACCGTTTCCGTTTGTGCATCCAGCGCACAGGTCATTTCCCTCGGAGACGCCAGATCGTACTATCTGTCGACGGCACTGAACGAATGCGGCGTTATTTTTGCCCAAAGCGTTGCCGGTATGCATCCTGCCTTGAGCAGCCGATTCAAATCCGCCGCCTGCTCGTGCATTCTCACACATCCGGTTCATCTTTCTCCGCCAGGACATACTATGGTCCCCATCTCGTGGGAGGAAATGATTTGCCCGTACACAAAGGTGAGGCCCATATCCTTGCAGAGGAGGCCTTCGGTCTGTCTCCTTTGCTGTCGTCACATATGTCGTCGATGTTCTCATTCATTGCCCGCCATCGCCACCCGTTGCTAACTGCCACATCCTCCCGTTGATTCACCACCTGCGATCCACTCATTTTGCCTGTCCGTACGGATTGGTGTCTGTGCTGCATGGAAAACCCTCTGCAAAGGTTGTCGAGCACCGCAAATGCGCCAAGCCCACTGCAACATGAGCCAATCTGCGAGTGCAATGCCGGGCGGAAAAGCGGTATCCGATACGAGCGCAACCATCGTGCACATCCCTGACCAGAGTCACAGGATATTCCAACGGAGCTTGCCGACACTTGGAAGAAAGCCGCCTACGCTGCTACGGTTGCGAATCCGATCCACGCATTGCTCGGGCCGTAGCTGTGTTTCCCCGTGGATATCGCTCTCGATCATCACTCGCGGCCATTTCTCGGGAGCATGTGTTCGAATATACTGGGTCGATCTATAGACTTGCAATATCTCGGTACTCCTCCCCCTCCCGCTGGCCCAGTCGGCTGCTTGGAAAGCTGCTCCGATTCCACAGAAACCGCACGGCTTGGAGGTGCGGCTGTGTGGCAGCCAAGACCGCGCCTGCACCCGAAACCAGCCATTGGGGCTTCTGTCCTGATCTCGGAATGTCTTGCTTGGGATCGGGCCTGCGGGCTCTGTCGTACCGCTCCATCAGGATCCCGCAGCCTCATAGAAGCCCGCTCGCTGCCAGGCTCTGGACCCGCAGCTCCCTGTGGCATGCCTCATCGCCTCTGCAGCCGCAGGGTCCTGGCTTATCAAAGCAACCTGATCTGCAGCACCACGCCCAAGATCTTGAGCCAACATCGGCACCCACCGGCCCCGAACTCCAAGCCCCGCCAAGCAAACTTGCGATTCCCGAACCAGCCTCTTCTGCAAGCGATTCCCAACCACCGACCAAGAGCCTGGACGCTGTCGTCCGAACAGCTCGAGCCCGGGTTGACCAGGCCTTGGAAGCCCTCAAGAACGACACCTTGCCTAAACTCACTCGACACATCAACAGCCTCACCGGCTACGCCGAGGTCGAGCAAAGGAAGAAGCTTGTTCTGGAAAAGGAGCAAATCGTCGGCCAGCGGCGGCAAGAGATGGAGGAGACGAAGCGGGTCTATGAATCGACCGTCGACGAGCACGAACGATGCCAGCAGGAGATTATATCGTTGCAGCAGGTGCGCTCCGGCCGTCTGCAGCTGAGCTGTTGGTGACTCACCTGTGCTGATGCCACCGCAACCACCTCTTGCTCATCTCGCGGACTCTGGTTACAGCGCAAGGACTCTTGGCAAGATGACGATATCACTCGGGTGACTTTTCTCTATCGGAAAGACAAGAGCCTTGAGCAAGCCGAGGCTGCAGCCAAAGAGGCCCACCACCTCGCCACCGAGGCCTTCGAGCGTGCCCAGATCGACTATCTCGGGTATGTCTGCTTGCCCATCCATCGCTACGTGAACGCGGCTCTCGAAATGCAGGTTGGCTTTGAATGCTCATGATACACACTTTCACAGTGAGATCCGCGAGCGATATGTCGAGGAACAGCTGTATTCGGATAAGATTCGCCAGACAAGCAATTGGTGGACAATGGTACGATGAGAGAGTCCGAGCCTCTCCAGATGATATCGGCACATATCTCTCCGGTGTGAACTAGCACCGTCGCCGAGTCTAGGACCCCCCCACTTACTAACTGCACATTCCTTGGCTGGAATTAGGGCTTGATATCGCTCCACATTACGCTGTTTGTCCTGGTTCAGCTTGTCGTCGAGCCTCGAAAGCGGCGTCGATTCCAGGACGATCTGCTGGTTCTCATCGAGAACAAGGCCGAGCGGGACCGCCAAGCACTGGAAACGCAAGTGCTCGAACACCTGCGGCTCATGAGTGCAACCAGCCCGGTGGATATTGGATCGACAAACACCGTCGACTTGCCACCCACGACGGTCACAGAGGCCGAGAATCCCGTGAACCAGATCCAAGAGATCGGTGCCAGAGAGCCGGCCGCTCTCCTGGATCGCATCCAGACTTTCACAGAAGCAGGACCAACGCAGCACGCTTGGCTGCAGGGCCTTGCAGTTGGCATACTGTGTACCAGCGCCGTGTTTGGCATCGTCAGTAGATAGTGATTAATTGTGCAAACTGCAAATCTGCAGCGTGCATTCGCTCCTCGGCGACTCATTACTTTGGCACAGCTTGCATATACAACTCTTCCATGGCACCCGTGATTTCCGATTTGTTCATTGTGCAATTGAGTGGCACACATCAGTGCCAATATGTTCATCAACGGCTTCTCCTTTATCGCCGCCGCCGTCGCAGAGCGATCTGGGTGTACAGGGCGAACGGGGGCGCACTCATGCTCCAGGAGGAAACCGGTGGCCCGAGCAAAAGCGCTCCGTTTGATACGCCGAGCACAATCCAATCAAGCCGCCGAGGTCGGCATCGGCGGGTTTCCGGATCTGCGTTGGCCTCGTGTGGACTTTCGACCTGGCTTAATTCCTCAGCTTCCCCCATCCATTAACGTCGCAAGGAAGGGCTCGCTCTTTTGCCGCCCCAATGGAGCCATATGGAGCCATGGATATTTCCCGCTGGTCTACAGATCAGGTGGCGGAATGGCTTGTGCAGAACAACTTTGCCTCGTTTCGAGACAGCTTTGTTTCTCATAACGTCGGCGGCATGGCGCTGCTCCAGCTCGACTATGAGCTTCTGAAAGAAATCGGCGTTTTGAAAGTTGGCGAGCGAGCCAGGATCCTGAGGGCGATCAAGCTCACCTCCCGACGCTCTTTAGCTGGGCACGAGGTATGTCGACCGAATAGTATTCTATGAGCTCCTGTGGTCCGACTCCAGGGAGGCTTTCTCGGTTCACGCCTTGTGGGAATGTAATGCATGTAGCTGAAGGTCCATGTCAGCCTCCGGCTCGCGTAGATACCGAGATACCAAGGCTCTCAGCATCAGAAACGTCGCTCTGCAAAATAGGCATTGGGCAGATGGACTCGTACCGGAGCATCTCAACTCCCGCGAACGCTGATGCAACCACATCGGCAACCACATCGGCAACCACATCGGCAACCACATCGGCAACCACATCGGCAACCACATCGGCATCGGCTCACGCCGGCTTCTCTGTGGACTCATCCTCCGCGAATGCGAGCGCGACGACGCTTCGGATATCAACCAGGAAACCTGGATCGGCAGACGTTGGGTCAGAGACCGACGTCCGAGGGCTGCCCATCGTCTCTCCTCGAACGTCCTCCAAGTCTCCTCGGGACCCAACAGCAAATCCTGCTCTGTTCCGCCAGTTCCTACCGTCTTCGATGTCGCAGACTGACCAAATTCCTCCAATCGCCCACAAAAAATCTTTGGACGACACCATGATGGCCGAGCTCATCAAAATGGGTGTTGTTCTTCCCGAGCCGCTAAAGTCGCGACGAAGCAAAGAAATAACTGAGGCCCAAAGCGCATTGGTACTCGCATTGCTGCTTGTGCATTGCTGCTGTGCACGCAAATGGCGATGCCCCAGCGTTGAGGTTTACAGCACATCACTCCGGCGCCGTTCCAAGGCTTGTCATTAACCTCAATCTTCTCAAACGCAAAGTCATCCAGAAGCATTATACGCCGAGACTCAAAGGATATCATGACCAACGACTACGTTCGATCGGTAAGCGTATCCAGCGGCACTCCATGTCTTGCATCCTTGGTGCAATTGTCATATTCTAGCCGTTTGCATCGTATCTCGGTCGCTGCTGCTTGCTTCTCCGTCGACTCCGCGTCGTTTGACCATTGGCTCTTGAAGGACGAGCCATCGAGTGACGGTATCCTTCCACCAGCCAGTTGATGAATATCCGAGTAACAACTTAATGCTGCTCGACTCCATTATCCTCACTTTCGATCACAAGAAATGCATTCGAGTGACAGGTCTCGGGGATCAGAAACATGTGCTCTCCGTTGCGGGTATCACCGACCCACGAGTCATTCGAGATATGATCGCCAGCAAGTTCGGCGTCAAGGACCCAAAGGAACAGCAGTTATACTGTATCATGGCACCAGATCATGATTCGATCGGGGGTGGCGGAGGTAAATCCTGGAGCAGTGATAGATGAAACAGGCAGGGCTGTTCTGCGGCCCCTTGCATGCCGCAGCGATCGACCAGTGTTGGCCGTTCGTTGGTCAGGGTTGAGCACTCTCTGCTCATCAATAGCCTGCATTTAATGCTGCCCTCCGGTTTGCCTCGATGTAGTCAAGGTTATCGATGATCGGAGGCTCATGGAAATCTGCGGCTCCGCCGACCATCCGCAGCGTGGCGCCCTCTTGTTTCGAACCGTATATGTCCATCCCCACGCAAAAGACATCGCGGAGCACAATGCCAAACAAATGCGCCTTTTCATCGAAAAAACCATGAAAGAGACCACGCCACAGCTTGGATGCGATCCTTCCAGTGCCAGTTCCCCTCCAAGTACCTCCAAATCTCCTCAAAAAGACTCCCGTTTCCGGCGATGGCATCGTCTGTTTGGAGAATATCGACAGACCTCTGTTCCGGAAGTCAAAGCGACATCAAGCGGCAACCAAACGCCAGCTCTATCCAGCAAAGCTGATGAGTTTTTCGGAGAGCGGCCGCCCGATGAAGTCATTGTTGAAAATCTCGAGGAATATTTCCCCTCCCTTCAGAGACAAAATGCCACCAAGTCAGATATCAAGAACACTGTGGCTCAAAGCGTTGCCAATGCACGTCTCTCCCGTCAAATCGCACGACGGTCCTCGATCATCCAACGATTTGGAAATGGAGGTCACGGCACAATCCATCGAGAGAAACGGCCGACTCCGCTGCGGATAGTCGAGGATGAAACGTGCGAGGATGAACCATGTGAGGATGACCACACCCGAAGGCCATCCGACGAAGCCACATCGAGTCTTGGAGACGGAAACCGCAACGGCGATGCAACCACCAAGGAGGAATCCTCAAACGAAAAGCCATTCTATCTCCAAGAAGCGGTGCAACTCAGCGAACCAGATCATGCTGACCTGGACTCGTTGATTTCCCGAATATGGCTGGAGAGCTCTAGGCTTGCCGAAATCTCTCCGTCCTCGGCCAAGCGAGGTCATCCGAGTGTAGTCCCCGGTCGCGCTTTGAATGGGTTTGGATCAAGCGAGGCCCTAAAAATCGACACTCCCATCGAAGAAGAAGAGGAGGTCGGCGGTAGTGACCAGAGTAGCTCGCAGTCGATTGTCCTTGTGGCCGACGACGCAAAACCAAGTAAGACTGATGTCTCTGGGCCTGGGGACAAGGCCGGGGACGAGCCAACTCAAGCACCAGATCCGGAATCAACCCAGGCCAATCAAGCCATCTCTGGGAATGTGAACGGTGATCAGCTTGCTGCGAGCAAAGACAAACTTGCCACTGGCGAGCATGGGACTCCGAAGAGAAAGATACGATGGGAACAGGGACCGCTCATTGGTCAGGGTGCCTTTGGAAAGGTTTATCACGGGTTGGACCTCGACACCCTTCAGATCATGGCCGTGAAGCAAGTTCCCTTAGGCAACTCTTCGGATCCGCAGAGAAAAAAACGAGAGGAGGCCCTTCGCAAGGAAATCGAGCTACTGGAGGAGCTCGAAGACATCAACATTGTCCGCTACTTGGGTAAGTACCAACGCGCTAACCGACTGTGAGGGTCGTCACGGACGCGGCATTTATGGAAAGCAGGATGTAAATACGCTGTCTTGCAGAGCAATCGTGGCTGCACCGCGCATCGCGATGCCGTCGACACAGCGTCCGAGCAATCTGGAGCTCGATGGAGTGTAGCGGATATAGACTATGCGATTGCTGTGCGGTCGTTGTGGTGACGAATAAGAGCAGGAGGTGGTCGTTGCTCAATCAAGCCAAATCATCGCACAGGATCCGAGGTCACAGAAACGTCATTCAATGTGTTCCTAGAGTATGTCTCTGGAGGATCCATCGCCAGCTGTCTCGCAAAATATGGAAAATTCGACGACGATATCACTCGACATATGGCCGTCCAGATCGTATGTGGTCTGGAGTATCTCCATAGCAGGTAAAGCCCTATACTTACGCGGAACACCGTGGATTGCGCGTTGGTAGCCTCGAAGGACCAAATCGTAACAACTAAGTTTTATCCCTGTCTCAGAGGAATCATTCATCGAGACATCAAAGGTGCCAATGGTGAGGAGGCCTGTCTGAAACTCTCATCCATGTGGTTTAATACTGATCGCCAGAGCGTCTGTACGTCATGGACATGCTGTTTCTCACTGGTTCTGCTCCATAGTTCTCATCGATGTCGACGGAATTGCCAAGATCTCAGACTTTGGAATATCCAAGAAAACTGGTGAGCAAACAGGGCGGCACTACGATCATCAATCCACCCTCGCTCCGCTAGACGCTCCTCAGATATCAATGTTGCTGGGAAATAACGAAGCGACACATCCGTCTCATTACCAGAAACCGAGCGTGCCTACAAGAGAATCACACGGATGTCTATGCAGGGCACCGTTCCATGGATGGCTCCCGAGGTTGCTCGAGGGCGGGGATATGGCGCCAAAATCGATATCTGGTGGGCATCTTGGGCATATTGAGCATCGAGTCGTGCACCTGCTTCCCTCTCTTGCCCCAGGAAACCGGCTGATGCCCTCCTTTCGAAACAGGAGCCTTGGATGCTTGGTTCTGGAAATGCTTACGGGTATCAACCCATGGGGCAAAGTGAGCGGAAGTATTGTGTATCTCCTTGGCACAGGAAATGCACCGCCGGTGCCAGATTATCTGTCGACCGAGTCCAAAGCATTTATCAAAGACTGCCTTGTAGTGTAAGTTTCCGGGCTGATAGATAGGCGAGTCTATGCGGAGCGAATTCGTGATTAGTCGTCTGGTGGTTGAATATCCGACTCTTGGCTGATGTCGAGGTTCGGCTTTTGGATCGTAACCAGTGACTGGGAGAAGCGTTCGACAGCCACACAGCTGCTATCGCATCCGTTCACACAGGTCAATGTTGATGAATTCAAGTTTGCTGAATGGGTGAAAAAAGCGGCGGAGCGCCGAGCTAACCAAGAAGAATATGGCGAGGAAGAAGATGAAGACGATGACATGGCCGAGTTTTCTGATGACTACGACGACGACGATTATTTCGAGGACCACGAGCTCGAGGAAGCTGACGATGACGATGAGGGGCCTGGCAGAGCTGACGATTTGGAAAGACATCAGGAGTCGGACAGTCCAGTCGCACTGGAAGCCAACAACTCTGATATCGCGGTTGAAGATGAGCACTTGAGCCAGACAGCACCGAGCCCCGTGGCATCGTCGGGCTTTGGAGCAGCCCAAATGGAAATATGAACAGCAAACCGACCCCGCCGAGGCAAGCAATAACGATTGCCGAGCAGCTCCAAATCAGCAAGGGGTCTCTGAAGCCAAAACCGAGGCGAAGTACCTTATTTGGACAGGTGGCCCCTGTTTTCCGGAATACATGTTCGCTCAGCACGCTCGTGAACACTGTCGCCCGATGGCGTTCCTGTGTCGAACTATGCCATAAGAAATAGAACAAATCACTGTGGCAGCCTCCGAGTAAAACCACCGGTCGCTCTCTGGTCTCCACAATCGGCCTGCACACTGGCCTCGGAGTGCCAGCGGTGAATGGTGCTCATGGACACACTGAATATGGAGGCAACTTTTCTCAGGCTATGGATGACAGTGTAGCACTGCATCACGGAATGGTCATGGCCAGCGCGCGATGGTATTGGGAAACAAATTATTCGGTCAATGGTCAAAAAACCAAGGTGTCCCGTTTTTTAATGAGACGCCTGTAATCTGCTCCAAGGACCGTGGGCTGGTCAGAATCAGATTCATGTCGCCTCGCAGCTGTTTCGGATCTGGAGCCACAGCCACGACGACTCGTTTCTCTGCCTGCCCAGCGACACTGACCTCCAAAGCCGTCTGCGCGCCCGAGATCAGCATTCATCGCCCTGATCTTCCGCGGCCCCTCCGCTTTCCTCCCTACACCACCGTCCTTTGGAGTATCTGCAATGGACAGCGTCGTTGAGTCATGGAGCGACTACCGGGCATCCCTGCTATATGCCGGGGATGAGTCCAGAGTGATCTCGATTGCCGCTTGGGACTCCTTCATCCAGGCCATCCAGCAACTCCGTGCTCGCTTGCTCAAGCAACGCATCCAGACCCAGCAGACGCCGCAAATAGCGATCGCACAGGTTCGTATAGCATGAGTCCACTGTGTTGTGACATTGCGGTGGCTCGACACCCGGGACTCGTGACGGATGGTTAATCAACGAGCCTTCCATGCGGGCATAGGAAATCGCCATCCTCCAAAAAGACATTACCGCCAAAGATACGGCTCTCGCTCGCTACCTGGATATGCTTGTTCGCTGGGAGCCGATCCTAACAGGCATGAGAGATTCTAATGACAAAGTTACTGGGATAGCCTCCCCAGCTCGTGCCCCCGCCGCTGCGGTCGAAGGCTCATCCGTTACAACTGCGGTTGCACTGGAAAGATTGCTTGATACGACCGGGTCGTTTTTCTCTTCTTTCGGAGACGAAGACCAAATGTCTGCCTCGACTTCAACCCAAGCGCCTTTTGAGTCCCGGCCTTCAACACAGCTATCGGTGGCAGTATCGGCAGACGTTATCGATGTCGATTCGGAGACAGACAGCCAAGATTCGTCGGCTACCGGCTTGGAGAGCAACGACGGACAGGCAGCGGCCGAGGAAAGTGAAGACGGGGCCGATGAAGAGGCCCTCTCGGTGGTTCAAGACGGAATGGTCGACGACAAGCTTACGGGGGGAGCTTCGGCCGAAGCAACACAGCCGATCCCGGAGCCGACTCATGCAGAGGACTTGGAGGAGGCGGCGACTGACGACCCCGATCCGGCGGACGACGAGCATGGTTTAGGGGGCGACTTTGACTTTCTCCTTGATCAACCCTTTTAATACACACCCTGCCACCGATCCAAAGGACCAGACCAAAGGACCAGATCAAACCAATCAAACAAAACGCACCTCCGTCTCCAGCGCCGAGACCCTGCGTGCCCATGAGGCGGAATGGGACAAACACAAGCACAAATCGCAATCCAAGTTTACCCAGAGTCAAGTTGTAAAGTGTGCTATTGAAAATCACAGCTATCGCCTCGGAGCTACACAGAGTCGCCGGCGGCGACAGCCAGCCCATGAACTCAATCATGGCTCTCTCAGAACATTTCAAAGATGCCAGTAATTACTCAGCGCTTGGGCTTTGGACAGGCTCCAAAGTCTCTCTTTCTCGACTGGGTTCTCGCGGGACTGTCTTGTCGACCGCACGGCGATCATCAACCAAGTCAGTCGAAGGACGCTTGGGCTTTTCCTCTCGGTCGCTTTGTCGCCCATGTCTACGATGAGACGCTTCGTCGGAATCGCTGTGATGACGGTGGGATCGTTCTCGCTTATGACGCCGATCTCGTCCGCCACCACGTTTTCCGTGACGCCGGCTAGAGTCGCTGCTATCGCTGCTGGTGCTTGGTGACCTCACTCTCTTGCGGCCGTCATCATCGGCCTCTGATCCTGGGCTGCGGTGTCTATGGCGGTGAGATCGATGATGATCTCGCCGATGCCCCCCATGCCCTCGATGACCTCGATCCCGAGACGACTCGCGGCCGCCTCTCGATCGACTTTGACTTCGGCTTCGGCTTACTCTGCGGTGGTGGCGGCGGCGGTGGTGATCTCGACTAAGGCTTCGGCTTCGGCTTCGATCGCGATTTCTGTTTCTGCTTCTGTTTCTGCTCCTGCTGCGACTTCGACTGTGGCCACGTTTCGAGTCTCTTCTAGCAAGGTAGCCACCGCTATGATGACTCTGCCTTTGGCTATGATGGCTCTGTCTTTGGCTATGGAGGCTGCCAGAATCTCGTCGAGGACTGTCTCTTCCCGATCGATCATCAGCACTCCGAACTTCTGGTTTTGAAGGACCAGAGGGCTCTGGACGAGGCGGTGCTGGTGGAAGTTCATGCTACAGTATCAAGAGCAACGGAAAATAAAGCATCATTTCTGGGCACCCTGACGAAGCGAGCAACGGTGTGACCAACTGTGCCGGAGAAAGTATGCGGTCAGGACGCCACTTACGACTTTCGGCGGATCACTGGAAGGGTTGTCGCTGAAGCGACTGCGTCGGCCTGAATGGGTGAAAGGATCGACCCCACGGTCTCGGGCCCGCGCAAGTCCAGAAGCGATCCGGCTTCGTTCGGCGTCACGCTGAGCCTATGGCGATGAGCACACACCGGATTCCATAGTTAATCAGCAGTGGTTACCACAGTTAGTTGTTGGGGATCGAACAAATAGTGACAGTGAGGATGAGCACCCATACCCTTGCGGCCTCCGCCAATTTGATCTGCTCATCGATGAACTGTTGAGGGATGCGCGAGGGGTTGTTCTGGGCGCTGTCGCAAAGAGTCCAAAGCTCCTCCATGAAAGCCGGTGTGTTTCTCTCGAGGAATCCCGTTAATGAAATCTGCATCTGCCTTGGATCAGGATCCTGCGAGATCAAAAAATAGGCGAGCGAGTCAGCGAAGAGCCACATTGGAAGCGGCGATGCGATACTTTGGCAATCCTACCGCAGCTTCCAACAGCTCGAAGACAAAATCGACCACAACTTCATCGTCGCGATGCAGATACTTTGTGACTTGACGGGCGATCCATTGGCGCATGACATCCATGTTGACTTTTGCGAAATCGACCTGCGGAGCGCGGGGGAGGGACGTTCAGCTGGCCAAAGCTCGATCGCTCTACGCTGATGGGAACGATCATGACGCAGGCTGACGGAAACAGACCTTAGTGCTGAAAATAGCGGGAAATCGTGTGTTTTTGAGAAGCTTCTTTTCTTTATTCTCGAACCGAGCATCTTGATCAGCGCTCGTTCCCTAGAAGATGGGAGAGGCAAAGGGAGAAGAACCAGGCCAGTCAGCCAGGCGGCCCTGCGAGCATCCGTGCCTCGCAAGCAAGGCGAAGGGTCGCCGAGCGAGGCCAAGAGCAAGAGATTCCACACCTTGAAGAACCCGGCGTCGCCCATTTTGATTGTATTTGGGCCGGAACGAGAGGTTGACGGGAAGCCAAGAGGCAAGGGGCGTTGGCCGATGGCACTTGGGAAGGACGCCCAATCGCACGGGCGGACAGGCGAGATCTCGAGGAGCAGCAAGCTGCCCGGCCGCTGCGCCATGAGCTTCCACTCGCTGGATCACCACGGACCCTGGATGGCCGTGCGGCCTCTCGCGGCCAACGAGTGTCGGGCCTGCCGGAGCGACAGGCTCGTGCGTGGAGGAGGGTGATCTGAATCGATGATCAGCGGACGCACTGCTCGGACTCGATAGTGCCATGTCTACGGTGCAGAACGACCTCTGATTCAAAACCGCAGGGCAGCGATGCAGAAAGCGATCCGTGGCAAAGGCGGTCGGATTCAACTGCGAAACGACCCATGGCTCGCATGAATATTCCCAACGACTGTCCGCTGATGGCGAACGGGTACGACGATGGGTTGAAGATACAGGGTGGTGGTGATGGAGGGTTGGCCTCGACCAAGGTCATCGAAGATTCCGGAATCAAAGAGCCAACTTCAGGAGCAGTGACTTGACACAGCCGCAGAGACAGAATACAATATATTGATAAAAACGTGTTCGGAGCGGCCACAGGGCTGAGCTGTTATATGAGTGACAGAGCCTATGATTCTATGGAAACTGGATCGATAGAATTGGGATGATATTGTATATATTGTTGATCGAAATCAAGGCGAGATGGCCGAGTTGGTCTAAGGCGTCACGTTAAGGCCGTGATCTCTCCGGAGGCGTGGGTTCGAATCCCACTCTCGTCACTTATTTTGGCACAGTGTGGAAGCACAGAGCTTTTTCAACCCAAGAGACTGGAGGATCGACACCTCCCGATACTATCTGTTTTTTTGCTTCCTGTGGTCCGTCGTCTGTTCTCTCATCCCAGTGTGCTAGCTCTTCTGTGGATCATGTCCCCTCGCTTCGAGCCTTCTCTTTATCCGCAACGAGCTGCTGTCTGGCGCCGTCCTGTGTTGTTGGTACTGTCGTCTGCTGGTGTGCTTGTGGCCCTCAGTTTCGGCAACCTGCTTCGGTCGCCGCTTCGCTTGCCACTACCTTCCCGTCGCTGCTCCTGACTTTATTCCTCCGAGCTCGTCTTTCTGATATTAGCAGGCCTTAATCGAATAGCCGACATTCGTCCTCATGTGGCCTTGTGGTCTCCCATTCTGACTTGCTTTCGTTTACCACCCGTCTGTCATTCTCCGAAGCCGATAGTCGTGTTGCTTCCTCGGTCTACTCTGAATATCTTGATAGCAGTCTGTTTTTCAAACGCATCGTCTAGCAATTGCTAATATTCGCGCCGAATGCATCGACACTTGATCAAATTCTCCTATTTAACGTGCATCCAGCCAATTGATTTTGCAAGGCGCATATCCCTGGGAAGAGCACTCCTCGATTGCTTCCTTGGCGAGTGGAATACTGATGCTCTCTGAATTCACGCATACCATATTATGATCACAATCAAGTCATGCCTTGGATTTTAAACGTCCATGGCTTGGTTTGTTTGGATCGAAACCCGGCAAAGTTTGATCTCAGAGGACATGGCGCTGTGCAACCTTCGTCCCGAATCTGTCCCAGCAAACTGCGATGTTGATTAGGGGACTTCCTTTGAAAACAGGCATCCCTCGCTCGCTCTATCACTCATTCCTTGATTGGCGGGACATGCTTGTCCCATATTTGAGGGCTAAAAGAGAATTGTATTCACCGGAACCGAGCTTAACGCCAGTACTTGGCAACGACCAATCCTGTTTCATAGAGCCTCGCTGAAACGGGCTTTGTTTCTTCTTTGTTCAATTTGAGAGCCTGACCGATCCAGAGTGCAAGCAGGAGGGCATACTTTCGCTGAGCTAGCTTCCGATCTTGATCCAGACCCTGAGCTGTTTCATCTGTTTGCGCGCGCAACGCTACGAAATCAAGAATATGGCTCAAAATATCCGGAATCGACGCTTCGGTGGGGTGTAGTGCTCGCATTTCGGCGGGATTCTTGAGGCTTGTGATCGAAGAACAAAAGCGACCCCATAGTAATCGCCGTTCGTCCTCAAGAGGTGTGCGGGGATCCACGGATGAGTCGGACTGGCTCAGGAGCGGAGTGAGCATTTGACCGACAACAAACCGCAAGTGGAGCCACAGAGCTTCGTATCCGGGATATTTTTGAATGCTCTCTTCGATGAATATGCACTCCTCGATCCAGCTGAACTGATTAGTGGGTGATTCTGATGTAAACGCATCCCTCAGGAGCGACTGGCGGTGATGCCATCCGCTGTAATCGGACAGATGTGACTGGCACCATCGTTTGCTCAGGATCAGGTCTTGAGGAATCTGGATCGAGTGGGAGAAGCGGGACATATCAGCTCGATTCTTTCATCACGAATTTGTGGATCGGGGCCATACCAGAGCAGGACACATGTCGACAATTTTGCGCCGATGAGTCCAAGCGTGGTAGTTTGTCTTGTGGCGTTCGGATGCACGATCGCAAACATCGAGTTCACATTGACAGTGACGATGGAACTCTTGGTCGGTGAGAGAAGACTTCAAGCGCCGCATGATCCAGTGACTGAAGAGACAAAAGTAAGGAAAGGAGAGGAACAAGTGGATCCGAAAGAAAGGTACCTACCGATGATTCCATCCCTGGGTACTCTTTGGAAACTTGGAGAAGACAAGTGTCAAGAGTTCCAGTTCTGGTTGCAGCTGCAATAACCCTGAAGATAAAAGGTCCTTTCTAGAAACAGAGCGAAGAATGAGTCACAACCAGAAACGACATGACAAGCCACGATGGATGGTCGGAGCAGGCAAAGTTAACGAAAGTATCGAGCAACATACCTCGCATTCCATACGGAGTAGATCTCTGGGTTGAGGAGGACAAGGATTTTGGACGACTGGCAGAGTTCTACAGAGCAGTCAATACACGACCGAGGTCAAAGACACCAATGACGAGAGACTCGTACCTCGAATGGACTGGGATTGCTGTCGAAAGAGCTTCCTGGACGATTGGAAGATGGCAGACGCAACTTCAAAGAGCAGGGAGATACTATCGGTAGAGATCCCGAGATTGTCATCGATAAGCACGAACGGGTAGTTCGGATTGTCGTCGGAGGGGATGCAGTCGGTGGGGACGAACCCAATTTCCTGACTATGAAAGGAGAAGGAAGTGAGGTGAGAGAATACCACTCTGAACCATGCACGAGGAGCGGAGCGCTTACATTCGAACGTCCCCTGACTCAAGAATAGCAACGAGGCGGTTGTAAACCGATATCTCGTGAGGGAACATATCAAAAACTTGAAGAGAAGAGCTGCGGTGTGAATCACGGGTGCAGGAAAACGAAGAGCAAAGATTGAGTGACGAAGTTGGAGGAGGCATACTGTCGGGGAAGGGTGTGGAGCAAGGGAATCGGAGGAGAGGTGCTGGGATACAAGGGCCTCGACTCTGACGACGGAGATGCAGACGGAGATGGAGATATGGATGGAGATATGGATGGAGATGGAGATGGAGATATGGATGGAGATGGAGATGGAGATGGAGATGGAGATATGGATGGCGAGCCCGACATTATGACCACTGTTGGGAGCAAGATCGATTTTGGAAGTGCAGATGAGAGCGCTGAGACACAGGGACAAGTCTTTGGCAGGAGAAGCGGTCAGAGAAAGCAGGACAGGGATGACCGAAGAGCTCGGCACACGGCGAGGTGATTGCTACAGGATAGCCACCAGACCGATGATGTTTGGGTGAGATTGGGACTCAATCGACATGGTCGCGGTTGAATAAAGACGAGAGGATATGACCACAAGGATACAGATATGCAAGTGTAAAGGCCAAACCAGAGAGAATGGGTCGATGCGAGAGCGACTCCATGTCGGAGATGCCGGCTCGAATAAACTGGGCAAGGCCGGGGATTTGGACAGTGAAAGTTGGCAACGGCAGCCGATCTGGCTAAGACAAAGGGTCGATCCAATGGGCCAAAAGCGATTGCGTACCGACCAAATCTGCTTCAGATTGAAAGGCCAGCAGGCTGGAGCGGGTGTCGGAGGGACGAGCAACGGCAGCCAGAGGAGAGCGACGAAGGGCAAAGATCGACAGGCGGATTGGAGCACCGACAGGTCAGCCCAAACAGGCAAGGGATGAGACGGAGCACAGAGCCCAACGGCGCAGAATCCACGGCTGCTTGCCCGAGGCCGTAGTGGGCCGCGTGGGCCATGCAGCTCAGACCAACAAACTGACAGGATCAAAATTGCCAAGAGTGAAGCATAGACGTGATGTTGGTATGAAGCCGACGAGATGTAGAGAGCAGATCGAGAAATACTCGAAGGCTGACGATCGAAGCGGTGACGGAGCAGTTTGCCGAGATTGAGGCCACAAGCACACCAGCAGACGACAGTACCAACATCACAGGACGGCGCCGGACAGCAGCTCGTTGTGGATAGAGAAGGCTCGAAGCGAGGGGACAAAAACAAAAACAAAAAATGACGATGATCCACAGAAGAGCCAGCACACTGGGATGAGAGTACAAATGACGGACCACGGGAAGGAGAGTGGGAAGCGGGAAATGGAAGCAAAAAAAGGCTAGCATCGGGAGGTTTCGATCCTCCGACCTCAGGGTTATGAGCCCCGCGCGCTTCCACTGCGCTACGATGCTGAAGTAATTGACGAGAGTGGGATTCGAACCCACGCCTCCGGGGAGATCACGGCCTTAACGTGACGCCTTAGACCAACTCGGCCATCTCGCCTTGATTTCGATCAACAATATATACAATATCATCCCAATTCTATCGATCCAGTTTCCATAGAACCATAGGCTCTGTCACTCATATAACAGCTCAGCCCTATGGCCGCTCCGAACCTGTTTTTATCAATATATTGTATTCTGTCTCTGCGGCCGTATTATATTTATCAGTTCCCCGTGGGTTTTCCGCATTTCGACACATTTTGGACTATTTGAGTGGCCCACGGGTCCCACCCCGGAAGATTTGCTGGGTCGGACTGTCCATTCAGCGAGTCCCTATTTCAGGTCGTGAAAAATATGTTTCATATTAGTTGGCAGGACTATTAGGGCCTGCTACATGATGAGTTTCTCGCTTTCTAGCTTGTAAATCTTTCCTGGTGTGTATCAGAACAATGGGCCTGACACCTTCGGTCTCGAACTTGATCCGTCAAATAATATTTCTATGGCTCCCGCTTGGGCGTTCAAGGCTTCATCCTCATCTATGCAAGCCGGTGCGTGTTATCGGCCGATTTCTACCTCGATTTTGCCGTTGTATCTCTGTTTTAGTGCAGATATGATATAAACTGTGAATATCCGAGAAAACCTCTGTCCTCGACCATACTGTTCCGATGTATAGTCTGCGTGGAATGGTTTGGTCCGAACTTGATTCAGATTCTCTCCGTTTTTGTTCTCAGCGCGAATGAGTACATCGACTGATTTCCGTGCTTGGATAATGACTGTGCATTAGGGGTCAGCATGAATGGTTTGACCGATCGGATTTGTGGATCCCGTGGTCGAATCACTGTCCTTGTCGAAGGTTATGATCATCAAAAATGCGGCGCTCCTGTACTTACATGAACAGGCCAGGCCTCACTTAACGTCACTGTAGTGGAACTTTTCAAAGTATGGTTGGTCCTTGATTGCTGCTGATGAAACAGGTAATAAATGCAATCTTCCTGTTGTTATGGGCAGTCCACAGTAGTGGTATGGTGCTTCGTGTGATGTCGCGCGGACTATGCGAGACAGCTGGCTCAGGCAGAATGTCTGTGTCCTGTGGAGCCATCCCGTTTCATTTCCGGGATGGCATCGAGGGCAAAGCCAGATCCCGTCATGAATCACGGGAACATGCGATATGTGATTGTTGGGGACTTGACCGAAGGTTTCCGATGGCCAAGCCAGCTTGGACATGCTGGGCGCTGCTCTCTTCGTCCTGACCACCATTCGTTCGGGGTTTTCTGTAACGGACGGGTACGGAGCTGGGACGGGGACGGTGCCTTGGAGCGAGAAGTATATTCAGACGGATGAAAACAGAAGACTCCTCTTGCTGGGCCTGTCCCGGGGAGGGCGGAGTGCCCTTTTATAGGCCCAGCCCAGCAAGAGGACGGGGCAGTGTCAGCCTGCCGCGCACATGTGGCGGCGTGCCGGCCGTCACATTTTCCATCGATGCAAAAATACGGTGACATCAATAATAGCGCCAAAATACTCGAGGAACCCAATTTTATGGGTTTAGGGCTGTATGAATGCAGGTCCGTTTGCTTGTCGGCGTGGTGGTCCGGAAAAGAAAAAGAATATAGACCTCCCATTAGGGGGGGGGCGGAAACTCGGATTTGTTCCGGTGACCATGTGCCCCAAATATGCTTACTAGCAGCCTCCATAATTTTCAGGTAATGTTTACTTGGACTAAATCAATATCTGGAAGCTGGCGCGCAGCGCCCTCGATTCCGCGTTCAAATTTAATTTGATAATATAGCTTAAGCCTATTCGCGCCAAAATAACACAGAAGTACCGTAATCCTTTCGCGTTTTTAAAGCCATTAACCATGCTGGGGGGACGTTACCCTGTTGATCTGGATTATCCTGAGTGGTTCCCAATATAAAATGACAATTAAAGGATCGGGTTACGCGTGAATACCTTGAAGTTGTACTTTGAAGCTTCATGAGCCGTGCGCGGTGGAGTAATGCGCCTCGAGCATAGTCCCATCATCCTGACGAGTCCACTCAATCTCATAGCAATCTGGTACCAGAGTACCTTAAAATACCACCGATACTACAAACTGAAGATGCGTTTGAGTCTGCGATTCTCCCACGCTTGATCAGCCTGACTGGGTATTTCTTGGGTCACGGGTTGATCAAAGATCGGCTGGCAATATCTTGTCTAGCTCGAGCATCATCGCTCCGATGGGTTGATGCGACACCTGTTCATAGAAGACTATTCTGTCGAATATGGAAAACCCAAGTAACCTGAACAACAGATTGATATATAAAACATATTGAGATTGGACCGAGTGCTGAACCAGTCGACATTCAGCTCAAGCTTTGACGACTTTGGTCGAAGCCTTACTCCCAAAGCAGCCTGTCACTAGCCTAGATAACACAACAGCGCGTGGTTAAATGATTGTGTAGGGCACTGAAAAAATATAATGTAGGAGTAGTGATTGCCAGATTATAGACATAGGCCGAACGCATTAAAAACAGAGGTACGATGTGCTTGCTAGGCTGATTCTCTACGTATTCTGATTAGGAACTAATTCGATCGCGCGATCGCAATCTTGAGCCTCCACAACTTCGATATTTATCGAGTCTATCAATTTTTTGATGTCAAAAATCTAATGAATAACTGGGCAAGTCATTTCATTCACTGTCAGCTCGACTGACCGATTTTTAAGCCATATTGATAGTTCGGGAACTATTTTTTGTTTTCATGAAGGTATTGCTGCGAATATTTTCCCGGCTGCTCATCTGCCCCGGTGGAGTTCGCGGTCAGCAAACGGAATCAAAACGAAAATATGATTAGATAAAGCATCTATAAAATATCTGATGAATGATGAGATAGTCAGAATATGTCGATGTCCATATTCAAAAACATATGATTTGCTGTTCGGTTCGGAAGCGTACTTCATCGTCCAGTCGTCAAATTCTGAATAATTACAATATGGGGTGTCTGAATGAGGATTTTTATTAAACCCATCCCAGGACAGCAAAAGTATCGATAAAATTGATGCAATCGAGTAGTGGAAGAGAAAAATAGCAAAAAAGGCTAGCATCGGGAGGTTTCGATCCTCCGACCTCAGGGTTATGAGCCCCGCGCGCTTCCACTGCGCTACGATGCTGAAGCAAGTGACGAGAGTGGGATTCGAACCCACGCCTCCGGAGAGATCACGGCCTTAACGTGACGCCTTAGACCAACTCGGCCATCTCGCCTTGAGATCGTTTAAAAAAATTAAAAATATAAACTATTTGATAATACCAGATCAAGCCTCCCCCGATCACACATTTGCTTTCGCTGTCGTGCACAAGTCGTTGGGGTCTCACAAACTGTAGACCCCAGTATTTCATTCTAAGCAAATATTATAAAATGTTACAGATTATCGCAGCAAATTCCTCAGAGTGTTTTCTATGGCTTACATAGAACCGATGTTGCTGTGATGAGGCTTCTGCATCCATATTACGTAATTTATTAATAGTATATTTATTTTCATATTCCCAAAGGGCGGAAGCAAGTATGCAAGCCATCAATGTCTACGTGACACTTGAGAAATCAATTTTTCGATGGAACTAACTTCGGTAGCCACATAGAGAGCTTACAGGCATCTCCACAGGAAGGTTTCTGGCTCACGCCAGATTCAGCTGAGTTATTCTGAACAAAGAATTGAACTTGGTTCCCAGAGCTTTCGCTACTGGGTGGGTGTGGCTTAATCCCTATTACGTGTGTGTGTATAGAAGTTTTTATGCGGATAAAAAGAATCTCTCGCATAATAAAAAATATACCAACAGAAAGTACATACATAGAGCACACATTGTTTCTGTATTCCTCCTGTACATACTATTCTCAGCATCAGGACAAGAACAGGCGTTCCCATCAAAAAGGCAATGACTATGCGCCTCTACGAAAAGGAAGGAAATCAAGCAAGGTAATGTCGATCGCAGGCACCTACAAATGGGATGGAGACCCTGTCCTGACCGCGCGGATGCCAGTGATATCAGCCGCTCAAGCCCGAAGAATGTTCCTCTGGCGGGTCAGAGGTTTCCCTCCCAAACCTGGTGGAGCGCGCATAAAGCCTGGACCCAATAGTCCCAAAGTCCCCGTGAACAGGAAACATGCGTCGGAATGTGTCCGAGCCAAGAACCGTCTCGAGCAGTATGTACACCCTGCGAGGATCTCCGAAGGCGTCACTTACATCGGGCTTGCAACCGGCGCACTCCCCAAACTGGCTCAAGTGCCCGCAAGACCAGTCACCATCGACCAGGAAAACTGAGCAAATGGTGTGCCAGTCGCGAACGAATCCTCAACAACAGACCAGCGATCTGGCTGAATGTCGTGGCGGTGTTGGGTGACATCGCAGCTCAGTGTCTGTTGTGGACGCCAATCATTCGTATGCGCCAATCGGTCGTATGAGCCATGCACGACAATAGGGGCCTGAGGAAACAGTTTCACAGGCATATGTCAGCACATGTCAGCACATGGAGGTCGGAGCTGCAGATTCCAAACTGTCACTGGATGGATGAGTTAGGCAAAGCTTGACATCGCCGCCCCTCCGCAAACAGCTCCCCAAGAGACAGGGAGCTGCAGTGGTGGTTGTAAAATGTCCTGGTTAGTAAGACCAACACCCAGTGCCAGAGCCCGCCAGGGACGCTAAGGCAAGTCTTAATAAAGACCCACCCATTGACTATTCTCAGCATCAGATTCCGAATCTAATTTCTCAAGCAGGGTCGAAATGTAGTAATGCCAAAAGTAGTTTAAACGTCCTCGCCAAGCGTTAATTGGCTAGTTAATTTGAAAAGTAAAATAAAAGATACAAGCTGACCATGAAAGAGGAACTCGATTGGTGTGGAGAAATGCGGGTAAATTGTAATAATTTTGGGCAATGTGTGGAAAGTCGCTGTTTCACTATCCAGCCTGGTGAGTTATATTACATAAGCTTCCCGATAAGCCTCTCTCTTCACCATTCTTTCAAACCCAAGTAGTTTGCCTAAATCAAGGAGTAGTACTACCTTAAGTAGATATTTGATCGAAGCCTTGGGTATTTATGCATTAGTAAAAAGCAGTCATAAATCGATACTTTGTCAGTATCGGTATAGAAGCAGTTCAGAAAATTAAAATTAAAATTAAGCGCAATATTCCACCATAAGAAGCCAAAGTGCAGTTTGTGAGCTCTGAGTCAGGAGTGTTTGAAGGTCGGTTTTAACATTGATATGTGCCCTTTTTGCGTGTCAATATTTATTCATACACTTCTGATTTTGTGTAAAATCGTATTTACATGTGTATTGTGTTGTATTGCATTTATTTATGTACTGAACATACTGCAGCTTTACAGATCTCAATATGATATGCAGTATACTGATAACCATAGGACGCCGAATGTTCGAGGCTTATATAAATTGGTAATTACTGAAGATCATAAGCCGATCCCCGCTTGAATGATCATCGTCGCAGCTACGCAGATCAGTTTTAAATGGTGGTATCCCACCAAAAATTAGTTCACCCACAATGTGTCTTGTGCAAGGACTCGGACTGCGACTGAGTGGTATTCCATTGACCTTGGCGGAAATATCTTTTTGATAAATCGATACGAAAGCTAGAAACTGGACACGGAAGAGTGTAATAATATATTTGATTTGCGACTGTATGTGTTACAACCCTAAGCCACACCTGCCTGGAACCCAGGCCATGTGTTCTCCTTGCTTGCCTCTCCTATATAGCCTTCGACCCTCCGAGCCCCTTGTCTCCCCTGTCCTTCGTTATCTTGTTGTTCTCGCCAATATACGTATCTTCACGGTGACTACAGGCCTTAGGTTACCCCTCCCCTCCGCCAGAGTCCACGTAACAGTATGGGGATATTGTTCTGAGTAGACGATGTTTCAAATGGGATAGAATGTGTCCGATAAATTTTGGTGAATGAAAATCGACTTGAACAGAGGGTATATTACCAATTGCGTCGAAATCGTCATTGGGAACAACAGAGTGTTTATTAATAACGCAAGAGGCGACGAGGTGATGGGTGATCTTTGTTGCCAGTCCTAACTGGTGCAAACGGCAGGAAGACAGATATCAAAAGCTGAGCCTGGATGGGGTCGTGAGGCATACAGGCGCTCGAGATGAGGCAGGTATATGACGACTACAGGCGAGTCTTCCCTCAAATACCCGTGAACAGGAAACATGCGTCGGAATATGTCCGAGCCGACGACCGTCTTGACAAGTACGTACACCCCACGACGATTCGCGAAGGCATCACGTACATCGGGCTTGCAACCGGCACACCCCCCAAGCTGGCTCGAGTGCCCGCAAGACCAGTCACCATCGACCAGGAAAACTGAGCAAATGGTGTGCCAGTCGCGAACGAATCCTCAACAACAGACCAGCGATCTGGCTGAATGTCGTGGCGGTGTTGGGTGACATCGCAGCTCAGTGTCTGTTGTGGACGCCAATCATTCGTATGCGCCAATCGGTCGTATGAGCCATGCACGACAATAGGGGCCTGAGGAAACAGTTTCACAGGCATATGTCAGCACATGTCAGCACATGGAAGTTAGAGTTGCAGATTCCAAACTCTCACTGGACGGATGAGTTAGGCAAAGCTTGACATCGCCGCCCCTCCGCAAACAGCTCCCCAAGAGACAGGGAGCTGCAGTGATGATTATAAACTGTCCTGGTTAGTAAGGCCAGTGCCAGTGCCAGTGCCTGGAAAGGCATTTGGATCGACACTTATTATATATTGATTGGGCTGAATTGTTTGGGATGTTGCGGATACGCTTCAGCATATACGGAAGCTCAAAGGATTTGAACTTGGGGGGGGGGGTGCTGTCCAAAGAAACACAGGGTGAAAAATGAAAGATGAAAGTGTGATGCACGAGAGCTTGAAAATAGAAAGTCACGCGCGGTGAGCACTGGGGTGATGGTGGCGGTCTTCTGTAGATTTTATAATGTTTATATATTTATTTTACTGTAATAGCAAACAAGGCGAGATGGCCGAGTTGGTCTAAGGCGTCACGTTAAGGCCGTGATCTCTCCGGAGGCGTGGGTTCGAATCCCACTCTCGTCAATTACTTCAGCATCGTAGCGCAGTGGAAGCGCGCGGGGCTCATAACCCTGAGGTCGGAGGATCGAAACCTCCCGATGCTAGCCTTTTTTGCTTCCATTTCCCGCTTCCCACTCTCCTTCCCGTGGTCCGTCATTTGTACTCTCATCCCAGTGTGCTAGCTCTTCTGTGGATCATGTCCCTCGCTTCGAGCCTTCTCTTTATCCGCAACGAGCTGCTGTCCGGCGCCGTCCTGTGTTGTTGATACTGTTGCCAGGCGGTGTATTGGTCCGTTTGGTTGACTGGAGAATATGGACAATAGCGAAGCCTCGTCCCAGCAATATTGGATTAATAATACCACACTATATCATATATCACTATCAATTCTTCAATAATATAGATTGGATGCAAAAAGGATTGTCGTTACAACTTTTCGAACCTTTCTTTCGAGGTTTGTTGGGTAATTTGCAGCATGATCTGTTCGACTCGAGCCGGGGGGACTGGGAGGACTGGAAACCCATGGTTAGGTTTATAAGCCATATAAAATAAAAGCGAAGAAAAAATAAAAATAAATAATAATAATAATAATAATAATAATAATAATAATAATAATAATAATAATAATAATAATAATAATAATAATAATAATAATAATAATAATAATAATAATAATAATAATAATAATAATAATAATAATAATAATAATAATAATAATAATAATAATAATAATAATAATAATAACTGATACATAAAATGTTTATGTAATTCTAGAATTATGAAATCCAAATGACTGCACTAATCCTAGTTGATTAATATGTTCGGTGATAAAGCCTGTGATGTAATAATGGCTAGATTCAATCCACCCTTGAAAGCTACCCGCTTCTTGCCTTGGCTAAAGCTTCCTTTCGGTGCAAGTGCATGAATAAGCGGTCGTTCTTCAGTTTAATTGTTTCTACTGGTCGTCATCGTGTTGCCATCCAAGAGGCCCAGCGATGCTCAGCGGTCTAAAGGATGCAGACGCTGGCTGATTAGCGTCGTTCCCATGGGGAGCGAGAGGATAAGATCCCAATCATCCTGAAGAGCCCATATTGCCCGCTTGACGTCCCAGGTGTACTCGGTGGAGTAAGCACCATCTGCTCTCTGCCCTGGCAATAATGCAAGCGACAGAAAGGCTCAGCAGATTCTAGCGTTTGGTGGCGCCGGATACGAACTACACATTCAAGGCACCTCCGTCCTGTTTACACGGGCATTCTTCGGACGAGGGCCGCACAGCCACCCACCTCCCACAAATAGATTTCTTTCCTTCGTTCATGTTAATCCTCTCTTCAATCTTCTCAGTAGAGTTCAATATCTTTCCTCGATCATCTCAATTCGATAGGTTCATCCTGCACTTGTTATTTTCTCTGTTTCAAGTAATCATTCCCACATCGCTTACTGTCACCGCGTTTTCTCAACCAGCATCCACACATCGCTCCGCTTCCTATCGAATCCATTCATCTCGTAAAATGGATTGTCATACGCTCTCTTGGCGCATTCCAATCGTGTGTACTTGTCTCAACCCCAATATCCCTTGCCGCAGGTCCCACCACTAAGTTTCAGTTTGGTATCTTGGGCAAGTCTCTCTTTGATTGTCACTCTTCCACTTCGTACTCTGCTTTCTTGTCAACTGAGCTTTACATATCTGCTCATATCCATGGGCTATGTTGCAGCTATCCATAATTACAATCCCCTCTCCGGAAAAGTGGCTGAAGCTGAGTCGCCGATGCGAGTTGAAGTGTCCTCGTCTCCTGGCGCACACGACTTTTACTTCCAACTTTATTTGAATTTGCTGAAAGGAATATGAAAGTAAAACAAAGCTACGACGGAGGACGAATATCTAATGGACTCCCAAACAGCAAACTTTTGCACGCTCGTTTGGGATAAGAGGATTTTGGTGAGGTGAAATCCTCTCTTTCTAATTGCAACGGGATGCCGAATAATCGAGAGAGGGGGGGGAGTGAGACTTGGTAACTATGCTCAATACAGCACAGGTCTTTGTTCTTCAATGCCGGCCTGTTCGCCCAAAGATGCTCACTTCGGGGAACTCTTCTTCTTTGATGTCGGAAGAAGGGTTTTGAGGAGCAGGCAGAAATTTAGCATGGTAAAGGTAACTAAGACACTTTCGAGTGACCTGCACCGCGCGCGGGCTTGGAGTCGGGTAAATGGCTTGAGTATTTCTGTTGTCGATCTTGAATGACATATCCATCATAATATGCATCAAGGGGAAGAGTGCGTTTGTTTCAAGTGATGTGTTTTCGACCAACAATGTTTTGAACTGCTCGCGAGTTTCGAATAGAACACGCCACCCGTGGGCGTTGACGATTTCGAATAGTTTGGTTTCGGTGATGACGCTTTGCAGTGATATATATCATGGGAGGCGGGTGATATAAGGCGATAAAAGGTATTGGCGGTATCGAGCGTGTTAGCGACAAGTGGCGATTCATCAAATTTCACCCTTTGGACCCCCACTCAGTGTTTCTCGGCACCGGTATCTTCCATATCCACATGTCTATCTGCCAATCACAGCGGTTCGCTTCTCCCGTGCATTTCTCGCCCAGCCAAATTCTCACCTGTACTCAGAGTCGCTGACATGGAACACAAATTTGGACAAAGCCTCCTCCGAGCCAGCAATCTCGGCAACCACCTTGGCGACATGGTCGACGGGATCCATGGTCATCGTGACGGGAGTGGCGTGCGAGGGAGCAATACCGAGTTGAATGCATCCCTTAACATACCGCCAGATGTAGTCGTCCGAGTTACTCACTGATGATAAAGTGGGTGAATGCGAGTGAGTGTGGGTGATTACAAGAGGCTTTGGTCAAATCCCTTCCCTCAGAGTGGTTTCGATACGTGGCTGCGTCCTGGGGATTCGGCGCATGCGGCTCCACCACATCACATCACACCACACTGCTCCACACCACACTCAACTCACCTCCGTACTGGCTGTCGCCGACGATACCGGCTGGGCGGATGATGGTCACCGGCACTCCCCTCGATCGTGCCTTGTTGACCAGCTGCTCAGAGACCCACTTGGTCTGGCCATACCCGCCAGAGATGTTCCAGGCCGAGTAGATCTTCTCCTCGAGCGGCTTGTCTGCCTTCTTGGCCATCGGGATGGTGCCGATGGTCGAGATGTAGTGCAACACCTTGAGGTGATGAGTTGTGGCCAGTTGCAATGCCGTTGCCGTGCTGAGGACATTGGGTCCCTTGAGTCGCTCGTAGTCATACAGCCAGTGGACCTCGGCGCCGTTGTGGACAATCATGTCGGTCTCCTCGCTGATCTCCTTCCATCGCTCGTCCGAGAGTCCCCACTTGTCCTGCGACAGGTTGCCGCACAGTCCAACGAGTCGAGACTTGAGGTTGTGGTCAAGAAAGGCTCTCTGGCTCGGATCGAGGACCAGCTTCTGAGCCGTGCTGATGATGCGCTCGACAGCCACCTGCTCGGTCGGAGCCCGCACGAGGCAGTAGATCTTGGCCTGAGGGAACTTGTGGGCCAGCTCAAAGATCAGGAATGCTCCGAGGAAGCCAGTGGCACCGGTCAGGACGATGCCGCGAGGGTCCTTGGGATAGACAAACGGAGGGAGACCCTCGGCCGTCACACTCGCATCGTCGAGCTTGGCGGCTTCGGCAGCCAGATGGACGGTCGGGGGAATCAGGGGCTTGTTGTCGAGGATGTCGACAACCAGCTGGGCGACATCAGTCGGTGTCATTCCGTTCGACAGCAAGATAAGTGGCGAGATTTCGACACTGAACTCGTCCTTGATGGCGAGGGCCAGACGGCCGACACTCAGCGAGTCAAAGCCGACACCGCCGATGTAGTAGTTGCGGCCGTCCAATGCTTCGATATCGAGAATCTGGCTTCCAAGGCGAGAAATCTTTGTTGCGATGCGAGATAGTGCCGTGCGATTGACATCCAGGATTGGATACGAGACAGACATGCCGTAGTGATCAGCTCGCTCCGCGATACGCTTCAGTTTCTTGAGGTCGCGTTTTCCGGATTCGTTGAAAGGAACCTCACTCAGCTCGAAGCAGTTGTGGATCGGGAACTTGGCGACATTTTTAAGAGCAAACAGATCCTCAGTCATTTGAAGAATCTCCCCGGGACTCAGCACCGGATTGGATCCCTTTCGAGGAACATAAAGCATGACAATCTTCTTCTCAGAAGTCTGGACCAGGGCACAATCCGCCAGGACCCCTCCCATATGCTGGTTCGCCAGTTCTTCGAGTGCGTTGAGGTCGACGTAAACACCGTTGACCTTGATCTTCTGGCCGAATCTGAGTTCAACATAATTGTGATCAGGGCGACGGCCTGGTCAGTAATGTTCAAGCCGATACGCCTTCCAGTATCAAGGATGCCATCGTTGGCAGCACTTGTCCTAAGAAACAATGTGGCACAAACCTTCCGATGACGGTAAATTCTCGGTCGCCCTTCATTTCGACCCAGTCCATGGTGCAGACACGGGGCGAGCCGTCCTCGAGGAAGCCAAAGGATGCCAGCTTGTCATTGGGATCAGAATTCGCAAAGTTGGGGTGGTTCTTGATGGGGTCGTCCTTGTCAACCGCCAAAACCAGGATTCCACTACAAGATACTCGCTGATCCACTGTGTTGCCCTCCTCATCGAAGAGGAGACAGCGGACACCAGGCTTTAGCAACTTATAGACAAGTTGCGAAGGTGTCTCCTCTGATGGCTGAATGATGCATGAGGATACAGCGTTGATGACACTGGTCTAGAGGGGAGGGGAGACCCGTTAGCTCAGATAGCCACACGCCGCCTAGCTACGCAAATCGACGTACCTCACTGGAGCCGTAGGAGCATCTGATGATGGCATTTGGACACAACTTCCTTGCTCGATGAACCACCGAAATGGGAATAAGCTCGGACGCGAAATTCACCCGCTTGGTTTTGTCCCAACAGGGGGTCTTGTCCTTGGTGCTTGCCACATTGAAAACCATTTTGACGAAAGATGGAGGCTGGATTTGGGATCGCGGGTGAGTGCGCGGCTATCGATCACCGTGGGTCATACAAACCAACTCACCGATATCACAATGTCGAGGCCTCTATCCAGCAGGCCAATAACGCTCCGAGCTTTATCCATTGGATTAGGTGTCGGCTTTGGGAACCAAACCGATCCTTTGGTGTTGAACACCAAGACCAGGGATGCCATGGATGCCGAAAACGACGGTGCCTGGAACACAGCTATGCTTCCGTAGGGCACACCAACTGCGGGCCGGCTCGTCTGGCAGAATCGATGGGAGACCTGATAGCTGTTGGATTGAATCGAAGGGTTGTAAGCTCAGCGCCGCTGCCGATGTGAACGCTTCGCGAGACGCACAAATGAAACTCACGTCTTTGGAATTCCTACGAGACATCAAAGGTAAGAGAACCATTTCATTAGGTACAAGATCTTCACACTCTTACGGTAAAGAGCGGGAGACTTGCCTGTCGTGCCAGAGGTGCTGAGGTATCCAATGTATTCATCGAACGACTCGCAGGCACTCGTGGAAGGTGTGGGGACGACCCCTTCAAAAGCCAGGCTGGCGGCATCGATTGGCTGTAGACCTTCGATTCGACCAGGCTTGTTGAGACGGTAGAGCACGTACTTGATATTGAGCCTTGGGAAGGCACGGGTGATACGGTTATAATGGAGTCCATATCGCCTGACGGCTGCTGGAGGGCTTACCTCTGACAGAGACTCTTGCGGGCTGTTGCAGGCCAATTCAATCCGAATGCGATCATTTTCCTGTATCAACCAAGATTCAAGGTTTAGCTTGATGAGCACATCCAGTGCGCTGTCACAGCCAGATCTCCAGATATCATTGATACCGACTTGCCGAGAATCCAGAGGGCAAACGAATAGATGACCCAGTGCGCTTCGGGTTCGCAAAACAGCGCGACGGTGTCGTGGCCAGGGTCATCCCAATCAGGCAAAGCTTTGAGGGCCTGGGCGATGGAATACGATCGATTCCAGAGCTGAAGGTAGCTGAATTTCTCCAGGACGTCGCTCTCGTTGGTGAGGATGGCAAGAGCGTCGGGTTCATCTTTGGCCATTTGAATAACGGTCTCGAGCGGATGGACCCACGGCCCAAAGGGATCCATCGGAGGGGGCCGCTGTGGTTGGATCAGCATTGGGGAAGCGGCTGCCCCTCTGGAAGGGACGGAAAGTGCATCGGCTTGGGCAGAGCCTTCTCCGAAGCAGCAGCTGAGGATCTTGAACACCATCGTGGCACCGGGGTTCAAGAGCGGCCGTAAGAAGAGAGACCGCACGAAACTGGAATGAAGAACGGAGAGGAAGGGGAGACAGCAGGTCGAAGGCCAACGGGAGACAGAGAGGCGACGTGCGAAGAACGCAAAGGCACGAGGCGGCAAATCGGAAACGTGGGTGCCATCGCCGCATTCGCGCCAGCAGACACGTTCAAGTGGCGCGCCTTGAAGACATCTGGTAAGACAATTCGAGCTGGCATTGAACCACGGCAGATGCGGGCGGAAGGAACAGCAACTGCCGGGGTGTGCGGAGAAAGTGGTTGGACGGCCCTCGTCCGAAGAATGCCCGTGTAAACAGGACGGAGGTGCCTTGAATGTGTAGTTCGTATCCGGCGCCACCAAACGCTAGAATCTGCTGAGCCTTTCTGTCGCTTGCATTATTGCCAGGGCAGAGAGCAGATGGTGCTTACTCCACCGAGTACACCTGGGACGTCAAGCGGGCAATATGGGCTCTTCAGGATGATTGGGATCTTATCCTCTCGCTCCCCATGGGAACGACGCTAATCAGCCAGCGTCTGCATCCTTTAGACCGCTGAGCATCGCTGGGCCTCTTGGATGGCAACACGATGACGACCAGTAGAAACAATTAAACTGAAGAACGACCGCTTATTCATGCACTTGCACCGAAAGGAAGCTTTAGCCAAGGCAAGAAGCGGGTAGCTTTCAAGGGTGGATTGAATCTAGCCATTATTACATCACAGGCTTTATCACCGAACATATTAATCAACTAGGATTAGTGCAGTCATTTGGATTTCATAATTCTAGAATTACATAAACATTTTATGTATCAGTTATTATATTATTATTAGTATTATTATTATTATTATTATTATTATTATTATTATTATTATTATTATTATTATTATTATTATTATTATTATTATTATTATTATTATTATTATTATTATTATTATTATTATTATTATTATTATTATTATTATTATTATTATTAATTATTATTATTATTATTATTATTATTATTATTATTATTATTATTATTATTATTATTATTATTATTATTATTATTATTATTATTATTATTATTTATTTTTTATTTTTTCTTCGCTTTTATTTATATGGCTTATAAACCTAACCATGGGTTTCCAGTCCTCCCAGTCCCCCCCGGCTCGAGTCGAACAGATCATGCTGCAAATTACCCAACAAACCTCGAAAGAAAGGTTCGAAAAGTTGTAACGACAATCCTTTTTGCATCCAATCTATATTATTGAAGAATTGATAGTGATATATGATATAGTGTGGTATTATTAATCCAATATTGCTGGGACGAGGCTTCGCTATTGTCCATATTCTCCAGTCAACCAAAACGGACCAATACACCGCCTGGCAACAGTATCAACAACACAGGACGGCGCCGGACAGCAGCTCGTTGCGGATAAAGAGAAGGCTCGAAGCGAGGGACATGATCCACAGAAGAGCTAGCACACTGGGATGAGAGTACAAATGACGGACCACGGGAAGGAGAGTGGGAAGCGGGAAATGGAAGCAAAAAAGGCTAGCATCGGGAGGTTTTCGATCCTCCGACCTCAGGGTTATGAGCCCCGCGCGCTTCCACTGCGCTACGATGCTGAAGTAATTGACGAGAGTGGGATTCGAACCCACGCCTCCGGAGAGATCACGGCCTTAACGTGACGCCTTAGACCAACTCGGCCATCTCGCCTTGTTTGCTATTACAGTAAAATAAATATATAAACATTATAAAATCTACAGAAGACCGCCACCATCACCCCAGTGCTCACCGCGCGTGACTTTCTATTTCAAGCTCTCGTGCATCACACTTTCATCTTTCATTTTTCACCCTGTGTTTCTTTGGACAGCACCCCCCCCCCAAGTTCAAATCCTTTGAGCTTCCGTATATGCTGAAGCGTATCCGCAACATCCCAAACAATTCAGCCCAATCAATATATAATAAGTGTCGATCCAAATGCCTTTCCAGGCACTGGCACTGGCACTGGGCCTTACTAACCAGGACAGTTTATAATCATCACTGCAGCTCCCTGTCTCTTGGGGAGCTGTTTGCGGAGGGGCGGCGATGTCAAGCTTTGCCTAACTCATCCGTCCAGTGAGAGTTTGGAATCTGCAACTCTAACTTCCATGTGCTGACATGTGCTGACATATGCCTGTGAAACTGTTTCCTCAGGCCCCTATTGTCGTGCATGGCTCATACGACCGATTGGCGCATACGAATGATTGGCGTCCACAACAGACACTGAGCTGCGATGTCACCCAACACCGCCACGACATTCAGCCAGATCGCTGGTCTGTTGTTGAGGATTCGTTCGCGACTGGCACACCATTTGCTCAGTTTTCCTGGTCGATGGTGACTGGTTCTTGCGGGCACTCGAGCCAGCTTGGGGGGTGTGCCGGTTGCAAGCCCGATGTACGTGATGCCTTCGCGAATCGTCGTGGGGTGTACGTACTTGTCAAGACGGTCGTCGGCTCGGACACATTCCGACGCATGTTTCCTGTTCACGGGGACTTTGGGACTATTGGGTCCAGGCTTTATGCGCGCTCCACCAGTTTGGGAGGGAAACCTCTGACCCGCCAGAGGAACATTCTTCGGGCTTGAGCGGCTGATATCACTGGCAATCCGCGCGGTCAGGACAGGGTCTCCATCCCATTTGTAGGTGCCTGCGATCGACATTACCTTGCTTGATTTCCTTCCTTTTCGTAGAGGCGCATAGTCATTGCCTTTTTGATGGGAACGCCTGTTCTTGTCCTGATGCTGAGAATAGTATGTACAGGAGGAATACAGAAACAATGTGTGCTCTATGTATGTACTTTCTGTTGGTATATTTTTTATTATGCGAGAGATTCTTTTTATCCGCATAAAAACTTCTATACACACACACGTAATAGGGATTAAGCCACACCCACCCAGTAGCGAAAGCTCTGGGAACCAAGTTCAATTCTTTGTTCAGAATAACTCAGCTGAATCTGGCGTGAGCCAGAAACCTTCCTGTGGAGATGCCTGTAAGCTCTCTATGTGGCTACCGAAGTTAGTTCCATCGAAAAATTGATTTCTCAAGTGTCACGTAGACATTGATGGCTTGCATACTTGCTTCCGCCCTTTGGGAATATGAAAATAAATATACTATTAATAAATTACGTAATATGGATGCAGAAGCCTCATCACAGCAACATCGGTTCTATGTAAGCCATAGAAAACACTCTGAGGAATTTGCTGCGATAATCTGTAACATTTTATAATATTTGCTTAGAATGAAATACTGGGGTCTACAGTTTGTGAGACCCCAACGACTTGTGCACGACAGCGAAAGCAAATGTGTGATCGGGGGAGGCTTGATCTGGTATTATCAAATAGTTTATATTTTTAATTTTTTTAAACGATCTCAAGGCGAGATGGCCGAGTTGGTCTAAGGCGTCACGTTAAGGCCGTGATCTCTCCGGAGGCGTGGGTTCGAATCCCACTCTCGTCACTTGCTTCAGCATCGTAGCGCAGTGGAAGCGCGCGGGGGCTCATAACCCTGAGGTCGGAGGATCGAAACCTCCCGATGCTAGGCCTTTTTTGCTATTTTTCTCTTCCACTACTCGATTGCATCAATTTTATCGATACTTTTGCTGTCCTGGGATGGGTTTAATAAAAATCCTCATTCAGACACCCCATATTGTAATTATTCAGAATTTGACGACTGGACGATGAAGTACGCTTCCGAACCGAACAGCAAATCATATGTTTTTGAATATGGACATCGACATATTCTGACTATCTCATCATTCATCAGATATTTTATAGATGCTTTATCTAATCATATTTTCGTTTTGATTCCGTTTGCTGACCGCGAACTCCACCGGGGCAGATGAGCAGCCGGGAAAATATTCGCAGCAATACCTTCATGAAAACAAAAAATAGTTCCCGAACTATCAATATGGCTTAAAAATCGGTCAGTCGAGCTGACAGTGAATGAAATGACTTGCCCAGTTATTCATTAGATTTTTGACAATCAAAAAATTGATAGACTCGATAAATATCGAAGTTGTGGGAGGCTCAAGATTGCGATCGCGCGATCGAATTAGTTCCTAATCAGAATACGTAGAGAATCAGCCTAGCAAGCACATCGTACCTCTGTTTTTAAATGCGTTCGGCCTATGTCTATAATCTGGCAATCACTACTCCTACATTATATTTTTTCAGTGGCCCTACACAATCATTTAACCAACGCGCTGTGTGTGTTATCTAGGCTAGTGACAGGCTGCTTTGGGAGTAAGGCTTCGACCAAAGTCGTCAAAGCTTGAGCTGAATGTCGACTGGTTCAGCACTCGGTCCAATCTCAATATGTTTTATATATCAATCTGTTGTTCAGGTTACTTGGGTTTTCCATATTCGACAGAATAGTCTTCTATGAACAGGTGTCGCATCAACCCATCGGAGCGATGATGCTCGAGCTAGACAAGATATTGGCCAGCCGATCTTTGATCAACCCGTGACCCAAGAAATACCCAGTCAGGCTGATCAAGCGTGGGAGAATCGCAGACTCAAACGCATCTTCAGTTTGTAGTATCGGTGGTATTTTAAGGTACTCTGGTACCAGATTGCTATGAGATTGAGTGGACTCGTCAGGATGATGGGACTATGCTCGAGGCGCATTACTCACCCGCGCACGGCTCATGAAGCTTCAAAGTACAACTTCAAGGTATTCACGCGTAACCCGATCCTTTAATTGTCATTTTATATTGGGAACCACTCAGGATAATCCAGATCAACAGGGTAACGTCCCCCCAGCATGGTTAATGGCTTTAAAACGCGAAAGGATTACGGTACTTCTGTGTTATTTTGGCGCGAATAGGCTTAAGCTATATTATCAAATTAAATTTGAACGCGGAATCGAGGGCGCTGCGCGCCAGCTTCCAGATATTGATTTAGTCCAAGTAAACATTACCTGAAAATTATGGAGGCTGCTAGTAGCATATTTGGGGCACATGGTCACCGGAACAAATCCGAGTTTCCGCCCCCCCCCTAATGGGAGGTCTATATTCTTTTTCTTTTCCGGACAACCACGCCGACAAGCAAACGGACCTGCATTCATACAAGCCCTAAACCATAAAATTGGGTTCCTCGAGTATTTTGGCGCTATTATTGATGTCACCGTATTTTTGCATCGATGGAAAATGTGACGGCCGGCACGCCGCCACATGTGCGCGGCAGGCTGACACTGCCCCGTCCTCTTGCTGGGCTGGGCCTATAAAAGGGCACTCCGCCCTCCCCGGGACAGGCCCAGCAAGAGGAGTCTTCTGTTTTATCCGTCTGAATATACTTCTCGCTCCAAGGCACCGTCCCCGTCCCAGCTCCGTACCCGTCCGTTACAGAAAACCCCGAACGAATGGTGGTCAGGACGAAGAGAGCAGCGCCAGCATGTCCAAGCTGGCTTGGCCATCGGAAACCTTCGGTCAAGTCCCCAACAATCACATATCGCATGTTCCCGTGATTCATGACGGGATCTGGCTTTGCCCTCGATGCCATCCCGGAAATGAAACGGGATGGCTCCACAGGACACAGACATTCTGCCTGAGCCAGCTGTCTCGCATAGTCCGCGCGACATCACACGAAGCACCATACCACTACTGTGGACTGCCCATAACAACAGGAAGATTGCATTTATTACCTGTTTCATCAGCAGCAATCAAGGACCAACCATACTTTGAAAAGTTCCACTACAGTGACGTTAAGTGAGGCCTGGCCTGTTCATGTAAGTACAGGAGCGCCGCATTTTTGATGATCATAACCTTCGACAAGGACAGTGATTCGACCACGGGATCCACAAATCCGATCGGTCAAACCATTCATGCTGACCCCTAATGCACAGTCATTATCCAAGCACGGAAATCAGTCGATGTACTCATTCGCGCTGAGAACAAAACGGAGAGAATCTGAATCAAGTTCGGACCAAACCATTCCACGCAGACTATACATCGGAACAGTATGGTCGAGGACAGAGGTTTTCTCGGATATTCACAGTTTATATCATATCTGCACTAAAACAGAGATACAACGGCAAAATCGAGGTAGAAATCGGCCGATAACACGCACCGGCTTGCATAGATGAGGATGAAGCCTTGAACGCCCAAGCGGGAGCCATAGAAATATTATTTGACGGATCAAGTTCGAGACCGAAGGTGTCAGGCCCATTGTTCTGATACACACCAGGAAAGATTTACAAGCTAGAAAGCGAGAAACTCATCATGTAGCAGGCCCTAATAGTCCTGCCAACTAATATGAAACATATTTTTCACGACCTGAAATAGGGACTCGCTGAATGGACAGTCCGACCCAGCAAATCTTCCGGGGTGGGACCCGTGGGCCACTCAAATAGTCCAAAATGTGTCGAAATGCGGAAAACCCACGGGGAACTGATTAAATATAATACGGCCGCAGAGACAGAATACAATATATTGAATAAAAACAGGTTCGGAGCGGCCATAGGGCTGAGCTGTTATATGAGTGACAGAGCCTATGGTTCTATGGAAACTGGATCGATAGAATTGGGATGATATTGTATATATTGTTGATCGAAATCAAGGCGAGATGGCCGGTTGGTCTAAGGCGTCACGTTAAAGGCCGTGATCTCCCCGGAGGCGTGGGTTCGAATCCCACTCCTCGTCAATTACTTCAGCATCGTAGCGCAGTGGAAGCGCGCGGGGCTCATAACCCCTGAGGTCGGAGGATCGAAACCTCCCGATGCTAGCCTTTTTTTTGCTTCCATTTCCCGCTTCCCACTCTCCTTCCCGTGGTCCGTCATTTGTACTCTCATCCAGTGTGCTGGCTCTTCTGTGGATCATCGTCCATTTTTTGTTTTGTTTTTGTCCCCTCGCTTCGAGCCTTCTCTATCCACAACGAGCTGCTGTCCGGCGCCGTCCTGTGATGTTGGTACTGTCGTCTGCTGGTGTGCTTGTGGCCTCAATCTCGGCAAACTGCTCCGTCACCGCTTCGATCGTCAGCCTTCGAGTATTTCTCGATCTGCTCTCTACATCTCGTCGGCTTCATACCAACAATCACGTCTATGCTTCACTCTTGGCAATTTTGATCCTGTCAGTTTGTTGGTCTGAGCTGCATGCCCACGCGGCCCACTACGGCCTCGGGCAAGCAGCCGTGGATTCTGCGCCGTTGGGCTCTGTGCTCCGTCTCATCCCTTGCCTGTTTGGGCTGACCTGTCGGTGCTCCAATCCGCCTGTCGATCTTTGCCCTTCGTCGCTCTCCTCTGGCTGCCGTTGCTCGTCCCTCCGACACCCGCTCCAGCCTGCTGGCCTTTCAATCTGAAGCAAGATTTGGTCGGTACGCAATCGCTTTTGCCCATTGGATCGACCCTTTGTCTTAGCCAGATCGGCTGCCGTTGCCACTTTCACTGTCCAAATCCCCGGCCTTGCCCAGTTTATTCGAGCCGGCATCTCCGACATGGAGTCGCTCTCGCATCGACCCATTCTCTCTGGTTTGGCCTTTACACTTGCATATCTGTATCCTTGTGGTCATATCCTCTCGTCTTTATTCAACCGCGACCATGTCGATTGAGTCCCAATCTCACCCAAACATCATCGGTCTGGTGGCTATCCTGTAGCAATCACCTCGCCGTGTGCCGAGCTCTTCGGTCATCCCTGTCCTGCTTTCTCTGACCGCTTCTCCTGCCAAAGACTTGTCCCTGTGTCTCCAGCGCTCTCATCTGCACTTCCAAAATCGATCTTGCTCCCAACAGTGGTCATAATGTCGGGCTCGCCATCCATATCTCCATCTCCATCTCCATCTCCATCTCCATCCATATCTCCATCTCCATCTCCATCCATATCTCCATCCATATCTCCCATCTCCGTCTGCATCTCCGTCGTCAGAGTCGAGGCCCTTGTATCCCAGCACCTCTCCTCCGATTCCCTTGCTCCACACCCTTCCCCGACAGTATGCCTCCCTGCTGCCCTCCCTTGATTCGTCCGACTCCTCCGCTCACACAGCGGAAATTCCAATGATCGAAGTCCCCAATGCCTCACCTTCATTTCCTGCCGAATGTCCCATTTGTCTTCATCCGTTGACAATTTGGCCTTTGTCGATCCCTGCTTTCGTAAGTGTTTTCCGTCTCATTCATGACTGTCTTTTGGCTTCATCTGTTTAACCCTCCGTGTTCTCAGATTCATTCTGCTATTTCTGCAGTCGTCACTTGGGCCCGACGAACGCCGCGCTGTTGCCCCCTCTGCAAGCAGAGTATTGTGGCTATTCTCTACAACATCCAGTCCTCTAGTTCCTATCTTCGGGTGCGTCAACTCGCAACTTCTGTGGATCAGTCATATCTGTGTTCTTTCGTGTGCTTCATTTCTCACAACTCTCTCCCCACTTCAGCAAGTCTTTCCGGATCTGGAACGTCCACGCATTCGATCTTCTCCTTATCGGCCACGACGTCCTCCTATTGGCCGTTCGCATGCATTCCCTCCGACCCTCATCAATGGCCAGTCGTCCATCAACGACCCGTCATGCTATCGACGACGCATATATGACGATAAGAGATGGCTCCACCCGACATCATATCCGCGACGGGGTCGCAAGCTTCGCGACTCGAGTATGTGCTCATCACCCTGTCCTCGTCGCTGTCTTCCGCCGATGTTCTTATTGTTGGAAACAGTCTCCGATTTATGACTCATTTAGCCCCCAAGGCTTTGGAGAAGTCGCCTCCGCTCCTTGCCCGACTCAGACCGTGGATCGGCGGGACTTGAAGATTCTCCTCGAATCGGAAAGCGTCGATTTTGTTACCGAGCTTGTGCTTGGAATAATCAAAGCGTAGGTTCCGTGTGAGCATGACGCTCTACCATCGTCGTTTTCCTCGGAACAAATCATTCAATTCTTCTGTGTCCAGGCATTCCATCGAATCATCTGCATCGCTCGACGCCCTTCGTCCCTTTCTCCATGATGCCGCTCCAATCTTTATGCGCGAGCTCCAGCTCTTCGCGAGCTCACCCTTTGACATGAAGGCTCACGACGATTTGCGCAAAGCGATTCGACAAGCCAGTTGCTCCTCAGACCAGTCTGTAAGTGCCGCCTCGCCGCTCGGTTTCAGAGTCCGTGTTGCTTCGGACTGAAGATGATGCCCCCTCTCATCCAACTGATCCTGTCCCACTTTCTAGTCCCGTCTCGAGAGCCTTGGTGTCCCGTCGAGTTCTCCGAGTGACCAGCGAAGGCCACAGCCATCGTCGTCCCATAGATCCTTGGGGCCCTTGCCTCCAATGACTCCGGCTCTCATCTCCAGATCACCAACTTGCACCCGCCGCCTTGTCACACGTAGAATTTTTTTTTTTCTGGCTGCCCCACCCGCCTCTGTCCTGGCGGTTTTCGCCCTCATCGCGCTGCTATATCAGGCCGTCTTCGTCGTTGCCCCCCCTCGAGTCTGCGTCGCTCGCTGCTTGTAACCGGCTTCGTAAAATATCTCACATGGAAGCTTACCCTCGTCGATGCCCAGGAGTGGGCCCATCAATCTGTCCGCTACTTGACCAGCAAGGCTCCCGTTGATCTCTTCATCGATCTGGGCAGGGCGGTCGACCGTATCGCGCTTCCGGCACTCAAACCTGTCGATGACTGGCTCACAGGGCCGGATCAGCCATTGCACCCCAGGGACTCCCCTATTTCCTGAAGTTGTTTCGATCCCGTTTTCTCCGTCCATGCCAAGTACCTTCCTCTCAAGAGCGCCTCGCTCGTCCTGGTCGCCGTGCTCCTCTACTTCCTTATCGTCATGATCGGTGTCCCTTGTGATGAAGCTGCTGCCAAAATTCCAGGCTCAATCGTTGATGCTCGCCCATACCTGTTCTTGCTCACATCTGAGCGCATACATGGGCTACGGTATCATCACCGAGGCCTTCAAGCATGGTTACAGCCTGTTTTACAATGCCCCTGATGAATCTTCGGCTGGCCGACAGGTATGTGCGCCACTTGCCAAGCGGTGTACTTTTGGGAACTTGTATCCAACCGCCGGCCCTTGAATCTGTAGGCATCCGGAGTTTGATGGATCACATTCGGCGATCTTGATACGATCGAAATCTAACACGAGCGCACCCACTCTCGACAGATGGCCAAGTTCATTTGGCTGTAGGTATCTTTGGTGGCTGTCCCGACTTTTGTGGCGTGCTCCCCCGGCTAACAGCGTGTGCTCCCCAGGTTCTATTTCTCCAAAGTATTCGAGTTTATCGACACAGTAAGGGCAACATCGGTCTGCGCTGTAGCCGTGTGCCAAGAGAATCCCTTTGCTGCTTAGCTAACTGCCTGCCTGCTGTCATTGGCTCGGAATTTGCGCTAGTTCATCATGGTCCTCAAGAAGAACAATCGCCAAATCTCCTTTCTGCATGTCTATCACCATTCCACCATCTTTATCATCTGGTGGCTTGCCGTTCTCCTCCAGCCAACGGGGTCATGTAAGCCCGCTCTCAGTTGTTCTCTTTGCGCCTGTCCTGTCGGGCAGAACTTGCATGGTCTATGGATCGCTATCATGGGCTATCGTGATCTGCAGCGGCGTCTCACTGATCGGTTACTTGCATTTTTTTGACAGCGTACTTCTCGGCCGCCTACAACTCCCTGATCCATGTTGTGATGTTGGTCGACGTTCCTCGCCTGTTGATGCTCCGTCCGACTCGCTGACTGCCTATGTACATCTGTCTACGTCCGAGTTACTGATACGATGAGCACTCACCTTTCCGACTTAGGTACGGATACTACTTCCTCTCCGGAATCGGCGTCAAGTCAGTCTCGCTTATCAAACGATACATCACCGTGATGCAGATGACTCAGTTCACCCTGATGATGATCCAGTCGATTGTTATCATGTACCACACTTTCCCTCAAATCGTGGATCTGGCCAGCTGGACCATCCGCCACACCCGGGACCAGTTCAAAGCCGATCCTCGAGTCGACATCAGCTTCTGGCTGGCGGCCCTGTTGTGCGTGTACATGTGGTCGATGCTGGGCCTGTTTGGCAACTTTTTCATCCAAGAAGGCAAACGCCAACGAGCTCTTCGTGGTCAGGCCAAACATCAGGCAAAGACCAAGAAGACCAAGTAAGCACTGGCGATAGACGGCTCCTCCAAGCTCTACCAAAGCCTTTCGTCTGGGAGCTTCGCCTTGCTGAAGGCCAAGAAAAATATCAATCCGCTGGCGTCTAATGGCCAGCCGTATGACTGCTTTCGGCTGCGGCTCGAATCTGTTTTGTGAACGGCGGCGCTGTTGAATACACTGGCAATCACGGACCACCCTGAGATCATATTTCTCCGATGGCGTTCCATCACAGCGCCGTGCCATGCCCGCCTGTGCGGTGGAGTATGGTGGGTATGTTGCGTAGAGGCGACTGAGCCCCCGATCCCCCTCAGTGGTGCCCTCAATGCGCTGATTGCTGGCACGTTGTCGGGTATTGTCGGGTATTGTTGGTATTGCCGGTCTTTGGTGGTAAGTTCTGGAGCAGCGCGGGATGGATTTGCCAGCTGCGGATGACGGTGTGCTCTTCGAGTCCGCCGAATGGGTTTTGTCCGCGAGCGGCCCCGGATTAAGGCGGCCTCGGGTTGGATGCCCTGCGGTTTCGGCTTGCACAATGTACACCCTGGTCCAGGAAACGGTTGGCCCATCGGCAGCGCAATACATCCTTTCATCGAAGCCAAGCCTGGTGTTTGCCGATGTACTGTGGGCTTGCTTGACAGTCGCCGCATGTGGCATGGTGTCGGTCCGATCGATATTGGTATGGGCAACTCACGAATCCGCTGCAGGTTCGGCTGGCAAAGCGATTGGGCCCTTGCGTTTGTTGGTCGTCTGTATGGTCCTTGGTCAGCTGTCCTAACCAGCGGCCCACAGCCATCGGTCCTGGGTACTTGGATGCTCGTCGTTGCCTCTGCGTCGTTGTGGGTTCTTCGTCAATGTTTTTTCTCCAAGGGAGCAGGCAAGTGTCGCCCGAAACCGAAACTGAACCTGAACCTGAACCGAGTCGAGCCGAGCCGAGCCGTCGCTCGTGAGTCCGTGGTGCTGATGCCACCAAATAACCGGCGATTTGAAACAATCCGACTGCCCGGCAGAGGTTGTCGTCATCCTCGAGGATATGGGCCTGCAGATCAGCTCGTATTCGGCTGTGGGGTTCCTCAAGAGATCGCGATTCATCCCGCTCGCAAGCCTCCAGTCCTGCTTCATCAACGAAGGTATTCATCTCTTCGCCGTGAGGCATTACCTCACCTTGGGAGTTCGCAGCCCAAGAAGCGGCACCGACCTGGTGCTCCTGCTCGACCTGGTACGTTTTGGCCCTGCTCCCGCTGCCCAAGATATCGCGAAACTGGCTGTTTGCAGATTGCCGCTGACAGATCTGGCTGACTGCCGACACACCGACAGCATCCGCCTTGCCCCCTCGGATATCTGCGCCAAGTGCGCTCGGGTATCCTCGCCCTGATGGCGAAGGCGCCTTCCTGAGGCTGCAGCAGCTCTGGCCGGCGATGGAGACTCCGCCTAGCCCACTCTTCTATCGGCTTCAGTGCTTGAAGTTGGCCAGCACTCGGCGGTTTCCGCAGTATATCAATACTACTCATCCCGACACCCATAATCTGATCACGAATGAACAAAGGACCGCCCTTGCAGCCACTGGCCGAGCGGAGAGCATCGTTCCCACTCGTAGTAACTTGCAAGTGTCCACGGTATGCTGATATTCAGGTGCTTGGAGAGACTTGTGGAGATACGAGGGAAACCCGCGTCGTGGTCATTCACAGCACAGGGGGGGGGGAGGAGATGCCTCGGCTGTTTCGAACAGCTGTATATTTGTCCACGTTGAACATACGATTCGGAAATGACTCTGTTCCTCTTATGTAGATGCGGGTTATGAGTGCAGAAGCGGTGTTCAGCGGCCTGTAGAATCTCGCTTAGAGGACAGCGGGTCCGCCATAGGGGACACGGGCCAGCTCAGGCTTCTTGGCCTCCTGCTGCTTGTGGTGAATGTAGCGGCGAATGTAGTTCTCCTCATCCTTGTCCAGCTTGAGAGGGGGGGCGGGCTGAGCCTTCTTGTACAGGATCACTCCAGTGGCCAGAGCAGTGTAGCCCAGAATGAAGTACAGGGAGAGCTGGTTGGGAGAGACAGAGGGGTTGAGTCAATATGCGTGCATTCACAAGTGTCACCACTGGGAGGCTCGCTCTGTCATCGCTGCCGCATCATTTCGCTGTTTGTCGCGATCCTCCAAAGCTTAGACAGACACGACCATGATCGGCCATGATCCATTAGGTTGAAGTTGACACTGGTTGGTGGGGCCGAGCCTCGATCGCAACGAAAATGAATTGCCGCACAGGCATACATTCGAGGCTGGCGGCATCGCCCAGTATTGCGCAGGTATCCAGCAAAGCGCAGTGGCCAAACGAACGCAGCGCAAAGAGCGCCTCGGCCGGAGCAAGATTGGCTTGTGGATAGAAGTCTTGTCGTTGCACATCTGCATCGTCATATCCAACGAGCATCCGCTGGACCTCCCTAGTGCACGTCGCATGTGTTTGCTCGCATGCCAAAACAGATGTGCTCGGAGGCACC